AGATCACTGCTCCGCCAACGAACGCAAGGGCTACAGGCGCCACGACTGTCGCTGCGGTCTCGAATCCTCCGATGGCTATGCCCAACAGTCGGTCCGTCATTAATTTTTGCTCGTCCACACAAATCTGCATGGGGGCCAACACTCACTGCGTCGCTCTCGCATTCTATCGTGCGCATCCCCATGCCGCATCATCTTGCTCCTCATGTCGGCCAGACAGACGGCGCCTACGACGATCGCCGCGTTGGACAGAGGGCCACAACCGCCCCGCTATCCATAGCACCATGCAGCCCTACCTGCCGCACCGTTAGACGCGTGGGCTCGACTTCTAATAATGGACATGAAACACAGACTTGTGCGCATGCGCGGGATCTGCCGTTGCCACAATTCCGCCGCGAGCCATACAGAAGCAGCAGGCTGCTGTTGTTTGCATGGCTTGGGACCGCACAGTAGGGTGTGCATCATGATCATCACCCAGGTGTCATCCGGTCTCTTCTCGTACGTGGAACCAAGCCTCCTCCAACCCAACGACGCGCCAAAATAAATCCCAAACCGCACCAATCACTCTCCCTTCTGGCGGAGTCGGTCGCAACGACGCTGATTCGTCGGCTTTAAATTATAGCTGGCTGGCAAACGGCCTGTTGCCGGGAGCTGTTTGGCTAGTGCTTATATGATGTGCTGTCATTAGGCATCGCCTCAACCAACGGCAGTGCTCCCTCCAGGCCAGTAACCCAGCTCACGGTTCTCCAGCGGCCCTGAGAAAATCAGTAAGAGTAGATCGGGAGCGCCCGCGTGGACGGCGAGGGCGCCGAGCCGCTGCGCCGGGTCAGAGTTCCAAGATAGAGGTATTAGGAGAGACATGACATGAGTTCCAAAAACAACCACCCCCGGCTTCGACCCTGCAGCCATGTTTCCAAATCCCCAAGAGCACGCCAAGCAGCCCGCAGGCTTGCTTGACCGTGCAACTGCCGCTTCGGGAGGCGGGGGTTTGCAAGTGACGACCGATGCCAGCGTGCGCACCGACCTTATAGCTCTCGGGCTTTAATTTAACGCCTGATATGCAATGCGAAAGCGACAAATAACGGCGACGAGCTCCAGCTAGTTCGTTTGGGTGTTCTGGCAACCCTACACGGTAACATGGCGCGAGGGCGCCACGACGAGTCCCTCGCATTGAGTTTGGGCGATCCGCCGAACATGCCGGTGAAAGATCCCCGGGGCTAGGGTCCGCTTAACAGTGCGGACACCGCGCAACACCGCATACAGCCGCCCCAAAAGCGCGCAGGATAGGACATTAGCGCCGAACTAACGGGAGTGCGGGGATAGGCCTATCGCCGGCATCTCCATTGACCCCGATCGACACCCTGGACTGGGGACTTCCATGACTGACGATGATTCACACTCCTTCGGGCGGGCTGGCACGATGCCGGGGGCCCAGAGCTCCCGGCCGGGCAGCGAGAGTAGCTGCCGACGGCTTCATACGGGAACATGGCAGCGGAAATGTGCATGGAGAGTTTTCGGCGAGTTCTGCTCTCTAGCCACAGAGCGCGCAGTGTGAGCAAGGTGGCTCAGTCTGCGATGAAGGCGGAGCAGCTCGATCCTTCGAGGCAGGACAGGTGACTGTGCGGTTGCGGCCCCCAAATGACGGACGATCACAGGCAGGCGGGCCGACCGCTCGAGGGCACAGGGCGTGGCTTGTTCCGAGGACAGCGACGGGGCCGGGTTGTTCTTTGCTGCGAGGCCGATGGGATTCGTCCGTGGGCCGGGCAGCGCGGAAGGTCCGCGGTTGGCATTGGCGCAGGGCCGGCCGTAAACGGACATAGCCTCGCAAGGCCGATGCCATGGTGTAGCTCCCCGCCGGCCGCGTCGTCACAGGGCGGGCTGCGACGTCAGTCGGCAGTGTTTCAGAGCGTGACGGCGGTCTGGATCGCCCTCACGGCTCACCGACTGAAGGTGCTGACGCTGGGGCTCGGGCAGCTGCGAGCGCGCTCGAGGCGGCGGTGGTGCATAGGGCTGGCGGATCGTTCAACGAGGTGAGACGCTTAGTTGGCTTTAGGTGTGCGCGCCATCCCTGTGGGCGACTGGCGTGACGGCAGGCCGGCGAAGGGCATTAAGAATCGCGCGCAAAATTAGACTGTCTTTATCAGCAGCAGCGCGACATGGGGCCGCGCGCGCACGGCTTCCCGGGGCCACAGCACAGGCCCCGCGGCTGCTGCCTCCGCCCGCTCGCCAACGCGCCGCCCTGCCCTCTGCCCTCGAGCTGCTTGCCCGATGCAGCAAACGGTGGCCGCCGGGGTCACCCCGGACCCAGGCGCGTCGGGCGGTCTGTCTCCAGCCCTCTCGCGCGGCCCTTTGCGCGACCACAGCCGCGAGCGCAGCGCCTGTCTCCGCACCGGCGCCCGCCCCCTGCCCGCCGCCAATCACGATCGCCGACGGTATTATTTTTGTGCGAGCACCTCTGCATTCCCAAAGCAGCATTTGCAGCTCGCGCCCTCGCGCCTCGCGCAGCCCCCACCGCGCAGGCTGAAGCCTGCACGCGTCGCCGCCCGCTCGACCAAGCGCGGGACGACCAAGCCGCAGTGCGCTTCGGCCGACCGCGCAGCATGCTGCCGTTTTGGACCGCTCGTCTGCTCCGCGCCCGACCCAGAGCTGCTGCGCGGGGCCTGGCGAGCGCGGCCGTCCTGATCGCACGCCAACCGCGGCCTGCCAGCGCGCCACCGGCCGCAGCGTGAGCGTGTAGGGCAGACGCGAGCCCGCTGCGCTGGACGGCCCTGAGCACTCCATGCAGCCTTGTAGCAACGGGCTAGCGTGCAGGTGCTGCCAAAATTATGGCAGCTCCACTAACTGAAAAGCGTAGGATTGCTCAGCACCCACCGCCTGCGCCCAGGGTTGCATCAACCCGCCCGCGCTGGGCGTGCGCAGCACCTGCGCCTAAACGGCCAAGCCAGGCTCCCGCAAGACCCCCCTGGTCAGTCCGGCCGCCGTTGCAGGGATAGCGTGCCCTATGCACCTATCCCGGCATTCAGGATGCTGGCTTGTGGCTGGCACGGAAAGACACTCTGCGGAGTTGGTGCGGACTGGGTGCGGACTGACTGACAGCCTCGAGCTGATAAATATCTCGACGCGCCTCCCCGGACGGCGATCTATTGCACCAGACCAGCCTTATACAGCACTCGCCCTCCCGAGACTCCTTCTCCACATCTCCATCGTGTTCTCACTCAGCATCCCTCCCGTCTCGCCAGCTGCCACTTCCAGCACCGTGCCCAGCATGAGCCGACACGCCTACGCCTACGCCCAGGCCGCCGTGCCCACGCAGAGATACTCGAGCACGAGCTCCGCCTTCAGCCCCAGCGCAAACCCCAACGAGGACTGGACCAAGATCTCCGACCTTGCCGAGCGCAGGCGGATACAGAACCGCATTGCCCAGCGCAACTACCGTACGTCGGCCGCCCGCAGCCCTCGAAAGCCCGCCCACTGACCCGTTCTGCAGGCAAGAAGCTCAAGAAGAGGCTCGAGGACCTCGAGCGCCGTGCCGCCTCCAGCTCCGCCTCGCCTGAGCAGCGCCCGGCCGAGCTCGACCGTTCACATGCTCAGCCTCGCGACAGCTCCGCTCCGGTGAATCCGGCGGACCAGGGTGACTACAGCCGCCGCAGCCCGGACATGCAGCAGCACTTCCTCCAGCCGCACGACGACCGCACCATGTTCTCGTACCAGAACACGCGCCAAATCTCGACGTCGCCCCCGCCTTTTACCGCATACTCGACCTACCCGGCTCCGGACGCCGTCTCGTACGCCTACTCGCAGACGCCCTACCACGCCATGCCCGCAACCACGGCCGAGATGCAGATGCCCTACACGCCCTACCTCCCGCCCATCTCGTCGACCGTCTACCCCGGGACGCTGCCAAGCATCGTGCCGGCCAAGCAGGAGTTCTACGGCGAGGACGAGATCAGCCCGTTCAGCATGAACTACGCCTCGCTAACAGGCATCGACATCCCCGTGACGCACCCGACGTACCAGGATTCAAACGCTCAAGTAATACACCCTCTCCGTCAGTTCAAACGCCAGTAGAGAGCCATGAACTAACATGGAAATCTCTGAAGACGCCGCCGCTTTCTGACTCGTTTGAATCCTGCTCTGGCTCGCCGCCGGAGTCGGTGCTGTACAACCCGGCGACTCCGGCGTCGATGCCGGGCACGCCGCCGCAACTGCACTGCTACTGAGCGTTCTGCGTGTTTTTCCTTCACTTTTCCTGCATACGAGCGTTACGAGCATTGCCACGATGCGACGACTCTTTCCTTTCTCTACTTCGTCTGTAAATTACTTTTTGGCGTGTTTGCATCCTGATACCATTCGTTCAGCGAGGGCGTTAGACACGACTGTCGTTTCCAGTCGGCGTGCCAGGCTTGGCACTGACATGGGCGGATTTTGTCGCTTCTTCTGAGTTCACTTCAGATTATCAAAGGGTCTTGCATCGGCGCGGAGGCGTTCATCGGGTTCCTCAGTTACAGCTTGAGAGCATTACGCTTCGGGTTTCCTCTTCGGGCATGGCCATGCGTCGGTCGCATTTAGGGTGCCGGCGGATGCGGTGGGGAGTTGCTTGCAGAGCTAAAATTGGAAGCATCAATCTAGATCCTTCAGAAACATTATCCTACGAACACCGTGATGTCAGTCGGCGCTGCGCCATTGCGTGATCTGCTGGAGATTGTTGGTGTCGAAGCCACGCGTTATTCACCATGTGGCCCGGAACGCATCCTTCGCGTGCAGCCTTCACATGCCGGCGCGTCCCGACGTCTGCTTCCAGAACCATTCCAACAACCTGCCAAGTGCCATCCCTTTGGTGGCTTCGTTCGCGCCAGCTGTTGCGGAGTGACGTTGCAGTAGTCAGTATCGATAGGGAAGGCGATGACGTATTCGCGATCACGTGCGCCGCGTAGCAACCCGGCGCGTTGGTTGACGCGACCGCGGACCCGAACGCCGGCGATCTCAGCCAAAACCACACAACCATGGCGCCCGCCCGCAAGCAAACTAAGACAGAGCGCGCCCGGCAGTGGCTCAAGGGCGGCGGCGTCCTGCGCGAGGACTCGGATGACGAGCTAGGCATCGAGGACTACCCGTGGGAATGGCTCTACGATGGTGACGACGACGCGACGCCCCGCGGCAGAGCTAGCCGCCAAAAAAAGACCCAGGCCTCGAAGCGCACCATCGTCGGCGCCCGCATGGGCAATTTCGTATGCCGCCTGGGCGACACTGTGCTGCTGAAAGCAGAGGGCAACGAGGCGTGGGTCGGCATCATCTGCGACCTGTTCGACGGCAGCGACGAGGATGGGGACGAGAAGATGGCCAACTTCATGTGGTTCTCCACCCCGAAGGAGATCCGCAACAAGGCCCGCCGCCGGACGGACTACATGGAGGTGAGTGCATGTTGCCGCGACGTCACAGCAAGCAATTGCTGACTCTTGCCAGAACGAACTGTACATTACGGCCTACTTTGACGACAACCCGCTCACGACAATCAATGGCCGCGCCACAGTCGTTTCCATGGACACGTTCCTCCAACAGTTCCCTGCCGGCAAAGTTCCGCGCACGTCAAAGGACTACGGGAAAATATTTGTTTGCCAACGTGGCGTTAACACGCGCACGGCTACATATACAGATGTCTTCCGCTGGGAAGATGTGTACTCCGGCGAGGATGACATCCCCAGTCTCGTAGAGCTTGTCAAGAGCCAGACGAAGGAGACGCGCAAACGAAGGGACCCGAGGAAGACGAAGCATGAATTGGACGACTTTGTAGTTCCCGAAGACGACGACGAAGGCATTCCCCAAACTCCAAAGAAGCGGCGCAAACTGAACGATGCTACCACCCCCACATCCAGAAGAAAAGATCTTACGCCTCGAAAATTCCTCACACCTACACATAAACGCATTGTCGTCAAAAAGCCGCTGGAGTTCACTCCCCTTGGGACCCGCATCCTTTCTCCAAATGTCCTGTCGTCGCCGTACCAGGTCGCACGGAATCAGCTGCACGTCTCATCCGTCCCTGCTTCTCTCCCATGCCGTGAAGAGGAGTTCTCAACCGTCTACTCTCATTTAGAGGCCGCCATTACGGATGGTTCAGGATCTTGCATTTACATTTCTGGTACTCCCGGCACCGGAAAGACAGCAACCGTTCGCGAAGTTGTCGCACAGCTCAACGCGGCCGTACAGGAGGAAGAGCTCGATGATTTCATTTTCGTCGAGATTAACGGCATGAAAGTGACCGACCCTCACCAGTCGTACTCCCTTCTATGGGAAGCTCTACGCGGAGACCGCGTCAGCCCCGCACACGCGCTCGAACTTCTCGAACGTGAATTCTCGAGCCCCAGCCCACGTCGGGTGCCTTGCGTGGTGTTGATGGATGAATTGGACCAGCTTGTCACCAAAAATCAAAGTGTCATGTACAACTTTTTCAACTGGCCCGGCTTACGCCACAGCCGGCTGATTGTGCTTGCCGTTGCAAACACCATGGATCTGCCTGAGAGAACCCTTAGCAATAAGATAAGCAGCCGATTAGGTAAGTCCAACTCTTCGCTCACCCCACGCTATTGCCCAAAAGGGTAACCCTTGGCATCATACATCGCGGCACTCGTGCCGCCTACTACGGCCCGCGCCAATTCCCCTCTTTGATGGCCGCGTTTGATAATTCATCGATGCAATTCGATGCCCTTAACGGCTGCTAACCGGACGGCCCGCTCCGCAACAGGCCTGACACGCATAACCTTTCCTGGCTACACGCACGACCAGCTTATGTCCATCATCCAATCGCGCCTGAGCAATGTTCCCGGCAACATCGTGCATCCCGACGCCATCCAGTTCGCCTCGCGCAAGGTAGCCGCCGTGTCCGGAGACGCGCGTCGCGCGCTCGACATCTGCCGGAGGGCGGTCGAGATTGCCGAAGCCGCATCGCTCGACGCGAACAGCAGCGGCGGCGACTCAGCGCCCAACACGCCAAGCAAGACGCCGGGCCGGGCCGCGCAGGCCAACGGCGGTGCGAAGAAGCCGGCCGTGGTGACCATCGCGACGATCAAGCAGGCCATCGCCGAGGCGACCAGCAGCCCGCTGCAGCAGGCCCTCCGCGCGCTGCCGCTCGCGTCCAAGCTGTTCCTCGCCGCGCTGCTGGCGCGCGTGCGCCGCACCGGCGTCCAGGAGGCGGTCCTGGGCGACGTCCTGGACGAGGCGCGCAACCTGGCCCTCATGAGCCAGACCGACGCCATCCACGCCTGCCTGCTGGGCCACCGGTCGCTGCCGTCGATTGCCAGCGGCGGCGACGATGACGGCGTTGCCGCAGACGGGCTGCTCAGTGGTCTGGCGACCTCGCAGCAGCAGCAGCCGGCCACGCCGCGCCGCGGCCGACCGCCCGGCCCGGCGAAGATGGCGGCGGCGGCGGCAGCACAACAGCAGCGCGAGAAGGCGGCGCGCGTCACCGGGATGGGGAACGCGGCGGCCGAGTTGATGGAAGCGGGGATAGTGGGGTTGGAGGCGCGGAGAGGAGAGAGGGTGGGGAGGGTGAGGTTGGGAGTGAGCGACGAGGAAGTGAGACTGGCGTTGAAGGACGACGAGGAGGTCAAAGGGCTAGGGTTTGGTTGAAAGGGGGAGTGGGGTCTGTGATGACGACGATGGGATCTCACGTGTAGAACTCAAGAGTGGATAATCAGGCAAGGCCGAGTGTGCCACTGAAAGAACTTGGGTATATTAATCTTCTAATGTTCCCCAAAGAGCCGCACTTCAACTCATCCGCAGCTTGGTCCACCCAATGAAGATCGGGTTCGCTTCTTCTCTTTTTTGCTTGCAGCGTCCTTAACCCGAAGTAGAACTCCTTGCCAACCCAACCCAGCTCCGCTCTCATACACATGCAAATATCAGGTATGTAAAAGAAGTTTCCACACGCGAAACATAACAGCACCCCCACTCCACATTAGAATTTTTGTCTTCCAAGCGTAGGCTTCCAATCTAGTGGATGTGTCTCCGGCGTAGCGTTCTCGTCGGGCTTCCAGACCTTGATGGTCTTATCGGCCTCGCCGGTGAGCAGACGCAGACCGGTGAGATCGAAGGTGCTGCTCATGATGCCAGCCTCAGCGTCAAGTGAGCCAGGCTGGGCGACAGAGTCGAGGCTCTGGAAGCGGTGGCCGGTTTTCCAGTCCCAGAAGGAAACCGAACCGTTGTCACCGCCGGAGAAGAGGACGTTGTCCTCGTTTACGGCCAGGGTGTTGATGATGGCGTTGTGACCGTCGAAGTTCTGCATGAAGGCACCCTCGGGGCACTTCCACTGCTTGATGGATCCTGAGCTGCCACTCGCGAATGTGAACTCCTTCGGGTGCGTCGTCAGTGCGCGGACACCCTTCTTGTGGTGCGTCAGCACGCCCATGGTCTTGCCTGCTGCCAGATCCCACATGCGGACTGTGGAGTCCAGTGATGCGGAGATGACCTGGGGATCCGCCTCCTGACACTTGACGTCACAGACTGTTCCCTTGTGGCCGGCCAGCACATGGATGTTGCTGCGCGTACGCATGTCCCAAACACGCGCCACACCATCGCGACCACCAGTGACCAGGACATCCAATGTAGGATGGAGGCTCAGGGTATAGACACCGCTGAGATGGCCGTGATAGTCGCGAATGACCTTGTTCGTCTCCAAATCCCAGCACTTCACCTTCTTGTCTTCACCGCACGAAAAGAGATACGGGTGTCTGGGCGACACAGCCAAGCCCCGGACGGTCGAAATGTGGCCAGTCAAGGTGAGCTTCAGATTGCCTGAAGCCAAGTCCCAGATCTTGATGGTGCGGTCTCCAGCACCACTTGCAAACCACTGGTTGCCCGGCTCGACGGCCAGAGCGCGCACCCAGCCCAAGTGACCAGATATGACGCGCATCAGCTTCCAAGGAGCGTGCCAGTCGGGCTTCGGCTGGCGTAGCACTTCCCTCCGCACCAGGCTGTTGCCCGGTAGATCGCGCTGGGGCGTAGGACCGTTGGCGTTGGGCGGGAGCGGGTTACCCTTGCCACGCACCGTCAGCGCCGTCGACGCGGCAGCGGCGTTCTTTCGTTCCTCATCCTTGGCCGAGATGCCCTCAATCATTTTCACCATCTTCGGGTCGGAGACCTGGTCCTCGGCCGACGCCTGTTTCGCCTTTTTTCGACGCGCGGCGGCTGTGGCAGCAGCACTTGCCTGCTTCGCAGCCAATGCAGGCGGAAGCTCCTTCAAGTCCTGATACTCATTGCGTATGCGGGTGGCGACGGACTCGTGGTCTGCGAGCTCGGCCGGGGAGGTTGTGGAAGGGGCGATGGAGAAGGCGCTGGTTGAGGAGTTTTCCAGGGCGGAGGGCGAGGCAAAGTCGGCAGCGAAGACCTCTCGTGTTCTCTTGGCTGAAGTGCGGACAAGGTTCTGTTCCGAAGCAATTGTTAGACACGGCGAACGCGCGTTTTGATGGCGACGGCGACTTACGACTGTGGCGGCGGAGACGGGGGGCGGAGAGGAAGCGACGTCGGTCATGATGGGCGAGCGAGTGGCGAAGGATGCGGAGGGTGTGTCGGATCTAGGAAGCAATCATCGGTCGGGGTGGGGTGAAGGCGGCGGCGGAGGTTGAGTCGCGCATCATGGCGTCTGGAGCTTCGAAAGTTGCTTTGCACACGGACGCTAGCGGCGGCTTGGCGCCCATAGGGCTGACCCGCCTGCCATCAAGCTCTTCCTTTCCATCTCATCTTGCTTCTATTTGCATCTACTTCATTGAACAGCCAATGCCAGCAACCGATCACAACCTGTTCATGCTGAAGTCCTGTTGACGCTCAACCCAGCCACTGGATCAGACCCTCCGCAAACCTGCAAGCTCCCTGTACGAAGTGACTTCACACTTAATCAAATCCAGGGGATTTTTAGTGGCAAATTACTCTAGCTTCCCTCATCACTCTTTGATTTCTTTGACCTTGGATACGGACCGTTCTAGGTGTTTAATACTGGGATCTTTCACGCGAGTTTTCGAAAAGTTCATCTAAGCACTTTGCCCGGACCCACATTTATAAGAAAACAACAGTTCAGAAAGGGAGCCCTTCGGTTTCTGGAGAGCAGAGCATACCTTGCAGTGCGACAGAAGGACCTATCTCAAGTTTGAATTAAACGTCTACATTCGGATAAGAACTGCATATACCTCAAAGTTGCGGCGTCTTCGGAAGGAGCATGCGAGACGTACTCATGAACCCACGAGTCTCGCCCCGTCTCTTTTTACAGACAGTCTCGCTCTAATATCCTCCGCCCTCCGCTCATAGCCTTCGTCGGACGGGCCGTACGCCGCTGCATCCTCCCTCTCCCGCTGACTATCCTGTTCTCGATACAGAAACAACAGGGGCAATGGGCTGCTCCGCCACGTCTGAATCTTCGCCCTACGTGTCTTCCACGCCGTGCCGATCCATGTCACTACGCCCAGCACCCACACCAGCACGGGGAGCGCCAGCCAGCCCCAGCGAACGCGCACGTATGTCACTGTCACCATGGTCTGGCCCACCGCCATGTCCGCCCCGGACGTCCCGTTGGCGACGTACGGTGCATCCCTGATGGCCTTGGACACGGCCTTGGCGACATTGGTCACGGCGCAGGCGAACTTATCGCCGGGCGTGTCGCACGTATCGGCGGTGAAGTTGGCGTAGAAGATAGCCTGGGCGACGTCGGCGGCGTCATACCATGGGAAAGTCGATCCGAGCGGCCGTGCAGCGACGTCGAAGGCCAGGGCGTCGGCGCTGACGGTGACGTTGGCGCGCAGCATCTGCCGCAGGTAGTAGTCCAGCAGCGTCTTGACGACCCAGCCGTCGCGGATGCCGAATGTCTGCCCCGGGCGCACACCATGCTCGAGGCCCCACGGCGGGTCGACGTGCGACGCCATCCACGTGCCGATGCTTTCGTTGGACCCGTACCATGTGCCGATATCTTGTTCGCGGTAGGTGCCGTTGACGACTGAGGCATGGAAGCTGCGCACGCAGGGCACGATGGCGCACTCGGTGCCGATGAAGGTCGTGTTGGAGCTGAGGTTACTGGAAACGACATTGTCGCCTGTCGAGTCGACAAGCCCAGAGTCGTTGACTACCGCGCGGATCGAGTTGTACGTCACGGACGTGGCGTTGCTTTTCGCCGTGTTGGGCCCCATTGTCATGACAACTCCGTTCGAGAAGCTTGGCGACATTTGCCTGTACCATAGGGAATACCCCGAATCCGGCAGGGACACCGTGCAGTTCTTGCGAAACGAGTCCGATCCGACGGGGCAGCTGTAGTTCAAGCTTGCGCTGACGTCGGAGCATTGCGGGCAGTAAGCGAAAGTTGACACTGGCCCCCAGTTGCAGTTTCCGGTGCTGCAGAAGTACTGTGGAGTTGCCCATGCTGCCGTGGGATCTGTGTTGAACAGCGCGCTGTATACGTTGGACTTCAGAACTGGGTCGACATAGTAGACTGCTTTCCGTCAGCAGTCTGTGTGGCCATCTGAAAAGTCGTACCCCGTACCATTACCTCCGATCCCTGGGCCGACCGTCTCGTACGTAGAAGCATTGGCAAGACGCGCTACCTGATCCATGTCGGGAACCGATTGTGCGTAATATTGGATAAGGTTTTGCGTGAATGGGTCAAACCCTAGGCTCAGAATTACAGCCACGCTCCCGAGAACCGCAAAGTGTCTGCAAATAGGGCGTCAACGGCCAGAGCTTCCACGGAAAACGATATCAACAGACCTTCCTCTGAGATGCCACAGCAGCTCAGCACTTCCAACAAGACCACGACTTGCCGCATCAAAGACGGCGATATCGGCCAGTGGCCGGTCTCTCTCCGCAAACCATACCCACTTCAGTTGACTCAAGCCCTTGGTGACGGGCATCAGAACGCAAGCCTTGGCGACGGTGCTGAGCCACGACACCAACGAGTTGAGGGAGATGCCATCCCACTGCGGCTGTGGTTCGTTGTCGTACCTCCATAAAACTACAATTATCCCAATGAGCGCACCAGCTGCGCCAAGGACCCCCAAGAGCTCGAAGAACCACCAGTCCTCGAGCGTCGACAACTTCGAGAACCAGTGGAACGAGGAGGTGCGGGTTGGGCCAATGAGATCCTTTTGTTGGCCGAACGAAATCAACTCAGGGCTGAGCGAGCGAGCCTGCTCGCAGGGAGACTTTGGGCTCCCCTCTTCGTGGTTGGTTATCTCCTGCGTTGCCGCTGGTCCAGATTCACTCATCCAGGAAGTTCGTCGGTTGCTCGACTCATGCTGGGCATCCGCATTTTCGTCGGTGGTTTTTGGATTTGCGAGAGGCTGATAATCCAAAGAGGCCAGCTGGGACGCCATGGCATTTGCCGATAGAAGAATTGCTGGGCGAGAGCGCCATCATACATACATGAATGGACTTATATCTTGCTCGTTTGGGGGCCAGGATTGCCATGGACTGAGCGCAGGGCAGATGTGGAGCCTTCAAGCTTGGGCATGTTCGAACAACCGTCTCGCTTAGAGAAAATATCTCACACGATGTATGCAGCATTTACCCGGAGTACTCGCATAGATATGGAAGTACTCCGCGATAGGTGGTCGGCGGTGAGATTCGCAGCCACCGGACAATGCTCACAAAATTATTCCGAACGGTGATTGTAGTCCGAACCTTACACCATAGACCATGTGCGCAATGTCAGTCGAATTGTGCGAGCGAGATTGATTGAAATTGAACATGGCCCCACCTTTCTACTTGGCTGGAGCTTACTAAGACGAGTCATCACTTAGGTTCCAGCGCCGATGCTTGATACTCCAACGCTATACAATGGGGAATCATAAATACAAACGAACCGGAAGGTCCTGCTAAACAAAATGGTAAAAGCATTCAAGACCGCAAAAACAGCTTCAACTTCTGGATCTTACTCTTCTTTGGCTTCATCTGCGGGTTGTCCCGTCGCGACTGCTCCAAAGCGGTCACAATCTTCTCCGCAAGCGCTTGGCTTGCCTTTCCGACTACCTTCTCTAAAATCTCCTCTGCAGACCTGCCTCGCACTGTGACAAACGGGTCCGCTCTATGCGCCAGAAAGAGCTGCGCCAGGCGGCCGAGTCGGATGCGCTCCTCGTCGTTGAGGTTAGACTGCTCTTCGATGCCAGTTGACATATTGGAGAGCAGGAGGTACCAGGGTGTCTTGAAGCTGGTCCCGCCACTGGTTGAATTCGGGTCGGCATCGTGATCGAGTAGCAAGCTAACGAACTTAGTATCGATGCGATCATCCTTCACGGCCATAGCGAGCAAATTATTTGCCTCGCCGCGCTCTCCCTCGCGCAGCGCATTCTCAACGTACGAGTAGAAGCCGGCCAGGAAGGCAAAGTCAAAGAAGGTTGAGGAACCAGTGCGCTGCGGGCAGGCATTGGTCCAATGCGGGGCGCAGACGAGTGGAACGCAGGATTGAATACGTTTGCGCCACTGTTCGTGCTGTGGGTTCTTCGGACCAACGAGGTTGGCAGCAGCTCGGTCAAGTTGAGTGAGAATGGCGAGGTTTTCCTTCATGTCCTCTGCTTCGACGGCCTTAGAGAAATTGAGACACTGTGTGGCGAGGTGCTGAAATCCCTCAAAAGGTGGTGCCAGCGACGGAGGGGTCTTCTTTAGGCTGCGGAGGTATCCAGTACAGAGCGCTAGCTTGATTTCGTACTCCGATTCTGCCGAGCCGCATCGAATAGACTCCCGTGTAGCCTTACTCTCAAGGAAGTCCTTCACGGACCGGTGTATGTACTGAACAGTGGACCAAGCACCGTTTTGGTCAAAAGATGGCGCATCCAGCATGTTGCCACAAAGGCCATGCAACTTCTGCCGCGTTTGACCAGCTATGGCGTCCAGTTCCGCGGGTGTCAAGGGTCTGAAGTCGTCTTCCAAGGCTTTGTCGGGTCCCTCATTGGCATAGTGTATGGATAGCAGAGACATTGGAGCTTCAGCTGTTTGGATCAACCGAAATATTCGAGAGGATTGCTCAAAGCTTTCTTCCTTGATCCGGGACCAAGTCATGTCAAACAGCTCATCTAGTCCTGGTGGGTATTTTTGAAGACGCTCTTGCAACTGATTGGCGTCGTCGCTCTCCTGGAGACTCTCAAACAAAGATGCCGTGACGATTTGAACCCACAAAAAGCTGCCGTTTGCCTTTTCAGCAATTGAGTGGATGAGTTGATCAATCTTAGCCGGCTCCTTGATCTGCAGCCTGTGGAACAACTTGTTTCCTGAGAGCTGTTCCTTGGCGTACATTTCAATGTCGGTTTCTGTCAGTCGCTCCAACGAGAGTGAGGGTTGGCCTCGAAACGCCGTTTCGAATACGTCCAACGGCCGGCTCGAAGCGCACATCTTGACGTGCGAACCGTTCTTGCAGCATTCCAACAGGAATTCAACCAGAGTTCCAGGGTCTCCATCGTATTCATCCAGGCCGTCGATCATGATGAAATACTTTCTGGATTCGTCCGATACCAGGATTTTGAAAGCGTTTTCCAGCTCTGGCACGGTCCACTGGCGGTGATCAGGACCGAATAAAGTGCTATATGCCCACCTGGTTGGAAAAAGTGTGGGTATGAGAGCATGACGCTCCTCAACAGCCTGGTATAGCAGCGCGCGCAACAGGCCTTCCTTGGACATCTGCATGATTTCTCCGGAATTCCAGAAGAAGAACCCCATGATGACCAACTCCGAGTCGCCACGCCACGTCTGAAGATAACTTTTCAGACGTTCGTCATCATGGAGAAGCTTCATTAGTGTGGATTTACCAGCCCCGGGCTTTCCCTTAATCCAATAGAGGGGGTCGTTTCCTTCGAGCCAATTCCGGTAATTGTCCCAATCCGGAGACCGGTCGTTTTTGTCCGAGAACCTCCGGTGAAGGAGGGTGCTCCACCAGCCTCTCTTCGGATTCCCGCCGTCCGTGGTGGTTAGGCCTTGGTCCACAGATTCCTTTGCTGATGCCATGTGCGAATCATGTTGCGCAAGAGGCTTGGCTCTGAGTGGTGCAGAGAATTCTGTCTGACCACGATCGACACCGTTTGTGTTTTTGACATGATCAGTTCCCACAAACACCCATTCGAAAGTCTCCTTGTGCGCTTTGGAGATTTCTCGATATCGGCTTCTCATATCGTGAAATCTCAGCGTTTGCACAATTTGTCTCTCAAAAATCTCGTCTCTCTGCTTTCCTGCAGTTTCTGCAAGCAAGGATGAGAAAGAAGTGGGGTCTTGCTTGCTTTCAGTCCGGACGAAGATCTCGAGAACCTCCCTCTGGAAGTGATGCTTTTCTGACATCTCGTCCTGTTGCTTCTTCAACGAGTCCAGCTTTGCTGGGTCCTGAAGCTGGCCGCTCTGGTCCTTGCTGAGTTCATCGATGCGTTCCTTAATACGCAACTCGTCCTTCTCTATGCGAGCAACAAGGTCGTCGAGGAGCTTCTGGTAGGTGATGTTGTGAAAGTGCACAAACTCCCGCAGTGAGCCCAGCATGATCTGCCCTAGCATATCCTGGGATTGCTTGAGGTTTTTGGTGTGTGCATTTACATCCTCGTCGTTCCAGATGGTGAGTAGAGCATGGCGAAATGTCGGCCATGTTGTCCCCGTGTCTTTGGACTTGGACTTCAAATCGGACAGTGCGCCCAGAAGCTCCTGGGCACGACTATTGCAATCGCTGGACAAATTGGAGAGATGCTCCTCGATCTCGATCAAATTCTCTTGGTGCAGCCGCTCCCGTTGATCCTCGGGCGTCTCGACGGGCTTGTCTGCGGGCTTTGAATGCTTCAATCGCTGCTTCACCCGCTGGTGTCTACTTTCCACCTCCTCCTTTTCGCGGTAGCGAGTGACAGTGAATTTGATTCCATCGTTGAGACGCACGAGACTCTTGGTGACGGTGTCCAGCACGGAGTATGTAATCAGCGGGTCTTTGCGGTAGGATTCGTCAGGCGTGTCGATCAGAGCGTTGGCAAAGTTGATGAACTGGACGACGTTGGAAGCGAGGCCGAGGGCAGTAAGCGGGTCAGCCATGCTGACGACGGGGCGTGTAGACTGCGGAAAGTGCGTGAGATGCGGGACTGGACGAGCATGGAGGCGCTTTTGAGCGCCATCCTAGCCCAACGAGGCTACGTCGAGAGCGAAGGCGCCTGCGTACAGACGAGCTGAATGAAGAGGCTGGAGCGGCGCAGCGAGAGGGCTCCCCTGTCACTTCATCACGCTAGGCGCTTAAGGCTGCTGCGTCATTGTGCTCCCCACAACCTGCTGAAGCACAGCGAAGGCGGAGCAACACGCACTAGCCGGGCGATATTTTGAGTCGCTGGGCGGCTTGCTGCAGACATGTCGGCAGGCTGTGTCGTAGGCGGGCGCGTAGATGGATTGGTGTGACCAAGCTGCAGAACAAGGCGGGGGCTTAGCGCCTGGCGAACCACGGGTCGTCTGACGAGAGCATGCAGCAGTCGGCGGCCTTGGCACGACGCACACTACCGCGAGCGCCAAAAAAGGTCGCGAGGCTCTCTACAGGCGGGGAAGTTTGGTGTTGATGTTTTCAGAGCCAGGCAGTGAACCGCGTGGTGATCCGCCTGGTTCCTGCTCTCCATGTCTAAGATTAGAAGCTCGCTGCATCCGGCTTAGCGCGCGTCATCTCGCTCCCCAGCGACACCGGAGCCTCCCGCGAAGGCGAGATGGAGATGAGCGTTCCCCGCCACGGGGCAATAATATTGTATTGTCATTTCACCAACCGCTCTAGCCGATGCTTGGGCGAACATATCCGCCCATCTGAGCCCATCTCGCAACTGGCCGACCGTCGCGACGCCGGACGCCCATTGTTCCATTCGCATTGTTGGGATACTGGAGCCTTAACGGTAAGGCTGAGACACATGGAGATGGTCCGGCGGAGCGCGTGGCCTGCCCGAAATTTCGCCAGCAACTCGACAGGCCGTGCCGATCACCGCCTCCCGATGACGAGGTGCCGCGAAGGCGCAGCTCGACCGTGCTGAACCTCATCAGGCATTCGCCATCATGGGCCTCGCAGATCGCCGGCGTCGCGAACAACAGCTCATGCTCGATGACGATGGCTGTCTCCTGATACCTGGACGGCCAAGAGCCGCGAGCCTGCCCGCCACTGCCATCACCCAAACAGTCTATGCGCTCGTGAAACTCGTTTGGAGTGAGGTTGATGGTCCGTCCAGTCTCGATTGATACCGCAAAAGCAAGAGCCGCCTGCTGCCCTACAAGTCTTCTGCTGGACGGGTCCCTTGTCTCTCCCGCAGCCGGCTTCGCCTACCGGAGTCCGCATTATGCACGCGTCCACAACATTGGGTCTGAAACAAAAGCCCGCACATATCAGACACCGTCTGCGGAACAGAGTTTCAAGACACCATGGGCTGGGGATTTAGCAGTCTGCAGGCGTAAGGACGAGTGCCATCGGACCACCAACGGGTGATCCGAGCTGTGCGGCACAACGAATCCAGGTCCGGCGGGAGAGAGAGAGACTCCAGGCGGCTGTCGCAATCGCCAAGCTGACAGGTCACCCCAAGAGGCAAACCGGCGCCAGGCGAGCGGTGTCGGGGTTCCTGATTCACCACATCATGCGGATCACGTACACCACCAGTGATTGCTCGAGCAGGCGCTGGTGGCTGGCCCCCTTGACGGCCGCCTCGAGCCAGCGCGAGATTGGCACGGCAGCTGCGAGCGTGGGGAAATAGGCGCAGGCCCGCTTACGTCAACGCATCCGCGCTTCGGGCGCTGTCGGACAAAAAGGACAGCAGCCGCTTGCTGAGCTGCGCACCAATGCACAGCGGCTGTTGGCATGCAACACAGCGGTCAAGGAGGCTGCTGTACGATACTTGTGTGCGTGCAGGCGGGCGGAAGGGTTGAGCTAAAGGGTCAGCAGGGCCGCTGGGCGGAAGTGCGGAAGCCCACGCCAGGCCAGGGCAGCGTGCCAACGAAGCATGGCTGCCACAGACGGTGGAGCTTCGGGACTCGGGGGCTGCCCAAGAGGGACGAGGGCTGCTTGCATGCGCGAGCTTCTGGAACGGCGGGCTGATCAGATGGGCACCCCTCCCAGCGGGCTGGCGCGCAGCAGGACGGGGCTGGCGAACGAGGTGCAAAGGAGCGGTCTGCGCTACACCGTGACGGCCATCGAGTCCGTTGACGGTCGCTGAGCGCCAACTCGATCCGAGGGGCTGTGCCGGTGCGGAGATGATTGGCCGGCGACCCCAGCCCTGCATTAGGCGCACCAGAAGGGCATGGCCGAGCCCACTACGGGTTCCTGGGGTCTGCTCTGGAATATTGCTCGATCCGCGGGCGCTGGTTCCTGGGCGACGGCGGCCGCGACGGCGGCGCAGCGCAGGACGGCGGCTCGAGACTCGCAGCGGGCGTGCGTGGGAGCGGTACAGGCGCTGGCGGGCGTGGCGCAGGGAGCCTCGAGAGCGGGAGACAAGGGCGGGCTGGGAGGCTGCGAAACACACGGACAGCGCGGCAGTCTTCGCCACCGACCTGGCCCGCGCGCGCACTACGCCTGTTTTGCTCTGGGCCACTTCGGCCAGCCGCCGCGCATTTCACTCGCCGCCTCCCACACCCAGTCGCCCCCCTCACCCCCTCGTCCATCGACAGCCGCTTCTTGTGTACACCAGCCTTCTCCACCAACGCTTGTTCGCTCCCAAAAGCTTTTCACCACCCCCCTCTCCGCCTTCGATTCTCAGCATTGCTTTCGCCGCGCACGCCACTTCCGCCGCATCCCTTTGTTTCGCCTTTGTTGTGATCTCGACCGTCGGGTGACCCAGACCGTGACCAAGGCCAGCCCTCGAACCACGCCGCTCTCTCCACCACAACCACGCATTATATCAGCACCCCGCGCACGCCGCCCAGCACCACCATCGACAGCTCACCATGTCTACCTCCAACTTCTACTATGGCGCCCCCCACCACAACATCCACATGAACCACTCGCAGCAGCACCACCCCGGCGGCCGCCCCCGGAGACAACCTCGCTCGCAGGCTGCCCACAACCACAAGCAGTTCCGCAACGTGAGGACTCCCAAGGAGGTTGTTGAGGCCCCCGCCATCACCGCCTTCCGCCGGGACTTCGAGGCTGCTCGCTCTTTCGACCTCGAGGACGACGAGATCTTCTGCCCTTTCCACCTGCTTACCGACGACGATGTAAGTGCTTATGCGTGCTAGCCGAGGGCTGTGCGTTGCGGCGCTGTCGCCGCGCGATGGAATTTTGATGAATTTTGATGGCTAATGTGCTGCCGCACAGCTGCAATCCATCCACTCTTCCGGATCGGACCGATCGTCGCTGTCGAGCGGGTCTCCCGAATCGTCCCCGCTGCAGCACCAGCTCCAGCCCACCCCCAGCTTCGTCCTCTCGTCCGCCTCCAGCTCCTTCACTCCCGCCAGCTTCCAGCCCTCTCAGACGAAGCTCCACCAGCCTCTGGCGCAGCGCACCCGCAATGCGATCCCCATTGTTGACCCCAGCACGCGCAACGTCGCCAGCCCCCCGCCCTCTGTCTCGCCCGCGAGGCAGATGCAGCAGCAGTTCATGCCGCGCCGCTGGTGAACGGGCTCGCCGGCATTGAGTGCCGGGCGCGACTATCGGATCGCATTGCAGCGTGCTGCGTTGTCGAGGCTGGTGGGTGTTCTCCCTTCTCTTCCGGATCTCTATTGCTATAATACCCGCCGCTCCCGGAGGATCCGTTTATAATTCTGCTACTACGTTCTCTTTGTACAAAGGTCGACGACGATTTCTCCTAGGGATACCCACTACATCCTGGACGACGGCGTTGCAATGTGGCGAAAAAACGACAAAACGTTTCATTTCGATAGATCGCGCGTCTGGCATTGTCATGTTGGCTTGAGCGTTCTCACGGCATTTCATCGTCATGGCTTGGGTTGCGTACATCGGTGTTTTTCGGCTTTTTTCATCAAGAAAAATCATAAAGAGGTGTTATTTCGGACTGGGCGGGCTGATGTCTGAATTATCTGCCGCGCAGAGTAGGACACATTTCCTATGTTAGCGGGACCTCATGGCGGTCGGATTTTGGCGGTAGTCACGGTGTTGTCTTGCAACGGGTTGGGTCTTGCTGGTATACCACGGCGAAAGTCCTTGTTTTTGATGCACAAGAAATCTAGCGGCGGTGTCGGTTGGGAATGTCGTTTTAGCTCTTTTCTCACTTTTTTCTATCATCAGCCTTTGCAAGGCAGAGGAACAAAGCGCATTGTCTTTCGTCCAACCGGCCCGCTCCGGGTCTTCTGTTCTTTGGTTCGTCTTCTTCAACGGATACACAGTTCAAAGACGCATGTACGCTGGGACGAATCATGGCTTCTCTCTTCTTCTTCTTCTTCTTCTGCATTAGCTTTTCTCATATCTTCTCACCGGCTGGCGTGGGATTGGATTACTTTTCCATACGTTATTGCGGTCTCCGTCGTTCCTTTGTATACAGGGCGACCAGTGCAACAGCCCTTGCTATTACTTTAGAGACCGAATGCATCTCTATCGGATCCAACTTAGCCAACACTAGTTCAGAGTGACACCAGTCCATCCTATCGTGCATGGTTGAGTCTCCAAGCAGGCGCGCTGGCAGCCTGTGACCTTCTGCCGCCTCGCCCTTCGTCCTGCGCTCCCGCTGACCTTCCAATGTTTGCGGGGTCAAACATTCCCTAAGTTTTGTGATGCAGGCAAGGCCCTTGCAGGTGCCGCTGCTGCCCTGTCGCGTGAACACCTTGGTATGGGGTCTTGCAGCTGACTGCCAGGTGACAACAATTCTTTGTCAGAGCTGAAAGCGAGGTGGAGATGGCTACAAGCGACAGATTGACGGCTCGCAAGCTTGAGAAATGCGCAACGTAATGACGACGGTGCACAGACCAGGGCGATGACGACATGAATGCGAATGATGGAAAGCTCCCTCAGACACACCGAACCCATTCCCCATACAAGAGCTGTACCACCTGCCTCCTACATCAAATCAACCTTCCTCTCACTCCACATCGCCAATTCCCACAACTGCCATCCAGGTACGTCTTTGACCGCGTGCGAGAGCTGCAATCAGCGTGTCAGCTCTCAGCTCAATGCTGAGATGGAGCTCCCCCTCTTCCCCGCCTCCCCACTGTTCTTTCACTCCGGCATCTTCAATGCGTCCCCTCCATCGCCTCTTTCAATAAAACTTACGTGTCAGTGCTCATCATTCACAGAGCCCAGTCGTCACTTCCGATACCACTCCACCAAACCGAACAATAAAGACATACGCAGCCATGTCCGCCATCAGGAATCTCGCCCGCGTCTCACGCACCCCCATCTTTGCTGCCCAACGCATGGGTTTCCAAACATCGACGCCGAGATTTGCCGGCAAAGAGACGAAGCTGCGTAAGACACCCCTTTGAAGGCAAGGTTTGGTTCTTGTGCGAAGGCGTCGATAGACGGAAGCCGCATTCTCCACAATGGCTTGGAACCCTAACAGAGCTCAACTAGCTCCGTGGTTTGCCAGACTCTTCGGATACTTTAGCCGGGAGATGTGGCTGTTGAATTTCGAGATCTGCGTTCTGCTCATAAAGCGCTAGGCTGAACAGTAGTTTAGCAAAGAGCCGTGCTAACTCTTGTGCCAACACAGATGACGAGGGCCGTCACCAGGAGGTTGAAGAGCACAAGCAGGACCTGTTGAAGAAGTCGAAGGAGGGAAAGGGTCACTGGAAGGACGAGCTGGCCTCTGACAGCGAGTCGATTGTAAGTTCATACCTTTCTGTCTCGGCACTCTTAACTAATAGCGGTATTCTTCCAGATCAAGGCAGACCGCGGTGAGATCGAGGCCTCGCAAGAGACCATTGAAAAGCTGCAAAAGGAGACCGAGAAGCTGGCCCAGAAGAAGAAATGAGTTGCACGACGAGTCCAGACGAGTGGGACTTTCTCCTTGGCGCATATGAGGCTCATGCCATTATTCTTGGGAAAAGCGCGAAGGCTTGACTGCCAGTATTTTAATGCTTATTTCGCATGAAGGACTAGAACAAAATAAGCTCCTGGATACATGATAGCCAATCGCCTCGCGCAGCTCAATGCTCTCATTGTGACTGAGGTCCGCACGGGCACACCACACAGTCGTAGGATGTCCCGTGTAGAGTGGAATGTCTGGGTTGGTGAACGACAATACCTGAGGTACATTGAATGTTTTGTGCCATTGACATCACATGTAACTCCATCAAGGGGTAAAGTATATCATTTCTAATGCATGCATAAGCATAAAAGCTAAAGAAAACATCCGCCAAGCAAGCCGCACCTACCAACCCCTACGCAACCCAGGTTATTTTATCCTTTTGTTGTTGCCTTACTGGGTATCTACCGTCCCTGCGAATCCATTTTTCCAAAGCCGACGTAATCATTTCAGTAAAATACCTGCCGTTAACTCCCATTCCGCGGTTGCTAGCTGGAGGCAAGCTAATACTGGCCACCCCAGTAACCGCCTGGCGGCGGCGGCGGTTGCTGTTGCTGCCCCCAGTGACCTTGTTGGCCGTACTGATCCGGAGGTGGACCGCCATAACCCCCATGAGGCGGGGGAGGCTGTTGGCCGTAAGGTGCCATCGGCGGGCCACCGTCTTGCCAGCCCTGCTGGTACTGGCTCGGGAAGGCGTACGGATCCGCGGGGTTATTCTGTGGCGGACCCGGTGGCAACGGCGCGTCCTGCTGGTACTGATAGCCGTGTGGACCAGGCGATTGAGCGTAGTGCTCTCCGTAGGGGTGAAAGTTCGTCTGGGATTGCGGAGGGCCAGGACTGTATGACTGTGGCGGTGAATCGACTTCACGCTTGCCACCACTGCCACCCAGGAAGCTACTAAGCGGATTGCTTCCACCAGTCAACTTGCCTATATTTCCGAGCAGACCTCCAACGCCACCGCTGGAACTTCCTCCTCCAGAACCTCCAAGGTTCGCGAGACCTGCCAAGTTGCCAAAGCTCGACGCCCCACCGCCACTGCCACTGCTAGTGTGAGCGGCGTAGCCCCCGTGACCACCATGGCCATGGCCACCGTGTCCGTGTCCGTGTCCGCCCTGCTCACCGGAATGGTTCTTGCCAGCGCGAACGGACTCAGAGCTAAGGATGTTGTTGAGACCATGGCCCCGATCGGAACGAGAATGCACCCACTTCTCGACGACGGAGAACATGTTACGATGCAGCTCGCAGTGACGATCGCGCAAGGCAGGGTGATGGAATACACGCACAACGTCGTTGAGGACCTCATCGACTGGCACATTCGGGTGGTCCATGGCGTAAATAACACGCGGAGCAACGTACTGCAGAATGGCTGAAGCGATCTGGCCAGCGGGCTCGTTGAGGATGTTGGAAAAGTGATCCTTGGACAAAAGGGAGTGAGTCGGATCAGTGCAGTGAGGGTCCGTCCAAGGTTCGTACTGGTGCTTGCCGCTGGCATCGATGACGGCAGAAGAACCGGTCTTGAGTTGCTTCGAAGCAGCAGCAATGATGGGCTGAACGAATGGAGCAAGCAGAGCGAAGACAAACATGGTCACACGCTCTGAAATCTTCTCGACGAGAGACTCAAGGCCTGGGATCTTGGAAATAACGCTGCTGATAGCACGGACAACCTTGTCGCGGAATTCCAGGATAGGATAGATCTTGGGCACCATGGACTGAGGATCGAAGTCGGGGCTCATACCCGGAATGCCAGGGCCAGGGGGGCCTCCAACAGAGCCAGGAGGAGCAGCGAATGTAGGGTCGGCGCGAGAGCTGCCATAACCGGCGCCGCTCATGCGGGCATTTTCTGCGGCCTGGGCGTCTGATGAAGCCTTCAGCTCGGCAGCCTCTTTGCAAAGCGAACCAGTGCCGGGGATCTTGCTCAGAAGGCTGGTCAAAGCCTCGACATCACCACCAGCACTTCCACCGCTAGAGCGCTTCCCCGAAGTTCCAGAGGCATTCCCGAGCTGGAGATTCAGCTCGTCGATCTCCGAGGTATCGACGTTGGACTGGGTAAAATGATCTGTAGCCTCACCCAGGACGGAGTGCAGGAAATCGACGCCGCCGAAAGTACCAGTGACGAGCGGGAAGACATGCTTTCCATGGAGGTTCATTTGAGTGGCAGTGCCAGTGTGAGGGAAGACATTGTGAAAGCCCAGCTCGCGCAGAGCGAGCTCGGTGTAGTTAGTGTGAGCACCAAAATCCTCGATGCAATGGAGACCTTGGCCAAGGCAGCGGAGGGCTTCGCAGAGGTCCTCCTCACGTCCCTTGCTACCACCAGCGCCGTGGGTGTACATGCGGCCATAGTGGATGGCACGCTTGAAACTGTGCCTGATGTAACCGGCGCTCGTTGCCCAGCCACCGCGCTCATTAGCGATGTAGTTTTTCATGCCTACAACGGTCAGAAAGGAGAATGCAAGTTATAGCGCCAAGCTCACCAGTCTGAGGATCGATGTCAAGTTCTTCCTGCGACACAGGCCCGCGCAAGCGCGAATCGTACTGCCGGGCATCTTGGTTGTCTGCGTAGTCCTGTTGGAAGGCACATCAGTCACGGGGGCCGGCTGCGCGGCGGCATTATTCCCTGCTTACCTTGGGGTTATCAATGTGCTCCTCCGGACGATAGACTGCGCACGATTAGCGTTAGAGTCGGGAGAGTGCACAGGCAGATGGCTCACCTCCGAGGCGCTCGTGCGTGACCTCGAATTCCTTTGTGGCGTAGCCGAAGGACATGAAGGCGAGAATCCACACGAGAATGCGGATCGTGTCTGCCTGGACGCCTTTGAGGGTGCCGACGTCGACAGCCTGCGAATAGTCGCGCAGCCAGTTGCCGAAGTAGACGCGCTTGATCATCATGGAAGACCACTTGTGGCCCTTGAGGCAGGCAACAGTCTTGAGCATGTCCTCGATGTCGCCATGGCGCCAGTTCTTGCCCTCAATGGTGGAGATGCTCGCGATGTTGCCGGCGCCAAAGGCCGCGGCGGGGGCGGGGCAGAGCACCAGCAGCGCGACGGCGAGCAGGAAGAGCAGCTTGAAGGACGGCATGGTGGCGGTGGTGAACTCGCCCAGCGGCAGCGGGCAAGGAGAATATATGCTGACGGAAACCGAGGCTGGTGGGTGGGAAGTGTCAGCAGAGCAGCGTGCCGAATCCCCGAGAGCGAATGATGTCAAATGGATGCGGTGGCGGGGCAACTGGGCAGGAGCGCCCAAGCGCCCAACACGGGCCATGGGCCCTTTTTCGTCCTGAAGTTGTCAGCCCCTCCACCTATCACACGCCCCAACCGCCGTAACTTACAGATTATCTTCCCTTGCATAGCCACAGCCCCAGCCACATGCCGCGAATGCGCACGCCTTGCTACCGCTGCCTCTGCATCCTTCATCAAAAGAGACAGTCCTCGATCGTAGTAAAACCTGGCCATCTCCTCTTGATCCGTCGCCCACTCGGCGTTTAGAATCCGGTGCAGCTCCTCCAGGATCCTTTCCTTGATGTTGGGCCGAGATACTTCCCCCCTCTTTCTAGAAACTGACACAAACTCGATCCGACTTCTCAGAAGCTCCACCCGGACTTGTGCAACATCATCAGCCGCATCGCTGATGTCGTAGTCCCATTCCTGGCTATCCTTGTGCGTTTGGGCATATTTCATGAGAAACACTGCCTGTCTTTGTTCCGCAATCATCCCCTTCAGCTTCCGGTTCTCCTTCTTCAAATCATTCATCTTTCGATCCGCAGCCGAGACCGACTTGGCCACAGCCTGCTTGACCTCTTCTTTTAGCCTTTTTCTCTCGTCGATCCATCTCACTTTCGTTGCATGCCAAGACCTTGTTTCCACCTCCAAGGCGTTCAGGATCTTCTCTTGGCAGCGTACTAATTCCTCTGCCATCTGGACCAAGTGCGGCTGCTTCTCCATGTCGATTTGCTCGAACACATTATCTGTGCACATTGCAATCTCGTTCTGGAGTGCGTTGAAGGCCCTTGTAGATAAGTGGTCGAGTTCATGGTCGCACTGGTATCTGGTTTTATTTAGAAGGCGCGCGCGCTGTTCGTGCAGGTAGAAGTCGGCTTCCTTGGGGCTTTGGGTATTTTTGAACTTCTTGTGCTCGAACTTCAGCGAGCCGGTCTCCGGCTCACTCTTACCGGGGCCAACTCTCTCTCCAGCATCCATATCATCTTCCTGCTCGTCTTCGGGCTGGTCCGAGTCATCACTCCAGTCAAGTGTGCTTTCAGCATGACTGAGCGGCGGTGCCGACTTGGCGCGTGGCGGGCTCCTTGGATAGCTACTGGGAGACATTTCTCCGCCTTCATGTAGGCTATCCTCAATTTGGTCGGCACTGATGCTTCTGCAAAGATTCGACTTGGGACGACTTCGAAGGTGGGCCTTTCTTTCCTGTCGGCGCTCCTTTGTTATACGTTCAATTTCATTCTGCCTTCTCTCGAGTTGAATCAGAGTCCAGTTTGGCCTGTTTTTGTCCCACGGTTCGCAGGATTCGGATTGATCCTCGTTGGAGTCTCCACCAGATCCTTGGGGGTCAGTGTAGTAGCCGACGTTGATTACTTTCTCGCCATATTCAGCCCCTCTTTCAACCATTCTACCTCGCCCTTCGTCCGTGTCTTGTTCTGGTATCTGCCTCCCCGTTTCTCTACCGGCTTTATCGAGGTTGGGGCATTTTCCTGAGCCTTCGGAAGCCGCCATGATCCAAGAACGAGAGAAAACACCAAGCGCTGGCTAATTTTGCGTGACTGACAGTTCCACGGAACGCCTGTGAAGTATAGGATGGGAAGGTGGTGGTGCAGGCTAACAGGTCATGGGGTCCCGCCCTGAGGAACGCGAACGAGGAATGAATTTCGGGTGCAGCTAGTCGTTTTCGTCCAACCAATCTTGCAGCACTTGTGTGGGTGACTCAGGTATCTCCCAGATCACAGCTTTACGGTGAACAAAGGGCCATACTGAAAGCGTCAACATCCTGTACACGACGTCGGTGCACCTTCATGGCCATGCGGCCTCGAACAAAGGTTTCCTCAACAAAGCAGCGCTGACTGACCAGCCCAACCCGGAGACGACTTATAACACGGCGATGGACTCGGTGCAAGAGAGACTGTTAGCTTTTACAGGGCACTATTATAGACACCAGCAGACAGTGTATGGCCGAAACGGAATGGGGTTGTGAGAAGTTTAGGTTAAAGTGTTTTTGAATATGTATTCGCTTTTGAAAAAACACCTCTCTGCCTAGGTCAACACTTCAGTAAACTACTGTACGCCCGAACTACAAAACTCTCACTATATTAAAGTGTTTGCAAATATAAGCGAAAAGAATACAAATTCTATTCAAATTCTATTCATCAGTCTCAGTCTAGGGGCCAAAGCATTGAAAATGAAAATTGAAACCAAATCAAACTCCACGCCATGCAATTCGCTGCTGGAAATGGCATCTGATCGACGCTAGCCAGCCCCCTTCCATGGTCCATGCGAGCAGCTCTGTTTACTCCAAAGTAAAGTTGTAGCTAACACGTCCAGCAACGCCGCGCATGACGACACGGCGCTCCTTCTTCGCGAAAGTAATTTTGCCGTCCTCGCACTTTGTTCCGGCAGCGACGTCTTGCCAGACCACCTTGCCGAAGCTGCAGATGCCGAATTGACTGGCTCCATTGCAGACCATTGCGCCATCCTCGGCACAACCAGCATTGCTGCTACCGCCAGCAGAAGTCGAGGGCTTAGCAGCTGCCGGAGCACTTTCGACAGGTGTAGAGGGTTCGGGAGTCGGCATGCTCGTTGAAGTTGGAGACGGCGAAGGAGGTGACGAAGGAATTACAGGAGGTTGATCGGAGGACGGGCTGTCGTGGCCGTTGCCAGAGCTGCCGCCCATTTGCGGCTGCGTCTTGGTGGGAGCGCCGCAGTCGCCCTGCATGTCCTGGAAAGGCCCGTCTCCACGCTTGTCGACGGAGTCGCCTGGGTTGGGGAGGAGGGGAACGGTGCTATCAACGGTTTTGCAGGTCGTCTGGGGGATGTTGGCGAGCTGCATGTCGGGCAGTCCGTTGTACACGTCCTTGTTGTCGGCGCCGCCGGTGACAGTGATGGGCGCGCAGTTCATGTACATCTCGCGGTTTCCGATCTTGTTGAACCAGGTCCAGGCCAGTGCGAACTCGCCGTTGGGGAAGCCCTGAGGGAGCTGGAAGTTGAAGGTATCGGGCCCGCCGTTCACACCAGGGCAGTCTCCCTCAATCGTGTGGACAACCTTGAAGACGGATGACGCGGTGGGCTGCTTGTCCAGTGAGACGCTGATTTGGCATGAGCCGCCGCCGTGGACAGCAGTGCCGGTGAAGGAAAGCATCTGCGGCTTGCCGACTTCCATGAAGTTCATCTTGCTAATATCGTAGACGCCGGCGCGCTGCTTGCAAGGATAGTCGCCTTCGAGGGGACTGTTGTTCAGAGTGTCGATCCCATAGGGGACTGGCTGCGCCATGATCATGTGTGCCTTGACAGCCGGTGCCATGACAGCGCCGACCAAAGCAGCCAAGCTGACCGTACGGAAACGCATGTCGAAAGCTGTTGTAGAAGAGAATTAGCTTGATGATGAGAGGGAAATAGGATCTGGTCCTGCCAGTGGATGCTGTGCAAATGCTTTCAAAGGAGTGTCTTGAGGAAGAGGTAGAAATGCCTGGCTCGAGGGTGGTTTTATGTTGGGCCCGTGCGGGTCATTGTTGCAAAACAATTGTGAATGGGACAATGCACGGGTGGGTGCCATATGCAAGCCACCCACATTGTTCTAGACCGCGTCTCAATGTACACTCACTCACTCACAATGCCAGTGATAACAATGTGTTCACAGCGGCGAAAGACTTCATGTTAGGCAATGAGGTCGAGACCAAGCTTTTAGCTGCTGGTTCTGGAATTAGCAGGTCAAATGGCTTTGCTGGAGATATTTTTAGGAAACCTAGGAACAGCAAACCGCATACACGGAGTTCAAGTCGTTACTTGAAAGTTCTCAATGCGGATCTGAGACGCTTTTTCAACTGCATATAGCCATTGTCTTCAGCATCTAGTCAGCTCGCGAAGCTTCTTTGAAGGCATCAAAAGGAATGATGGCCTTGGGATGCGAAACTGAATCAAACTGTGCGGTCGGCGAACTCAAAGTGAAGACAAATGTACTCGCCCGCGTCAACCATGCTGAGGCAATGAAGTGAGCCATTGCCAAGTTCCGTAGCGCTTCGTTGTTTGATTTCCATGTCCAAGTGAGGTGTCGACCGCCTATTTGCGCCTGCTACGATGCAGTAACAGCCCACATCGGGGCAGGTCGCGCAGGATAAGACAAGAAGGCGAGCTTGGCCGGAAAGACAGGCCGTTAGAGTCAGCCAGACACACGACGTGCCATGGCGCAAGGGGAGTGTTGGGGGCTAGGGATGCTTGGCGTGGTGTTGAGCGAAAAACGCGGCCGGGGCCTTGGCGCGATTGCGGGTTCCCTTGTCCTGGCGGGTGCGCGCGTTCGCGAACATCTGCATCTCTGCCAACCTTCCCACTACCAGCCCGCCTTGGACCCTTCCCGTGGCGCATGATCGACTAACCTACCGCTGCTCATCGCACACTGTCGCCGGTCGCGCGGAGCTCGCTTCCCCATCCCGCCGTCCTCGCGTTCCCGACTGATCTTTGCGAGAGCGCGCGCTTCAGCACCTGTGCGCCATGTCGTCCGTCACCGCGAAGGCCAACCCGCCGCAGGCGTTCATTTCCAGCTACGCCCCGCGCATTCGCACCTATGGCAACTCGCTGCTGCAGCCCGTCATCCCTCAGCTCACCCAAATACCCCCGTCGCGGACGACCAAGCGAGGAACCACTGCCATCAACTACGCCGAGGATGGCTTTGATGACGACGATTTCGAGGACAGCGAGGGGCCTAGGCGGAGGCCCACTGGCCTGCGCAGCTTGAGGCAGCAGGACGATCCACAGGCGAAGCTGGGCCAAGACGCTTCGCAGCTGGGCAAGGAGCTCACCGCGCCGGTCGAGGTGCAAGGCATTTGGAGAGAGTGGATGGGCAAGCCGAAGCGCGCATTGTATGCATTCACCCCCGCTTTGCACTCCAACGCCGTTGGCTGACTGAATTGCAGGACGGAGAAGCAACTTCAAATACAGTCGCATTTGCCGCTCACCCTGATTCCTATCCGCATCGATCTGGACATCCAGCCTTTCCGCCCGGAAGCACCCTTGCCCACTCCGAACAACGCGCGCGACTTTGGCATTGACGAAAGCCTGCCTGCCTACAGGCAACCCGACGTTACCCCCGCATTCAGGCTGAAAGATGCCTTCTTGTGGAATCTGCATGAGGCGCTGACGACGCCTGATCAATTCGCCAAGGTCTTTGTAGAGGAGCTGGACTTCCCCAACGACAGGAAGCCCATCATCATCACGCAGGTTGCCAACCAGATACGCCAACAGCTGGAAGAGTATGCTGGAGTCGCAATGCACCCGTTGTTCCATTCTACAAACACAGCCAACGGCGCGGCAACGGCGCCTCGATCCACTCAACCCCCGGCAACACCTCGCGAGCAATCCTCAACACCAGCGCCAGCCAGCACCCTTGCGCCCACTCCTGCTGCTCCAAATGGCACCCCCGTCCCTGTGGGACCTAGCGGCAACAGCATCTCCGCCACCGCCACCCCTCTTCCCTCCGACGACGTTCACAACCCTGATGACACCTACCGATGCATTATAAGCCTTAATATCAACCTGCTCAATCGTCTTTACAGCGACAAGTTCGAGTGGTCATTACTGCACCCCCCAGGCTTTGCTGAGGTATTCGCCAAACAAACCTGCGCCGATCTTGGCCTGGCGGGGGAATGGGTGCCAGCCATGACACACGCTATCTATGAAGCTGTCTTGAGACTTAAGAAAGAAGCCTGTGAGAATGGCGGCCTGGTGGGTTATGGCGAGATTGAGAACGAGGCCGCCGAAGGTGCCGAGGCTGGGTGGCGGTACGATCCAGAGCACCTAGCGGATGAGTGGGAGCCAAAGGTCGAGATTCTTTCCAAGGAAGAGATTGAGAAGCGCGAGGGCGATCGTGAACGCCAGATTCGACGCCTTCGCCGCGAGACTGCGCGCTTCTCGAGCACAGCGAACATGTCAGGCGGCATGCCGCAGAGCGACTACTTCGCGAACCCAGACCCCGATGAGCGCATGGGTAGAGGCGAACGCAGCAAGAAGAAGAGGCGATTCCGGAGCTTGAGTCCGCCAAACAGGGACAGCCCAGATACAACAGGCGGATACGGCGGCCAAGGAGGAGGCCTGCAAGAGTGGTAAGCGTCACTTTACTGCTGTAGCTTTGGCATCTTTTGCTAATAATTCATCGCGTCCACAGGGAAAGGCAGAATTGGCGGTGCTCGCACTGTCTGGTGCATGGTTCAGCGGTTTGGGCTGTGAGGGATGGCCCCAACGGTTCCAGGGTGAGTGACTTAAGATTTGAGACATATCGGTGCACGCAGGTCACTAACGATTTTTGCCTTGCAGTCACTGTGCCACAACTGCGGCTACTTGTATGAGCGCGACAAGAAGCTTCCCCCATGGTCGCACAATCTTTTCATCTACGATGTCCACACTCGGCGGTGATCGTCACATCATGCGCCGTCTTTTCTGTCCTTTTAACTTTAGACCAGGCTTATGGAGTATCACCATTTTCATCTTCGAGTATCTCGGTCGCCTGAATTCCCCATCTGCGGGTTGATCAGGTGTTCAGGCGTTTGTCTTTCCTCTGCTTCAAGAAAGACTGCTGCCGCGGTTGCAATGCCCCTCGGCTGGCGTCACATTTGGGATTTTTTTCCTTTCGCGTCCTTCGCGGATGAACTTCAGGAAAAGCATCATCAAATCTTTTTGAGAGGATCATCTGGTATCGTACGAACGGCTGTGGCCATATCGGAAAGCATTCAGGTGTCAAATGGAAGAGGAGTTGGCACGGTTTGATGAGTTGCAATATTACCCTATGTCAAGAAGCTGGAAGGGATTCGAAGAAAGCCTAGTGCTCACGTGTTGTACGATTATTCACATGGAGGAAATTCAGGAATGATGATTGGATTGCCGATTAGTCCCTTGCTGGTCAACAACATGAAGTCGCTTTTATGTTATGCTGCCTGTTGATATTAAGCCATCATGCTAAGAAAGAAAATTATAAGTATCCTCCGAGAAATGCCTGCAAGATACAAGGAAAATAGGGTGCCGCCATCGTGGATGTTGTGTCCATTAACATGATGCCAGTCGTGAGATCCCCCGATACTCTTTGCACTGTTTGCTCATCAATGATTGCATCCTTGCCGACAAAATTGCAAGCAATCCAGCTACCTCGAGCATTTGACTTTGTCATACAGTCATGGACATCTCTCAGATCTTTCCATCTGCACCATCAGCTCTCTCCTTCTTCACCGCTCTGCCCTCAGCCTCCGCCACTTCCTCCGCCTTCCTCTTGATCGACCCAGCACCACCGCCAGCGGACGGAGGTGGCGTCTCCGGCGGCGTCAGCACCCCCCTGGCACCTATAACCGCTTGGCCGTCACCCCGGTCCGCCATCACCCCACCATTCTGCTGCCTTGCCACCACAAGAGGAGGGGAGCCCGTTCCCACGCTACTGCTGCTGCTGCTCATCCGCACCGGCGGCGCCAGTCCGCCAATGACATTCCTGTCTCCGACAACGCGCACGCCGCAGTCGATCCGGATGCTGAGCGGGCGTTTGCTGTTGCCGTTGCGGCTGCTGCCGCCATCGTCGCCGGGAAGGTGCCCCGGGAGATGCGGCAGCGGTGCACTCACCGCCGAAGGGCGATGGCCTTGGCTTTGGGCCGCTGCTTGTTGCTGCTGCTGTTGAGCTTGGATCTGGGTTGGAAGAGTTCCGTGGAGGAGAGAGAGCAGGATGGCGGTCAGGCGCGGGCCGTCGACGGGGGGCACGGCGATGACGTTGGACGAACCGTGGATGACGGTTGCGGCGTCGACGGCGAGGGTGGGGCTAGGTGTAGCGGAAGAGGCCGCAGTGTTGTCATCTTCGGCTTCGCAGTCGGAGTCGGAAGCGGTGTCGACTGAGTCGAGATCTTCTTCGGCGACGGCCGTGGGAGGTTGCTGGGTGGTGGAGTTTGTGGTGAGGGTTGAATAGGCTGGGGGAGGGGCGTCATGCTGGTTGTCGCTGCCACGCACGGTGGTGTTGGAGGTGGCACGATCGGCCATGATCTTGTTGTAGGCGTGAAGCAACGAGTTGAAGTCCATAATGGACGTGGAAATGCGAGAGGTTAGAGAAGAGGAAATGACACAAATGGATTTATGGTAAGATGGTTGAGAGTATTCTTTTACTCTACAGCCCGAGGTAAGATTATCGGAGGTGTGAGAAGAAAGGAGCGAGAGGCTGCGCGATAGCCACAATATATGCCATGGTGTGTTGCAGGGGCTGACAATAGGCTCGCATGGCACAATCGCAGTGGACAGGGTCAGTGGGCTGCAGCCTTGCCTTACCCATGTGTTGTTGCGGGTCGTGTGCGGGTCGCATTGAGATGCTATTGTGGACGGAATCGTCGCTATTGAGAGATAGTATTGTGGACGGAACCTGTGATCGGGCCCGTGCTCCCAGCCTACCAACGATGGCTGGCATTGTCTTTCTTTGTTTGCTCGCCAGTTCCGCCGCTGAATAAAAGCGGAGCTGGCGATGAATGGTGGCATTTCCAGCTCTCCCGAAGGTTGCACTCTATTCAACGCCGGACACTCGTCGTGTCGAAGAAACTATCGCACAAGCTCTCGTAGACACCTAATCTATGGTCAGCCAAGAACCCGAAAAGCACTATCGAGGGACCAGCATCGGCCTGTCCCTGATAGCTACGCTGGATGAGCTGACTGCCATCTCGCCGCAGCTGGCAGAGAAGGTCAGGCAGCACTTCGACCGCGAGGTGCTCATCGCTCTACGCAGCGCGCGCGTGATGCGAAAGCGGATGAACTTCAGGGCTCGCTGCGATACATATGGGTTCTACGATGACCGGTGGCGCTTCGTTCTCAAAGACGTCAAGATCAAAACAGACAGCGGGAGGAGCATTCGGTCGGACTGCGTCACCGTCGACGCGATTTCGACCGGTCTTGAGAACGAGCGGCGTCTAGCCAAGGCGGGGCCGAGATGGAGGAGAGAGACAAGTTGAAGGACCAGAGTCAATCAATCCGTTTCAGGCTCATGACACGGCGTGTTTGTGACAATTGGTGAAGGAGGAATGCCACAGGCGGGCTGTTCATCTCGCCAGGGTGATATCCAGATTTTCAGCGACGCGACTAGGGAACCGCCAGGCGGGAGGACCGTTGAGATGGGTTCGTTCCAGGTGTTGTGCCACCGCCGAAACCCCCTCGTCAGCGTCGCCACCAATGGCGGAATCCAGGAAGGAAGGTGCTTTTGATCCAGGAATCTCGCGTCTGACGCGCCCCGTTGGCCATTGGTGCCTTGCCTGCGACGACGCACATGCCAGGTACGGGCTGTCGCAGGCACGCGCAAGCAGAGCAGTGCAGCAGCATGTCGTTTCAGCTGGAGCGCGCTGCCGCACTGCCGCTCGGGGCTTGTCGCGGCTTGGCTGGAGCGGTGGGCGGGCGGTGATTGTACGCAGCAAAAGCTTGGACCCGCTTCCCCGGTTGAGGCCTCGACCTCCCGGAGGGAACAGATGTTGACACCGTGTTCACCGTGGCCGCCGCCGCTGGGCATCGGACAGACGTGCGCTTTCAAAAGCTCCTGCTGGCTGGCCAATTTTCGCCGCCCGCCCTCGCAGCTGCTCATCCGACCAAGCAGGTGCACGCGCTCGGCGTCAACCCCCTGCACACACCACCTCTCGCCTTCCCCGAGCAACTCTCCTCTCGCTCTCTCCATCATTGGCATCCTCCCCCAGCAACTTGACTCGCCAGCCCTTGCCTCCTCAGCCCGCGGCACCGCCCGCCCGCTTCCCTCTGACCGCCGCTCCTGAGCTCCACCACCCTCCGCCCGCCCAAGGAGGCTCAAGCAGAGAGATCGTCGCTCGCCAACAGCACACCACTCTTCCCGCATCGTGCGCCCTCGGTATTGCGCCCTCCGCTGCCATTGCTCATGCACGCTTTGACTGACGCCAAAATCCCGCAGCACATCCAAGCCCCCGTCGCCATGGAGCCCTGGCAGTCCTGGGGTCTGTTTCTGACCCTCAGCATCGCCGCCTACTTCTACTACAGCAACCAGAAGAAGGCCACGGCCCGTCCCGCTCGCACTCAATCTGTGGCCGAGGACACCGCCGTCCGTCCCGCCCGCAAGCGCGAAGAAGCCAAGCCAAAGCGCAAGACTGACGGCGTCGCCTCTGGAAGTGACGCCGCCAAGGGCAGCGAGAAGAACCGCAACAAGAACAAGAAGGAGCAGAAGCCCGCCGCCAAGGCTCCCACTTTCGCTCCCCCGCCTGAAGTCGATGACGATGAGAAGGAGGACAAGGAGTGGGCCCGCCAGCTGGCCGAGCTCAAGAAGGGTACCAACCTTGCTCCACCGGAGCGCAAGGTCGGCGGCGGCGCCAGGACTGTCAAGCAGCGCGCCGCCAACGCCGACCGCGCCTTCACCTCTGGCTCCTCTACCAATGGGGCCGATGCCGACGCTGAGTTCTCCCCTGCCATCTCCCCAGCTCTGAACGCCTCTGCGAGCGGCCGCGATATTTCGGACATGCTGGAAGCGCCCTCCGCCGGCCCGTCAGTTCTCCGCCTCACCGAGCCAACCGGCCCGGCGCCTGCGAAGAAGCAGCAGAAGAAGGCCTCGCCCGAGCCCAAGGAGACCAAGAAGCAGCGCCAGAACCGCAAGAAGGTCGAGCAGGCGAAGGCGCTGCGCGAGGAGGATGAGGCAGCTCGCAAGGTCCTGATGGAGCAGCAGCGCCGCACGGCGCGCGAGGCTCGTGGCGAACCCGCCAAGAATGGCCTCGGTGCCCCTACGTCGGCGCCCAGTGCGTGGACGCAGAAGGAGAAGTCCAAGGCCAACGGCAGCGGCGAGCTCCTTGACACGTTCGACAACGAGGCATCCAACCTCGCGGCCAGCGGCACGTCGACCAACTGGGAGCGGGATCTTCCGTCGGAGGAGGAGCAGATGCGCCTTGCGATGGAGGACTCGACTTGGAGCACGGTTGAGACAAAGGGCAAGAAGGGCAAGAAGAAGACTGCCCAGGCTGAGCCGGAGGCTGAGCAGTACGCGGTCAAGACGCCGGAGGTTCGGTCGCTGCCGCTGACGGAGACGACCAACACATCGCGCTCCAACACCATGTCGAGCGATGTTGAGCCGACCAACGGGCTCAAGGGATCGGCTGACATCAGCGATTATATCCAGGGCCAGGTTGGCAGCCACCCGCAGGACTCGGACTGGGCGGTCGTGTGAGGGCATCACGCTGAGAATGCACATTCACCCAGCTGATGATAATGCACGAGTCGACCGTTTGATTTCCTGTCGCCGATTTGGCGACCGATTTGCATGAAGCGTGTAATCGGCGTATATCCCCTTGCTTGGAGGCCCGGGTAGCCGCCTCTCTCTCTCTTCTACTAGTGTATTCTGGATTTCAATTTTCACGCAGCACTCGGATGGAGTGCGGTTGGTTGCGGGTCAGAATGTGCGAGGGATGTAGCTGTGGAGGATGACAGGGAGGCACGAAAAGCAGTTTCTGTTTACTTTAGCGCATGGCAGCCCCGCGGCGATGGATGCGGCGGGGTCCGGCTGCTCGCCGCCTGGGCGGGCCGTCTGCACTTGTCCTGCCTTTCTTTCCGCAGACGAGGGCAGGACGGCAGATGTACATTAGTATGCGAAGCAATTGAATCTTGTCGAGTTTGCTACCGTGGCTTCGGGGGTCTTTTTCGCACTAAGCTCGCTGCTACAGCTGGAGCACCAGCCACAGTGCGGCCGGCTTGGCGTGCGCGCATCGCCAGCAACAGCTTCTAATTATACCGCGCTGCCATCAGCTCGCGGACGAGGGCAGCGCGCGAGACCAGCTCTGCAGCGGCGTCGCGACGAGCGGAAAAGGTGCGCCAGGGTTTTCTTTCTGCGACCGGCACGAGAACCAACAAAGCATCGCACTTTCGCCTGCCGTATTCATATAAGACCCAGCCCTAGAGTTCCTGGCTTGCCTCTCCCGAGTCGGCTCGAGCATCTCGAAACGCAGCAACCGTGTCCTCTCCCACGAACTTCGCCCTCCCCACCACCACCTCCGTACAAGTACCGCCGCCCGCGCTTCCGCTCCCTCTTCACACGGCCACTCCTTCTTCGACCTGCGCGACAAAATGGCCCAAATAAGAGGTTCGACTCCCGTGCACCCGACCATGCCGCATCCGCGCCCTCCACTTGATAGCTCCGCATCACGACGCCACAATCCCTTCGCCTCCTGGCCAAGCTGTGCTGACAATCTGCGGTCCAGGAACCGCGGGATACCACCTGGGAAACCAGTCGCCGTTCGGTGGCCCCCAGCGCTCCGATGCCACGAGCGACCCCAGCCCGCTGGACGCCATTCGCGAGCAGACAAGCAAGATTGAGGACTGGCTGGACACCCTCTCCGAGCCCATCAAGCCGTGAGTGCTCCAGGAGTGCCTGGGTTTCCGGACGCTGACAGTTCCGGCGTTACAGGCACCTCCCTGCCATCGGCCGGTTCCTGATTGTCGTTACCTTCCTGGAAGATGCGCTCCGCATCATTACCCAGTGGAGCGATCAGCTCACCTACCTGAAGGACTACAGACACAGTGAGCTGCTTCCGGCGCCTGGACGAGAGAGCTACAGCGGCGCTAACTTGGCCTGCAGTTCCCAGCGGAGTGACGCATCTGTTCCTGATTTTCAACGTTATCGCCATGACGGTGTGCTCGATCATGATCATCGGACGCAAGCATTCGGAATACGCAGTGGGCGGGCTGCTGAGCGTGGTTGTGACGCAGGCACTGGGCTACGGGCTGATTTTCGACCTGAACTTCTTCCTGCGCAACCTGTCGGTCATTGGCGGTCTCCTCATGGTTCTGTCGGATTCGTGGGTGCGCAAGAGGTTTGTGCCGGCGGGTCTGCCGCAGCTGGATGAGAAGGACCGCAAGATGTACTTCCAGCTTGCGGGCCGCGTGCTGTTGATTTTCCTCTTCATCGGCTTCGTCTCGTCGGGTGAGTGGAGCTTCTGGCGCATCACGGTCAGCATTCTCGGCCTCATTGCCTGCGTCATGGTCGTCGTTGGCTTCAAGGCCAAGCTGAGCGCGGTTCTGCTGGTGCTCATCCTGAGCATCTTCAACATCCTCGTCAACAACTTCTGGACGCTGCACCCGCACCACCCCCACAAGGACTTCGCCAAGTACGACTTCTTCCAGATTCTGTCGATTGTGTAAGCTGCCCCATTTTTCCCGAGAGTTTGGAGAGCTATAGAAAGGCTAACAAGGTGCAGCGGCGGTCTACTCCTGCTGGTCAACATGGGACCTGGCCAGTTCAGCGTCGACGAGAAGAAGAAGGTCTACTAAGCAGCGACGGGATCTATGCGAGCCACCATTTTGTGGCGCTATCTTCTCAGAAGATTTCGAGGCATGGGTGGTGGGGGATGAGGGAGGTCGGACACGGGCTGTTCTCCCATCGGCGCCACCAGAAAAGCGGTGCAGGACGAAGAGAAAATAAGACTCGTGTACATCATCATCATCATCATCATTGGGAGCAGCAGCAACACCGTCAAGTCGGTGGGCGTTTTGTAGTCTTTATTCGAGCTCCGGAACAAGAAATGTTTTCCGCACATGATGGAACGGAGAGCAAGCAATGATGACAACACGGTCAGTTTATTGCATGAGCGGGTAGGCTTGGGATATCCCGTTTCGACATGTGAACCGACTATTATGTTTTAGAAGCGAGGAAACAGGCACTCGCGTCTGATAGTAAAATATAACCTTAATAGACGCCCACAATAGTTGAGTGGCCTAATCACAGTCGAGAGATTTCCCCTTATTAATCCTGCGGCGGGCGGCGGCCAACTCCGGCGGTGGTGGTTTTTCTGCCGAGCCCCGCCGCCGCTGCCTATCTCGGGGAGGCGGAGATGGTGGATCCTCCACATCTCTCCGTCATCTTATAAGGGCCATCTTCACCAGCACCGACTGTCTTCTTGTGTGACCAACCCTTGTAGCACCATGGCACCAAAGAGCCGCATCATTATCGATACCGACCCGGTACGTCACTGCATTTTCCTTGCTGTTTGTTTGCCTGCTTTAATGCGACGACCTCCCTGGATCTATGAGAGGCATAGTGGACACTTGGTATTCTCATATCGTTCCGATCGTAGAATAAACATCGTGGAGCCTGTGCCTTCATTAATTGACGCTGACACCAAATTGGTTGAAAGGGTGTCGACGATGTTCTCGCTCTGCTGTTGGCATTTGCAGCAAAGAAAGAAGAGCTCGAGGTTCTCCTCGTTTCCTTGACGTTCGGAAACATTGATGTGCAGAGGTGAGCTCAAAATTACTTGACCGCTCTTCAGCAACAAGGCCTCAACTTTCCCCCCCTTCATCACAGACCTCGACTCTAACTCCGGAGTAGCTGTCTGAGAAATGTCGTGTCTTTGTTCCATTGGATCGAGAAAGAGATTGAGTGGAGAAAGGTGAATGGGTTGCCAGAAGGGTTCGAGGCATTAAGAGCACACAAACCTCTTGGTGAGCTTTGGGATGTACCTTGGACTGTACGAAGAGATAATCTGATCGAATGTTTAGTCTCGGTTGGCGCTGAAGAGCCGCTTGCGGACCAGATGATGCTGGCTGACTATTTCCGTAAGCTGAAGGCACAATTTTGCCATGTTTTCCAAACTGACGCCCGGTAGATGGAAGTGACGGGCTGGGTGGAATCCACTCAAGCGTGAGTTGGATCAACTTTGGATGATAACCCCACTAACAACTCTCAGCATCCGCACCTCACGCCCGAGGAAACATGGAAAAGCCTTTTCGCATCTGCTCTGTCTTCGTCTGACGCGGAAACTGTGGCTGCGGCCCGTGAAGCCCAGCAACCGAACGCGCTCTTTGCGCCGTCGACACAGCGTTCACACCTGGAGATTTTGCGCCTACTTCGGGAGAACGAGCCCAATACCATCTCCATCATCGCCATCGGACCGCTGACGAACTGCGCTCTCGCTGCTGCCGCCGACCCGGAGACATTCCTGCGCGCAAAAGAGGTCGTCGTCATGGGCGGCACCATCGCCGAGACCGGAAATGTACTTCCTCCCCCATCCTCGTCAGCTAGAACTGAGCGGCCACCGCCCTTCAATCTGATCAAGGCGCCGGACACACCCTTGAGAGCTGCGCTAAACAAACGCAACCAGGTCACTCCCGTAGCTGAGTTCAACACATATGCCGACAGCATTGCTGCCGCACGTGTTTATGCTCTCACGAGCGCTCTCCCGGAAAGCACCATGCCGCCGACGCCGCCTGCACCGCCGGGCAAGGAGCACGACCACTTGAAGCCCTATCCGAAGAATTTGAGCAAGAAGCTCAAAGTCGCCATGTTTCCGCTCGGTGCGTAAAAATCTTGAGGGCGCTTTGAAGGTACTAACGATCCCGGCTGCAGACATTACACACAAGCATGAGCTCACCCGCGGCCAGTTCGACGCCGCCATCGCCTCCCGCCACACCGCCGGCTCTCCGCTCGCGACGTGGGCGTCAGTCTTCCTCAGCAGCACCTTCCGCAAGATTGAAAGCCTGTCCAGCTCCGACAAGGATGCCGTGGCAGAAACCGTCTCGCTCGCCCTGCACGACCCTCTGTGCGTATGGTATGCCATGAGCCCGGATGACCCGCGTTGGAAGTGGGCGCCCGGCCGTGAGGACCGGAGAGGTGTGCCGGGCGAGGAGGATGGATACGAGGACATCAGAGTCGAGACGAGCGGGCAGTGGACGAGGGGTATGTGCATGGTGGATAGGAGGGAGCGGAGGCTGAGGAATGACGACGGCGAAGGGGGCGAGGTGCCCGGCGACACCGGGAATTGGCTTGGCAGAAAGGCAGGTAACAGGATCAGGAGGTGCGTTGGGAGCCCTGGTGAGGAGAGGTTTGCAAAGGAGCTGCTGGAGAGGGTGTTTGGTTAGAAGACGGATTTGGGGGAGAAGTTGGATGCGGTGTCAAGTGCTGTTGTGGAGCTTGGGCTAGATATGTGGCTTATGCAGTACGAAGAGCGGAAAAGTACAATACGAGAAACGCACGACTTAGCTTGTTTCTCAACTGTGGATGAGATGTTCTTCAGTTATCCGTCGGTCACTTCGCAACCGCTCCGAGGGGGTTCAACTCAACAGCTGGCGCTCCCTTCCTTTTCACCTAGAAGCTGACAGTGCACCGCCTACTTGCCACAGATTCGCTCGTGGACAGATTCGAGCCACTGCGTATAATATCGTATCGCGTCCGAGATCAATCTGCCCCAGCGACAGGATGATGGAGCCGAGGTGGAAGGCAGTAAGCTGCCGCCAGAGGAGAATGTCGGTCCATTTGCTGAGGGACCAGTAAAGGCCAAGCACGACGCCGACGATGAAAGTAACCCAGGAGCTTCAGGAGAAAAGGGGGGGCCTAGCTTTTTCAAGTAGGCACGTAGCGGAGAAGGGAGGTACGAGGGCGAGGAGGATGAATGGTGGGATGAAGGTGGAGGTGAGGTGGTGCTAGGTGAGGGTTGGATGGAGTTCTATCGTTGTCAGGGGCTCTCCACTTGTTCCAGCTTCCTCCTTGAATAATACCGCGGGATGTGCCCGTTCAGTGGTTGTTTCCCATAGAGGAAGGTAGGACGTTTGACTTCCTTTTTGTTTTTGTTCGTGTCCATGCGCTAGTCCAGCGCAACCATGGCAAAAAGTGTCATCAAGTAACGTAACAATAGCGTAAACACCGTCGAAACAGCCATTACGCTTACTCTGTAGATGAAGGTTGAAACTCCGTAAATGTGGTCTCGTTGAGACGGTTGGCAAAAGTTTTGCCTCGGATGGGGGATCCGCTACACCGTCTCTTTGAATTGGTCCAAGGGCAATCGTTGCATGGAGAAAACCGGTTCAACAACGCCATGTTAAGCATGCTACACACTCCTGCGCCATGGTACGAGATGAACGAAGTGTATTGTTTGATATCTTTCCGCTGCTAAGCGCAAAGAAAACAGTGCCAAACAACCTCTTCCTGCAGAAAAGCATGGCTACAAGCACTCCCGTGTCACGGAAATTGGGTAGCTCGGTTCTCAGCTCCATGACGACTAACTCCCGTTGCGCCCACTCTTCGCTGGGATGTCGAAGCAGCAGCAGTTTGTTCTACCGAGGTGGTAAGAGAGAAGCCAGCTTGGACAGGCAGTGATGGACAGTCAAGCGGGCGGACTCGTCAACCAGCCGAGTCTGTTCAAGTGTCGGAGATGACAGACCGCCCTCTCTGCTGATCCATCATGCGGACAGCAGGGAATGCTAGAGAACGGAGATTGGGATTGGGACATCTGGGAGGAGCGAGTCGGCGCCGAGATGGTAAGATCTGGTTTTGCGGCTCCTCTGTATGGCAGTAATGCTGCGGTCAAGGGGATCCTGGTGTGAGCCGAGGGAGAGAGCGATTGGACCAGCGGCCATGGCTCGATTTGCATGTGCCTCTGGCCCCATGCTGGCCGGACGATCAGGTACGGTCGACTTGCAGACAGCCGGATATTGTTGACAGCAGAAAAGCCGCAGGTGGACGAGACTAGTGTCAAGATCAGGCGAACGCATGACTATGGACGTTAGTGCGGTCCGAATAGGGTTTAATGCTCGTCCCGATGGCTTGTCGCCGGACCAGTAGGCATTGATTGCGGCGCAGAAAGTATTGTGGGCCGAGGCGCGGTTGCTGTTTCCTGGAGGGGGCGAATTGACGCAGGCAGGCACCAGTCTCCACATTACGGCTATACCCCAGATCCGCCGCCGCCGCTCGCCAGACCCCGGTCCGCGCTACTGCATCGCACACTTGTACGCCGAGCATACACCTTCCTGTTCGGGACCCAGACCCGTGCAGCCGCCCAATCACGCCGCCGGTGGCGTCTGGGGAAACACAAGCTCACGCCAGGACCGTCATCGCTGCCACGACCGCCTGTCTTCAGCCGCTCTGCACGCTGCCGTCTGGCTGCATCAGCCCTCGCTCGTGGGAAGAAAGGCTGCCGGGGACGCACGCGACTGTCGAGACAGCCACCACCACCACACCGTTACAATGACTCTCGTATTTCCACGTCGCGGCGAGGATCCGACACCCTGCCCACCAGTCGCCGCTCTAGCCCGAGTCTCTTGACGCCCATTCGGCAATTGTTCCCATTGATCTGCGCCTCTAATTTCTTGCCTATGCGGGGACGCCGCGATGACTTCCACGATCAGAAGCCGCCCTCCGCGCCTAGAGAATGCTGAAGCATTGAGCTGCGATGCTTGGTAAAATTTCACGCATGTGACGCATCTATCCGCTCGGCCGTGCTCAGCATATAAACCCTCTGCCTCGCCAACTACCTGCTCGACACCAGTACACGCCTCTTGTACATACACTTCACTGTCGTTTTCCCATCGCAGCCATTCGCTCCTCTCAGTCACAATGAAGACCTCCTTCGCTGCCGTTGCCTTCGCCTTGGCCTCTGTTGCCTACTCCCAGGACATCTCCGACCTCCCCAGCTGCTCGGTGCGTCTTCTTCTCTAGTGCCAAACGCACTGCTAACACTCGACAGCTCAACTGCTTCGTCACCACTCTGGGCAGTGATGGTTGCTCGTCTCTCACCGACTTTGAGTGCCACTGCAAGGTCCCCGGCCTGACCGACGAAATCACTCCCTGCGTCCAGAAGGCTTGCTCTGCCGATGACCAGAAGAGTATGTTCCCCTTCTCAGTAGTGTCTACCCAGTCCGACTGACAATCCTCTGCAGCCGTTGCTGAGCAGGTTGTGGCTCTCTGCGAGCAGTACGGCGTCACCATCTCTGTGCCCGCCGTCTCCTCGACCGCTGCTCCGTCGTCCAGCGCCGCCGCCAGCACCCCAGCATCTTCCTCTGTTGCGCCTACTTCCGAGTCCTCGGCGGCTTCTTCTTCCGCTTCGGCCTCTGCCACCGCTTCGGCCTCTGCCACGTCGACCGTGACTTCTTCCCCCTCGGCTACCGACGTCGTCGTCTCCACCCCAGTGGCTACCCCGACCACCCCGGGCGCCACTACTCCCGGCGGTTCCACCCCGACCCCGTCGCAGTTCGAGGGTGCCGCTCCCACCGCTGGCGTCTTCAGTGGCGTGGTTGGTCTTGCCGTCGCTGTTGCCGCTGTCGCCGGCTTGTAAGCCCTCGATCCTGTCGGCCTTTGGGTTCACGTTACTTCGGTGTTGAAAATGGAGGGATGGTAATGAAAGGATGCGGCGGATGATGTACTATACGACGCTCATACCAGAAAAATTAATAGGCATTCATGCTGGAACAGCAATTCGATGAGCACTGCTCAAGTGTCGCTCGTGATACCTTGTATGACATGAGTTATGCCAGCTTCAGCTCGGAACAGGGGGGCCCAGGCCATAATTCGGAAAGCATGCCGGTTGTCTCACCTCCGGCTAAATGGCTCCCCTACATTTTGAGCTTGCAGGCTCCGCAACTGGAAGCATGATCTTCATTTTTAGGCGCCCGCATCAAGTCACCCCAGCTCGTACGATCAGCTCCTGTTCCCTGGCTTGCAAGGCGGTTCAAGGACTGCTCATGCCGAATGAACCTGGAGGGTTCTTCCGCCAAGAATATCTGACAGGGACAGGGTTGCAGTAATATTATCGTGGGCCCCAGAATATCGATTTCTCCGGATTGAGGGTTGCAGACTTTCGCGCAGCTACGATGAACTCTTTCTTCCCTGCTGCCGCTAGCCTCAGCCACCAGCAGATACCGACCCTAGGAAACTCAAGCGTAGAATACTTGATACCACTAATTTATACGGTGATACCGCATCAACAGGCTTTCGCTCCCCAACGGCAATCAAGCCTTGTGGTGGATCGAGATCAAGGAGGAGCGAGCCAGACCCAACATCAGCTCCAGGCCAGGCCGTGTCCTCCCGCTTTCTCTACATTTTCTCCATAAGCAATATCCCTCCGCAAACGCTTTTCAAGCCCGTCTTTCCCGGAGCTCCCGTTTCATGTTGCCAGTGGATTGCTCTAAGGGCCTTCGTCGCAATTTTTCTTTTTTTTTAAAAAAAAATAAAAGAAAGCCCCTACTAAATCATTCGGTCTTCTCACTGCTCTTCAATAATAGGGTCATGGTGATGCTCCACACGACAGGTTGGGACCAACGACTTGATCTTTATGCCTTCCTTCGTCCTGAATGGCTGTCTTTCCGTGTTCTTTTCTTCCTTGTGTGGTTCTGCCCCCACTTTTTCTCATAATTTTACTAGTGAGAGGGTTTGTGAAAGGTCAGCTCCTTTGTCAACCGCTGTGAGCGAGTCAAGTGCTTTCGAATGGAGCGTGTCTTGGTCGTGTGCATTCGAGTGTAGGGTGGCATAAGTGGTTGGTAGTACAGGAAAAGGGAGAAGTGCGACAATGGATGCGAATTCCACATCAGACGCGGGGTCAGCGGGCCTGGTTGCTAATCAGTCAGCAGCCAATCCACCACATTAATACTCTCCCCGCTCCAACGATGACGTTCTGTGCGGGGTTCGGTGCTGAAAACACTGCCCCCGAATCTGCCCCCATCAAACCTCTCCATTCCCGCATCAACAACATGGAGGGCAAAATAGTTGCCGTTAGCGGAGGGGCTCAAGGAATAGGATTTTCCACGGTTGATCTCTTACTTTCCAAAGGTGCCAGGGTATCGGTGGGAGATTTGGATGAGGCCAAACTTTCCAGTGCAGAAGAGCATTTCCAGACTGCGGTGAAGGAGGAACGAGTCCGTTTTCAAAAGGTGGATGTTTCCAATTCCAAACAAGTCGACAGTTGGATCGCAGAAACGGTCAAGTGGGGCGGTCGACTGGATGGCGCTGTCAACGCGGCGGGCATCAACTGTTCTGAATCCGGCCAGCCAACCCTCGCCGACACCTCGGATGAGCGCTGGAATCTACTTCTCAGCGTAAACCTCACGGTAAGTCGGCTCGCCTTGATCTTCGTTCGTCCTTGCTCACGGATCGTAGGGCATGTTCTACTGCCTCCGCGCCGAGATCAACCACATCACCGATGGAGGAAGCATAGTATGCATCTCCTCGGTCCAAGGGCTTTTGGGATTTCCAACGTCGGCCTCATACAGCGCGTCGAAGTTCGGCGTTAATGGTCTGGTCAGGAGCGTGGCGAAAGAGACTGGAGACAGAAACGTACGCGTCAACGCTATTGCTCCGTACGCCTCCTGCCGAACCCGTCTTAGACATGGTTGCTAATTTGGAGATAGCGGTGCCATCGACACTCGAATGGTTCTCCCGCCCGACCGCAACGACCCCAAAACGCCAATAAAGCGGATTGGACGGCCAGAAGAAATTGCTCATTTGGCCGCCTTCCTTTTGGACAATGAGGTTTCATCCTTCACCACGGGCTCTGTATATTCCGTTGACGGAGGCTGGACCGCCTGAGAGACGTCATACTCCTGTCTCACTTCTCTGCTGCGCGCGTATAAAACAACAACGTAGACGTCAAGCCCTTTTGCTGCTCTGCTTTACCTTTCACTATTCCACCAAGCTTTCCTTGGCGTGAGCATGATTTGCAATGAACATGATCGATATCCAACCGACACGACTCAGTCCTCGCCATGGGAACCGACTCGAATCACGTTCCCTCCGGCCGGGTGAAGCCGCAGGCCTCACCATCTTCCTCGTCATCATCTTTGCTATTGGCATCGCCCTGATCATCCACCACAACAAGCAGCTCAAACGGCGAGACCAAGCGGTGCGGAAGCGGGAAGGGAAACGAGCTGCCACCCCGAAGCTATCGGCAAGAAGGCCACAGGAACACTTGGCTCTGATGGAGCGTGCTCGTAACGATGCACAAGCGTCATATCTGCGGTACTGGAGCGAGCCTCTACCGTGGTCAGAAACCTTGGTCAGCAGCGACGGCATCGTGCTTGGGACTATCTGCAGCTGTGACGTGTGTCGGGCGATGCTGGACGGCTTTTCGTAGTTCACCTACACGCCAACGTAAATGCTACATCCTGATCATATGTTCTGTCTCCGATTCGCTGATGCCATTGCCTTGTTGAGCGTAGCCCGTGCGTCCGGTGTTTGATAAGGCAGGACCACTCCTCGCCAACTCCACCACACCCTCCTCCCCCAGCCGCAGCGAGCACTCAGCCGACATGAGCGCCAGCGATGACGAGACCTATACGATCCCGATAAAAGACCAGCGCTATTTCGGCGCCGGACTCAAGCGCAACCGCGTCAAGTTTGTGCCGGCCTCCTCGCCCGCCACCCCGCAGCCCAGCGCCTCCGGCCCTGAAGTGAGCGACCTATACCTGTCCATTGTCGGCGGAAGCAGCAGCGCTCAGTCGACGCCCGAAGCCAGCGGCGCGACTGTCGCCTCTGCGTCTGCGCCGGAGACGTGCCCCGTCTGCGACCTCCCGCTGGCCGAGGGCCACGAAAGCAGCCTGGCGCACCAGGTGTGTGTGCAGCATTCGCACCCGCCGTCGGCCATAGAGCGCAGCCGGAAAGGCCTGTCCTTTCTCCAGGCACACGGCTGGGACCCGGATAGCAGGAAGGGCCTGGGCAAGGGCGGCGAGGGCATTCTCCATCCGATCAAGCTCAAGGAAAAGAATGACACGGTTGGCCTTGGCATGAAGGTGCCGAAGAATGCGGCCCCCAAAGCCAAGGTCGAGAAGCTGAACGCGAAGGAGGTGCGCAAGAACGAGGAGCAGGCCAAACGCCGGAAGGAGCAGCTGCAGAGGCTGTTCTATTCCAGCGACGACGTGCTGCGCTACCTGGGCGAGGGCTAGACGGTGGGGTTTGGCCCACCGACCTTCGATTCTTTGCATAAATTGAGAAGGTCCGTGAATCGAGCGCTCAACAGAAGGCGAGCGGCTGCCGACATCCATGTGGCTTGGCGGTTGTTGAACTTATCGCGCGCGACGTGACGCAAGCTTGTCGGCCAACGTCGGAGCTGCTTTCTCAACACCAACAGCCATGAAACCCGCTGTCGCCGTCCCAGCGATCGCTGCGCTGGTCTATCGTGCTTGGTCGCGCAAGTCGTTGACTCCGCCCGGCATCGCCGTAGCCCTCCTCACCGCCGTCGCCCACGCTGTGCATCCGTGGAGCGTCTTCTTCGCCCTCTTGGCCGTCTTCTTTCTTACCGGCACTGCTGCCACCAAGGTACCCCTGCCCTCCCAGCCCGCCGCCTTGCATTCCGCCACTGACACCGGACACCGTAGGTCAAGCACGATGTCAAAGCCCGCCTGACCCAGTCGTCCTCCGGCGCCTCGGGCGGCGAAGGCGCCCGCACCCACGTCCAGGTCCTCGCAAACTCGCTCGTCGCTTCCGCCCTCATCCTCCTACACACCTGGCAGCTTTCGCGGTCTGCGCAGTCCGACACCGAGTGCTGGGCCCCGGCGAGCCACCTGCCCGTCGTCGGCATCGTCGCCAACTACGCCGCCGTGGCATCCGACACGCTCTCGTCGGAGCTGGGCCTCTTGTCCAAGTCGCGGCCGCGCCTCATCACCGCCCCGTGGCGCGCCGTCCCGCCCGGCACCAACGGCGGCGTCTCTCCCGCCGGCCTCGCCGCGGCCGTCGCCGGCGCCCTGGTCATCTCCCTCACGGCCGTCGCCCTCACGCCCTTCTGCCGCGAGTGGGACGCTCCGTCCAAGGCCGCCTTCGTCGCAGCCATGACCTCCGTCGGCGTCTTCGGCTCCCTCCTCGACTCGCTCCTCGGCGCGCTCCTCCAGGCCAGCGTCGTCGACGTGCGTACCGGCAAGGTCGTCGAGGGCGCCGGCGGCCGGAAAGTGCCCGTCCACAGCGCCGGCTCGCTGCACTCGAAGCAACGCGCCAAGATCCGCAGCGCCGCCGCATCTCGCGGTGATGGCGTGGCGTCGTCTTCGGGAGTCGACGCGGGTGCGGCAAAGGTGGTGCTGGATTCTGCCGCCAGGGCCGGGAGCATCCTGCCCGAAGACGGTAAGCACAATAATGAGAGCAGGAGGGTCGAGACCGGAAGAGACATTTTGAGCAACAACGGCGTCAACTTTGTCATGGCTGCTTCGGCATCCGTTGCCGCCATGGCTGGTGCAGCCTTCGTTTGGGACATTCCGTTTTCTACGATTCTGGCCATCTAGTCGTGTCGAAGCCATTTGCCATGTTGAGCATCCAGTGAATTTATATATATTCGCCGTCAATCGCATACTTTTGGACTCACTAACATCGGGGGCTATTTTTTTTTTTTTTTGGTGGCTAGCTGCCTCCTAGAAGTCATTTACGGCGATTTTCTCAGCAGAGCGCCTCTAAGCGTGTAGGGCTTTGCATACTACGATTTTACTCCAAGAGCTTATTGAAGCTGTTAATAATCAAACACATGATCAGACTGGCACAGTGCAAAGGAGATGTGTTTGATCCAAAACATGCATTTGTCTATCGTTCTTTAGCGCCGGCGAAGACCTATTATAACCTCATGGCAGTGAAGCAACTCTGGCTACTACTCATGAATCCTAAAACATGACGCCTCGATGCATATGAGGCCATGCATACAACCGATCCCGTGCCGTCACCTCAGCATCCCGTAGGCTCGTTAAGTTAAAACAAAAGAGAAACAACAATCCACTTCGAAAGACCCACCACTGGTATATTTTACACTTAACCGCTGAACTCGGGAACGTCGCTCTTCTTGCCATTGAGGGCAAGAGGCACGATACCGGAGACGTGCATCTCAGGGCCATAGACGTGCATGTCGAGACCAAGCTCGGTGCCGACAGCCTTGATGTTCTTGAGACCCTCCTGGTAGTTGGGGCCGGCGCGGCGGACCCAGATCTGGACCTTGTGCTCGTTGAGCACGGGAGCGACCTCGCGCAGAGCGCGGATAACACCCTTGAAGGTAGAAGCGACCTATGACACGTTACTCAAGCTGTCACAATAGCGGCAAGGGGCGCTACTTACGTTGGTGAAGTTGGCAATACCACCGCCAATGAAGAGGACCTTGCCCTCAGGGTGCGTAGGCGCACGGAGCATGAGGTCGAGAACAGTGCGAGCGTACTGGAAGGTCTGGGTCTCGGTGGGGGCACCAGAGTACTCGCCGTAGTTGGCAAGCTCGCTGGCGAAGCCGGCCGACGCAATGGCATCAGCGTAGACGACCGAAGCACCACCACCGGCAACAAGGGTCCAGACGCGGCCAGAGGAGTTGAGGATGGTGAGCTTGAGGGAAGCACCAGTCTTGGCATCCATCTCAGAGATGAAAGCCTCCTCCTTGCTCATCTCGCGGCCGAAAGGAGCGGGGAACTCCATTGGCGGGCCAGCATCGATGGTGACCTTGTTGTCCTTGGTGGTGAGGGTAGGCAGGCCAAGGGCCGTGGCGCTGCGGGCAATGGCCCACTTGACACCGCACTCGAACTCAGCAGTCTGGTCGAGCTTGGCAGCCAGGTCGAGGAAGTGGACCTCAGCCGAAGTTGCATCAGCGTTGGGGATGACGACGAGAGGGTTGATCTCGAGGTAGGTGAACTGGCAGTCGACGTAGACGGCGTAGAGGCGGGAGATGAAGTCAACAAGGACGTTGTGGACACCCTGGGGGACCTTCTTCAGGAGAGTGGCAGCAATCTCCTCGTTGGAGGGGTACTCGCTGAGGTCCACGGGGATGAGCAGCTTCTCGGCCTTCGCGTCGACATCACCGACATCGACACCACCCTCGTGGGTGAAGAGGATCCAGTCGCCCTAAAGGGGATCGGCGTCAGTAAGGGTAAGGTGCGGCGGGGACGGGAGCACCCGCGTGCATGCAGCGGGCACTACGGGATGTGCGACATGGGGATGATGTGAAACAAGCAGCTAGAGGTGATAAGAGATGCAGTGCGGACCAAAGGGAGGTCAGTTGCAGTGGGTGGTTTGATGCTGGGTGTGGGCCCGCGGCTCTGCGCTGGGTCATTTCCCTTCGTCCGGATTGTCCGAACAGTGAAAAAGGGAAACGGCCCCAGCCAACCGCACGTGTCTCCCACTCGACCATCCCAACACGACCAATCATCTCGATTACGACTGAAACTGGAAACAATGGCGACTTACCTCACGAGCCGAGTTGATGTTGATGTAGTACTCGGTGTCCTGGGGGTGAGGAACGAAGGGCTCGACCAGGAACTGCCTTAGGATGCCCTCGACGTGCTCGACCTTCTGGGGCTTGCCGGCGCGCTCCTCAACCCACTGGCGGGCCTCGGACCAGGACTTGTTCAGGGCCAGCAGGCCGCTCTTGCCTCGCCTCTTGATCAGCTGGTCGGGCTTCGCGACGAACTTGGCGCCCTCCTGCAGCAGCCACGGGTACGTGACCTCGGCCTGGTCCAAAACGTCCTTGACCGCCTTGTCCTCGGGGAAGTGCAGCGACGCAAGCCTGGGCGGCGGGTTGTGGGTGGCAGAGGCAGGCAGCGGCGTGGGCTTGATGACGGGAGCCCGGGTGAGGTGGTAGTTGAGGATGGCCTTGCCGTCGGCCTCGAGGATGGACTTGGCGGACATTGTGAAGAGGTGGAAAGCTCAATGGATCTGGGGGGAGCAGCAGAGTCAGCTGGAGGGCGGCGCAAAAGAGGGAGTTGCAGAGGAAGAGCAGCGGGGCAGGGGCGGCTTAGGAGCGACGGCGATTTGAGGCTCGTCCAGCAAGTCCGATGCACTTCGGAAAGCGCGAGGACGGGCTGAGGCGGGCCGGCGCCGGCACACGCAGGGCTTTGCAGCGGGGCAGGACGAGCTGCAGCTGGACCTGAGCGGTGCTTACCTGCTGCTGACAACAAGAGGATGACGAGAGCCCGACTCTGGAGGTGGACAGGAGCTGGAGTGCAGAAGAAAAGGAGCAGCTTGTGGAGGAGACGACGCGGGAAGCTGGGCACGAAATTGTTCCCTGGCGGCAGCGCAGCGGCGGACAGCACGCAGGGCGGGCTCGACAGTCGTTGGGATTCAGCGAATTCGTTTCGCTGATCTCCACCCACAGCGCGCCAACGCCGACCCTTGTTCTCGGGCCTGGCACTAGCGGACCCCCAGAACACCACACGCCCGCACCCTCACCCTCAACGCCGTCAGCTGCTGCTATTTCCGGCGCCGGCGAAGTCATCGCGTCACTCAGGCGCTGCCAACGGAGCTCCGCTGCACGGCAAGCCGCACGCTGCCAGCTGAGCCCGGAGGTCGGTGAGCGGGGGAACCGCCGGCATTTCGGACGCGGCGCTCTGACCAGGCACGACGGATCCGCCGACGCTGCACCCCAACCAACCGCAGAGACCCCCTGCGCACCCGTCGTTGAACGCTTTCAACAGGACGCCAGCCGCCTCAGCATACCCAGCTCAATTCTCGCTCCTCGCCTGCTCTTCTTTTCCCCCCGACTTCTCCGCTTCTCCCTCCTCGCTTTCTCCTCCACCAGAGCGTTGCGTCCGGCGGACAACAAGACCACAGGTGAGTAGCAGCACGCGAGCTCCAAAAGCTCTGCGCACACAATTCTCAGCCCACCGCTCCGCCCGGCTGGAGCTGCCGTGCGGTCGCCCAATGCCCGCACGCTGCTCCAGCTCGCCCGCCCGCCTCTCCTCGCCGCTGCGACTTCGGACGGGACTTTTTCTCGCTCCTGCAAAAACAGCGCAGCTCCAGCCCACTTCGCGCCGAGCCCGAGCAGCGCGGCAGCCCCGCGTAGCCCAGCACCTCAAATTCCGCTCACTGACCCGCGCCCAGCTCCAGATCCATCCATTCCACCTGCGCAGCCTGTCCTTTGCCCACCATGCCCGCTGCTGTCAACGGCGCCTCCAACGGCGAGACGCTCTCCGCAAATGACAACATCCGCCGCTTCCAGGCCCCCAGCAGGCCGCTGAGCCCGCCCGCCCAGCACACTCTCTTCCACAACAAGACGCGATGCTTCGTCTACGGCATGCAGCCCAAGGCTGTCCAGGGCATGCTTGACTTCGACTACATCTGCAAGCGCAAGCAGCCCTCGGTGGCCGGCATCATCTACACCTTCGGCGGCCAGTTCGTCAGCAAGATGTACTGGGGCACCAGCGAGACCCTGCTGCCCGTCTACCAGTCCGTCGAGAAGGCCATGGCCAAGCACAGCGACGTCGACACCGTTGTCAACTTTGCCTCGTCGCGCAGTGTCTACTCGTCCACCATGGAGCTTATGGAGTACCCCCAGATCAAGTCCATTGCCATCATTGCTGAGGGTGTCCCCGAGCGTGTAAGTCCACCCGCCGCTCCGCTTCGAACCAACTGCTCACACGCCCACAGCGCGCCCGCGAGATCCTGCACGTTGCCAAGAAGAAGGGTGTCACCATCATTGGCCCTGCTACCGTCGGTGGCATCAAGCCCGGTGCCTTCAAGATTGGCAACACTGGCGGTATGATGGACAACATTGTTGCTTCCAAGCTCTACCGCCCCGGCTCCGTCGCCTACGTCTCCAAGTCTGGCGGTATGTCCAACGAGCTCAACAACATCATCTCGCAGAACACCAACGGTGTGTACGAGGGTGTTGCCATTGGTGGTGACAGGTATCCCGGTACCACTTTCATCGACCACCTGTTGAGGTACCAGGCCGACCCGGAGTGCAAGATCCTGGTCCTGCTCGGTGAGGTGGGTGGTGTTGAGGAGTACCGCGTCATCGAGGCTGTCAAGAGCGGCGTCCTTACCAAGCCCATTGTTGCCTGGGCCATTGGTACCGTTGCTGGCATGCTCACCACCGAGGTTCAGTTCGGCCACGCTGGTTCCTTCGCCAACTCGCAGCTCGAGACTGCCGCTGCCAAGAACCAGGCCATGAAGGAGGCCGGCATCCACGTGCCCGAGACCTTCGAGGACCTGCCCAAGGTTCTGGCTGAGGTCTACCAGAAGCAGGTTGCCGACGGCATCATTGTGCCCAAGCCCGAGCCTGCCGTCCCCAAGATCCCCATCGACTACTCGTGGGCCCAGGAGCTTGGCCTCATTCGTAAGCCGGCTGCCTTCATCTCCACCATCTCCGACGACCGTGGCCAGGAGCTGCTGTACGCCGGCATGCCCATTTCCGACGTCTTCAAGGAGGACATCGGTATTGGCGGTGTCATGTCGCTGCTTTGGTTCCGCCGCCGCCTGCCCCAGTACGCCAGCAAGTTCCTTGAGATGGTTCTCATGCTCACTGCCGACCACGGTCCCGCCGTGTCTGGTGCCATGAACACCATCATCACCACCAGAGCCGGCAAGGACCTGATCAGCGCGCTGGTCAGCGGTCTGTTGACGATCGGCTCTCGTTTCGGTGGTGCTCTTGACGGCGCAGCCGAGGAGTTCACCAAGGCGTACGACAAGGGCCTTAGCCCGCGTGACTTCGTCGACACGATGAGGAAGGAGAACAAGCTCATTCCCGGTATTGGCCACAGGATCAAGTCGCGCAACAACCCCGATCTCCGTGTCGAGCTTGTCAAGGAGTACGTGCTGAAGAACTTCCCGAGCCACAAGCTGCTCGACTACGCGCTTGCGGTCGAGACGGTGACGACGTCGAAGAAGGACAACCTCATCCTCAACGTCGACGGCTGCATTGCTGTTTGCTTCGTCGACCTTGTCCGCAACGGTGGATCTTTCACGCAGGAGGAGGCCGAGGACTACCTGAAGATGGGTGTCCTCAACGGTCTGTTCGTGCTCGGCCGCAGCATCGGTCTTATTGCCCACTTCCTGGACCAGAAGCGCCTCAGGACGGGCCTGTACAGGCACCCGTGGGACGACATCACCTACCTCCTCCCCTCGGTCGCCAAGGGCGCTCCCGGCAACGAGGGCCGTGTCGAGGTCTCCGTGTAAGGGGGTCCAGGCGGAAGTTCAAGTGGTTCTTATGCGCGCAATGGCCGTGCGGAAGCCGAGGATAGATAGAATTGGTGTTTTGCAAGGCTGTATGATCAGATCATGAGCACGGGTCTCTTTTGGGGTTTCTCTCTTCGAATAATGAATACCAGTACTGATTCTTCGCACGAAGATGACAATATCAAAAATATTTCTTTTTGGGCCGTCAGGCAGCAACGCGCACACATGCAGGCAACGACACGGTCGAGGCAGCCCCTTACATGAATCAACAAGACTGTCAGGCCGGCGCACATAGCGGCGAGGGCGACAGGGCTAGTGAGAGCAATAGTCGGCCCCCTGGCGTGCTGTCAGACAATACAGGATGGGCTTGGCGGGCAGCTGTAGTGGGGTTCCCGGAGCGGCAGGATGGGCTAGCGCGGGAGGACGGACGGGCGATCGGCGGTCGACCTCTGGTTCCTCGTCGTCCACCCCCACACCCTCGCGACATCAGCCTGTGCAAACATCATCTTCGCTTCTGCTGCGGCTTGCCGAACACGGAATCGAAGCCAGTCGCCATGCCGTGTTGCCATGGGTTCCGCAGCCAACCCCGCTTCGACCCAAGCCTTGCAGGCTTATGATGCGATAAGGCGGCTGGCTCTCAGCCCTGTGATGATATATGCGCCCGCTGCCCTCGTCTCGCACCCAGCCCTCAGGCTGCCCGATTGCCCTCGCCATGGCTGTCTGCTTCCTGATCGCTTTGCTCGCTTCGGCGCCTCTGGCCGTGAGCGCTGCCGTCCACGCCGCCGTAATCTTCACTCGCACCGGAGAGCGCACACCCTTGCTTGGGTCCGCCGAGCTCACGCCTCTGGGAGCTAGACAAGCGCACAGCCAAGGAACCGTCTTCCGTCAGCGCTACATCGCGCCGCAAGCCAACAGCGTCGACCTTCGTGGGCCAGAAGCCATCAGTAACATCTCCGAGTACGGGTTGATGAACGATCAGTTATACGTGCTTGCCACCGACGATGCCTACACGGCCGCAACTGCCCAGGCTTTCCTGCAGGGCCTGTATCCGCCTTACACGCTGAACGATACGGCTGCGCCTGCGCTTGCGGCAACCGCTGTTCTGGCAAACGGGACTTATCTAGAGGCGCCTTTAAATGGTTACCAATACCCGCGTATCAGGACAGTGTCATCCCTTGACCCGACCAGCGTCTACCTTGCCGGCCAGGAGAGTAAGCTTCCGCCCAGGTACCGCAGCGCAGTCAGCTTTGAACCTGACCATGAGCCCCGCAGCATGCCTCAATTACGCGGTTGACCGTACCAGCTACTTCGACACGGCTGAGTTCAACGAAACGCAGGCGAGGACGAGCTCGTTCTACCAAGAAGTGGGAGCTGCAACTTTGGGCGGCGTGCTGCCAGCAGCGTCATACAGCTACGTCAACGCGTACACCATCTATGACTATCTCAACTACCAATACGTGCATGACGTGAGCACCCGGGCCATACTGTCCAACAACATCACACTGCGCGGCGCATTTGACGAGCTTCGATTCCTGGCGGATCAGTGAGTTGTCGGCAGCCTCGCGATGCGCTGAGGAAGCAATTGACAAGCGATGCAGGCAACAATGGGCGTTCAACAGCATGCCCAGCTCGGCGCAATGGATTCGAGCGATAGCGGGGAAGATGCTGGCCAGGAAGATGGTCGGCCAGCTCGCCGTCAACATTGCGACCGAGGGCGCGAATGCGAAATTGTCGCTGCTGTTCGGCGAGTTCCAGCCGATGCTCTCGTTCTTTTCTCTGGCGCTGCAGCAAACAAGCGACTACGGGATCCCCGACTTCGCCAGCAGCATAGCCCTCGAGCTCTTCAGCTACGGTAACTCGGCGGCGAGCTACCCAGCACCGTCGGATCTTTGGGTGCGCTTCTATTTCCGCAACGGCACGTCCAACTCGTCGGAGCTGATTGCGTATCCCATGTTTGGCCACGGGCCGTCGGAGACAGCAATGCGCTGGTCGGACTTCGAGACAAGCATGCGCAACATCATGCTCGACGACGTGGGTGAATGGTGCGCAGCGTGCGGCGCAGCAGCCATCTTCTGCCCCGCTCTGGTCGGGAGCACGGCGGGCGTGGCGTCTGGCAGCAGAGGCTCGAGCATGCCGCCAGCAGTGGCGGGCGTCGTCGGCGCAGGCGCCACACTGGGGGTCGGGCTTCTCGCGGTGGCAGCGCTCATGCTGCTGGGCGGTTTGCGCTTGCACCGCGCCAACCCGGTGATGGGCGCCGGAAGGCGGCGGAAATCATCGCTCGGTGGGTTCAAAGGCAACGCAAAATTGGCCAGCGACGCAGACGTCAGCTTTGCCCGCAAGGGCGCTCCCTTGGGCGTGTCGGTCACAGAGCAGGAGCAGCCTCAGTCGGGCCTGGCTCGGGAGAGGGTCGGCAGCTGGGAGCTGGGCGATGCAAAGAAAACCCATCTGAGCGGCAGCACCTTCGACGCGGCGGGCGACCTCAAGGGCGACGAGAGCAGGCGCTCGAGCTTGGACATCCACGAGGCGCGGCCGCATTCGAGGCTGTGATGAGGCGCTCACAACACGCGCGGCGGCTCGCTTAGACCAGCCTTTGTGGGGAGGCCAGCCTCTCTTCAGTCTGCCTTTTCGCCGGACGGTGGAGTCCCCGTGCTCTGTGGAGCGGCGACCCTCAGCGCCGGGCCCCTGACCATTGCCTTAAATACCGTGTCCGTGGGCGGCCGCGAGCCGCGCCCAGCTGGCAGTCACCTCGCCCGCCCTGCCGCCGTGATGTGGATTCGGTGAACGTGAGTGCCAATCCTCCCGGACCCTTCTTTTCCTTCCACGTCATCGCGCGCCACTCTTTCGGCCACCCATATCATCATCGGCCCATCAAAAAAACATACGAAATCCCAAAAGAGTTGTCGCATGTCGCTCACGTGGTGATCTTTCCGCCCAGTAGGGAACATGATGTCTTGGACCATTGCTACTACTGCCTCCTGACATCCTCAACTGATCTTTCGCCCTTCGCTTCCTCTGTCCCATCGCCCACCCAGCAACCCCACCTCCGCCCTCTGCCATGAGCTTCAGCCCGTGGGCCATCCTGGCCATCGTCCTGACCGCCGTCGCCGTCTGCGGCCTCCTCCTCCTCCATCGTTGGCGCATCCGCGTCGACAGGCGCCAGCAACCTCCCGCCGCCAACAACAACGAAAAGACACCCGCCGACCAGCAGCAGCCCGCCCAGCCGCCCAGCGACCTCGGAGAGTCCGGACACGGTCCCGGCCCAGGCCCAAACGCGGTGCCGGAGCCGACGCCGAGCAGACCGAGCGGCGTCAGCAGCACCGCCGACAACGCCGACAAGGCGAGTCGCGGCGGCTCGACCCTTGTGGATGAGAGGCACCCCACTTCATGATTTTTTTTATCCGACACGAGAGACGATTGAAACCGTGTTTCCCTTTTTTTTTTTTCCTCTCCAAATTCTTCCGTTTTTTCCTCTTTCCCGCATGAATTTCGTCCAGTGTCGTGGGCATGGTGTTAAGCGGGCAAATACTTGGGTTAATGGTTGGAGGTGCAAGGGCAGGAAGACGGGGACGCGTCACCAGCAACGGATCAGTTTTTAAATGTATCTCCTATCCGACGGCGCAAGCCTAAAGCTTCCCGATGCGTGCCACCGCAAGCGAGAGGTCAGCCTCATCGCATATGCACAAGCTCCGCACGTGGCAGCATCGATTGTATCTACAGACGATGATCAACGCTATTTATAAACGTTTATACATGTCGTAAAATTATTCTTACCGCTTCAGGAAAGTGGGAGGGCTGCCCCCCTTGACGCTTCCGCTCATCCTTGTTGTTTCAGGGTGCCGCCTGCCAACCGTGCTCTCTGCCTCTGCTTCGAGCCGTGCTAATTGGGTATGCTACTCGCTAAAATATCAATGCTTTGTTTCCCGACGCATTGAAACCCGTCAAACAATGGTTCAACAAAATCCCATCCACTCCAAACTCCAGGCCGTGCTCCCCGCCAAACCAGGCAACCAAAAAAAAAGGAACAAGTTTTTGGTAACAATACCAACGTCAAGTTTAATGCAAGCATGGACAGACAGTCTTGTAGCAAGACGCACGGTACGTCCAGCTGGTTCAAGCTGCCTTTTTAGCGCTTCGCGCCCTTTGTGTTTGACGCATCATCATCATTGAGCTCCCATCGGTCGTCGAAGTCGATCATCTGTGCCATGGCGACGAAAAGGATCCAGTCAGGCTTGACGATGCGTGGCTTCATGTCTGCTTTCCTTGCTAGGTCGCGGAACTTCGGCCAGAGCTTGACGTCGTCTGGCTCAGTGCTGGAGATGAGATAGAGTGTGTCGCCCTTGTCGTTGGTGCGATTCATCTCCAATTCATCGTCCGACAGTGGTTCCGATCTCATAGACGTGTCCCCTTCGGCATCGAGCCTGACCTTCCTGCGCTTTGGAATACCTGTAGCACGACCTTTCCAGAGCAAGCAGCTGCCTCCATTCGCGGTGATTATGTCCTTGAATGTCTCAAAGCCGCCATTGACTTTCTCCGTCACAAATATCTGCCATCCATCCAATAAATGCCGCCGATTTTGCTCGGCCCTGGCAATTGAATCAGTCAGTTTGATTCCCTGGCGCCTTTCGCCTTCCTCGTCACTGAGCAAGAACTTCTCGGGGGCGGGGACCCTTTTTTCTTTGAGACAGAAGTCTAAGAACTTGGTTGAGACAACGACTGGGGCGTTAGACAGAGCTGCGACAAACTTCTTTGTTCGGACAATCTTTGGTGCGCAAAGAATTGTGACTTCCTCGGGGTCCTGAGTGACGTGGATGCCTATCGCACGAAGTTTGTTCTACATCTGAGCGTTAGCATATCGTCTCAAGTATGGACACAGTTCGCATAGCTGGTCGACTTACCCGATCTTCGGTCTCCTTCTTTGGTTTTTCCACCCATCGGCTGTCGCCAGAGAGCATCAAGAACTGCGCGCCCCCAGAATCGTGAGACTTTGCTCTCTTGATCTTGCGTTTGGGCCCCTTTTCGGCAGATTCATCTTCTTCGTCTTCGTCGTCTTCATCCTCCAGTGACCTCTTCGCTGTGTGCGTCTCCTTTGTTCTACTATTGGCCTCGGCATCATCTTTGACCCTCCTGCCTCCATATATGACGCCGCCCTTTCTTTTGACTTCTTTCTCATACTGGGCGATGTCGGGGGCAAGGTCGTGAAGTTTTGACAAGGCCTTACTCTTCGCGCCTCGGCCTGTCGACGGAGTTTCGTTCTCCTTCCCGTCTCCGGCTCGTCCAGGAGTGTCGATGTTGGCGTTGTCACTCTTTGCACGTTTAGTTGTTCTCATGGAAGGCGTCGTCTGGGCTTGCAAGCCCTCGCCTACATTGCTCTCCATGGCATCCTTGGTTGTGAGCGTGTCTGACTTGTCCGTTTGCTTCGCCTTGGCATCATGTGCGCTCTTCTTGGCTTTTCCTGCATTCGCTGGCTTGAAGAAATATTTCTCAACAGCATCTCGGTCGATTTGAGTCTGACCCACAACCTCGCCAAGGTTTGTCCGGGCGGGGAAATGGGTGTAGCGTGGGTTGGTTAAGGATTGCTCCTTACATTTAGCGTAGCTTTCCTCGAGCCACATGTGGTTCACCAGGTGGATATTCCATTCTTGCGCGGCAGTGCACTTCTCGCTTTGCGAATGAGCGGTGACCAAGTGGGTGTTGTCCTGGCGGAAAGCTCTTGTGAATTGAGCACCGCAGGCTTTGGTTAGGTTTTCGAGGTAAACTCTGGCTTCTCCAACGTAATTTGAGATGCTGATTCTGTATTTTTCGAAACCCGGAATGCCATTGCGTGGGACCGGATAGTGCAGGAGGCGCCGCATGGGAGACGTCCAAAGGTCATGAGTGATGAGATAGTAGAGCCAGGAAAGGTTGCCGACATCCTTTCCAGTTTGGGATGCGTTTATGTAGTCATCACCATCACGATACGGACAAACATACGTATCAGCCTGATCAATATGATCCACAACGGTACCACCGCCAGCACGTACGAGCTCCTCGATAGTATTCCGTATGCGCAAGCCAACGTTCAGATCACGTGAGAGTAGTATTCTCTTGCCCGAGAAGACTCGCAAGGACCGAGGGGCGTTTGGCGATGAGAAGCTGACCGGACTTGGCAGTGCCTGGGGTGTAGGAGTGGTGGCGTCTTTTATGGCGTCGCTGGGATAGTGAACAATAGGGACGGTATGGTCGCGTGAGAGGATCGGCGGGTTCGGTAGTTGGTAGGGTGTCTCGACAATCTTCTTGCCCAATTTAAGGCAGTCATCGAACCTGTTCTCCGTTAGTGGTAGCAGAGGCAAGGCAAACGGCAAACACACCAGTGCGGAAGGACGATTTTGCATTTGAGGTTCTTGGCACGAACGAGCGCACACTTGTCATCATCCAGGGTCAAGGCGACAAGGTGGGTGGTAACTTTGGTGATGGCGCTCGAGTACTGGCCGCCCATGGCCAGGACGCCGCCTATGATGGCCTCGGCATCTCCCTCAGGAATGTCTGAGGCGCATGTTACCATGACATCGGACATGAACAGGCGTGGATCTGGGCTGTGGGAGCGCGGATTGACAGGCTTGCCGCGGCGGAGGCTGTCGTCAATCCATTGTGGCTTGACAACATGCACAAAGTGGTCGAGAGCATGGAGGTAGTCGGGAAAGTCGCAGGTTGTAGCGATGATGTGGGTAAAGTCGGTGATGCTGTCAATGCGCTGTGTTGTCGGGTCCAAGGGACGGTAGATGGCACCATTGTCCTCCAGGATGCGTTGAAGCTGCGGAGCGAGTCAGCAGAGCAGTGTAGCGGGGATGGAGATGTAGAGCGACGCACCTGGTCGACACGCTCTAGCGGCAAGTCTGCGGTGGGAATGGCGGTAAAGGTGACAGACGCGAAAACGTCCTGCTGTGGATCAACGTCCATGGCCGTGTCGTCAGCCATGGCGCGTGCGAGAGAAGCGAGGCAGTGAGGAGAAAATGGGCGGGACCAGCGGAGGTGTTGTGCTCTGCCGGCCGCTACGCGGTGACGCGCCGCAAGAACGCGCTAGCCCCGCGCGCACGTGACTCGGCGTTCAGTGAAGCCCCCCCCCATCTATACTCCACCCTCAACTCCAGAACCGCCATCAGCTGGTCCTTGCCCTACCCGTGCCGGCTTCATATTTTGTTGCATGATATCGCGTCTGGGACGTCGCCGTGCGAGCCCAAGCGCGTCAGCTCGCTCAGCCCCGAGCACCAGCGGTCGCCAAAAACCACAATGCTTTACGCTCTACAGCCAATAGATTGGCTCGGCGCCTGGCAGAAGCTTTGACAACTACTGCTTTTGCAGAGAGGGCGATGGTTGAGTGGCTGGCGTGCTTAGCTTGCAGCTGATAACCTCGGCCCGCTCGCTTAGGGAGCAGACCCTCGGCGACCGCAGCGGCTTTGACCTCGTCCATCACCTTTCCCTCTCTCCGTCATGACGCTCCTGCGCTGAATGTCTTGCAACTTTGCCGAAACTTACCATTGTTATACCGTTGGATAGATAGCCTTTGGAAACCCCTGGTTGCTTCCCTGGATCGGCAGTAGCAACCTTCCCAAGTCTCAGACTTCCTTTACAACATGCCCCACTTTCCTTTTCATGTAAAAGAGCACGTTCTTCCGTGCCAGCACATTCGTTCCCATGCTCGGTCGACTGCGCACAGCCAGGAGGATCTTCTCCACCTCGCCGTGAAGCAGTACATTCCAATCGACAATCCAAATCCCAAGCCTGGCGATGTCACCATTATTGGCGCTCACGCCAACGGCTTTCCGAAGGTCAGTCCGGTCTGTGCCAAGTCGGCCATAGCTAACTGGTGAGCAGGAGCTGTATGAGCCGCTGTGGGAGGAGATTCTCCAACGTTCCAGATCCGCCGGCTTTTCAATCCGCAGTATCTGGATTGCCGATGTCGCTCACCAAGGTGCCAGCGGCGTCTTGAACGAGCATAAACTTGGCAACGACCGTCTGTCTGCACCCAGGCCTCTGCTGTTGGCTCTTCACTAACACCTTGCAGCTAGCTGGTTCGACCATCCTCGAGACCTGCTCCATATGGTGAACACATTTCGCGATGAGATGATCCGCCCAATCGTCGGTGTTGGCCATAGCCTGGGAGGCAACAATCTCATCAACCTGTCTCTGTTGCATCCCCGTCTCCTGGAGACCCTAATTCTGCTTGATCCCGTCGTTCAGCGAAGACCCTCCAAAGAGGGCAATCAGGATCCTGCTGCCGCCTCGGCTCGCCGTCGCGATTACTGGCCATCCAGGGAGGCCGCTGCTGAAGCTTTCGGGAAGAATAAGTTCTATCAGGCATGGGATCCCCGTGTCCTAGACTTGTGGGTCAAACACGGCCTGCGGGACCTGCCCACTGCCATTTACCCGACTCCCCCAGAGCCTGCCACTCCCGTTTCAGCCACGGCCGGAGGAGCCGAGAAAGCATCCACCCCCGGAGTGACGCTTGCCACCACCAAGCACCAGGAAGTTTTCACTTTCCTCCGGCCTAGTTTTGACTCCTTGGCCGATCCGCAGATCGACCCTGAGTTTCCAGAGGCCAGCGCCCACAATCGCAACAGACACTACTACCCTGACTTCAGTCCAGAGACAGTTGTTCCTAACTCTTCGTTCTATCGCGCAGAGCCCGTCATCACCTTCCATATGTTGCCTTTCTTGCGCCCGTCGGTCCTTTACATCTTTGGCGAAACTTCTGACCTTTCGGCTCCTGAATTTCGCGCTGACAAGATGAAAGTTACTGGTGTTGGAATTGGTGGCAGTGGCGGTGCGCCAGAAGGCCGTGTTGCAGAAATTACCCTCCCAGGCGTTGGTCACCTCATCCCCATGGAGGCAGTCGGCAAGACTGCTGACCACTGCACAAATTGGCTTTCCACGGAAGTTCGATCATGGCGTGAGAAAGAGGAAGAGGAGCGACAGCAGTGGGCGGGGGTTCCTGATTACAAGAAGCGTGTTCTCAGCCCTCGAGTTCTCAGAATGTTGGATAACAGAAACGGCAAAGCTAGGACGCAGAAGCTTTAGCCCCAGAAGCCTCAGTCGTATGGTCACGCAGGACCCATTTCTTAACACCATTCACCGGATACTGAGCCATTTGTTGGAAGAAGTCATACGAAGAGTAAGTTCTGTTGGAAAAGGATACCCACGTCTGTAGAGAATAGAAGGTGGGCTGAACTCGCATATAATCGTATTGATACATTTGCCGAGTCCCAATTTATTTTCTATATTCATCTCCCTTCCCTTTCTATGTTTTCTTTCACAACGCTGTCCGACTTCTACAGTGATGTCGAGCAAGTCTGCCGGGCTTCATTTCTGTACATGTAGCGTTTCCAAATACGCCACAAGCCTTTTCTTTATCACCACCCCCAGAAGCTTCCCGGTCCCCTCTTCTGTTATGCATAAGTATCTCAGACCTAGTTTTCCAAACATTTCGACTGCATATTCAAGTGGTGCCTTCGAACATAGGGTCAGCGGTGTCCGGTCAACAAAAGCAGAAAGGTCTAAGGCGCCGCTCTGTTCGCGGTTGTAATCATCGCTTTCTTCGTCGTAATGAGTTTCAACGGTAGGGCCCAATAGTCGAACTTCCACATCTCCAGGCAAGAGTAATCCCAGATCTCGCACACCATGCTCTAGTTCTGCCTCTATGTTCGAGCGAATCCGTCAGTGGATAATGCCAGTAGAACCTATCTCGCAAAGCCACGTACCAGGTAGGTAGCCCTGCAGCATTCCGTTCTGCACAAGTGCCAATCCCGCATCCATCAGCCCTCTGTTGTGTAACCTAGTTAGTTTGTGCTCGAGAACGACCTTCGGCACCGTGTTGCTGAGGGGCACCTCGACGGTAATCTCTTGCATAGTTCGTGCCGGGGGAATGAGCACTTCCACAAGGGCTGGATCGGCATCTGCGTTTTTGAGGGGAGAGAACGATGTTGCCGGCTTTGAAGACGTCCCATATGCTTGGACAAGCTTGAGCGCGTGGTCATTGTCAAGAAAAGGATGGCCCAGAACTGTCTGAGCGAGATCATAGACGCCCTCGCTGCTGATTGCATCTGCTGTCCATTTCGCGACGAGGATGGCAATCATGTGAGGAACGATGAATTCCAACTCGCCAGTCAGCTGACCTCAGTCGTTAGCAGTAGTTGGCACAAATCTAAGACAACGACCCTACCTCGAACATGATCACACACAAAGAGATGGTCATACGACTGACACCGGCAAGAAATGCAGCTGCTCCAACCATGGCAAAAACCCCAGGGGATATAGAAGTTATGCACTGTCCCATCAAGCGTCCAAAGAAAGCACCTCCGTCTAACGCAGGGATGATGACGCCAGACGGCACTTTTGTGCCGAATGTGATTATGGTAAGGAGGAGCTTGGTTACCAGCCCATGAATCAACCAGGCGATGTAATCCCCTTTGCCATCCGTCCTGGCCTCATTGCGGCAGACAAACGACGCCGAAGACTCGACATCACGACAATCGACGAGGAGGTTTTTGATAATAACATCGCCTGAATCCCTCGTGAGGGGGTTTGGAAACTGGAGGAGCGCCGTAGCTAGAGCAACCAGGAAGACTTCAAACACGGGGTGGTTCTTGATGAGTGGCAGTTGTCTGAACCATTTAGACCAGCTGAAATTTGCCTTGCAGAAAATCCCGCCAAATAGGCCACCCGCAATTCCAAGGATGATAAAAAGTAGATAATCGATGGCCTCGTATGAGCTTTCGTAGTGGGTCTCGAAGAGGACTAGTTTGCCCGTGCCGGTTGGATTCAGCGCTTTCAAGATCATCGAAGCAAACAGCGAGCAGAAGAATGCTCGCCACAGGACTTTTCGAGGAAAGTAAGTGCTGATTTCTTCGTAACTGAACAGTACGCCTCCAATGGGTGCACCGAAAGCGACACTCAAGCCGGAAGCACAAGCAGCAGACAGCATCTCCCGCATCTTCCTACCGCTGTCCCTATACTTAGGGAAGCAACGGCAAACCAGGTAGCCAACACAAGTGGAGATATGGACAAAGGGGCCTTCTTTCCCGAGGCACATGCCGGATGCTACTGCAAAGGTGGCACCGAAAGCCTTGACCAGCAAGACCTTCAAGTCAAGAAAGTTGGGGATCACGAAGCCTGACAGGATGGTTTTGATCTCGGGGATGCCGCTGCCAGCCGCCATGTAGATTGACTTTCCAGAGGCAACTGGAGCGGTAGCGTCAAGCTTGTCATGGACAGCAGGTAGAGACCGCTTGGTTAACATGGTTGCGCTAGAAGAGATGACGCCAAAAGCCAAGGCGGCAGCGGCGTATATAGCAAAGGAGGACCAGTACGAGGCAGACCACGAGTAGAAGGCATCGCAGTTGTCAGCAAAGTCGGCGTTGGCACAGCAGGCTTCTCTGCTCAGCAATGGGTTTGTCGTGCAGTAGCCGAGCTTCCAGCCGGAGACAGTGGCTTCAGCAACATCGACGACAAAGGCGATACAGGCGGTGATGGAGCCAATGATGGCGACGGCAATCCAGCCGGAGCAGGAGTCGAAGGCGGAGACGAGGCCGTAGCGGAGCCCCTTTCTCGAATGAACGTAGCGGTAGCGGTAGGAATCCTTGACCAGGTCGTGCAGCCAGTCGATGGTGGTATAGTCGTTATATGGCAGACGCTCGCCCACGGTGCTCGCCGCCATCAGCCGTTGCTCGTCCCGGGACAGGGCGGGGTCCGTGAGCGCTGGACCATCGCCGGGGGGCAGAAGAGGCGTCCGCTCGGTTGCCATGATAGGAGCGGGGGAGAACGGGCGACGGGAAACGGCATGGCGGGCAGTGATATTTAGCAAGGCCTATCTCGAGTAGCGGTCAATAGTAGCGTGCAGCGTGCTGAAGGCGGGTGATGTTTGCGCGTGAGGAAGTCCGCGGGCGGAGTACGGCCGCGATGGACGCAGACAAAACGGGATAGTGGGCACGCGGACGAGCAGGCGGCGGCGATCCATAGATGGTGGGGAAGCGGCGCTGGGCACGTGCGCCACGACACGCGGTGTTGGAGGCTGCTCTCCGCCACCGTGGACGAAGGCCGTCGCACGCAGCCTCCTCTGCCCGTGGCAGCAGGACGAACCCCCTGCGTGGCGGGGGCGCGACGGTTGCGCCCGCCCTCTAGTGCAGGAGATCTTGGTCTCTTGGTCCCCTGATCTGGTGCCTGGCGGACTTCCTCCCAGCATCCATTCAGGGTCCACCAGCGCCGCCTCCAGTCCATACTTGCGTCGCCTCTGCGCACGAGCCCTCGCTCGCCAGCACCCTTGCCCCCTGGGCCGACATCACTTCACATGAAAGCCGTGCCGTGACCCGCTCTTTGCCCGCACCGCAGAGAATCCTCTTTCTCTCTCTTTCTCTTTCTCGCTCCCGCTCCTCTCGCGCCTCTCCTTCTCCCGTGCTTCGCCCGACACCCGTCGCCATGGACCACGACGCCCTTCCCTACATCCCGCTGCGCTACGACAGCACCAATTCGCACGACTCGGCGCTGCAGCTGGTGCTGGCCCTGCGCCCCGAGTGGCGGCAGCACCAGGACACCATCGACTTCGTCCGCTTCACCGATGGCATCACAAACACTGTACGTTAAAGGCAAGCACCCGCCGCAGCCCCGCTACGACCCTGGCGCTGAACCGAGCCCCTGCAGCTCTTCAAGGCCGTCAACAAGCTGCCCGGCTGGTCTGACGAGCAGATCGACCGCGAGGCCGTGCTCATGAGAGCCTACGGCCGCGGCACCGACGTCCTCATCGACAGAGAAAGTTGGTCCCGTCCCGCCCCGCCCCGCCTGCAACTTGCCCCGCAGCCTGCTCACCCCCGCTCCAGGAGAGACGCGCTCCCACTCCCTGCTGGCCCGCCACAAGCTCGCGCCCCCGCTCCTTGCCCGTTTCGAAAACGGCCTGCTGTACAAGTTCATCGAGGGCTCCGTCTGCTCGCCCCCAGACCTCCGCCGCCAGGACGTCTGGCGCGGCGTCGCCCGTCGCCTCGGCCAGTGGCACGCGACACTGCCCATTTCCTACCTCATCACCGAGATCCCCTCTGATGATGCTCCCGCCACCGACGACCGCACCCACCGCCGCAAGGCCTCGTGGCTGGAGGCTGCCGACAACATCACTCCCGACAAGCCCTCGCCCAATCTCTGGACCGTCATGCAGAAGTGGATTCATTCCCTGCCCCACGCAACCGATGCCGAGCAGAACCGCAAGACCACGCTGCAGCGCGAGCTGGTCTGGCTCGTGAGCCGCCTCAGCTCCACCCCCGGAATCAGTGCCAACCCCCTGGTCTTCTGCCATTGCGACCTGCTTTCCGGCAACGTCATCATCGAGCCCCAGCCCTCGTCCGGTGAATCTCCTGCCTCGACTGCTGAATCCAATGCTACCGACTCGTCCATCGATGCCTTGAGCGTTGACTTTATTGACTATGAGTACGCCACCCCGGCGCCTGCCGCCTTTGACATCAGTAACCACTTTGCCGAGTGGGGTGGCTTCGACTGCGACTTCAACTGCCTGCCGACCCGCTCCGAGCGCCGTGACTTCATCGGCGAGTATGTTTCATCCTACAGCTCGCACCTGCCCCAGCCCTTGCCTCGTGCCGACGTGGATGCCAAGACCGACCAGCTGTTCCGCGAGGTCGATGATTTCCGCGGCGTGCCTGGCTTCTACTGGGGCATCTGGGCCCTGATCCAAGCCAAGATCAGCCAGATTGATTTCGACTATGCCAACTATGCCGAAGTCCGTCTGGGCGAGTATTGGGCATGGAAAGAAGAGCTGCTTGGCACCCGCACCGGCGACCTGCCCCTTCGTGAGAGGCGCTGGGCTGAGAAATGAGTAAACGACTATCTTATTGCTTTATGTTTTTCGCATCGCGCCTTCGCATCTGATGAGAGTTGCGGATTCAACAACCGCAGCCATCACTACGAGTCCTTGACTGTTTGACCTAGAGTCCCGTCACTGATTGCTCGGAGCCTCCTCTCTGCTCGTTGAAATCCGTTCACGGCGTCCCCGGCATTGTCCAATCTTGTTCTGCATATAGGGGCATAAAGGTTGCTTTGAAAAGCAAGGAGGAAAAAAGTTAAATGGTGTGACGCGGCGGCCGTGTCGGTTCTATCTAAATTTCCTCCGGCCTCCTTGGACGTTTTCATGGTCTTCAACGACGATACCCAACTCTACTGTCTTGTATTTCACATTTTAGAAAAGGCCCCGATCTAATGTGGAGGTGGAGGCGAGAGCTACTCGTGGAGGGCTTTGGGGGAAGTCTTTGTGCTGGGCGGCTTGGTGAGGAGCAAGTGTAACAGGGTGTCGTCAGCAGGGCCCCACTTATCAGACAGAAAGCTAGAATTAAACAAATGGAACCCAAGCATAATCGTAAGCTGTGCACGTCTTTCCAAACACGTCTAGAACAAATCGTCTGCATTTACGTCTTCTCCTCTACGGCGGGCCAGCCAGATGCGACCGCTTTCATATACACCTAGATACAAGCCACTTCCGACCATGGTCCAGACGGCACGAAGGGCACCGCCGCGCCAAATCCCCCGGAAGCCCTCCTGGGCAATGATTTCGCGGCCAATGGCCAGGCTCGACTTTCGGGCCCCGGTTTTACCTGATACATTCTTAACAGCAGCAACCGGGCCGTCTTGCAAAGGCTTCGTGGTGTTTCCAAAGGCGTCCTTAAGGGCGTCTGGCGCTTCGTCGAGCTTCGGCTTGGAGGCTTCGGCGGCGGACAGCATGATTCGCGTCTTGATAAGATCGATAGGAGTGGTAACGACGGCAGCAACGCTGCCCGCAGAGCCGGCGCTGACGGCTGTGATGATGCCGCTCTCAGCGAGAGAGCCGGTCCTAGTGCCGGTCCTGTCACGGTAGCTCTTGAGGTACTCTTTCATACGCTCAAACATGGGGAATTGGAGGGCAGTGAAAGGCAGGTTGCGCCCAGCCAAGGCGGTATAGCCGCGCCAAAGGGCGAGAGGATTGGACCGAAACTTGGCCAGAGTCTGCACGGTAGCGTTGCCCCGTCCAGCGCGGGTGTCAACCATCTGGGCATTCTGCTTGATGACTTCGGCGGGAGTCAGGATCGCGCACGACACGAGCTCGCCGACAGAGGAGGCAATGGAGTGGATGACGGGCTGCGGCAGCAGATGGGAGGCATGCGAGGGCAATTGAGGGTTGTGGGTCGTCAGGAAAGCCTTGACGCCCTCGTATGTGGTGAAAAATGCTCCTGCTTCAGGCTGTCAGAATGCCGGCACATTTTTGCCTTTTTTTTGGGCGGGAAGAAATACAGGAGGGAAGAGTGGCTATTATGACGCTGCCGACGCCCTGATACAGGCCGCGGAAGAGGGCCGGGCGGTTGATTGTGTTCGTTTTGGCATTGAGGTACAGGCGGGCATAGTCGGGCGACTGGAGGCGGGTCTTGAGGGTGTCGAGAGGGTAGACGAGAAGGTCGACGGTGAAAGCTGCAAACGCACCGGCCTATCAGGATTGCGAGCGGGTCAGCACAGGCGGGGCTGCGGGGGCGGGGCGGGGCGGAGAGCACTAACCAGCAGGATGTCGGCGGTGGTATTGTTGCCGGACATTGGGAGGGCGTGTCTGCAGCGCTCGTGGAGAGGATCCTGTTGTCGTGACGATCTGATAACGAGGTTGCTGAGAATTCGCCGCCCGAACCCCGATTACCGCCCGTGCGCCCAGCCTCGTATCGGGACCGCGCGGATGCAGCTGCAGGACTCCCGTCTGGGCTGGCAGCGAGCGTGCCTGGCGGCCAAACCATGGGAGCGCCGCCGTTGTGCGTAGCGTACCCGGCCTATGGCAGTGCCATACAACGAAAGCTGTCAGAAGTTGGAGTCGCAGCTGATGAGGCGCGCCTCGTGGTCAGCGCTCTACGTCATGCCCGCCGACCTCCCCACCAGCTACCTCGCATCACGTTGCTTTGGGCTGCCCCGGGCTGCGCGCCCAACGGTCGCAGCCGCAGACAAGCGCGCTCCATCTGGCCTCGGACGTGTTGGCGATTGCCATAGCGCAAACACTCGCAGACCCTGATCCTCCAGCCGCAGGTGTTCGCAGTGGCGCGCAAGGCGGCACGCAAAACAGGAATTCGCGGCTGCCTGCGCTGGCATTCGGCCGCCTGCTGCAGCAAGACGCAATGTGATTCACTTGGCCGCACGCTGGCGTCATACTTAGCCACGGACCCCGCCGCCCACGCCCAAGGCCAACCTTAGCCGCCTGCCCGCCTGCCCAGCGCCGCAAATCCTGCACCATCCAGCCTTCTCGAATACGCCCTGATCCCTCACCAACTAGCTTCAAACAAATACTGCCAACCGTCCACGCGCGCGCCTGCCCTCTGCCCAACTCTGCACACCTGCCTCCCTCTTTGCGCGCCCAACTTCACCCCGCAAGGTATACAAGGCCCCCGGACCCTCCCCCAGCACCTGTCCTGACCTATTGTCAGACATCCGTCACCCCACCGATTCACCCACGCTCGCCCGAGCGCCAACCCGCCGTTATGTCACAGTACGGCTACGACGACGGCCCACGCCGTCACGACTCGAGGCGCACCCGCACTCGTGAGCCCGAGTACGTCGAGGAGACGTACATCCAGCGCGGCAGTGCTCCGCCCCAGCGCGACCTCGTTTACCGCCCTGCTCGTGAGGACAGCATCGAAGACATCCCCCGCGACTTTCCTCCGCCCGGCGCCGAATACCGCAGGACCAAGGTGCGCGAGAATTACGGCCCTCCACGCCGCGCCCGCTCTGTCGGCCGCCGCGACTACTACGATGACGACTACAGTGACTACGCTCCTCCTCCGCGAGGCAGGAGAAGCCGCGACGACCCTTACTACTCGGACGATTACGACCGTCCTCCGCGCCGTGAGCGCCGCAAGTCCAAAGTTGAAGAGTTTCTTGATGACGCTGGTCTTGGCGGCGTGGTAGGCGCCGTGCTTGGAAAGTCGCGCAGCAAGAGCAGGTCTCGTGGTCGGGATGACCGGAGCTACGACCGCTATGATCGCCATGATCGCTACTACGATGACCGTAGCCGAAGCCGAAGCCGCCACGGCAAGTCTGAGCGCAAGTGGCAGCAAGCTGCCCAGGCTGCCCTCGTCGCCGGTGCCGTCGAAGCCTTCCGGAGCCGCAAGGACCCTGGTGCCTGGACCGGTGAAAAGGGCACTCGTATCGCAACAGCTGCCCTTGGTGCTGCCGGCATCGACGGCCTTGTCGACAGAGACCCGGACAAGAAGAGCAAGCGCCACACTGCCGAGGCCGTGATTGGCGGCTTAGTCGCTAATCGTTTAGCGAACGGTCCAAGAGATCGCTCCGCTTCTCGGGGCAGATCTCGTTCCCGTTCACGCTCCCGTGCCCGCTCCCTCTTCAGCCGCAGCCGCTCGCGAGGCCGCTCTGTGGACCGTGAGGAAGGAGGTGGGGGTGCCATCAAGAACCTTGCGGGCGCAGGCGCCATTGCTGCTGCCGGCAAAGCCATCTACGACCGTGTGCGATCCAAGTCAAGGCGCCGCAGGTCTCCGAGCAGCTCGAGTGCCGACAGTTACGTTCCCTCACGCGGTCGCCGTTACGGCCGTGCACGGGGGTCCGCGGTAGACGACGACTATCCAAGGACATCCACGGCTGGGAGTGTAGCAGGGGGCCCTGTGGCGCCACGCGCAAGACGCAACAGCAGCGTGAGCTCGGAATCTACCACAGACATGGAGCAACAACGAAAGAAAATGCGAGGTAAGGAACTCCTCACCGCGGGGCTGGCGACTGTTGCAACCATTCATGCCGCACATGGTGTCTACACGTCCATGGTGGCGTCGGAGAAGCGGCGCAAGCTCGTTTCCGAGGGTGAAATGTCGCCGGAAGAAGCTCGCAAGCGGAAGAGCAAGAATATGCTGCAAGATGCGGCAGCTGTTGGCATTGCGGCGCTTGGCATCAAAAGCGCCTTCAGCGAGTGGAAAGAGATGAACGAACAACGCCACCACGTGCACGAGCTCGAGGCCAAGCGACGCAAGAAGAGGAAGCAGCGCGAGCGAGCCCAGCGCGATGCCAGACAGAACGCCCTGATGAATGGCTCTGCTAACCCGTATGCCGTCCCAGCTCCTGGTTCCGCGTACCCGCAGTATGGCGCCTCAACCTACGCAGATGCGAACCCCTACTCCGCTGGCAACTTGCCGCCGCCGCCGATGGGGGCCCCGGCTGGGAGATATTGAGCCAAGCTTCATGGATTCTGTTTTTGCACTTGTACACCTTTTTTCTCGTCATGGAGGCGTGGGCTTGAAGGCTGGCATGCGTGGATCAGTCACACCGCCGACCTTTGAAAAGAAATACAAGAATCACCGACATGGCTACAGCGATTTCCTTTTGTTTTTTGCTATTTTACCAACACGCGCGATACCGGTCCTTGGAGGGGGTGCATTGACGAATTACGACTAGGTTACGACAATTAGAATGCGGGCAAACTAATGGCTTTGCGTATTGACCATTACTATAATAGACGAGATTGACGAATGATGGCCTTGATCGTAGCTAGCTTGATGTTGCTGTACATGAAACCCCAGACATGCCTACCGACATGTCTTCTGCCAATCTTCGGCCAGGATGTCGGCAGCCCTCTCAGCCACCGCGTACACATCTGACTGAATGTTGCCTCTTGGAATCAGTGGAAATACGCTAGCATCTACGACGCGCAGGCCGCTGACTCCATAGACGTTCAAGCGTGAATCGACGACGCCACCGAGCTCCCGCGGCATCATGGCTGCAGTTCCGCACAGATGGAAATGCGGGATATACCCGTTTCTCACCATCTCCCGTGCCTCTTCCATGGTCTCGATCGGCTTCCCTCCGTTGTGAATGCGCCGACCATTTTCTTTGAACAGGTGCGACAGAGGCGGTGTTGCGCGCAGTCGTTCGGGAAAGAACAGATGACGCGCGTGGATTTCCAGATCCAATGGGTGCGACATGGCCTTGGGATCGAATACGGGCGCCGCCCTTGGGTCTTTGGATTGTATGTGGACGTTCCCACGGCTGAAGGGGTAGTTCAGCACAGACACAATCGTGGCATAGAAGCCAGGAGTGGACATGGAGAGGAAGTCCTTTGGCGACGGCCCGGCGGCTGGGATGATTTGAAAGGGGGCAAGAGTATATTGGACCGTGGTATTGCTCGGCGACGACAGCTGGGCCGCGAGCACGTCGTACTGGGCGCGGAGATGGGCGGGCAAGTCGGCATCTCTCAAGTGAGCAGAGACGAGTTCCGACAAGTCGGCTGGGGCGAGGTCCTGGTCGAGGGCGTGGAAGAATGCCGAAGGGAGCAGACAGGCAGAAAGAGGCCCCGCAGCTGCGGATTGGTAGGCTGCGAACAGAGCTTGCTGGACGGCAGGATCCCGCATCTGGTCGCCAGATGTCATCGGGTCTTGGACCTCCCAGGAAGCGGGCACGAGCGCGTGGTCCTGGAGGTTCTCTCCAACATGGCTGTTGTCGACAAAGCATTCGATTCCATGCCTCGTGAGCAGTTCTTTGGAGCCAATGCCGGACAGTTCAAGCAGTTGGGGCGTTCTCAAGGCGCCAGCAGCAACGATGACCTCGTGCTTGGCTGCAATCTGATGGGCTGTGCCGTCCTTCGCGGTGAAGTGGACACCGGTCGCCCTGCAGGATCCATCGGGCTGCCTCTCCAGTGCTACCTTCTCGACAAAGGCTTCAGTGATGACCCGGAGATTCGGACGCTTGAGAACTTTGTCGTTCAGATACGCGGAGCCCGCATAGCTCCTTGTGCGAGTGGTAGGATCGATATTGGATGGGGGGTTGAATGCGCCGCTCGCGACGCCCGAGATGGGATCACCGGTCATGTCCAGGTTGAGGGTGCGGAAAGTACGTGGCCAGGCTTTGCTGAAGGGTGCAGACCCATCGGCGCCGCCGAACGAGACTTGAATCGGTCCACTGTCTCCCTGGGCCTTTTCGACCATGTAGTCAAGCATGAGCTCTTCACCCAGGCCCTCCCTGTCGGGCTTGGAGTATGTATGGAACTTGCGAAAGTACGGTGCAATGGAGCTCCATCCCCAGCCTGGATTGCCCAGTTTCTCCCACGAATTAAAGTCGGATTGGGATGGGTATATGATCATTCCGAGATTGATGCTTTGATGTGCACATTAGTATTTGTTGGAACAATCTTCCGGGGCATGGACCTACGCAGATGAACCGCCAAGGACCTTTCCTGTTGGCTGGCCGATAGTGCGGCCATTGAGATGCGCCTTTGGCCACAGTCAGCTTCGAGCATCGTGGTTCCTGGGCAGGAACGGACCTGAGGTTCACATGTGACACACCAGTCATAGTCTGGATCGGAATATGTGCTCGCTGCAAGACCGGGGACGGTGATTTTCGGGTCATCGAGGCGGTTTTGGCCAGCCTCTAGCACGAGTACTCGGATGCCTTCGTTTTCGGTCAGTCGAGAGGCGACTGTAAGGCCTGAGGTACCGCCTCCCACAACCACGAAATCGAACTCAGCCGACTCAATGCCAGCGGATGTAGAGGTGTCAACAGCAGCCATTGTGCTCACTGCTGTGTCAACGAAAGGCGTCGTTGCTGTTTATGAGCACCCATAACGTGCCTGCAGCGCCGCCTGTCCCACTGTTTTCAGACGTTGCCGAGCGGTGGGCAGAGCAGATTACCCAAGCGCCAGGCTATGGGCCACGCAACTTCGCTCCGGCAAAATATTTCCATTGGACGATAAAAGCCACAGGATGGCGTGGGGGCCAGACTGTGGGGACCGCGGTGGGATCCTGCCTTAATTCGATGCCTCCTTAAGGGCTCGTGCTTCCGCTTGCGGTATATGCCAAGAGGGGTTTCATGTGGAGAAGGTAAGCTGATATCAAAGACCTTGCCAATTGTGCATAAGTTGTCGCCTGTTCGCCCCTGGTGACGCCAGACATAAAACGGCCGTCGGTTAACATTGGGAACGATAAGCGAACGGAACGGCAAGCACAAAAGAGAGACAATCGCGGCATTGTAGCACTGAAACTTACTAGCTTGCAGTGGAGACGCTGCAAAAGGTTGTTGCTGGTGGCTGAATAGGAAACAAAGCAGGCCAGTGCGCCATTGAGTACGAGGTCGATTTACATTGCAATGGAGGAGGATAAGTCGAGATGCCCATGAATACACAATGCAAGTGTGAACAGAGGCATCCGATCAGCGGCTGCAATCACGTGGCAATACCAGCAAATAGGTCTTGTCCGGGCTCCTCAAACAAGGGATTTTTTTGGCTCGACGGCGGCGATAAGATCCCATCGGTTTATCAGAGAAACAGATCCGCATTAGCATTCGGCAGCAGTACCCCTCTGTAGTTTGTTGCCGTTGACATGAGCAGACTTCAAGCCAAGCTACCGAAGTATTGGAGGCACCCGTGACACGTCCTGCAGGGAGACGGAATTCAAATGAAAATGATATTGCTGTAGTCAGGCCGCGCGCGCTGTGAGGGTTTTTGTAAGTCGCATGGATACCTAGGAAAATTTATCACAAAGCCCCGCTATGGCATCGCTCTCATAGATACTTACGTTGCAAAGCGCCCCGCCTCATTGAAGGGATGATGGTGAAGAAACCCATATGCATGGAGTGAGCAACTGAACACAGAAGCGCAGAGTGATGGAAGCAGCCACTTTTGCTGATGAAGTCGCTTTTTTTGGCAACGGAGATGGCCAGATGGTGGGTTGGTACCTTTACTAATGGCTGGTGCGTTAGTAAGCTCAGCAGATGGGGTGATTACGCAGGCTGTTCCGTCAGCGAATTGCACCGTGTGGCTTGCTGAGGCATCTGACTCGCGAAGGAGTGGTTACCAATCCTTCGGCTGAGCAATCCATCTTCGGCTTTGGCAATCGCCCGACGCTTGCTCAGCATCAAGCCCAACCAACATGATATAAATTCGGTACAATTGTAGGAGGAAGCGTGCTGTTCCCGCTCACCAAACCTATCTTCACCACATTCCTCCCAAATCAACATCGCCCAGATGGCTCAAACATACCTCGTGACCGGCGCCGCCCGTGGCATTGGATTCGGTCTAGTCGAGGCTTTGGTACAAAGGCCCGGCGTCACTGTCGTTGCGGCCATCAGAGACATCACCAAAAGGGAAGGAGTGGAAAGCCTCAACGCAAAAGCCGCCGAAGGATCAAAGGTTGTCGCCGTGCAAATCCGTGCTGGAGACCCGGACGATGCCCAGGCTCTTCCTGCCACCTTGCTGGAGAATGGCATTGAGCATTTGGATGTCGTCATAGCCAATGCCGGCATCTCCAACTACTATGGGACGGCTGCAACAACCCCACTTGAACAGTTCCGCGACCACTTCGAGATCAACACCATCGGCTTGGTCGCGCTATTCCAGCCTGTGCTGCCGTTCCTCGAGAAATCCAAGCATCCGGTCCTGGTCTACGTTTCCACTGCAGTTGCCTCGATGGGACGGCCATTTCCTCTGCTGTCATCGGCCTACGGTGCTTCCAAGGCGGCTGGTAATTTCATCATCACCAAGATCAGCCAGGAGAACCCGAAACTGATTGCCTTTGCAATCTCCCCAGGATGGGTACGTCGTCTCTGCTCTCTTGAGGATCCGTGGACTAACGTCGGCAAACAGGTTCAAACCGACATGGGGAACATGGGGGCCAAGTCGGCTGGGTTGGAAGCCGCTCCAGAGACGTTGGAAGCCAGCGTGTCGGGCATTCTGAATCGTGTTGACAATGCCACCCTCGAGAAGGACGGCGGAAAGTTCAAGGATTACAAGGAGGACGATATTCCGTGGTAGACATGTCCTGCCGTTCGGGTTTAACCGTGCTCATGCGGTCCATTCCAAAACGTCGAGATGGTTTTGAACACGAAGTAGAGCTGCAATTAAATATATGAAGTACTCGGGCAATTGGGCTTTCATGGCATGTGTTCGTCTTCTTGACCCACCTCTTACTTGCCTCAGGTCTCCAAGCGCTTCCCAAGTAGAAGTCTTGGGGGAAGACGCGTAAAGTGGATTCTTAACAACGGCAGAGTGTAGAGTGCCCGAATGCTGGGTTCAAGTGTGGAAAGGTGGAACATTGGCTCGGTCCTATGTTATGAAAACAACCATTCCCATAATAACTGGCCTACAACCGGCTTCCGCAGAGCTAGAAGCAGATCCCGTTTCGAAAAGCCGAGCGACTGTAGACCCAGAAAGCACATGGCGGGAAGGACGGCGTGACAAGGGACTCGTTGGTGTTCAATGAACCAATATTCCCCAGTATTTCGAAAAGCAACGGCGTGGCTGCATCGTGATTGTGTGGTTGAGTGGGATTGTCGCGGCAGACGAAGCGGCAGTCGTCGGAGAAGAAGATGCAGTTCGGTTGCGCGAGCGACGCCGCAGATGTCGTGCGAGCACGCCAACGCACGCGAGTAAGTATCAACACGCGGAAACACTCCCAACTTGCTAAAGGCTCGGAGAGTCTCTGATACAAGCGGCGGACTCGAGTCCTCAAGTCTGTTAGGGCAATCTCGGAACAGAAAAGTGACCGGAACTTTCCTCTGTTCAGCGAAAGAAAATCATGGCAGAGTGGAAAGTCAAGAAGCTCGTCATACCCGGCCAGAATAAGTACTGCAGATACCCCTCATGTTAGTACAGGCTGTAGATCCATACAAGAAATTCCCCGCGAAATCCTGTCTCACCTTCCATCTTGACCCATCCACGGAATCCTCTCGCCTGCGAGTACAATGTCGGACGCCAAGGAGGACCTAAATGCCACGGACTTGGAGTTAGAGAATCCCGACCGTAAGGTGGTGAAGAGTAAGCTCGAATGCAGGCTCTGGTGCTGGTGGGTTGCTAACGAGTCTAAGCTAAATGGTATCGATCCACGATATACAATGCCGTCATCCTGGGGGTCTGCAACCTGCTGGCGCCGGGTATTTGGGGCGCCATGAACTCACTTGGTGCAGGAGGCGCGCAAAAGCCGTACCTGGTCAACACAGCCAATGCCCTTACTTTCTGTCTCATGGTCGTCACATGCATATTCTCGAGCGTGGTGGTGAGGAAAATCGGAATCAAATGGACGCTTATCGCGGGCACCCTGGGGTACGCCCCGTATGCCGCTGGTCTCTACACGAACAACCGATTTGGCACTGAGTGGTTTGTCCTCTTCGGAGCTGCTCTCTGCGGCCTGTCGGCGGGTATCTTCTGGATGTCCGAGGCAGCAATTGCCCTGTCGTATCCCGAGCCTTACAACCAGGGCCGATTCTTGGGTCTGTGGCTTAGCTTCCGACTGGGCGGACAGATCCTCGGAGGAGCCATCAACCTGGGGATCAATGCCAACAGAAACGAAGCTGGGTCCGTGTCTTACACAGTGTATCTCGTTTTCATTGCACTGCAGGCGCTGGGGCCGTTTGCGGGGCTGCTCCTGAACAAACCATCGCAGGTGCAGAGAAAGGACGGGGTGCCGGTGAAGCTGAAGATCACAGCTGGAAGCACGGCAGAGCTCAAAGCAACGGCAAAGCTCTTCTTCAGCAAAAACTTCCTGTTGATTGTGCCGCTGATCTCGCAGGCCGTGTACTCGGAGGCGGTCGTCTTCACGTTCCAGTCGCTGTGGTTCACGGTGCGAGCGCGAGCATTGGGGTCGTTCCTATCGGGTATCGTGGCCATGGCAGCGGGCAACGTGCTGGGAGCATTCCTTGACCGCACGCAGCTCAAGCTGCACACCCGGGCGCGGTGGGCCTTCTTCACGATTCTCGGACTGCAGGGAGGATGGTGGATCTGGGCGACGGTGCTGGTGACCGAGTTCCACAAGACGCAGCCTACATACGACTGGGTGGATGGTGCGGGCTTCGGCAGAGGATTTGCTCTGTTCTTGTTTATGATCATCGGCTTCCAGATCCAGTACATGTACCTGTAAGTGAGACAGCCGGTCGACACTGCGACGACTAACGGCGGAGTAGATATTTCGTGGTGGGCAACCTCGCCGACGACGAGGCCGAGGTAGTGCGGATTGCTGGTCTGCTCAGGGCGACAGAATCGGCGGCACAGGCAGTCAGTGTAAGTGCCAGCAAGTCCCAAGCGGCGTAGAGCAAGCTAGGCTAACACCCACGGCGGACAGTACGGCTTAAACAGCATTCCAATCATGGCCGAGGTCGGAGGGGTGTATCTGAACTTTGGGCTCTGGGCCGTCTCGCTGCTGCCAGGATGGCTTGTGGTTCGCCAGATCGGGCACGGGTTGGGAGACAGGAAGGTGCATCGCGAGGCAAACCTGGTGCGAGAAGTAGCAGCCGAAGCGACTGGATCAGAGAACCGGTCGAGCTGAAGGTGGCCGCGGATGTTGTAGAAATATGTAGAGTGAACGAAGAGTGTGCACGGTTGCCGATCGACGGCGCACGAGTCATGCAGCTCCGTGATTTTCTGACGCATCTGCGCCCGTTGCTCACCAGCACCACCCCTCCGCCAGAATGGCCGACATCGACGACGACGATGTCTCGCAATTGCCCACTCACAATGCCGACAATGTCGACCTCAGCGACGAGACGCAGGACTTCCGCTTCCTGACCAGTTTGTCGTGCGTTCCGCTGCAGCTCTCCCGTCTTCCGTCCAACGCCTGACATCACGCAGCATCTCTGAGAATGGCGCCTCAAAGCTCCCCAAGCGCGGCGAGAAGGATTTCGAGCCGCATGCAACCTCGCTGCAGGCCAGTGCTCTTGATGCCTCGCGCGAGGCCATGCACCAAGCCATTTCAAGCACCCGTATCCACAACCCCAAGAATCACGTCGTCGCTACCTACGACCCCGTCTCCAACATGGCTCGCGTCGACCAAGTCAAGGGTCAGGCTTTCCGCACAATGGGAAAACACATCTCGGGCGTCATGTGGCTGCTGCCTGAGGAGGCCTTGTACCTGCTCGAGCGCGGCTCTCTTGACATCCGCTGGCCGCCCGCTGACGCTGACGACGAAGGCCTTCCAATGAGTCTGCAGGGAGCGTATGCAGCCTTCATTGGCATGGAAGACTCTGTCGGCGGCCACCTAACCTTGGAGAGATACATTGTTTACGCCGCCCTGAAGCGATCTGGTTACATCATAACCCGTGCTGAGAGCTGGGAGGGTGCCAAACAAGTCGATCATTCTGCAGATAAACCCCCCTCGCCCTCCCTTTTCTGGGACTTTGGACTGTTTCGTAGCCTGTGGAAGTTCCTGCTCCCTACATCACGACGTGGTCCAAATCCTGGTGCTGCCCTCGGCCCTCTTGTGACACCTGGTTTATACCGGCACTACAGTGAGTTCCCCCGCTCTGAACATGGCACGGCAACTGATCCTCTTCAAACAGATGACGTCTACCGTCTGCTAGACCTCGTCCCGTTCCACGATCCTCGCCAGCCGCCGCAGTTCTCTTCGGAAGAGTCAAGCCAAGACCCTTTCCATGTAGCCTACTCTGTTTACAAACCGACGCCAACCTGGAAGAAGTCTGCCCCGGGCCTTCCGGACTTCCGTGTTGCCGTAGTTGATGCACGTGAGACGTCCGTCCCTACGTTGCCACAATTGAACGATCTTCTCGCTTCGACACCCTACGATCCACCCAAGCCAGACGGCCAGCTGTATCAAAAGCTCAAGCAAGGCTACCGGAACGTAATTCTGGCAATTGTCGACCAAGGAATCGTAAGCTATGTGCGGGTGGCGGATGCGGGATTTGGCCTTGAAAGGCTCTACGAGAGAACCCCCCGCGGTCCTGGTTCGAAGCGGGGTGGGTTCAGAGGCCGTGGTCGTGGCCGCGGTCGTGGTCGTGGACGGTAATTAGAGAAGTTCACCGTTTCTACTCAACGCCGACGGCAGGCTGCGTGGTTTGAAAACGCACCACGTGGCAATTGTCACCCCAAGTGGTCCGTTGGGGGATCCTTGTCCTCTTGGCAGAGCGAGGGATGACTGCTCGCGACAGAAAGGCTGGGGCCCTCGCGCACCACTGAACCCTTTGCGAACGGTTTGGAGATCGAAACTCCGAAAGCTGACAACGCATCACGCACCTGTGCATATTCCGAAAACAGAAAAGCCAGTAAGCGCCCTGCGAAGAAATGACCGCTTCAGGCATGGCACCTATAAGCAATTGATCGCGCAGCCAATGGACTCGGGAAGTTAGCTTAGGGCAACGCCCACATCGCAGGTCAGTACTAAAATAAAAGATGGCCGCCGCAGTGGGTGGCGCAGGGTTGGTAACAATGTGAGTCTCATTGATTCCTCGAAAAATATGGAGATGCGGGTAGCCCCTGCCGGTGTGTCCACACCCGGTTCCAAAATATCCTGCCTTGCCTTGCCCTGCGAAAAGACACCATGGTCACTGCGTAGACGTTTGAAGCAAACAATCAGAGTAGTTGTAGGCTTAAATTGTCCAATAACATCTAGACGTAGGCTCCAACCTTCCACGTCAGCGGAGTACGATCTCTTTGATGAGACAGATCTGAAAGGGTCTTTTGCAACTCACAGTGTCCAGTGCGCTCGTTCTTTCGGTCTACACCAGTTTTGCTGCTGCTTTGAACAGGGTTCTCCAGCACAGGCCGACGCCGATGTCATAAAGCAGACTCCGAGCATAGCTCTTTGGCTGTGTGTCGTTGAGGGCATAAACAAGGATGTACGCTGCTCGTACAAGCAAAAAGGCTCCAGTGAACCATGTCATGCCGTCGGAACCTTCGACTTTGTGCAACCCAGCCATGTTTCCTAAGACCACAGCTGCGATGAAGATTGGCATGTTCTCCATACTGTTGGCATGGGCGGCCTCGAGACGCTCGTAAACAGCGTACTTTGACGCGTCGACCCGCTTGGCTATGGCCGATTTCAGGACTTCAGAGCGGGGATTGCGGTTGTCCCACACGGTATTCACTCGGCCGTTCGTTGCGTAGAGGACGGCAGCTAAGTGTGGGAAGACGGCAAGGGCATGATAGGCCGGAATGGCTAGGATAGAGAAATTGAGGTTTTCCATGAGGGAAGACATGGCTCAACGAAGGCCTGGTGGGCCGAATTTTTGGGCAGTCCGGCCTTGTTTATAAGCTCGACGTGATGACTGCATGTAGAGAGACGCCAGCCGAGGCACGACGAACCCTCAGCCATTTCGTTCATGTATGGCCATGCGAGCTTAGTATTATGCAGTCAGATGGTGGCTTTGTCGTGCTTGGCGCGGGAGGAAGATGGCGGGCGGCCAATCAGGCAGCGGGCGGCGGCGCGCGTCACTCCAGCAGCCTGCCCGAACCCCAAGCTCAGCGAGCTGCAGCTCCAGAGCCTCAGCATCACCGTCGTTGTCACAGTTCCTTCCCGCCGCGCTTATTGCACACCTTATCTCATACAACACGCTGCATTTCAAGAGCCTTCGTCCTCGTCTGGCATCATGGTATAGCCTCGTCTTGCCTGTGTGTCGTCGCCAGGTATCGCTAACATGACCGCCGTCAGTCACTCCGCATCACTCCCGCGCCTTCAAACCCTAAGAGCACGACCGCCACTCTGGGTGCCCCGTCGGCTCCTGGCGTTCACGACACCCTCCGTGCCAACCTCGGTCTGACCGCTCCCTCTGCTGCGTCCTCGTCGAACACCCCAGAGCCGCAGCTCCAGTCGTCGCACCCTCTTGAAGCTCGTTTGGCAAAGTGGCGCGCTACGCAGGATGCTCTGAAGATGGAGAATCTGCGCCGCACCTTCGGTATGGCCGAGCCCATCAGACGTGGTATGGAACTCAAGCTTGTGACTGCTGGCGAGTGGAGGCCCGCTGCCCTGGGCGGTTCCAGCAACGTCCACGGCGATATCCTGTCTGGTCGTGATACTGAAATTGGCTGGGAGGACGTCTACAAGGGTAAGTTTCACCGCCACATCCTCGTCTTCCAACATCATTCCATTTGCCTCTGTTCGTTGCGGATGCACCGTGTGCTGACTTCGGCGACACCAGGAGACGAGCTCCGCGAGGCGCCAGACTTCCATTCGGAGATGGAGGCGCGCATGAAGATGACCTGGTAAAGAGAGGAACACTGGCACATATACAAATGGCGCTACCAGCATAGATGAACCAAGACGACGGTAATGGAACACTGCAATTCACATTGGGCTTCATTTGATTCACGGCCTGATTCCAACTTTGGCACGGAATGAAATGTTTTGTTTGAGTATTACATGGCCAAAGGTTGATACATCTTGCACGATTACTTGCACAGTATCCTGTGCTGTGTGCCATATAGGCTTGTTGCGATACTGAACATTTGACGGTGATAATGATGAAGAGCTCCAGAACGCCATCTCTGCCCATGATCGCTTTGCCTCACGCCAGCCAGAAGAGAGAAACGAGGAAAAAGAAGAAAAGACTCAGAAAAAAAAAGACAAGCCATTGAAGACGTCTTGACCGCTGACGAAAGCAACATGTACACAACCCCAAACACTCTGTCGTCAGCCAAACACTTGACGCATGCATTCCTCGCACTGTCTCTGGAGCACTGGTATCTTGGTGGATAAGATGAGAGCAACTGGGATCCTCACTCTTCGACAAAAGGCAATCCAAAATGAAGACGGAACATCATAGGATGACGCAGCGACACCTTGCGGTTGTCTCGCCGTCATCGTTGTCGCGGCCTCCTGCCTTTGCTGTTTTTGCATCCTCTTCATCAACAACTTCTTGCGGCTTGACGGTCATGTGAACAACATTGGGAGATTCTGCCTGGAAGCGGCAGTCCTTCAGCGGCTGCTTGTCGTCGAGCATCCGTCCAAAGGAAATCAACCGTATTGAGCTGGGCGACGAGGGCCGCGGCTCCCATTCTGTCGAGGTGTGTTAGCAGGTTCATGGCCCATTGCCACCGGTCTGGATTGCTCGCATCGCACCTTCGCGCCAATCCCTCCATATCAGCTCCTTGAGGGTGTAGACACTGATGTTGAAGGGATCCATGTTCTCGACAGTGACATTGCGTTTGCGCAGATATTTTTCGTCGATCTTGTAGGGATGGCGGGCGCCGCTGGTGAGCAGCAGGGTGATGACGACCTGGGGACCGCTGGCCGGATCCGGCTTCGCGGCGGGAGTGTCCGAAGCGGGCCCAATGGCTTCGGTTTCGGAGCGAACGAGAGCCGGCTCGGGCGACGGCTGCTGGGGCGCGTCGTGCTGGACGTCTGAATCTTGCGGTGTGGCGTTGGGAGTGGAGGCGACAGGCGGTATCGACGAGTCGGGCTCCGGGGCCGACTGCGGCGTGAGGTTGCTCATTTCGACAGAGCTGGGCTGGGGGTCGGCTTCATGGGCAGCGGGTTGGGCTGGCGCGTCGGCGGATGCTCGAGAGCCTCTGCGAGGAGGAGAGGAGGCCATGGCTTGGGGGTTGCCGGGGGGCGCCAGCGACAGGGAGGGCAGGCGGTCGGGGGGCAGATCCGCGCGGGCGATAACGAGCGGCGCGTTTTTCAGGGCTATCGGCGCAGGAACAGGGCGACCATCGAGCCAAGGAGCCTGGAGAAGTACAGACAAACAGACGGACAGGTACGGACGGGGTTGAGGCTGCGCTGGCTGTAGGGCGGGACTTGCGCGCTGAGGGAGAGCGCTCGCTTCCCTTGGCAAATCAGCGTCGTCGGCTTCCTTCAGCACTTCTGGCACGCCTGGCCAGGCCTCGAAGCGGCGCAGCTCTGGTGAATGCCGCCTGCCGCCGCCTCGCCTCAGCCCGTGGACGTCATGGTCGCGCTGGAGCTCGTGGCGCCGCGCCCCGGCGCGCGGCCGGACAATGGTCGACTAGCCAGCAACCAAGAGTCGTCCTGGAGTGCTGGTTGCACGCTCCACTCCTACCAGAGCGACCGTGCCGATCTTCCGCTTCCACCCTCCCGCCCTGTGGGGGCGCCTGCGAAACTGCTGCCTCTTGGCGCCTGGCGAACGCTGCTTCTGACGTCTGGAATTGCTAACCTACTCCCTCGGCCTTCACTGCGCCCATCGCCCGTACGCCGCCGCGCTCTCGAGCCGCACGCCCTCCATCTCCTCGCGCACGCCCAGCATGCCCACGCGCCCAATGCTCACTCCTCCAGCCGTGGCATCCGCTTTCCACCCCCGAAGCAGCCCTTGCAGCTTCTCCACCACGTCAGGCCGATCCTCTATCAGCAGGGAAACCGCGTCATACCCACCCGCCCCTGGCACCACGCCGCCAATGACCCCGGGCACTTGCGAGCACGCGTCCAGCAGCGCCGTCTGCTCTGCCGGCTCAATCGGCACTCCCGACTGCTGCGACATGTCTCGGACCAGCCGCCGGATATCTGCGATGCGGCTCTTTAGCTTCTCGTAGTCACGGCTCTTACTTTCTGCAAGCGCGACCAGCTCCGCTGCGAGCGCTTCGTTGCTCCTCTGCAGCTGCGCCCACAGCGCATTTGCCTCGTCCGCCTTCTCGGCGCGCCATGCGAGCACCTTTTTCACCATGCTGGGCGTCTGGGAGCCGCAGTCGACGTCGCACATCACGAGGCGGATTCCTTCGGGGACTTTAATTGCGGACTTGGTAATCACGGTATCCCACTTGCGCGAAGGCTCACTGTCGTCCACCAGAGCCCTCAAAGCGTCGGCGAACCCAGCTTCGCCGGGTTCTCCATGAGCCGACAGGAGCGACGGCGAGAACCTGCGGTACAGACAGGAGCCGAACACTGCAGACGCGACGTCGAAGCCGGAGCCAACCTTGCCCTGGGCGGCGCAATGGGCAGCTTGTGCGAGGTTGTGCAGCCGCAACTTCCCTTCGTCGGTCGCAAGCGAAAAGACATTCTCAGGAAGGTAATGAGACAGCACTGCGCCGGTGAAGGCGGTGACCAGGGCAGCGGAGGAGCCAAGCCCGGTCTTGTGCGCCTCCCACAGCGGCACGTTAAAACTCTTGAACCGCTCGCCAGGCGGCTGGACGTCGGCAGGGCCGGCGGAGTAGTAGTCGTTGTCGGCCAGGATGGTTATCGAGGCCGGCGCAATGCGTTGCGGGGTGATAGCTGAGATGTAGGTGAGCGCATAGCTGAGAGCCGTCTCGACGAAGGGATTGCGATGGAGTGCTTCTGTAGCGCGACTAGACGCGGCGGTTGGAATGAGCGGCAGGAACACCAGAGGAGATGGTCGTTGGCATCCGGTCACCATGCAGCGCGGCACAAGGGAAGCAAACTTACGCCTGGAGCTGAGTCACCTCGATGCCGCCAGCGGACTCGGCGAGCCTGTAGCCATATTCCCAGCTCGCGCCGACGAACTGAGGCGACTGGACAATTATCTCGGAGAGGCTAACGCCGGAGCCCGTCGACAGCGGGCGGACGAGAACATGGATGCGGGCACTGAGGCCAAACACGAGGCCATTGAAGTCGCGGTCGAGCACCAAATAGCCGCCGGCGAGCAGGACCTTGCCAGGCGCAGAGACAGCCGTAGCCATGGTGAGGGAGATCGTCAAGCGTTGCACAGCGGGCACAGGTTCTGCCGATTATGAGGGGCGCTCGGAGAGACTGCTCTGGGAAGGCCGGGGTCTCGAGGCCTGGCGCTCGGCGCTGCGGGCGCGATTGGAAATCAAAAGGGCTGTGACGGCAGAGGGCGGGGTGCAGCTCCGCAGAATGTTCGTGGAGGATGAGTCACGCCGGCTGACTGCAGGCGCCGCAGCTGGCAGCCCCAGGGGCGCGGACGCGGCGGAAGCAGAGCGCTGTCACGAGGAGCTTCGCAGCCCGCTCCCCGAGGCCGTTTTGTGGCTCGCGTGCGATCGAACAAGCCTAGCTCCTAGGGAACTACCGGAGCGCCTAGCTCGCCGCCCGTGGATCTCACATTTTCGCTGCCTCGTCGGCGTCACCACCACAGCTGCGTTTTTTTTTTCCCGCGGTGCTGCCTGCGCGATCCTGAGGCCAGCTTCCGTCCCTCCTTCGTGGCCTTTCTACCTTCTTCTGGCGTGGCGGCTGTCTTTTTACCAGCCCCGATCGCCGCCCTCGCTCAATCCCACACCTCCGGCCACCTCGGTCTAATCCACCACCTCCCAACATATCCTCCACACCCATTGGAAGCGCGTTCCTTTGGCGGCAACCGTCGTCAAATGAACCTGCAACACAACTTCCTTCCGAGATAGAAAGTGTAAGCTTGGCTCCCCGCGCCCCGCGCTCGGCTATCTCGTGAGCGCGCTCCAGGCAGCTGTTTGCTAATGCGCCACGCGCGCCTGCCCAGTCTCGCCCCTTCGCGCTGAAGGGTCGTCCCGCATTCTAAATGGTCTTCAAGACCCTCAACCTCCGAAGCCTCAGTCTTGCGAAGACTTTCACCCACGGCTACGCCCAGTCCGTCGTAGCTGCCTCGCAGTCCTCCTACGCCTCCCAGAACTTCAGTCACGTCTCCAATCGCTTTGCAAAACACCCCTCCCAGCAAAATGGCTACGCTTCCTCGACTCAGCCTGGTCCGAGTCTCAAGTCTGTTCACCCGGACCACCATGATTCTGGGCTAGCCGCCTATTTCGATGCTTGGCACAAGCACCAAAGGCTCGAGAACCGGGAATGGCATCAGTTCCAGTTTGCCAAACGCATCGAATGGAAGCCGCCCTCGAGCGTCCAGGAGGCCGAAAACGCCGCAAAGGACGCGTCTTCTGCGACCATCGAAGATGTCGACCCCGAGGACAAACCAGCTCGCGGTGCCGCCGACCGCGCCTACAGTGCGAGTGCTGTAGATGATTTCAAGCAAGTAGTTGACCACAAGGCGGAGGCGGAAGCATTGGCAAAGATTGACGAAGCCATCAACCGGGAAATCGAGCGACGGAAGAATGAGCCGGAGAACGATGTGGGAGATGCCGGCTCCATTGCTGCCGACCTCGAGGCGCTTCCCTCCCAATCGCCCGTTGCCGCTTCCCAAGCCTCCCCGAGGATTTCCACCCCTCGATCATCCACCACTGCCCCTACGTCCGTCTCGGAAGCCGAAACATATGCAACGCAGCTGGAGAGGCTTGCGGAGGGTCGCCACTATGCTGAAATCCCCGCCGTTTTTGAGAACATGCTCATTGGCGGTGTCAAACCCACGGCTTCTGCATACAATGCGCTGCTGGTTGCTGCCATCCACCTTCCTAGAGCGAAGCATCAAGTTGTTCCCAAGGCACTGGACGTGTATTCGGACATGCTGAGGCGCCGCGTGCTTCCGGACCCGAAGACGTATTCTATTCTGATTGAGTTGCTCTCCGTGCGTGCTTTGGAGGTCCTGTCTTCGAAGCAGATCCTTGAGGAGAAGCGCGTCAGGTTTGGTGGAATGGATGAGCAGGGCAGGTTCATGCTTCAATCCAACGAGACCGACTTTGCCATTCTCTTAGAAGATGATTCGCTCAACATGGCCGTCAAGCTTTTCAACACAGCATCCGCTATTCAGTCCAACAGCACTTTCTCGGAAAAAACTTATCGCAGGCTGATCACCGCGTGTGCTGAGCTCGGTCGCGTCGAGGACATGGTTCGCATCTACACTCATATGGAATCCAACAACATCCTTCCTCGTGCGGAAATGTTCGTCCCCATGATCCACGCGTTTGCAGCTTCCGGAGACTTGCGGTCCTCTGTCGAGTGCTACGACGAGTACAAGGCTTTGGCAATTGCGAACGACAAAGGAGAAAACGCCATGGTCCGGAAGGACAACGATGTATACGCTGCTTTGGTCAAGGCCTACGCAGTATGCGAACGTCTGGAGGGAGGACGCAAGTTTCTTTTGAAGCTCGAACAAACCATTGAGGATCCAGAACGAGTTGCTAGCCTCCGTGACATCGTTGGTTTGAAGGCCTTCATTCCGGTCTGGCTTAAGAACGGTTCGTTTGAAGATGCCGTGACTCACGCTCGGGAGCAGCTCAGCTCAAATGCTCGGCACGTGGCCATGGCTGCTATCTGCGTCCGCGCTGCAGACTCCAACTCTGTGGAGATGGCTACGAATGCCTTCGAGTCTCTACCGGAACACATGGAAGTGTCTGTCCCCGCAGTCGCGATGATTGCAATGCACATTCGCAACGGTAACATCGATGCTGCTCAGTACTTTTGGGACATCCTCGAGGTTTCTGACGCACAGCCGCTCTTCGTTGAACCTTCTGCAATGCTTGCGATTGCGCTCATTGGTAGCGGCCATGCCGAGCGTGGACTGCGTCAGAACCGTCGCATGCTGGGTCGTCTTCGCGATTCGCAGACTGGAAAGACGAAAATGGAGGTTGTCGAGCAGATCGATGAAGCCGTCGAGGTCATTGGCCACTTTATGATTAAGCGTGGGATTGTGCCACCGGCGAAAGCCAGCATGGAATTGTTCTGGACTATGGTCGAAAACGGTGGACTTGTTCCTTCGGTCGCTGCGCACCTCCTGGGTGGCCTCGGCCCCGAGGGAGTCGCTCAACTTGCATTTGAGGATCTCACGCTTCTTATGCAAATCCAGACTGGCATGATTCTGAACACTTCTGCCGCAGACATTGCCAACCAGGCTCGCTTCTCTCACGTGCTGGAAGTTCTCATGGCGCACGGCCTGCCAATCGACAAGCAGACCTCGAGCTTGATCGAGAAGGTTCTGATGAAACTCGACCGTCCAGATCTCGCTCGGCGCTGGCAAGCCTTCCGTTACCCGACTATGCCACCGATGTTCACTCCGGTGCCCTTCTCGGCATTTGGCGCCCCTCCACCAGTAGCACCCACACCCGTGTTTGAGGACAACTACGATCCGTATGCCGCAACTACTGATAACAAGGGATCCGTTGTCATTACAGACCTTCTGGAGAAGACTCACGGACGTCCCGCTTCTCACCTGAATGAGGCTCTCACGAAATTCAGGAATATGAGACGAGCTGGCAGACACCCTCGTTATTTTACGTATGCCAAGTTGATCACCGCTGCCGCCAAAGAGGGACGCATGGACCTTGCCCAAGATATTCTGTCGCTTGCCAAGCAAGACGTCCCCTTCCAACCACAGCACCGCATTGTCCGATACGGCTGGGTGACTATTCTGGACTCCATGGTTGCTGCTTGCCTCCAGGCTGGCGACCGTCATGGAGCTTCTCGATACCACCAGGAACTCCTCGACATGGGTGCCGCCCCATCGGCGAATACTTTTGGTTTGTACATCACGACGCTCAAAGAGTCGACCAAGACTTTTGATGAGGCCACGGAAGCCGTCAAGATTTTCCTTAGGGCCAAGTCTGAGGGTGTTGAGCCATCGTCATTCCTCTATAATGCGTTGATTGGCAAGTTGGGCAAGGCGAGACGTATCGACGACTGCCTGTTCTACTTCCAGGAAATGCGTAATCTTGGTATCCGCCCGACCAGCGTTACTTACGGTACCGTCGTCAACGCACTCTGCCGTGTGAGTGATGAGAAGTTCGCTGAGGAACTGTTCGAGGAGATGGAGAGCATGCCCAATTACAAGCCCCGTCCAGCTCCCTATCACAGTATGATGCAGTTCTTCCTTACCACCAAGCGCGACCAGAGCAAAGTTCTGTCCTATTATGAGCGTATGCGGTCGAAGGGTATTGAGCCTACCACTCATACCTACAAGCTTCTCATCGACACGCACGCAACACTGGAGCCGATCGACATGGCAGCCGCTGAATCTGTCCTGGACCAGGTTCGTGAGTCCGGTCAGCGGCCTGAGGCAGTCCACTTTGCCTCACTGATCCACGCTAAAGGCTGTGTCCAACACGATCTGGCAGGCGCCAAGGCATTGTTCGATTCGGTTCTCGCGAAAGGAGAGGTTCGTCCGCAAGCCTGTTTATACCAGGCTTTGTTCGAGGCCATTGTTGCGAACCACGACATTGGTGCGACTGAGGCGTATCTCTCGGACATGAAGGCTAGAAATGTCGAGCTGACGCCGTACATCGCTAACTCGTTGGTCCATGGCTGGGCGAGTGCAAAGAACATCGAAAAGGCAGCAAGCATCTACGAATCAGTGCCGCTTGAGAAACGCGAACCCAGTACGTACGAAGCGATGACAAGGGCATACATGTCGGTCGAAGACCGCACAGGTGCAGCAGTGGTCGTCAAGGAGGGCCTCTCTCGGGGCTATCCCGCCGCTGTGGCTAACAAGATCCGGGAGCTTATCGGCGGCGGCTGGACTGGCGCTGGTGAAGGCACCGAAGCACATGCTGCATAAGCAGCATGGTCAGGCATCTCACTTGGATTATTCATTTCCCGGACTTGATTGGGTTTTACTCGGTGGGCCCTGAACTTGGAGCAAGGCGACCAGTACAGGAAGAAAACGGAACGGATAAGCAAGCGGGATGCGGTGGAAGAGCATCCCGCGGACTGTAAAGCGCAGGCGTTTTGGTGCATGGGTATGGGAACTATGTGGGCTTTTACAGCGGTGTTGGACGGGTATCTGAAGCCTGCGTATTTATGTAGCAGGCATCTGGCTCTTTCTTTTTTCCCCCTGATTTTGCGCAAGGCGGGTGTTGCTTTGTATTATACCCGGGATAGACATCTCCTCTCTCATAAAAGCCAGAAGGTTCCAAGAGCGCAGTTCTACGACCCTCAACTGCTTGTGATCATGTTCAAAATGGTGCACGGTCCGTTTGGGCAGGTGTCCGTGCACGCTTGCAAGGAATGCCGTGCGTCACCAGCCGCGAGCTTGCACGATCTCCACCACTCCACTCTCCGCTGTCGCCTTGGAGCTGTCCACACCTCGTCCATCCTTTTCGCACCGGTCTCAACACCGTTGCGCCTTTCGCACGACACTGCCGCTTAGTCGGCCGCCATGGTCCTTGAGGAAGCCACCAACCCGGCGAACGCGCCGCCCGATTCCTTTGCTGATAATGCGTATCCGTCCGACACCGACCCGTACTCTACTTCCAATGGCAGTCCGCAGCAATCAAACGTCCGAATCGACCTTAGCGAATTCCCGCTGCCGCCGCCAATTCTCGGCGCTCTCGTGGGATATCCTCGCTCACGCGTTGTGGGCAACGTCACCGAATATATGAAGGCCGCAACGCACGTCTTACACCGTACGTTAACAGAAGATGAAGCTAAAGCGCTTACGTATCATGTCGCCAAGGCGAGCAGCACATCGGCCTATGGTGCATCCGTCGGCGCCCTTGTGGCTATGGCTCGCTGCTACCAGACTAGGAGGGAGTTCAAATTCCCGTTTTGGAATCCATCGAGCGCCCCAGGCTGGAATCCTGACATTCTGGGTCCGCTGAAGGGGCAGGCAGCTCGCACGGCGTACCAGCTACTTCGCATCCCGCCATACTGGTTCATCGGTGCCTTTACAGCTGGGATACTGGCGCAGAGCTACTCTACCGCGATCGGAACCATTTCAATCGCGCAGGATGAGCGATTGAAGGCGTTGAATGAGGCAATTAAGCAGCTTGCCAAGAACAGGTCTGGCCTCCCTAGCCGCCAGCCCGCGCCCAACGCTCCTCGCCCAGCCCCAGCCTCGCAAAGCGATGGCAATGGTATGTACGATGATATGTCACCGGCCTCCGGCTCGTATAGCGAAAGCCCGGCGCGCTCAGACTCGCCCAAAGATGCCGCATCACGTTGGGGCCAGGACCGACCGGTTGCTCCATCTGGTTCGTATGACGATGCATCGCCAACTGGCGGCTTGGGCCCCTTTGATTCGGGCATCTCTTCAGCCGGCGGCTCCGCATGGGACCGTGTCAGACAACAAGCTTCCTCAGGGCAGGGGCCCCCAAGTGGATCTTCTGCGCCGTGGGCCAGATCCACACAGAAAGAACAACGTACAGGATCGACTTTTGGGGATAGCTTCACATTCTCGAGCAGCGAAGAGGAGAGGCAGCTTGCGAAGGCTGAGGCACAGAGAGAGTTCGATGAAAGGATCGAGAAAGAGAGGAGAGGTGCGGATTTCAATGAAGGCAGCAAGAGATGGTGAGGACATCTGCAGCCAGCCATCGACGGGACGCTGGATGTTAGCTCACATCTCCCCTCCAAAACCTACGACAAGATTCAAATGAACGCGGAAGCATATCCCCAATACAAACTCGCCATGAATGGGCATGTTACTATTTGCCCGGCCCATCAGTGAAGCTTTGTTTCTTTTGCTTTTGAGGGAAAGGGCAACACGGACAAGGGTGCACTCTCCTATTGCGTCTGATGGCTGCCGCTGATCTTGTTTCCTTTTCCCTTTTTCGCGGTCAGCCTTGGCAGGCACCCACGAAAGACGACTCCAATGAGGTGCAATTGCGTCGTAATCCTCTGTCATTCGCGCAAAATGCGGGCGAGAATTACCTGCCATGAGAGCCGGGCTTTAAATTACGACCGTGCTCGCGACACGGTTTGAAACACGCCACTTGAGTCAGCGAGCATGCATGAGGCACTGTGCCTTTTCTAAATAAGGATTTTCAGTTTTCCTAGGCCGAAGCCGATCTACAACTTCCCCCGGCTGTCGCCGACTGCAAGTGTTGGTATGCTCGCACTCGGTTTGAAACTACAGGACCGGTGTGTATGCAGCTTGAGCATTTCCGAAAAAAAAAAAACGCGGTGGTCAAGACATGCGGAGCCCAACCTTGCTTCAGCGTGAGCAAGACGGGTCTCTCCTCCCCTTCCCGAACCGGGGTGGCGCAGGCAAGGGATCTGGATCGTCAGCCACAGCGGTTCGGCGGCGATGGAAAGGATAAACACGCGAGGTGCAGGGCGTTTTGGGCTAGCGGATCGCCTGTGCTCCCGAATCGGGTGCGGTAGCGCGGCGGGGAGACGGAGTTGGTCAGGGTCAGTGCGCTGCGGCTCTGCCCTGCAGTCGTGCAACTCACATCAGGACGGCGGACCCGCGCTGCAGCGGCGGGCGGTGAAGGGCGTGCAGCGCGGCTGCTGGGCCGGCGGCGAGCGGACGGGCTGGTAAACGGCGGCGGCGGCAAGGCGGGCGCTGGTGCCAGTGCTGGTGCTGTTGCTGCAGTGCAATTTCCCACGCGACCAGGGGCTCGGCGCGCCAGCCAATCCCACGCGGCTGGCTTCGACCTCTGTCTGTGCCTGCGCGGCGCTGCTCTTGCCTGCGCCTGGGCTTGTGCTCCCGACGCACGTCGCACGTCGCCAGTCCTCCGCCGCTCCTGCCTCTCTCTGCCTCTCTCTCTTCCGCCGTTGGACGCTTCCCACCCAGTCACTCGTTCAGTGTCCCGCGCGCCGCCAGCAACCCACGTCAATCCGTCTGAGACACGCGCCCCCGACACCGCCCGACCGCCGGCTGTCTCGTGTTTGCTGCAAACGAGTGATGGAGTTTTGACCGACCACGGCCACTTCCTGTGTGACGGACGCGTCCGACAACCGCCATGTCGTCTCGTCGCCTGCGGCCCACGACCGCCTTCTCCACGGCCGTCCTGCTGTCGCTCGCCACCGTCGCCATGGCCCAGAACTCGTCCTGCATTTCTCTGGCCGGCTCCACCCAGTGCCCTGCTTTCAACACCGCTTCCGTTTCCACCGGCGATTCTCTGACCGGTCTCTTGTGCGCCGCCTCTGCCTGCTCGAACTGACCCCGGCTGACTCCGCCTCTTCCAGTCCATTTCTCGCATACGTATCTGACACGGACTCGTTCGACCAGTATCTTGCCGCCTACGTGCAATCCAGCTTTGTGCAACAGAGGTACGTGCCCTCAATGGCCTCGCACCACTCTTGCTCACCTGTGCTAGATATGTCCAGCTGCTGGGTTGTTCCAACATCGACCTTGACAACACCACCAACGTCTATGCCAGATACACTACTAGCGTATTGTGTAATGCTATTGTACAGAACTCAATTGACGACTGCTCCTTGTCCGACGATGAATCCCGCCCGCTCTGCGCTGACACCTGCGTACGCTCCGCCCCCAGCAAGCTCTGCAGTCCAGCCACTGACCCCCACAGGCCGAATATGCCATCAGCGAGCAGGAAATCGCTGCCGCCCCGGCGCTTTGCGGAACGACGAGCGACAATGTCAATACGCAGATCCGTGCTGACTTCACCAACTGTGCTCTTCCCGCCAACTCCCTTACTGGTACTTGCATCTCAGGCGTCCAAAATGAGCCCAACAATTGCGGCTATCTCGACAACCTCCAAGGCCTGTGCTCTTTCTGCGCCTCTAGCTCTCCAAACGCAACCGATTCGTGCTGCAACAACTCCAACGTGAACGAACGTTGTCAAAACGTGGAGCTGCCGACAACGACTTCCATGCCCCCACTGTTCACGAGCTCGACAGCCAGCCCAACCGCAACATCGGCCGCAGGAAATGGAAGCGGTGTTCGGCGCGGCCTCTCTCCGGGTCAGATCGCTGGCATTGTCATCGGCGCTGTCCTGGGTGCTGCACTTCTGTTGACCTTTATGATTTGCGCCTGCATCATCTTCCGACGGCGTCGGGCAAGTCAAGTCGGCAGCGTCTTCAACACACCCTCGCCATCACGTGGGAACACAGTCGCACCCGCCATGTCGTACTCTAATATGCGCGAGCAACCACCCATCCCTCCTACTGGTCGTGTCGCTCGCATGAATGCCCTCGAAGAGACGTCGAGCTCTGATCCATACAGCAGCCCTCGCGAAGGCCACAGGTACGGCCAATCTGATGGATCTGGTGGAAGCCCGCGCTCTGCAGTCGTCGCTGCCGGTAGATTGCCAAAACGCAATGGCTCCCTCTCTAGCTCATCCAGGCTTAATATTGGAGACGAGCCTCGCTCTCCCGAACCGAACAGTAACGACGAGGAGTTTTCGTCACCTGAGATGGGCAGTGGCCAGTCGGAACAGCTACCTTTCTTCAAGGATTATTATTCGCAGGACGAAATTAGGCCCGGCGACTCAGTCGCTGTCTTGTGGGCGTACCAACCTCGCGCCAACGACGAATTTGATCTCGAGAGAGGCGAAATGATCAAGGTGATGGGAATTTGGGATGACGGATGGGCTACTGGGATGAAGATAACACAAACTGCAGATGATTGGGACGCAGACAGAAAGATGCAGCGCGATAGCGGAATGTCAAACGGCAGTCAACGTCTAGTGGAGACTGTGGGCGAGGTCAAGGCCTTCCCGGTAAGTGTGGAAACATTGTCCACGTCGAATTTTTCACTGATAATGCTGACTCTTATCAAAGCTTGTCTGTGTTTGTTTACCTCAGCATTGGAGGAAAACGATAGACGGCGACTCCTCCGCGGGCGATTCTGACAGGCCACCAACTCACAGCCCCTGAGCTACCAATTTCCCCACCCCAAGCAACGGGGCATTCTCGACTTTTCATGCCGGTACGATGATGGCGTTCATGTTCTTACTTCTTCCGAGACCACAACACCGCGCACGCATTGAAGGACCACTGCTTCGAAGCACTAAATTCTCAAATCCGGCAACCTGCTGCTTAAGTCTAAACAGCGGAATTCTGGAAAATGAGGGCGAGAGCAGGGGGAGAGCTCGCAGCAGCTTCCCCGGCCTTCCCTCCAAGACATTGATATCATTCTCCTTGCATACTTAGAGGATCAGCCCCCTTCTTCTTCTTCTTTTCTTGTTGAGCGTTCGATACCCCCGCGCTGGAGCCGTGGCCGGCTAGTTTGTAGAGTCTTGTACTGTTTGTGTCTGTCTTCGTTGTCCATATATCCCGACAACACTGGCCTATGTCACGCTATGCATGGCATGGCATTTAATATCCACTTTTGCCGATTCACGGTGCACGACTCCCCATGCTTTTTTTTTCTTTTCACTTGTTAGCGGCAGTGATTGAGGGGGGATGGCTGGAGACGAGAGCTCGTTCCTTCAGATGCGACCATTTTGCGCTTTGCGCTCTCGCTCAATGTACGAACCAAACACATATCAGCCAGACAGTATGGTTGAAACCGCCCAACTGGATTGAGGCCATGAGGGGCGCCTGGGGAGCCTTGTGGTTCGAGGCTTTTCAGAAAGAGTCAATGTTCCTTGCCACCCTGGGGTCGAGATTCCAGGCGCCAGACCTGGTTGTTCGCAGTTCCACACATATTGCCGCCTATTCTCTTCTCGTCTAACTTGTCCACCTGAGCGCTTGGATGAACTAAAATCTTGGATAGAGCTCCGTATAGGCGATGCAGGAAAAACCGTGGTGAAATGGAGCACTACGACGCAGTTGTACATAACGTCTCTCTTCGGTAGTGGTCATGAGGAGATCTAGCGAGCGATCCACTTGTCGCACGCTACCTCGAAGAATAGCTTTCTGCATGGTTTAATGAACTGTCGTTCTTATGGAAACGTCAAAGAACAGTCGCTGAGAGGGATGCAATGCTCCCCGGATGATCAGACAGCCAGTTTCATGTTGCGATATCCAATACCTTTCGCCCGAATTTCCTTTGGTTTGTATGCAAATGACAGTGATCAAGGGCGCCTCCGACTCCACTCGAGATGTTTACACCGCTCTTTGACTCTTGGATAAATTTGTAAAAATTGGGAATCTGTGTGCGCGGCGACTGACATAAGAGCTTCAACGATATCAAGTCTCTGCAGAAGGCACGGGTAATGAATCATTACACGGATATACGTGTTTTCATGTTCGATTGGTAGTTTCTATATACTCCGTCTGTTAAGTGTATGTAGCCTTTTGTAGACTGACAAACACCAAATGTGCTGCTGCACCACGAGCATCAAAGCTATCAAGCCTTTCCATTCGTCAAGCCATTCTTCAGCGATGCGTTGGCTTCCCGAAGTCTGATTACGGTGCTGACGTGTGTGAAACACAACGGCTCCTCCTGCTTTGTCGCCAGAAGCTGCGCGGTCTTCAAAACGTTCTTGATCTGGCGACCATTCATGTTTTGTTCAGCCAGACGGTCTAGCTCTTCCTCTGCAAATGGTGCAGCGTTTGCAATGCGATCCACAAACGAAGACCAGACATGGCGGCGGGAAGCAAGGTCCAGGTCCTCATACTGAAGCGAGAGGTGGATTCTTGACTCGAACGCCGCGTCAATGTTCTCGACACGGTTGGTCGTCAAGAACAGGATGCCGGAATAGTATTCAAGAAGCCGCAGGAAGATAGAAACCAGCTTGTTGCGTTCCAGATCGTGTGTGGAACGTGCTTCCAAGAAGACATCGGCTTCATCGAGGAGAAGAATGGAGTTCCATTTGGTGTTCATCTCCAGGATGTTGGAGAGTGCGGATTCGACCTCGGATGGCTTGGTTCCCAGGTCACCGGCACTCATTACGTAAAGGGGAACCTTCATGACTTCGGCCACCGACTCGGCTGTCAGCGTCTTTCCAACACCAGGTGGGCCAGAGAGCAGCATGATGATTCCGCGGCCCTTGCCAGAGATGACATCGTCGAAGCAGTCTTTGTTCTTCGCCTGGGTCTGAGCAAAAGCAAGAATGAGATCTTTCTGTTCAGGCGGCGCAACGAGCGAGTCAAAGGCTTGCTCGTTCCAGTCAATTTCCTTGATGCCTCCAATGGGGAATTTCATCCACTTCTTGTCCCTGAGAGAGTAGCCCCGGAGAATGTCGGTGCATATCAGGAACTGCTCCTCTCCCATGCAGAGATCAGTGTTTCCTTCAGGCATTGGTGGCCATGGCTCGGTTATTCCAATCCCATCATCGGACGCGGAATCATCCGAGTAGTCGTCGTAGTCCGAGTCGAACTCGTCGGAAGAGCCAAGTGGCTGCATGTCATCTGCCTTGAGTCGGCTCACGCGAACTTTCTTGTTCGGGTTGAAGCGGTTGAAGGCGTAGGTGTCAATGATGACGCGACCATTGATGCTGAATCGGGTAGGTCCCCAAGGGCCGTATCCCACGCAAACACCTTCGTACGACTTGAAGTGAAACTGAAGATGATAAGCTTGGGTCTTCTCGCCAGATAAGATACACATACGCCTTTGTAAGCCTCGAAAAGCCGGCCGCGAGCGATCAGACTTTTCTTCACCTGCTTGAGGTTTGGATGGTAATGAAGAGGATGAACGGGTAAGCTTGTGATGGGCCGGGTTCCCGAAAAGCAAGGGATTTCCAGGCAGCTGTTGACGTATCCAAACTGTTCGCCGTCCCAGTCGATAGATCTGACGGCTAGATTGAACTGTGGCGGATCACAGGAGTACGAGCCGTCGGACAGGGAATATGCGCGGTCAACGCCGTCGTCGTTGTTGTAGACGGTGACGCCGGGCTCGAAGATGGTCCAAACAGCCTGGTAAGTGATGACGCCATTGGAGAGGAGGTCACGCTTCTCGGCAATGGTGTCGCGAAGCTCTTCCTCAAGGACAGCCCAAAGAAGCTGGACATGCTCTTTGGTCTCCGGGTCAGTCTCGTTTGCACGTGCCTCGATGAATTTCTCCCAGCGATGAACGAACGGCTTGAAAGGGGCGGCGAATTCCAAGCGCTCGAGGCTGGTGGTGACGCCTGGGTACTTGTCAAACACCCTGCCCAGCACCTGTTTGAGCCGCGGGCTCTGGATAACCATGGATGCGACGCGAAGCTTCTTTCGGCCGTCATAGCATTTCGTATGACGGACAATCAGAGCATACTGAGCCGCCTCGGCGTTCTCTGGGGGCTCCTCGAGGTCATCAGGGTAAGTCGTAGTCCAGGAGACCTTTCCTTTGCTGTCCGGCTTCGTTTGGTAGAGGTCACGGATGCGAGCCATGGTGCCCGCAGGCAGGTATTGCGTGCCTTTGGTCGCGTGGATGTCGACCTGGGAGTTGGAAGGGCGCGCCATTTTCCTGGTAGTAGTTTTGAGCGCAAGGTCCGTCCATTTGAAGGGGAATGAAGATATTTATACATCAGAGGTGAGGGTGAGCCCAGGCAGCACAGGTACTGCTGCCTTCAGCATCTGCCTGGCGCTTTCCAAACATGGTAAATAAACCACCAAGGAGCAACGTGATTGGCTCCCGAGCGCGCAGGTGCTTTGGCGCGTCCAACATACAGTCCCCTCTCGCAGCCGATGGCTCATGTTGTGGGTAGTAAAAAATTCGACACTTTCGTCCGGACGATCGCTTCAACTACCCACATGTGTTATTTTTTCTAAGAACGGGCTGAGGCATAGTTACGTCTGGGGCCTTGCTATTCTTCACGCTAGCCATCGGCTGCGAGAGGGGACTGTAGCTCAACATGCGTCCGTGACTCACTCGAAGACATTGCCGAATCAGGGCAAGCCGGCCGTTGGTGGTTGCGGAAGAGCCATGGCATCATGAGCAGCACCTAGTGGTGCCGCCGGACCGCCACAAAATCCGGATCTACGCGCGATAAGATGGCCATTGCCTATCGCGGCCTAGCGCGAGCCCCTCGGCCTGCGTCAGCATCGCTGCTCGCCGCGCATCGCCGAAAGTTACGTTTCCTCTCCCCCGTCCGCAATGCCCGTCTACATTGCCGTGCAGGCCCTGTTCGACGGCATAGGGAGCATTCCCTATGCCTGGACCATCATCAAGACCCTCCCATGGCTCGCCCTCCTAGTCCTGCTGAAGCGTTACTTCGGCGGCGTTGTCAACACCTCCGAGCGTAACATGCACTCCAAGGTCGTCATGATAACAGTACGTCTCGTGCCCGCCTCAATCTGCCCACTGCTCACACTTCGCTGCGTAGGGAGGCACTGCCGGTATAGGGGCTCAGGTGGCCCGCGATCTGGCCACTCGCGGTGCTCAGCTGGTTCTCCTCACCCAGCACGAGCTGTCCGATCCTTTTATCGTCGACTACATCGATGACCTGCGCGAGACGACCAACAACAGCCTCATTACTGCTGAACAGGTCGATCTTTCGTCGCTCCACAGCATCCGCAAGTTTGCCACCAAGTGGGTCGACAATGCTCCTCCGCGTCGCTTGGACATGATCATCCTCTGCGCCAACACATTCACCCCTGCAGGCGCCAAGGTTAGGACGACTGAAGATGGCCTGGAAGAGAGCTGGGGCGTCAACTACATTGCCAACTTCCATCTGCTGAGCATCCTGAGCCCTGCCCTCCGCGCCCAGCCTCCAGACCGCGATGTTCGTGTTATCTTCAGCACATGCAGCTCCTACATGGGCGGACAGCTGCCTGACTTCTCCCAATCCGACACCGAGAAGGAGAAGAAACCAGCAAAGACCAACAAGTCGAAGAAAGCCGACCAGCCCAAACAGGTCCTCGAGTTCAAGGCCTCCTCCGCCGACGCTACCTCAAAACTCGCTTCTATGGTCTTCGCCTCGGCGTTTCAAAAGCACCTGGCTACCTACAACCGTCCTGACAAGTTCCCCATGAACTCTCGCGTCTTCGTCGTCGACCCAGGCTGGACGAGAACTCCCGGAATGCGGCGACACCTTAGTTTCGGAAGTCTATGGGGACTGGCACTATATTTGATAATGTGGCCCTTCTGGTGGCTTGTTTTGAAAAGCCCAGTCCAAGGAGCGCAAACCTACTTGTACGCTGCCATGGATGCCCAGCTAGGAAGAGCTGAAGGAGGAAAGTTCCTGAAGGAATGCAGGGAGGTGAGGTTCATGCGCGGGGAAATCGAGGATGAAAAGGTGCAAAAGGGCCTCTGGCAAGCCAGCGAAAAGACCATTGAGGAGCTTGAGAAGAAGGGCGCTATGGGACGTGCTCAGCAGAAGAAAAAGCAAGAGGACGCGGACAAGGCCAAGAAGCAGGCCGAGGAACTGGCAGCACTGGAGGAGCTGGTCAAAAAAGCCAAAGCTGCAAAAGAGCAGGATTCAAAGAAGGAGAAACAGTCCGGCTCGAAGCGGAACAAGAAGTCGGACAAGTAGCGTCTCCCTGCAGGAGCCAAATCCCAGATCATCGGTAGGGTGAATGTAAGCACCGATTATGTTGCACATGCACCGGGACGCAAGGTCACACCGCTATGCAGAATGACGCGCGAGATCCGAGATGGGAGCGTCTTCAATTGCCGGGCCGTTAGAATTCACCACCTCCGCATTTCCCAGGGAACGCTGATATCATAGAGCAGACAAGACTTTTATTTTTGTTGTGTGTTCGTTTGAAGGTAAATAAGAAGGGGAATGACCATTGTCGATGTGTCGCTGGGCGAGGCCAAATTAATAGTTTGCATTGCCTTCCTCAAGATCCAGCCAGTCGGATAAGGTGGGTCCGGAAGGGGAACAGCGCGTGCCAGGGTGGGATGATCTCCGGTTATAACCTCAATGGCACCATGTATGTCCCAGTTGAGCCCAAAGCTGACAACCTTATCTCAAAAACATTGCACATTGCGGCGAAGGCTGCGGTGAGCGCCGCATGGCTCCCGTTCGGCAACAATGGCATCGTGCGCTCATCCAGCCAGTGGGTTCGCGTGGATCGTCACGCTTCTGATGGTGACCTTCTGCTTCGGACGTCCTTTCTTGTCGGCCTCCAGGCCTTCCAGCTGGTCCAACACATCGTCGCCCTCGATGACGCGGCCAAAAACCGTGTTCTTGCCGTCCAGATGCGGGGCCGGGGCGAAGCAGATGAAGAACTGGCTGCCGTTGGTGTCGGGGCCCTTGTTGGCCATGCTCACAATGCCGCGCGCATTGTGGCGCAGAGCGGGCTTGATCTCGTCCTCGAACAGGCGGTCCGGCGTGGTGAAGATGGAGACGGAGCTCTTGGACTTGGGGTCCGAGGCCGGGCTGCCTGTCTGCACCATGAAGGAAGGGATCAGGCGGTGGAAGGGCGAGGCGTCATACTGGCCGGAGGCGCAGAGGGCGAGGAAGTTCTGCGGCAGTCAGCGGGCGCGGCGCAGCGTTGCGGCGGGAGGGCGGCGCGCACTTCGGCGGTCTTGGGGACGCTCTCACAGAAGAGCTCGATTTTGAGATCACCGAGGTCGGTGTGCAACTGCGGCGCGCGGTTAGCAGACGGCGGGCGCGGGCGGGCGAGCGAGAAGCGTACCGTGACGGACATGGCGGCGCAGGGCGAGTGGCATCCCGTCGGGCGCAGCTGCTGACGCAGTGACGTGAGTGCAAAGTGTTTCTGGCGGCGCGGTCAGCAGGCGGCCGCAGCGCTGGCCAAGTGTTTGATCGCTCCGCTGCGCTTGGAGCCCCCTCCCGTCCCTGCGCTCGCCGACCCGCCAACCGCAGCCGTCGAATCGCATCGTGACACCCTCTCCCGCCTGCGGCCTGGCTCAGAGCTGCCTGCGTCCCGTCAGCGCCACAGCCTACACCACTACGCCGGCCCACTCCTCCATCACGACCCGCCAGGCCCGTCCTCTGCACCCCTCGTCCGCCCCGGCCACCGCGCGCCCGCCCGCCCGCACCGCCGGCGCTCGACGCACCGCTGCCTGCCCGCCCACGCCAGCCTCGCGCGCATCCGCCTGAGCCAGCTCCGCTGCCCTAACCACGTCGCATCCCACTCAGACCTGTCGCACCCTCAGGCACCGCCCGACCGCCCGCCTTGCTTCAAGAGCTGGCGCTCCACGCCGAGCAGCGGTGCTCTCCCATGCCGCCCCTACCGCTGCCCAGCGCCCAAGCTCGCCTCTGAATCGCAGCCATGGCCGCCTTCGTGCGCGTCTCTGGCCCGCCGAACAGCAACTTCCTGGTCGGCTACCCCGGCATATCAGCAACATTGGTGCGTCCGCCCGCCTCCTCTGACTGCTCGCAATTGCGACCATGCTGACTGTCTCCGCGCGCCCCAGCCGCGAATAGAGGGCAAGGTCGAGATACGGCCCTTGGTCGGCGTCTCTGCCCCCGTCGCCGTCTCGCTGGTCACCATCTCTCTGCAGCGCCGCGAGAGCATACATCCTGCCGCCGACTCGGTCACCAAGAAGCACCTCGCCGCCCCGCGAAAGGAGATCACGGACATTGTGGGCAAGGAGATGCTGCTGTACCGGTCGCCGCTGGGTCGCGAAGCGGAAAGTATCCTGGCCATGGACCTGCCCTTTGTGATTTTCATTCCCTACGGCCGCGGCGGTGAGGAGATTGCGCGAAGGGTGCCGCCCGCGAGCCTGCAATTGCCCAGTCGCACCGCCGAAACGTTCTACGAGCTGGTGGTCACGGTGCAACAAGGCGCCCAAGAACAGAAGAAATACGCCTTCCCCGTCCCCATAGCGCGATACGACACCTTGTCCACGTTTGGCATGTACAACAGGCCCGAGTCCGCTGAGCGCGTGTCGGATCATCTCGTCACTCTCGGCATCTCGCTCCCGCGCTGGTCATATGGGCCGCTGGATCCCGTAAGCGTCTACATCAAGCTCTCTCCCAATCCCGATTGGATGGCCAAGGCCAAGAAAGTCACCATCCAAAAAATCACCGTCGGCATAGACGAGGAGATCATCTATAATCACGAGGGCGATGAGCCCACCCGCAAAGTGAAGTGCTTGACCAAAACCACCCAAGCGGTGGGCGTCAAGATGCCCGAAGCCGGCTATTTCACCAACCTAGGCCTGGTATTTCCAGCAAAGGACTACAGGGATAGCGAGGGCATCATGCCCCGGGGAAACACCAAGTTCCCCATGTACGGCGTGAGCGGCTTTACAACGACCGGGACACTATACAAGATCGAATATTATTTGACAGTTAAGGTATGCGCTCCTCCATGGACATCTCGAACGTTGCTCGCTAATGCGTAGCAGGCTCAAATGTCGGCGGCCAAGGACATATTACTCCGGCAGCCCATCGTCGTTTGCCCCTTTGACCATGCCGGATGCAAGCAAGAGATGGAGGCAATTGAGCAGGCAGCAAAAGATGCCGCCCATGTCAGGCCGGATAACCCAATGCTCCCCGCACCCCACATTGTCAAGGCTACCGATCCGGAGGGACTCGCCGCGCTGGGCATGGCATACGTCGGCGGACAGCGGAAGCCGCTAATCGATTGAGACAAGGATGATTGTGGATGAAAACTTTAGATTCTCTAGCCGGTGCTGGAACCCACACGACGGCCATAATTACGACACGATCAAGAGGACGACGGAAGGACTTTTCGACGATGAACTAGCACGGATCACCCAATACCCGCGCAAGAAGCGCTCGAAGTTTGGCAGCAGACGTTTTATGCAGTTTTCAGGACATCTCTCCCCAACGGGTTGCCGGTTCGCAGCAGGTTCGCGAGCGCAGGGCGGCGGAATGTCTGGGACATGCCAAGGCAGGCCTCATAGTTCCATTCCTGCTGCCACAGGATCCGCTCTCAAGGGCCATGGAGGAGATGATTTCTTTTTTTTTTATTCTTTTGGACTGGATACCAGCATTGCGTGGAGTTTCGTGTACTTTTGTTTCTCGGCTGCTTGCTTATTTGGAGGAGAGACGGTTCTGGAGTCCGGTGCCCGGCGCCCTGAACAGCTGAGTAGCTGACGAGTTCTGGATGGCTCTATATTACTCATTCTCTTCTCTTTTTGGGAAAGGCAATCCACCGGGTAAAGCTGGCTCTCCTTAGTCTCACGCAGCTTCCCGCACGCTTAATGCAATAAACCACTTAGTTCACTGAGCATAGCCCGCACCCTGGGGGCGCGGTCGAAAGGCGAGATTGAAGACATGCTGTTGCTGGGGCAGACGTTCCTGCTCAGCAGCAGCCTGTTCGTTGGCGTTGCCGGCGGGCCGAGCCTGCATTGCCTGCGCAGAAGCGGCAGATGCCGCCGAAGCTGAGATGTGGTCGTCAACCCAAGCCTTCATCTCGCGATACTGGGCGCTGCTCTCGCCAAACGTGGCTTTGGTGTTGCGGAGGCTGGTCAGGAGCTTCACCATGGGCATTAGAAGACTGGCGAGGAAAATGCGGGCGGCAGGACTACTCACTGACGAAAGAAGGTCAAGATGATCGTCGGGGGCCATTTTGGATGGGAGAAAGGAGACGCAGGATTCGAGCGGTGTGGTTGGGGCGGGGCGAGAAAAGGCTGCTGGGTGAATGGAACCGCCAACGCAAGCCGTGAGCTGCGCAAAGTGGGTCGTAATATGCAGAAGGGAGCCAAGCGTTGAGACAACCGTCGGGGGGCCGGATTCGCAGGAGAGTTGTCCAGGCCGGCATGTTGGGGCGAGACCGTTCAATCAGCAAGCCGTAAGCGGCGAGCCCTGCGCACGTGCTTTCGCCCCGCCGCGGCGCGCCGTCGCGCCTCGCCTGCGCGTCCACTGCTTGCTGCTAGTTGCCACGAGCATTCTTGCATCGGCAGTGTCGTTTTCTTGCTGCCTGCGCACCTCGCGCCTTTTTTTTTCCCCCCTCTTCTTTTCCCCAACATTTTGCTCGAGCTCGTGGGGGCCAAGCGGAGTTAATGACCTCTCTCCGCGCCATATCCTTCACTATTCCCCACCAAAGCGTTATTCTCTCTTGCACCACGGCCCATGCGACTTACCTCTTGATCATTCTTGGCGCAACCCAGATCATCCTTTGGGACGGCTCCAGCCTCATTCAGATTGAACAGCGCTCCTTCGTGCGTCTACATTGGATGGCGCAACCCGCGCTAATAACGGCGTCACGATGCTGTCAGCTTAGGAAACTGTGACCAACTCCAAAAAAATGGCGAATTCCATCGGGCTTTTTGTACATTGTTGGGCATTCTTAGACTTACAATCCAAAAGACTGAGAACCCAGGCGTGCTATACCCATTTCGGTATCTACGCGAAGCTGACTCGAGCAATATTTCCGCATAGAGCGTCACTACAAGAAAGCTACAATGCGACAATAATCGTAAATTCTTTGTTAATTTACGGCGATTTTGCTATAGAACCACCCGCCAGGTCTACGCTCCAGCATTGGCGCCTGTATACAACCATACCGTCTCTGCAAACCGCACACGGCGTACACGACGTTGTTAGGCGACCACAATAGTTCAGAAAGTAGATGAAAGGCCTTACGCGAAACAGCCAAGCAATATGCTGATACTCAAGAAAAAGTCTGAACGTGTCAGAAACGCGTGAATATCTCCGTTTGCTTAACTTTCCACGTTTCCCCCCTCCCCCCCTAGAGGCGCTTGAGGCCTAATAATAGGTGATATCATGAGCCGAGTTGCTTGAGAGTGGCAAGACCCTGTAACAAGTTTTAATGCTGACAAGGCTGCCATGAGGCAGGCCAGCCCGAAGTGGATGTCAAGGTGGAGACGGTAAAGATGAAGCGCAAACGCGGGGATTATGATCCGCTGGAATTATTTGATTTAGCTCGCGCCAACCTTTCTCTTGTTCGTCCAACTCTCAAATACTCCCCGCCCAATGCACTCACCCGTGATGAATGACGAAAGTAAACTCTTTTTTATAAAAAAAAAACATCACATTACACTCTTTTTTGATCACACCCGATCCACGATGCCATCGGTGCTACTACAACCTCGGCTGCATGCCCCAGAATCAGGACCTGCAGTGGTGTCACTCTGATCGCTATGGTCGTCGCTCTCGATCTTCAAGATACGCTCGGTCCTAACAACGATACGATCCATAGCAATATCTCCGGGATGAGGTTGATCGTTTCCAGCACAGCACTGTGTCTTGATGGTAGCCTTCGCGTCCCATCCAGTCTTGTTCTGAACAGGACAATGCGAGTCCCGCCGTAGGCTGTCCCTCCTCCCTTTGCTTCCAAGATCGCCATTAGGTAGCTGGCCATTCGCCGTCGAAGTTGTCCCATTCTGAGAAGGTCTGTTGGCAGTATTTCCAGAGCCGTCGTTACGGTTTTGCTCGCGGGCATAGATGCTGTCGGTGGTGGGTTTATCGAAGCTTGTGACCCAGTGGAGAACGAGGACTGAGAACAAGACTACAGGCATGACGCATTAGCATAAGGGGAACAGCATGTGCAAGGCGCGGATTAATGCCGCTTACTGTCGGCGTTGCAGCACATAAGACATATCCATCCTGGCTCTCCCTTCAGAATCATCAAGACGGTAAGGTTGACGACACTAGAGGTGAGGGTTGCGCAGCTACCAATAAATGTACGGAGAGCCATGATACGGAGGGTCTTGTTGGTGTTATGCCGGTATGAGTAAAGTCCTGAAAATCAGGTGAGTGAATGCCTCCGCAATCATTTCATCCGAGGCTTACGGCGAAGAGGAATTATGAAGAGGGCAGTTAGGTAGACCTGCATCTATCAGCGACAGGGCGATTTGCGGGAAATGTGCAAGCCAACGAACATTGATGACGACATCAAAGATGATGAGTGGCATCATGGCTTTCTTTTGCATGCCAATAATACAAGTTCCTCGCGGGGAGATGTATGCGATCCTCCTACACAGCTGGTTTCAGAAGCAAGTCCCAAAGCGCATGCGGCCAACATACCAGACAAAGTTCAGGATTACGATGCCAACATAAGGAATAATCAGGCCGAAGGCGTTGAATATGTAAAGCCTGTCGCTAAGCCTCGGCTTGTGGCTGCCACGAACGATGTACTATTGCAAAGCGTCAGTCTATGCACGGGAGAGTGAAGGGCAGCCACCCCATACTGCTTTCTCGACCAGGAAGGTGTATATGAAGACCTTGGTGCTCATATAACAGACGAGGCCTATAACTAATCAGATGGCGGTCCCGGAGCAGGTGAGAATGCTGGCGCACATAGTAGAATTGCACCTTCGCAGATGCCTTGCGATTCGTTTATGCCGATATCCTTGAACATTGCCGTGACAAAGACAAAGAGGAAAGAATCAAAGTAGATGATGATGATCAGCCAGCCTGTGATGGGCAGGTGGTTCCACTTCCCAACATTCTGGATGCGGCGAGTAATGCAAATGGCGAGGATAGTGAGTGTGACGAGAGAGAGGATCATCTGGTCAGAGGGTCAGCGAGACGGAGCGGAGGACGAGCGAAGGCAGCCGCACTGAGATGACCCTCCCTCCCATGGGGATGGCGGCGGCCACTGGCTCATCTCGTTGCATGAGATGCAGACTCATGGCTTCGACGGATTTGGAGGCGCGGGTCCGGTGAGGAGCCAGAGAGACAGAAGAAAAGACCAGCGTGGGTCGGATCGAGAAGTAACAAGTCCATAGCACATGGCACGGGCGGCAAAGGCGAGTATCTTAAAGTAAACGCATATTTCAAACAGCGATCCAGCGTATCAGAAGGCTATACTGTGGGCTACTACGTCGACATGGAGCACACCGTTAGTGGGCGGCGCGAGCCACGCCATGCCGGTAGGTCTAGCTTGGCAAAGTCAGAATCAAGAGCCTGCTGGGGTGGGCATAGGTGGCGACAGGGAGGGTTGCAGGCTTCTTGCTTATCCAAGACATGCGGAAGATCCACAGCGGGATCGGGAGAGAACAGACCGGAGGCCAGGCTGACGCAGTCCAGATTCACGGCCAGACACGCAGGCCAAATCCCCGCCAACGGGCGTGAGACGAGTGCTTCAACACTGCCTCGCCCAGCACCATGTCTTGTGGAAAGCGGCCGGGAGAGGGAGAGGACACTCGCACAAGCCCATGGTGGTTGACGGAGGCGGCACCGCTGCGGATTGCTGAAAGAGGATTGTTGCAGCTGCAAGTAGCGCCGCAGAGCCGCCGACCCAGGTCTGCCAGCATGCTTTCGAGGATAAGCGGGGATGTCTCGTCTCGATGGTCAGCAAAGAACGGGGTCCACGGGCAAGATTCTGCCGGGGGCGCTCAGCGCGCATGGCCGACGTGGCAGGCAGATCAGCGATAGCTATCGTGCTGCGGATCGACCCCAAGCGAAGCTTTCCCTGAATCGCGTGTCGGCTGTTTGTGACGTTGAGCCACCTGACTTCGGCCCTTTCCCCGCGCACCAAACGTGCATCACCACCATGGCCATGCTGCACTTTGCCATCCTTCTCTTCGGACGAATTTCCTTTCCCGGCCGCCAGCATTTCTACCGGGCGCCTGGTCCCCGTGCATGTTGCCTCGGTCCAAAATTCAAACTTCTTCTCGAACATGCAATTGCGTCACCGCTCGCTTCTTGTTTGCCGCTGCCGCTGTTTGAACGCTATCTGCTAGTTCGCATGATTGGCAGCAGAGGAGCTTCCTCCGCTTCATGGGCATTGGTCCAGACTCGGCAAGGGGCAAACCTTGTGCTTGCAGATATCATCTTCGCCGTAGTGCAGTCATCACACCGACGCAACGATTTTTCCTCCCTTCGCCGGCTAGTACCAAATGCTTCTCGTGCGGTGGTGGGGGATCTGTTCCTGCCCGGCTTTCTCCAGCTCTTTCATCTTGTCGTAAAGGAAGAAATCGATCAAAATGGCATTGACCTTGGCTTCCGGGTGCCGTCGCATCATCTCTTGTCGAATCTGCTCCACGCACCAGATGCTGCAACCTACACCTCTCTTTTAGTACATCGCACACACGCGCCGGTTCGTCGTCTCTGACCTCTTAGCTGAATCTCCCAGCTATGACCTGGCTCAATTTCCTCGTGGTGGCGGATCCGGACTTCAAGCGGTGGGCTATATGAGATGCACCCGAGGGTATGCAACATCTGCGGAACGCGGTAGTCTGGAGCTGCGTTAGCACAAAGGCCACCCGGGATACCTTGACTATACACACCCGCGAACATGGTGATCTTGTCGATGTCATGGAATTCGCCGTAGCTCTCGCCGCCAAAGGCAGCCCATAAGTCGGCCACGAAAATTTGGGCGCGCTTCAGGAGACGAACCGTCTTGCCCTCAAACTTTGCCTCGTCTCGGAAACAAGCAAAATGATCGGCCAGCAAGTTGACAAGCTTGGCCGCCGAGTTCCGGGCATCGGATACCAAAGTGGCGACGCTTCCGTCAAAGTGCTGTAGTTGACGGCGTGAGCATGCGGCGGAGAATGCGAAGCGTGAGAAACAAACCTCTTCGAGGACCTTACCTGCTTCCCGCAAGCACTCCAACCGTTCGTTGAAAAGGGGGATTTCTTCGTCGGTCGCAGAGCTAAAGACAGTACGAAGCACGTCTTCGGTGCAGGCCTCTTCATCGGCCCAGAATGCCGGGTCGGTGATGGGGATGTCTGAACATCGTCAGGCAAGCACAGGCAATGGAGCAGGTGGCCATACCACCATCGAGCGCCCTCTGCAGGGCTGCAACTAGACTCCAGTAGCCGGTCCACTTCCTTCCCTTGTAGACAATGGAGAAGCGGTCGTCGGGACCCTTCTCGGACCAGAAAGAAAAATTGAGAAGATCCATTGTGAAGATGAAATTCACGGTGGCTTCATCCTTGGCTTTAGGGTGCAGCTCGTGCTCGGACCAGGTGCTGGTGCTATACTCGCGCTCCTGCATCTGCTTCCAAATGGACTCGGCCGCTGCCTGGCAGCCCTTCATGTCGAGGGCGACATCAATGCTGTTGTTGTAGATAAAAGAGGCATTGTCCAAGACCTTTGTCTCGGCGGGCGCATTGGGGTCGGCGGGGCCGAGTCCGAGATGGGCGCGCAAGAGGGCGACGAGCTCGGGATCGGCCTCGTCGTCGGACATGGTGAGGGTCGGTGGTGGGTGAAAACGCGGGAAGCCGCCGCAGCTCGGCAGCCCTGGTCCGACCAGCGTGTGGGGCGCCGGCACCGCTAGTCAGACCCTGCCTGTGCTCCAGCGCCTTCGGATGTAACGATCGCCACCATTACAAGGCACCGCTCACCATCAACCAATCAAAAAATGATTTGTTTTTCGCTTTCTCCGCAAAGGGTAGTGGTGCTTACAATACGCTGCTAGTAAACGCAGACTAATCAGATGTGCACCGCCACAGCTCCCACGGCCGCGTGAGTACTTAATGTCATTGCCTCCGCCACCTCCAGACGTCTCACCACTCGTCACTCCACGCAGCCTCTTGAGGCTTGACTCCCGTTTCCAATATGGCGCCATCCGTGGGCCACCTGCATAAGCTGGTGGCTCGGAATTCCAAGCTGCTGAAGTGAGCTCCCTCCGCCTTATCTCTGGTCGCCGCCTGCTAACCGCCGTCTGACTCAAAAGGGCAGCCTGGAAGAAGACTCAACAGCTCATCCAGAACAAGCTTCCTCCATCCATACGCCCGGCTGAAGCCCAGCTTGCACCGGCGTATGCCCGCAACGCGCCGCGCCATCCGCTGCACCGCCTCGCCGCTCTCAAGCAGAGCAAGGGCCGCTGGTACTCCACCCACAGCTTCATCAACGCCACCGTCCGTCGCTTCACCACCGAGGCCCGCCAATCCGTCAAGTATGATCGCGCAAGCTTCCCCGCCTCCCGCGTGCGTGCTGCTATCGGCCAGTCCACTGGCCGTGCGCCCTTCGCGTCTACGCTCCGGCCAAACCTTACCGGAGGCACCCTTGGTCGGACCGCGGGTGGATATTCCCTCGGCGGCGGCCGTGTCGGCGGAGCACGATACTTCTCGCACACCCCAGCCGCTCCGGCTCAGGTCGTGCAAAATGTCTCGCAGGCTGTTCGCGCCTTCCTGGTCGGTGGCCAAAAGGCTCAGTTCGATGGCGTCAACCCAAGGACGGGCGAGAAACAATGGAAGGCCGTCAGTGCCCTTCAGGAGGAGGTCGGCCGCAAGATGATCAAGGTCCCCAAGGCCACGCCAGGCTCGACGATTGAATTTTCCATCAACCCCACCATCACCGCTCTCACCCCCCTCTCTGCTGTGACCGGCTTCTCTGGTAGCGCCGAGAAGATGACCCTCAACAGCGACGGTCTCCTCGACGTCCTGTCCGTGGACTTCTCTAGAGCCTTGAAGGAGCTCGCTGCCGTGCTGAACGACTTGAAGCGCTTGTCAGCTCTCGGGGATTTGCCCATCACGTACCACGACTCGATGTTGTGCGTTCATTTCCCCGGCGTCGATGCAGACACTGTCGAAAGGCTGTGCGATGAGCTGGGCGTGCAACGCGGCTTCATTCGTCAAGACGAAGACTTCGATGGGTTCGTTGGCACCGAGATTGCGCTCTTGTTTCCCTTTGCGCCAAGCAAAACCCCCTCCGAGGCGTCTTTCCTTGCAAAGAAGCCCGCACACGAACGTCCCATGTACCAGGCCTCGATCGACTGGCGCAATATGCTCACTGTTGAAGATGACGCCATGAGCTCGCCAGAGTGTTCAGTTCGGTCGGAGACCGGGAATGATTACGAGGATGTCTACGAAGAGAACCCGTGGCTCTCGACGTCTTCCGCTTCAGGGTTTGAAAGTCTGCACACTAGTCACGCTCGTGACAGCGCCATTTCCGACGCATATTCGCCGTTGGAGTATCAAGGACTCGAGGGCATATACCGCTTCATTGAGCAGTGTGATAACGCCCCTCGCTTCCATTGATTTCTTTAATTGGCAACCTCTCTTGGTTTAGATTGATACTCACGCAACGGATAGGATTTGGAGGTGTTCTTGGCGTACCACTGCCACCGCTACAGGCTAGCGCATTTCTTTTGTATCCTCTTGAGTCTGAATGAAATCCATACAATTTAAAGCTTAAATGCTGGCTTGATAAAGTGACTCCACTGATGCACAGCATCTGATACTTCTGTCATACTTCGAGTCCCATGTCTAACGGTGTCCGCATACGCACCGGGTATGTTTTGCATGACGACCGAAAGACCGCCCGAGACACTACGGTCGTTCCCCCCAAAGCAGAGGAAAGCAGGGCCTCCTGGTCCCCCTTTTCTAAGGTCAGCTGACAGGCTCCTCGGCGCCTAAGCTCTTGTCATCTGGGCTAGTTGCTAAACTGTGTATATATAAAAGTCTCCTTTCTACATCATCTGCCCCTCGATTCGAGGACAGACGTTTGATTTCTCTAGGGCGTGTTGCGGGGCTCCGCGGGCCGCCATCATATGCAGGGTCGACAGAGCGGGAAAGTTGCTTCGCCGTGCTCTTATAGCGCTCGCATAATTTCATTGCAGCTTCAGGAGGCAAGCGCGCCACCTTTTTCCAATTGCAGAAATGAGGGCTCAGAGCGCCGCAGCAAGGACGGGCGCTGGTCTTTGTAAGCGCGGTTCCGCAAGCTAGAACGGTGGCATTTACGTCGGGCGGGTTTCGCGATAGTCAGGGAGTGGTAGCATTTTACGAAGCGAAATTGCGGGTAGCTGGGAGTCGCAGTGACGTGCGAGGCGGAAGAACTGCGGGCGCTTGCGGGCGAAACGAACTCTCTCCCATCGCGCACTCGAAGCTGCAGCATCCACCTGGCCAGAGCCTCCGCCCCAGCTGCCATCCAGGCCAATCCTTAGCGACCAACGGGCGCCGGTGCAGATGATTGTCTGAGTGCACTCCACCACCCGCCCACTTCCTCCGCCCCTCTCCTCCGCCCCGCCCACGCGACCGTTCACAGCTGCTCCGACGTCGACTCCGCTGCCGCTCTGAGCTCCGCCCCCAGCCCCAGCCGCCGCCATGCCGCAGCCGTTGAGCTCCAAGGAGAACTCGCTGTTCCGCCAGCTGGTCAAGAACTATGAGACCAAGCAGTACAAGAAGGGTGCGCCCACCGCCGCCAGCCTGCCCCGCCGCTGAGCTGACTTGCGCCCAGGTATCAAGGCTGCCGAGCAGATCCTGAAGAAGACGCCCAACCATGGCGACACCCAGGCCATGAAGGCCCTGATCCTCAATTCGCAGGGCCAGACCGACGAGGCCTTTGCCCTGGCCAAGGTCGCCCTCAAGAACGACGTCAAATCCCACATCTGCTGGCACGTCTACGGCATTCTGTACCGCTCCGCCAAAAACTACGACGAGGCCATCAAGGCCTACAAATTTGCTCTGCGCCTTGAGCCCGAGTCGCTGCAGATCCAGCGGGACTTGGCCACGCTGCAAATCCAAGTCCGCGACTATCACGGATACATCGAGAGCCGCCGCACCATGCTCAAGGCCCGCCCCCAATTACGCCAGAACTGGACCGCCCTGGCCGTTGCCTTTCATCTCGCTGGCCAGCTCTCCGAAGCCATTGACATCCTCGAGCGCTACGAGCAGACTCTCAAGACCCCACCTCCGCGCTCCGACATTGAGCACTCCGAGGCTACTCTGTACAAAAACACCGTCATTGCCGAGAAGGGGGACTTCGAGGCCGCCCTGAAGCACCTCGACTCCATATACAAGACCAATGCTGATAGAACTGCCGTCATGGAGCTCCGTGCCCAGTACCTTTTGCAGCTGGACCGCAAGCCCGAGGCCGAGAAGGCGTATCGCGAGCTTCTTGAGCGCAACGCCGAGTACCGTGCCTATTACGACGGTCTCGAGAAGTCCCTTGGCCTCGATCGCTCCAATGCCGAGCACGTCGACAAGCTTCTTGAGCTGTACAAATCCTACGCAGACAAGAACCCGAGATATGATGCTCCTCACAGAATACCGCTGGATTTCCTGGAAGGTTTGTTTTTGCCATCCACCGGCTACGCAGTTTGGCTAACGTTCGCCAGGCGACAAGTTCCGCGCCGCTGCCGACGGCTATCTGAGACGAATGCTTGGTAAGGGCGTGCCGTCGACATTCAACAATGTCAAGGCGTTGTACCAGGATCCTGCAAAGAAGGCTACTATACAAGACCTCGTGCTTGGCTACGAGTCGGAAGAGAACAAGGAGGCCAACGGCGAATCGACTGACCGTTTCACCCCCGCTGTTTTCTACTTCCTTGCCCAGCATTACAACTACCACCTTAGTCGCGACCTGGCCAAGGCCTTAGACTACATCGACCGTGCAATCGAGCTGGATCCCAAGTTTGTCGACTACACCATGACCAAGGCTCGCGTATGGAAGCACTACGGCAACACTCAGAAGGCTGCCGAGATTATGAACGAAGCCAGAGAACTGGACGAGAAGGACCGATACATCAACACCAAGTGCGCAAAGTATCAGTTGCGCAACAACGAGAACGAGAAGGCGATTGGTACCATGAGTTTGTTTACCCGCAACGAGGCCGTGGGGGGCCCATTGGGTGACTTGCACGACATGCAATGCATGTGGTATCTCATCGAGGATGGCGAGGCCTACTTCAGGCAGGGCGAGCTCGGTCTGGCGCTCAAGCGTTTCCAAGCTATTCACGATATTTTCGGCGTTTGGGAAGAAGATCAGTTCGATTTCCATACTTTCTCTCTGCGCAAAGGTCAAATTCGGGCATACGTGGATATGGTCAGGTGGGAGGATGGTCTTCGCGCGCACCCCTTCTACACCCGAGCTGCCGTCTCTGCCACTAAGATCTACACTCTCCTACACGACAAGCCGGAGCTCAAAAAGCCTCAAGCGCTTGGGAATGGCACGACTGCAAAGAAGAGCAAGAAACCGAAAAAGGAAGAAGAAAAGAAACCGGCCGCCAAGCCCGCGGTCGATGCTGACGGCGTGCCTAAGAAGGAGGACACCGATCCTCAGGGTGTGAAGCTCCGGGAGACGGCCACCCCGTTGGAAGATGCTATGAAATACGTCAGCCCCTTGCTTCAGAGTAGTCCCAAATCTCTTGAGGCCCAGAACGTCGGCTTTGAGGTCTTCTTCCGCAGAAGTGAGTACAGGATCTCCGAGCCCAATGTTCAATGCTCGATAGCTGACTCATTGTGATCACAGAGAAATGGCTCCTCGCGCTCAAGTGTCTCCGCTCCGCACATGAAATCGACCCCGAGAATCCGACGCTGCACCACCAGACTGTGCGCTTCAAGCATACTTGTAAGTCTGACTATAATACTCCAATATCTTTACCCTATGGTCACTAACTCTTCTCAGTGAACACCCTTCCAGAGGGTGAAAAGCTTGAAGCTCCAGTCAAAGCTGTGATTGACAGCAGCTTCACCATTATTCCCAGTGGCACGTCTCCCGCAGCCTTCAACGCAGCCTATCTCAAGAAGCATGCCGACAGCGCAGCGCATATGTTGGCAGGCTTCAAAGCACGCTTTGCGCTAGACCCCAAGAAGAGCGGTATCGCAAATGAGATCGAAGCCTTGCGCCTGCTGTCCAAGGACAGTGTCACTTTCACTTTGGAAGACGCTCGCGCCATGCGTGACTCGCTTCGGGAATGGGGCAGTGAGGAGGACGTTCTGACGAGATTTGAGGAGCAGGCCAGCAAAAAGTGGCCCGAAGCGGTCTTCTAAACTTTCTTCTACATGCATTGGAGGAGTCTCTGTTCTTCACTGCAAACATTGTGGATGAATGACTTGTTGGCTCGGCAGTACTTACGAACTGCAGGAACGTGCTGAAAGTGGATGGACGGCGGGACGGTGAGGTGATGGCTGTGACAGTACACCTGTGTGTGGGAATGCGGCAAGACTATTCATGAGGGCCTTGACGTTGGGGCCCATTGCGCATACTACAACGGTAGATAACCCATTTTCCTAGTTATCTGTCACCGCAGGTATCTTTCTGTCTTACTGTTGGAAAGCGGGAGCAGTACAAAAAAAAGATTGGTAGAGATAGTATCTTCGAGTTTGAAAAAAAAAATACATATATGATCACCACAAGATGACGTATAGTTCACTTTGGTGATCAGGGGTGTCAGTATTTGCTTCCGTGCCGAGTGACAGCAATTTTGTGAGCTCAGGAGTTCGATGGTGAGTACCTATGTACCAGAAAAGCAGTAGCGTGCATAGAATGGAAAGACTTTCCTGTCATAACTTCATTTGTTCCGAGAGAGTATTTAATATGCCGTATCTACCCGTTGGTTTTCATTGAATGCTGATGGAATGGAAACGGAAGGCTTCAGGAGAAAATGGGAATTCGAGAGGGCGGCCGAGAGGATCGTTGCCGTCCAAGGCTCCAGAGGTGGTTGGCTTCCGTCCACGACCGTTGTGCTTCAGACGGCATAACAGCAACAATTATGTCATCAGTCATAAGTTGATGTTGCATTGCCCTCTTCAGCTCCTCACCGCTCCCCCAAGACACTCGAAACTTTCCAGCTCCTCTCCATTAGCTCCCCTCCCCCTCCTAGTTGAGCCGTCTCCAAGTCCTTTTCATTGCCGCCTCCATTCAATACAAGCTCTCTCTTTTTCTTTGGCTTCGATTCAAAATCGCTAGATACGACCACGGCCCCCGGCTCAAACGCACACCGATCATCACCTCCCACGTTTACGCGAATTTGAGACCGCCCGGTCGCAAGCCTACGAACTTGCCTTGGCGGCACCGGCAGCGGACTTGTCCTCGCCCTCGAGCTCGGGCATGTCGTCATCGTCGTCAGAGCCTTCCTCGGCGTCGCCGGCGGCGCCACCGAGGGCGCCCAAGTCGGGCATACCACCGGCACCACCACCCAGCTTGGAGAAGTCGATGCCGCCGAAGCCACCGTCGCCGCCGCCCATGCCCGGCATGCCGCCCATGTTTGCGAGGTAGTCGTCGTCAGCAGCCTCGTCCTGCTCGTCCTCGTCGACCCACTGAAGATGCACAGGTTAGCGGACACAATGCTGGAGGGCGCTTGGATGGGCAGAGATATGCCGCATACCTTGTCGAAGTCGGTCTTCAGGAAATGCAGCTTTTTGCTCTCCTTGAGCAGGCGGGGCCAGAACTCCTCCTTGAGCTCCTTCTTGCGCAGGACCATCTCGATGTTCTTGCCGGTGTGGTTGATCTTGCTCTCATTGGGAACGATCTCGGCGAACAGCTCGAGCTCGACCTTGTAGTCGACGTTCTTCAACTCCGAGTGGCCGGTGAAGGCGACCTTGGTGGGTTGTACGTCCAGCGTCATCTTCTCCTTGGGCACATCGGGAGCCGAGATGGTCAGGAAGACGTGGTTGCGCTCAGGGTCGGTTGCCGACGAGCGCTGGGCCCAGAGGACTGCGGCGGGCGCGTCAGCATGGGTCATGCGGAGATGCAGGCAAAAGCGGGCGGGCAATGGCCCATCACGGCCGGGCTCGGCGGCGGCGCGTGGCGCAATGCCAGCACAGCTGCGCGGGCTCGGAATGCGACGGGGCTGGCGGGGAGTCGGTACCTTCGGGAGTCAGAGACTGCGACATGGCTGTGTGGAGATGGAGAGGCTGTTGTGTTGAGGAAGCCCGGTGGCGAGAGGGCGGAAATGGATGTGGTGATGGGGTGGGTGGGTTGGAGTCTGCAATGGTGCTGGAGCAGACAGGAAGCTGCCAGTGGAAGTTGTAGAGGCCTGGCTCGCTAGCGCACAAGGCTGAGGATTGCTGTAGAAGGCAGTAGAAATCGAGGCCAGGAACAGCACTGCCAGCTGCGTGCGGGCCGACGCGCATGGACAGGACAGCGGGGCTCCCTGCGGCTGGCCACTGCTGGAGCAATCTGGCCTGCCGCCGCCCGCTGCTGGTCCTCAGAGCAACAAGGCTGCTGCCCCGCTGCGAGCTTGCCCAGCGCAAACGTCACCAAGACCCTCCGCGCTTGGGCCGCAGCCAGAGCCTCCCGTCCCACCACCGCCCACCGCCCGCGCGGTGACGCCGCCCCGACATCCCAGGCAACCAACCTTACGCCCACCTCCCTCTCCACGCCCGCTGCGCCATGGAGACCATCAAGTCGCTCCTGTGGAAGCCCACGCCCGAAGAGCAAGTCGGTCATGCCCGCCTGAGCACCTGCGCAGCCGCACTCTATCTAACATCAAGCAAAGAAACGGAAATGCAACGCCCTCGTCCGCCAGAACGTGCGCAAGCTCGACCGCGACATCATGCAGCTGAAGCAGGCTGAGCAGAAGACCAAGAGCTACATCGTCCAGGCCTCGAAGCGCGCCCAGCGCAACCCGGCCATGGCCAAGCAGGCCGCCCAGGACACGCGCGTCTTCGCGAAGGAGCTGATCCGCGTGCGCAAGCAGAGCTCGCGCCTGCACACGAGCAAGGCCCAGCTGCAGAGCGTGCAGATGCAGGTCAACGAGGCCTTCTCGGTGCGCAAGATCGAGGGCAGCATCCGCGCCTCGACCGGCATCATGAAGGACGTCAACACCCTTGTGCGCCTGCCCGAGCTGACCGGCACCATGCGCGAGCTCAGCCAGGAGCTCGTCAAGGCCGGCATCATCGAGGAGATGGTCGGCGACTCGATGCCTGACACGGAGCTGCTGGAGGGCGAGGACGACGAGGCCGAGTCGGAGGTTGACAAGGTGCTCAGCGAGGTCCTCAAGGACAAGATATCCCAGGCCCAGGAGCCCCAGCAGGACCTCCAACTGCCCAGCCAGCCCGTCGCTGCAGACGAGGAGGAGGAAGATCCGGAGGAGATGCTCAGCGCTATGCGGGGCAGACTCGAGGCCCTCAAGAGCTAAAAGCAGCAGCTCACCTACGTTTTCCCTTCCGATTATCACCTCCAGATGATGCATACATCCCGCTACGGCCTACCGGAGGATTGGCGTTGGGGTTCCGGCGGATTTTGAGGGCATATCTCTACTTATTGCCCGGTGTTTTCTCGAGCTCGACCTTTTTGATTTACCGAAAGCATGCGTGACTCCTTTCAATAGACGAAATTCCCAAGTTGTCCTGTTTGTCCGACATGTTCATATTCACTCAGACAGGGAGAAAGCCAATTGGCTGGTCACAAATTTGCTCCAGTCGCGAGGCTCAAGAAAGTTCATATAGCTTTTCTGCCGCTATTATGGCAACTCCGAATGTTTTCGAATATTTTGTCATGACATCGTCCCGTGTTCGTTACAACAGAAATACACCCCTCGCAACCTCTTAGTGCCCTGTGGCATACACGCCGTTTTTCAACCTTTATTGCCGCCGCCCCTTGCCCGGCGATCTGCCTTGACAGCATCAGCGCCTTCACAACTCGTCCTTCTTGTCACCCTTCTCACCTTGGTCAACCTTGCCCTGGTCCAACAGACCCCTTTTCACCATGCTGGTGAGGATCTCATATCCAACCTGGGCAGCGGCGAGGGCAGTGTTCTCGGCTGGTCCGTCGTAAGCCGGGCTAACCTCGACAATGTCGGCACCAACAACGTTCAGGGACTCGATGCCACGCAGGATGCGGATCAGCTCGCGGGTGGTCCAGCCGCCGGGCTCGGGGGTGCCGGTGGCCGGGGCCATGCCGGGATCAATGACGTCGATGTCGATGGATAGGTAGACGGGGGTCTCGGTGCCGACGTTCTTCAAGATGTTGTCGATGACGCCCTTGGTACCAATGTCGTCGATGTCGTCGGCCGCAATGCGGTGCCAGCCCTGGGCCGAGTCGTCGACCCAGTCGGCGTCGTCGTCGCCGGACAGGCGGGTGCGCAGGCCGGCGTGCACGCTCGACCCGTTGGCGACGAGGCCCTCGGTCGAGGCGAACCAGAACATGGAGCCGTGGTTGAAGAAGGACTGGGTGGAGGCATCGGTGGGGTCGATCCAGGCCGAGGGGTACTTGGCCGGATGCCAGGTGTCGAGGTGGGCGTCAAAGTGCACGACGGCGATGGGGCGGCCGTGGATGGCGCGCAGCGCCCGCAGCGCCGGCAGCGCAATGCTGTGGTCGCCGCCCAGCGTCAGCAGCTTCGACTTGGCCCGGTACGCCGACGACGAGCCTGCCGAGCCCGGCGAGGGCGAGCGCTTGCCCAGCTCGACGAAGGCCTCGCTCATCTGTCGCAGCGCCAGCGCGTTGTCGAACGGCGTGATCGGGATGTCGCCGCAGTCGATGACCTTGGCCCACGAAGTGTACGGGTTCATGCCCGCCCGCGGGTTGAAGCCGCGGAACGACGTCTGCCGCGCGGAGCCTGCCCGGATGGCTCGTGGCCCGAAACGGGCGCCTGCGCCGTGTTAGATGTACGAACATCATCCCTTTCGGTGTGCACTTACCGGGCCTGTAGCTAACTGCGGTATCAAAAGGAGCACCAATGATGGCAATATCAAAGTCCACCTCCGGATCCGTCAGGCACTTCACGTGCGGAAGGTGGGCAAAGGTTGAAATGCCTGAGAAGCCCCACTGCTCGAATGATTAGCAAACCACGCCCATTCAAGCAAAATCGGATGGAGTGCGTTTACATCGGTGCCCCATTTCTGCTCCAGAACCTCAATATCAACAGGCTCTGCGTTATCGTGGTGGCCCGCGTGGGCGAGGGCCGTCAGCGGCAGAGAAGCGGCGCAGCTAAGCGCCAGCAGCGAGACGTGCATGGCTACAGAGATTGAAGAATGAGGAAGTAAAGGCGCTGGATCATGCAGATATAAAGGCTGCAGCAAGATGCGGAGTCGAGCCGGGGACATAGCGGGATTATGTAACTGTTATCAGTCCCCCGTCGGCCGAATCGAACGTCAGCCCGGCGCCGTAGACGCCGCAGACGCCGTCGGCACACCGCCCGTGAGCTGTGCAGTCGCAGACTGCGGGGAAAGTGATGCAGACAACCGTCCAGTGAAGCGGGATGGCTTTCGGCCATGCTCCCCTCTTGCCTACTTGGGCAAGTGCAGGCGGTCGGGTATTTTATTACGTCATGTTACACTAGCCCCATTTGGGCGGAATTCGCTGTGACCTGCCCATTAGGATCCCATAAAACCCGCTGGACTAAATTCGCTCACACATCACTCGGCATTCGAGCTTCTTGATTGGCTTCATCCTACCCAAGCTCCTCCTGGATATGGCGTATGATTGCTAAATTTCTCCCTGTGGGAGCGGACCGACCTCGTACACTACACAAAAACCAAGTGTGAAGCTCGCAATCAACGCCGACAATGCACGCTCAAAAATTTGATATATTCTTGGCGAACCCAACGGTTCCGCCAGATGCAATTCCATATCTTACCTTGATGGTTCTTAGGCTGGATTGTTGATTCGGTACTCTCGAGTCCTCACTGGCCGGCTCCAGAATGTCTGCAGTCTGCGCACTCTTGATCACCTCGGAGACGTGAGCTAAGCGCATGATCGGGATGTTTGCGCGCTCATGGATCCAGTGACTCCAGGAAGCAAGAGTGCTAATGATGGCCAGGAGTACAAAAGGCGGTATGAGTAAGTAATACACCCGCGCCGGATCCAGTCTTTTCATGGCTTTCCGAGATACCAATGTAGCGTTCAAGGGTTCACCGTTGAGTTCGTCGCTTCCTCCAACGGAGCGAATCGATGTACCTAGGGCCCCTGAGCTAACGTTAATGAATCTGTAAATCGACTCGAGCTCCCAGTGGAAGGCCTTCGGTGCAGTCCAAGAAGCATAAGCTTTTGGTAGTGGCTTTCTGTCCACAAATGTCGGTTGTGTTCCGTGGACGCTGAGGCCCATGATCGATGGTGCAACTCCGAACCACGCAGCCACGTCTCCAAGAGGCCCGTACGGCGAATCCGGATGGGATGGCCCCTCCAGCATACCCAGATCGGAGACAGTCGTAAATTGTGACGTCCCGCTGCCAGTCTCGAATGAAGAATCGACCAAATTGACATCCACGTCGCAAGCCACAGCCGACACTCCCGTGTAGTTCTCCACCTTCATTCCCCTCGTTGCCTCGGAAAACTCGCCGCTCTCGATGGTGCCATTCAGGGCTGCGAATATAAGGGTTGATATTGTTCTTGTCTCGCTCATATATCGGATTTGGTCAACCCATACGCTGAGTACCGGCTGAACTCTGATGCGCGCCGTGCTGCTGCTCTTGTTCCCCATATTGGTGTCCGTGGTAACAGAAACGTCGTCATGGTCCTTCAACTTGACCGCGTGCCCGGTGCAGCTTATGCGCTTCTCGACCTTCACGGCACGGACCGATACCTCACCTCGATCGGCCAGCCGATTGCGGTTGACGATGTAATCTCGGAAGTTGGGCATCGCCTCGGAGGACAGGTTGCTGGACCACGACGTATAGAGGTTGAAGGCTTGTGCGGCAGCAGCAGGAAGACGGATGGGAGGGTTCCTCTGGATGAACCTGCTCCTCATGGCCCCTCCGGTCATGTAGGTGCTGGTATACTCGCTTGCCACGTCCAGTCGAGTGTAGGCATACCCGACAATGGGCGAGCCGACCAGCGGGGTGATGGTTGCGATGGTGATGCACAAAATAACCACAAGGGCTTCGATCGAGCGGGTGGCCATGTACGCTGGGGGCAACGAGGCAATGGATCCACGAGCGGCAGATAAGAACGAGTCCAGCTCTTTCAAAGTCTTCGCCTGCTTATTCAGGATAGGCCACACGGCAGCTTCCCCGAGGGCACATGCTGTATAAACTGGTCCGGCCAAGGCAACAGCATATACTGCGGCGATGATGCCCTGGACTAATCCAAGGTCGTCCACCATCCTGGCGACCGAGGGCTGGACATGGCAATCTTGCGCCCAAGGCGGACACTCGAAGATCTGTCGGCTCAGCCAGAGGGTAAAGCCAAAGATAGCCAGAATACTCAAGAGACCAGCGACCGTTGTGACAATGACTTCTGGGTTGCTAGCAAGAAATTGCCGGAGGCCTTTTCGGTGCGGATCTACCGGGCCAAAGTTCCTCGGCGATCCTATTGGCTCCTGGAGAAGAAACGATTCCTGCGAATTGTGCCTGACCATGTCTGCGTATTAACCGGAACTTAGAAGGCGAAGCGCATGTAGAAAGACAACCGTTGTCCCATGCGAGAGCGAGTGAAATGGTCATGGGCAAAGAATGAAGGCTGGGGAAAACAACCAACATGATCAATTGCAGCAGGGTAGATGACTTAAAAGCGGGAGGGTGCAAGGGTAGCTGCATTCAAGGCCCCCATCGATCCGGCCTTGGTTGAATGATTGGGGCGAAGGATCGGCTTATGAGCTGAGTGCGGGCTGACGCACGAGGCTGAACATGCACAATGATAAGCTGGCTCGTCCTCAGCTTCTGGAGCCCTATGTGGAAAGTCGACCAACAGAATGATTGATCGGCGTCCCCGGATGAAGCAGACGAATCCTTCAGCAGTCCTGTTTGTGGTGCACATTCAAGGCGTCTACCTAGCTGTAACCTGTTCCTCGGAGCGTAGGAGAGGGACAAGCTCAATTGGCCAGCTGTGTCAGCATCAGGGGTCAGCAAGAGGCAGGGCGGGGGCCGCTGGTCAAAAGCGGGAAGTGGAGGACGGAAAGGGCCAGCGCTCTGAGACTCCACGTGAAAAGGCTTGGGTAGGGTCCAGACGCGTGACTTCGCGTTGGCGCGATCGGCAGGTCAGCGTCATCACCCCCGCTAGTCTCCCGCGACTTCTGCCAACGTCTCTTGGAAAGCATCTGTTTCCTATCCCGCCGAAAACACTCTTCCTGTCGCCTTGCCCGCTAACATTCCGCACGCGTTCCCGCCCGGAAGCTTGCCCATTCTACATTTCCTCGACGCAAAACTACACCAGCAATGCCTGAGATTGGAGAAGTTGCGCGTATCGTCCACTACCTGCGCAAACACGTCGCCGGCAAGACGATCCGCGACGTACGCACCCAGCAAGATGACATCGTCTACGGCAAGGTCGGCACGAGCGCATCCGCCTTTGAGAAGGCCATGACCGGCAAGAAGGTCCTCGACGCGCGGCAGCAGGGCAAGTACTTCTGGCTGGTCATGTCAGAGCCGCCGCACCCGCTGATGCACTTTGGCATGAGTGGCTGGATGAAGTTCTCCAACGACGACTCGGCATACTACAAGCCCACCGCCAAAGAGGAGAACCCCGAGTGGCCACCCAAGTACTGGAAGTTTGTGTTTGAAATGGACGGCGACGGCAAATGCGAGGCCGCTTTCGTCGACGCCCGGCGCTTGGGCAGGATTCGACTGATTGATGCTCCCGGCGAAGAGCTGAGGAAAGTGAGCCCGCTCAAGGAGAACGGCCCAGATCCCGTCATTGACAAGGACATCCTGACCGTCGACTGGCTGGCCCAAAAGATGAGGAGCAAAAGGATCCCCGTCAAGGCCCTGCTACTCGATCAGGCTAACATCAGTGGCGTCGGCAATTGGGTTGGCGACGAGGTGCTCTACCAGGCCAAGATCCATCCTGAGCAGTACAGCAACACCTTCAGCGATACCCAGATCAAGCAGCTGCATGACGCCCTCATCTACGTCTGCGGCCTGGCGTGCGAGACACTGGCTGATTCCGATAAGTTCCCTGAAGATTGTGAGTATTGATGCCGTATCTCCCGCTTCCCGGCGCCTTCTGCTGATACATGCGTCGCCACCAGGGCTGATGAAGCATCGCTGGGGGAAGGGCAAGAAAGATGCCAACAAGCTCCCCAATGGCGCCAGCATCACCTTTCTCAAGGTCGGCGGTCGCACTTCGGCCGTCGTTCCCAGCGTGCAGAAGAAGACTGGTGCCGTCGCTGGCGATGCCGGCATATCCGAGCAAGAGGATGACGAGGAAACGGAGCGCAAGCCTAACGCGAAGCAACGGCGTAATCCCAACACTGCGAGCAACAAAGCCGCCGTCAATGGCTCGAAGCGAGGCCGGGGGAAGAAGGAGGAGCAGGCAGAAGACGTGAAGCAAGAAGAAGAGGAGGGAAAGGAAGACGAACCAGCCCCAAAGAGGACAAAGAAGGGGGGCGCGAAGAAAGGTGCGAACGGAGCAGCCGCTAATGTGGCTGGACAGAAGGCAGCGGCGAGCGAGCCAGAGGGGGGAAGACGGCGCTCTTCGCGGAATAAGTAAAGGGATGCTGTTCGGGCGAAAGGCTCATTACTAAAGCTGCAGAATTTTCAGTAATCTCGTTGTAGAGCGATCAAGTGGATAAGTGTATGCCGATCGTAAACGCCATTGAGCGTCAACGGAGACAGCAAGAGGAAAAGACACAATCGTCAGCTGGTATTGATCTTTAGGTGGGATGCCTCTTGTCAAAACACTAGGCGCAAAGAAAATCCTGGATAAAGAAACAAAAGGGGTAAAGATGGTGGCAAGTCTATAACAATGTCAGAATGCAGGAATCACGGACTCGTACCTTACATTCTCTCATTAACCGAATGAATATCATGCCCATCTATGCGCCTTTCCAGCCGTGGGAATCGAGTAAAGGATGGCGCGGAAAAGCAAAGGCCATCAAGGATATCTACACAGTCCCATGGAAGGATGCAAAAGTGAATACCTGCAAAGCAAACCAAAAAAAAAAAAAATAAAAGCTACCTTTCGGGAAGCCGTGAATCCAGCACCGTCCCATGCACGCCGATAATGTATGTTGAATCCTGAAAAGGGAAACAAGCGGAAGAAGAAAACAAGACATCCCAGATAACCGAAAGAACCGTGAAAAACACCTTTCTTATAATGTGATCATAGCAAGTCAAAATCTCCGCCATACAAGCAACGTATCGTCAAGGAAACAGTCGTGTAGGGCTTCTGGATAGCCTGATAAGGCTGTAGCAAGCCTTGGAGTGGAGAACGAAAATATTTCGCCATGCGTCATTCAGCCAGAGACTTTAGCAATTGGTTCCTCAGACTTGACCTTTTCGGAAGCGGTCCCTTCGAGCGTGGCATCATCCGGTTTAACCGCAGGAACCCTGTCCGAATTGACTCTTTCAGGTAGAGAGACTCTCCATGTATGTTTTTCATCGTCATCCGTCTCAACAGGGTTGACTTCGGCACTGAGACCCTCTGGAATCATTTTGTGTTCCAGGTTCCACCCAGCAAGGCGACACAGCTCGGCCACAACGACGTCACAATCGCCAAGCAGGTTGACATCAAAGTCAATATGACGAATGGGCTGGGCATTTGTTAGGTACAACTCGGATGCCAAACATCTGATTGGACTCACATCTCTGGAAATGTAGATCTGCGGCACATCGGGCGACAGAATCTGGGGGACTTCGGAGACGGGCGCAACTTTCATGGAGGTTCCAATAACGATGACAAGGTCCACGATATCCTTGTCGTGGTCCTTAAGGCGGGTAAAGAAGCGCTTCGGAAGGCCTTCACCGAAGAAGGTGATGTCCGGCTTCATGACACCAGGTTGGGGAATGTCGTACTGGCCGTCGGAGTCGTCGTCGTCACTCTGCCTTCTCTTGCGAGAGCTGCCGTTTGAACTCCGCTTTCTCTTCATACCAGGTCGGGGGACTGCCAATTGGCGAATGCACTCCTTGCACTCGGCCACCTTTTGCTCGCGGATGTTCGGGAATATCTCTTCTCCCGGAATCTGATGGCCACACTTCCGGCAGGTAGCAGTCGCCCATGAACCATGGCATTGCACCAGCTTTTCCGGATCTATGCCAGCGTGACTTTCCAAGTTGTCGATGTTCTGGGTATAGTTCGTCAGGAGCTTTCCCTTCTCTTGAAGCAGATGTATGAACTCGTGTGTGGGAGTCCAGTTGTAGAGGTCGGGGAGAATATCGCCCGCAAGTTTGTAGAAAATACTGGCGCAAGGTCAGTCTCTGCTGGAGCATGTTGCGACCGACACCTACGTAGGATCTTCGTCGAAGTTGTGAATGTCGAATACTTGCTCCGGGTCCTCGAAACCCATTTCACGGAGCTTCGAGTAAAAGCCCGTGTTCTTAGAGCGGAAATCGGGGATGCCGAGACTAGTTGAGATCTGGGGTTTGCAGGGTCAGTTGCAAAGAAGCCTTCCAAGCGACTGCGAGCACTTACACCTGCACCCGTGATGACCATAACATTTTTGCTTTTCTGCAGAAGGCGAGCGGCATCTTCGATGGTCGAGTGTTCAGGCAAACGGCGCCTCTTGGAAAGCTCCCTGGCAATGGCCAAGCCCAACAACTGGTAATAGGAGCTGTCGGGAGCGCCTTCCAGAAAGCTGGGGGGCTTGATGCCGAAAGCTGTGCATAGTCTTTTGGCAGAGACTTTGCCGGTGGTGACGGTTTCGTAGACGAAGGGGCCGGCGCCTACCTCGCGCAGGCGCTTCCGGTAAGCTCTGGCTTCCTGAACGGTGCAAACATCGGGCCCTGGTGCGGTCAGTCGATGTTGAGGGCGAGGGAGCAGAAATTATGTACCGCCACCGAGGTCAAAGGGGTCGACCTCGTCCAGAAGCTCCTCGTACAGCGAAACATTGTCGATTTGGTCGTCGCTGTCGTCGTGCACGCTCGGCGCATGGTCGTCGGAGGCGCTCTTGGCCTGTTCGGCGGAGGATCTCGCGGCGGAATCGGTATTGGTAAGATCTACGACCGGGAGGTCCCTCCGGTTGGCCAACACCTCGCCGGTGGCCATGTCGCCAGGTCCGGTAGGGCAGCGGCGGGAAATGGGGGGCACGGCCTGTGAAAGTGGATTGTAGAGTGTAGATGTTTAGTGCAGGATCGCCCGTCCCTTGTTGCGCCCGTAATGCGCTATTCGGGACCCGGTAGGCTATTTCCGAGCGGCTATTTGTCGGGGGTTGCCCTACAGTCGTTTGAGCAGCGCAACTGGAATTTAGGCGCTGCTGATGCGCCCCCGCCGCAAACTTCTCTGCGTGGCGACGATGACGGCACTGCCAGTGGGCCGCAACGTGCGAACCAAGCCGGCGGCGTACCCAGCACCAGCACCAGCCCCAGCCCACCTCTGGCGTCCAAGCTTCCGCCTCTACAATAACGCCGCCCCTTCTCATTCGCCCGTCGCTGTCAGCACCACCTTGACTCTGCTATACCGCGCCGGCTCTCTTCACATGACTCGCGCAGCTGTTTACAACTAACTGCATGCCGCCGATCGCGTCGGCAGTCAGAGACCCTCCTGCCTTGGAAGCCATTGGCCAAGATCTCTGTCGTCCGGTGGCGCACGATGCATGGAACATCAGTGGAAGGGTGTCATGCAGCAGTGCATGGGCTTGCATGGACGCACTGTCATTCAAACGAATGTGCATACACGCCCATACTGAACCTTAAGCCGCACATGCTTCATCACAAGAGACTGGGCAAACTGTCGCCGTCAGGCATTGGCGCAGTAACTTGTTTTAAGAAGCGTTCGCCCGCTCGGACGCCGTTGCGACAGTACCTACAAGAGCCCTGCAGGCCATGGAAGCGAATCACGCGATAAAGCTTCCAAAGGAGCCTGTCATTCCGTGCTTTGCATTGGAGATGACCCGTGACTCAGGAACGTAGGTTTTGCTTTCCCTTGGAGAGAGAAGGCCGAGTCTACGAGCGCCTTGAGTCGGATAAGGTTTGCCCACGGCCACGCTAAAATTGCTGAAGGAACCCGCGTCGCACAGCGGTGAGTTCCCACATGACCCGGCCCAAGGCAGGAAAATGCAGGGTGCGCCATCTCATCTAAAGGGCGTGCAGCTATCGTACACGCACGCATCTCCACCGACGTCTGATCCTGGGGTGACGGCACAAGCTCTCGCCAAGGACAAGATGCCGGCCCCCGAAAGGCCGCTTTGCTGCATTCGACCGCGGCGCGCCTCATCGAGCCAAAACACTACCAGGGGTATGAGACATCTCACCGCGAAGCCACAATAAAACGTGCCAGGAAAGGCTAGAGTGCAGCCCCCGGCGGTGAAGGCAATGCCACGCGTGGTGCGACGCGTCCAGCTCGATTGACGGGCGCTGCCATCGGCTGGCGCGCCCTGCTGCTGGAAATCCCTTCCCACGCCGCCTATTGACCAGGGCCCGTCGAATGGGACGACGAAGTAGGCGACTAAAAAAAGCTCGACGGAGCTTGACGCGGCATGCCGGCGGATCGACAGCGGAGAAGGCTCCAAAATGGAGCAGATGTCTCGAAAAGCGCCACTAAATGGAGCCAAGGATCATTTTCGCCGCTGAGTCGCGGCCGCCTGGTCGAGAAGCTCCCTCACGGCCGCTATATATGCACCTCCTTGGCGCCGTCTCCTAAGCTCTTCACCCGTCTGCTCTCAATTCACCTCTGTCTTCTTGACCTCAATCCGCTCGTTCTACCTTAGCCCTCAACTTCTATCAGGATGCAGTACAAGACGGTCACTTTCCTCGCCTTGGCCTCGTCGGCCATGGCCTCGCCTCAGCTCCGCCAGAGGCAGGACAGCAGCGACTCCGTCGACGTGTTTGTCTCTCGTCGTCTCCATTGCTTCCGCAAATTCATCCTAACATCGTCACAGGAACTCTATCGTGTCCGTCCTCTACACCGCCCTGCCGACCTCGCTCCTCGAGATTGCTATCACCAACCAAGCGGCCGTTTCCTCGATTATCGCTTCTGAGGTCGCTGCGGGCACTCCCGAGCCCTGGATCTCAGCGCTGCCCAGCGACGTCCAGAGCTATCTTGCCGCGGCTGCGACTGCTGCTGCAAGCGTCACCGCTGCACCCTCCGCCACCGCCACCGCCAGCGGCAACGCCACTGCCTCTCTTTCCTCCGCTGTCTCGAGCGTCGTTGCTGGTAACTCGTCATCCAACGCTACTGCCACTCGCTCTTCTTCCCGCTCTTCTTCGACCTCTGAGGCGACCACAACGTCGGGAAGCTCTGAGAGCTCTGCCAGCGGTAGCAGCGGTGCTTCTTCCTCTTCCACTGGTGGTGCTGCTCTTCCTACCGCTCTCGGCGCCGGCCTGGCTGGTGTCATTGGTGTCGTTGGTATGCTTGCTCTCTAAATGTCGAGGCTATAACGGTGGTCCTGTACTTTATAAAGGGTTTGCGTCCTGAAGGTCGCACCTTTCTCCCGAGACGCGGTGCATTTAATACTGTCAAAGATCGCCTCCGAGGAGGTACATAATAATGCTAAATAAGCTTCCGCGGCACGCACTTCGCTTTCCCCATTTTCCTTGGCGTATCTGATGGCAGTCGTGCGTTTCGTGACGCATCACGACTATCACGAAAAGCACCTTCAATGCTCCAGAACGCGTCTGTGAAGATGCATATGACCCAATCGTGCAATAGCTAGTCCCGCTGACGAGAGGGCCGGACTTCGGTTAGTGCACATTCCATCTCGGAACCCAGCCTCCGCCAGGGGTCTTCAACCTCGGTGTCTAAACCTCGCAATTTTTTCGATGGCTAGCGTGAAGAATAGCAAGGCCCCAGACGTAACTATGCCTCAGCCCGTTCTTAGAAAAAAAAGATAACATATGTGCGTAGTTGAAGCTATCGTCCGGACGAAAATGTGGAATTAAAAATTCTATATACATATCCGGACGATAGTTTCAGCTACCCATGACATGAGCAAAAAAAAAAAAACAAATCCACGCTAGCCATCGGCTGCGAGAGGGGACTGTATGCACAAAGACCACAAGGTGCCTAACGACGTAGCTTGGCGTGGTTGGCCGGATACCTTGGGGTCCACAAGCACGTCACACTTCGATAATGTGCTGCTAGAGCTTAAATTCCCGCCGTGCCCTCTACAGCGCGCCAGTCTTCAATACTACATCCATCCTCCGACGACCAAATCTCCAAATTAAGCTCCAACAATCCAATAGCAACATGTCGACTACTTTCAAGCTCAACACTGGCGCTGAGATTCCAGCCATCGGTTTCGGAACTTGGCAGGATGCCGATTCGCAGGAGGCCGCCGTCTTGGAGGCTCTCAAGGCGGGCTACAAGCACATTGACACTGCACGGATGTATGTTGCGCCTCTAGAGCGTCCCGGGAGGGCTCTGGCATCGCTAACCACTGCTTTCCGCAGCTACGGAACCGAGCCGGCGGTTGGTAGCGGCATCAAGAAGTCTGGCATTCCGCGTGAGCAAATCTTCCTCACGACCAAGCTTTGGAACAACGCGCACCACCCCGACGACGTCGAGAAGGCTCTTGATGCCTCTTTGAAGGATCTCGGAACCGACTATGTGGATCTCTACCTGATCCACTGGCCGGTTGCGTTCGCTCGGGGCGACGAGGCGTTCCCCAAGGACAGCAATGGTACGTCCGCATTCACAGTGTCGCTGGAGTTTACTAAGGGAGTCTCCAGGCAAGCCGAAGACAGAGAATATAGACTATGTAGACACCTACAAGGCGTTGGAGAAGGTGTACAAGAAGGGCAAGGCCAAGGCCATTGGCATTTCCAACTTCAGCAGGACCGAGGTTGAACGCCTGCTTAAGGAGACAGAGGTGGTTCCCGCCGTGCACCAGCTGGAGTCGCACCCCTGGCTGCAACAACGGGATTTCTCTGACTTCCACCGGCAACATGGCAGTAAGTGACTTTCGGTCTCATTGCAAAGGCAGTGTCTAACACCGGCGATCACCAGTCCACATCACGCACTACTCGCCTTTTGGAAACCAGAACGAGATCTATGGCTCCACCATCGGCAAGCTGATCGACGACCCGGTTCTCAACGAGATCGGCAAGAAGTACAACAAGTCCGGCGCGCAGGTTGCTCTTGCCTGGGGTATTGCGGAGGGCCACTCGGTGATCCCGAAGAGCAAGACCCCTGCTCGCATCAAGCAAAACCTGGAGGGCGACTTCAAGCTCGAGGAGGAGGACGTGAAGAAAGTTGCCAGTATCGACAAGAAGCTGAGGTTCAACGACTCCTCGGAGAACTTTGGCCACAACTTCTTCACGGATTTGGATGGCAAGAAGGCCTGAACAGCTCGCCGTTTTGATGACCTGGATGATACCTATGAAACTACACTTCGAATCAATGGAATTTTCAGCTGAAACTCGACCTAGTGCATGTCAACGAGTCCAGCCTGGACCACCGCTTGTGGAGCTGCATGGGTCCTAATGAGAGATGCTTGTAGCCTGGACTATTGACGACTGTACTGGGGTGGTTGGATCGATAGCAATACAGGGGGGTATCGCAGCCGACGGCTAGCATAATAGTAGGGCTCTAGAACATAGCGTAACTATGCCTCAGGTCTTCCTCAGAAAATAACATATATGGGTAGTTGAAGCTATCGTCCGGACGAGAATGTCGAATTAAAAATTCTACATACACGTCCGGACGATAGCTTCGACTACCTATGACATGAGCAAAAAAACAAACCCGCGCTACCTAGCCATCGGCTGCAAGAGGGGACTGTAGTCACGTGCGGAAGGTGGGTCCGGGCCGAGCTCGGCAGACGCTAGCGCGTCGCTACAGCTAAAATTCCAGCGAACCCGTCGCGTTTTCTTTCTCCAACCCTTCAACCTCTCAACATCGCAAAAATCTGCGCTCTGAGGGCCACAGCCATCTGCGCCTGCACGCTGTGGCCCTCTCCACCTTGTTTTTTTCAGTGTAAGTCTCAACCGCCTCTCCGTGCATCGCGTACAGTGATGATACATTCTTATCCACAAACCCAAGTCCTGCTACAGGATCATGCGGATTCATAAGAAAAAGCTCTAGAATTACCCTGACAGCACACGCCATTCTCTTCAATGCGTGTCAAGCAATGCTTAGGCAGTCTGGCTAACTTTTCGCCTCAGTTCCAGCCTGCTTTTTTCTCATACATTCGTCATCCCCAAGAGTGCGTGCGCTCGTCGGGTTTTGGGCAGTCGGGGCGGCAACAGGGTAAAAGGGCCGGTTCAGAGTCAGATGCAGGCTTTTTGGACCGTGTCCTCGATCCCGTCACAGCCAACCTTGCCTGCCTCTCCGTCTTTCATTCTTTAGAAAAGGTATGCGCAATGTTTTTTTTTTTTTTGGACTCCCCTCTGGATGATGATCAACCGACAACGGAAAGGCATTCCTCAATCCGAACACATGGTGTCGAATCTTGTCAATTTAAGTTTCAGCCTTGTCTGACCCAAACAATTACAACTGTTTTGGTATCTTTGGCATCCAACGAGCATCAGCTAACGTAGTCTTGCCTAGGTACGATATTCTTGCCATCAATCCCCGCCATGCAGAGCCGCGCGACACATGAGGAAATTTGAACGAACGGGCGGACAGACTGTGCATACTTCGGGTGGCAGCCGTCAAAAGCAAGGCGTACAAACCTTGTGGATGTCACCTTGGAGGATTGCTTGTTGAGAATTCGTCAGCTGATCCGCGATTGCTACTGCATGGCATTATCGGTGGTTCATAGCCCTTGGACGATTTGCTAACCGTAGTTGCACAGGTACTTCCGATTTTTCCTAGTCTGCAAACCCCCCTTCCAGGCCATCGTAAATGATGATCAATATTCACACTGTTTGATCCCTCTACGTGTAACGAACGTGGTTGGAAATGAACATTAACACTGAAAATTCTGATTTAATGAGGTATGTTTGAACCTCTCTCGTGCTGGAAGCGCGTGTTGCTGACCTGTAATAGCCTGATTCACGATGGATTCCACATCTCATTGCGATCTCATAGCTGTCGTTGGACTAGCGCTGACAGGTGTAGCTTCAGGGAATTGCTGCCTTGTGCTTCTCAGGCCATGCTAACAGGTACGCGCGCCTTCACCACCAAGCCCCCCTCCCCTTCCCTGATGAACCCAATAATTTCGCTGTGTTCTTCCTGAGATTAGTCGTTGAAGAAACAAATTATCACCTTGGAGACCTGAAACTTCACCCACCCATCCACGTTGTTGCACGCATGCTTCCCAAAGAGTTGGCGCTGACTTCCAACAGATAGCTGTACTGCAAGAAAAATTAGATAGTAATGATACTCATGTTTGAAGCCGGTGCAATATGAAACGTGTGCTTGATGTGATTTGTCGGCGTGTGACATGAAAAAAAGTGGACTCGTTCGGTTTGCCGGATTCGGGGGATCGGCACCGCTTGGGCGCGTCGCGGTGACGAAGGGACACTGGAACACCGCCCGCCCAAAGCACGCTCCGTATGCGCACCCGCACCATGCCGCGTCGACAGCCCATGGCTTTCCCCGTACTATGGAACTCACCCGCCGGGATGTGATCCTCGCCTGCATCGCTGCCTTCATAGCCTGGGGATATGTTACCCATTGGGCGCCGTCGCTACGCTATGTCCCTCAGGCCTTTCTCGCAGGCGTCGCTATCACGGTAGCCGCGGCCGTCTACCTGATTGTCTCGACCTCGCGCTCTCCCGAACATGCGAATCCTCGCCCCCTCCGCCCGCCGCAGCATGTGGCCTTCGTGTCGCCGCAAGCCTGGAAGGCCGAAACCGCCGCTTTGAAAAGCCGCTCCCTTTACCGCCGCGAGCCGTTGTACCCGCCCTCCTTCGTCATATCCGACCACCTCGATAACCTCCTCGACCTCATACTCCGCGACTTCGTGCAGAGCTGGTATGGCCAGATCAGTCCGCGCCCGACCTTCACAAACGAGGTCGATCGCGCCATCCGCGCCGCCCTGGGCAACATCCGGGACCGGCTGCTGGAAGTGGACTTGGTGGAAATCGCCATATCGCGCGCCGTGCCCATGATCACAACCCACATGCGAGACTTCTATGAAGCCGAGCGTATCGTGCGCGGCAGGAAGCTGTCTCGCGACGTGACCGAGTCGGAGGAACTTGACAATGCCATCGCTGCCAAGTATCGCGATGGCAAGCTGCACCCCGCCGCCTCCCTCTCGTACACGAATCCGAAGTCTGTGCAGCAGCAACACCTCCGTGGCATCGTGGAGAGACTCCTTCCCCAGGTGTTGCCGCGCAACATGCGGACGAGTCAAGCTGTGAACACTTTGATCAAGGAAATCGTTGCTTGCGCAGTTCTCTTCCCCGTCGTCGGGATGCTTGCCGACCCGGATACCTGGAATCAAATCATGGAGGGCTATGGACGTACGCTTCTGCACGACAGAAAGACAGTGCGGAAACTCCGCGCTGCTCTGGATGAGCATGCGCCCGTCTCTCCAAAATTGCCCAAGGCTGCTCCGTTCCCGCGTCTGGCTCCTGGCGATAATGAAAGAAATTTTGAGCGCTTCATCCGCGCCATTCGCCAGTGCAATTCTCTCTCCGATGCTCGCCGATTCAGAAGCGAGATAGCCAGCCAGCTCAAAAAGGAGTCCGCGATTGAAGGTCAGGATCCCCTGTACATGCGTCGCCTTGAGACGGCTAGGAGAATACTGGACCAGCGCGTCGTCCAACTGAGCACGGGAAGCGGAGCCAAGCAGAAGCCCGCCATGCCGCCAAATCTCGTTCGTAGAGATTCTAGGCTGGAGAACGCAAACCTCCGACATGTCTTGTACGACGCCTCTGGCCTTTCATACTTCATGGAGTTCATGGATCGGCAGGGGCTTATGCGCCTGGTCCAATTCTGGATCGTGGTTGACGGCTTTCGTGACCCTCTTGAAGAAGACACGGGGGACACAGATGACGCGAATCTCGATCTCTCCTGGGGCGCTTCTGAGCGCGCTGATCTCGCACAGATCTACGAAGCTTACCTCACCAAGCCTGAGCTTGCGGTACCTGATGGCACGCGCCGGGTTGTTGACGATTTTTTGAAAGCAGGAAAAAGGGCAACAAGTGCCCAATATCTCGCTGCTAGGCGTGCAGTGCTAGAAGTTCAGTCATCAGTATATCACAAGATGGCAGACCGTCATTTTGCACGCTTCAAGCGGTCCGATTTGTGGTTCAAGTGGTTGGCATCAGACGAGGCATCTGCTCTCTCGAAAAGCCCTCCCGGAGCTCCGGTTCTGGGTCAAACGATGGGCACTGCGCCATTGCCATCGAAGCCGCCTGCATTTGCTCGCACAATGTCATCGCAATCTGCAGACCTCCGAAGGGCAGCAGTTTCTACTTCAGATCTGAAGAACATCAAGTCACTCCAGGGCCCAACAGCACCCGCGCGAAGATCCTTGGATGATTCCGGACGGCCGCCTCTGTTTGACGACGATATTGAGCCAGATCCGATGGCCAACTCGTTCCAAAGCGTGGATTCTGACTTTGAATCCTATCGGCCAAATGGAGATAACTCTCAGATCGTGGACGCGATGCAGGAGGCCTTGGAGGACATTATGGAAAATGATGCAGATCGGGATTCCCTCTTCTCCGATGGACCAAAATCAGCGCAAGACAACGAATCGCTACGAGGCTCATTCGAAATCACCCGGACAAGCTCTCCAGCTGTACCGAATAAGGAGAGAGAGAGACCAAGCATAACCTCTCTCGGTCTCGTTGGGGCACCCACCACCAGAGGCGTGTTTTCAGACAACCTCTTTGGCGACGAAGAAAAGTTTCCGGAGGATGAGAGAGAAGATCCGGATGCAGACGACAAAAATCTGGAAGACGAGATTCACGAAGCTGCTCCAGGAGATTTAGGACTAGCTGAAGCTATCGATGCTTTGACACAAGATCTTGACCGGCTCGTCAACCAGGAATCCATCGTAGATTCTCTGACCAAAAAGGCAGAGCTCACTAACAACGCGGCAGAGTTGAGGATCCTCAAGAAATCAAAGGCAAGCCTGCAACGAGAAATCCATCGAAAAGAGCTTCAACGCCAGCAGTATGTCGTTCAAGAGAGCGACAACAGCCTGTACGGAAGAGCAACGGTATCGATTCAATCAATCATGGTCGGCAAGGAAGAGGATGGCACAGAGTATGCTTTGTGTAAGTCGGCCTATTCACCGCAACCGAATTTGACTGACTCGAGCAGATGTCATTGAGGTCCGCCGACAGGCAGGAGAACAGATGCCAGCTGCCGCGTGGGTAGTGGCAAGGCGTTATAGTGAGTTTCACGAACTCAACAAGCGCCTCCGGTCGAAATACCCCATGATTCGGAACCTTGAGTTTCCGCGTCGACAAATGGGTCTTCTCAAGCTGCAAAAAGACTTCCTCCAGAAGCGTCGAGTTGCTCTGGAGAAGTGGCTTCGCGAGCTCCTACTCATCCCGGCAATATGTCGAAGTCGCGAACTTCGAGCGTTCCTGTCGCAACGAGCCATCTCCCCATCCGATCCATCGGACTCTCAAGCCGAGACCAAAGACTTCGTGTCTCGAATCTACAGTTCTGTCAGCGACGGCATGGAGGAGTTCATCGGCAATATTCCAGTCCTCGACCAGCTCTCCCTCGCAGGGCAGAACCTCATATCAGCCGCGACAACACAACTGAACAATGGCAGTAGCGGTGGTGTCCTTGGGCCAGCCGCAGCGGCCAGTGCCGCACTTGCCAACGACCCTCAGGCTGCAGCCGAGGCGGAGGCAGAGCTGCGCGCGTACGAGAACCAGCAACTGGAGCCACTGATCAAGCCCATCTGCGACCTCTTCCTCGAGGTCTTCGAGCTTAACCGCGAGAGCAACTGGCTGCGTGGCCGCGCCGTGGTCGTTGTCCTGCACCAGCTGCTCGGTGGCACCATCGAGCGCAAGGTGCGCGAGAACGTAAAGGCGCTGACGCAGGAAGACGGCATTGTCAAGTACATCAGCACGCTCCGTGACTCGATGTGGCCGCCCGACAACGGTGGACAGATGGTGCGCGACAAGCCACCGCGGACGGAGGCGCAGAAGGCGAAGAGCAGGAAGGAGGCCTGCCTCATGCTAGCCACGCTCATCCCTGACCTGGCCGGCAGCGTTGTCGGCCGCGCCAATGCGCAGGCAGCGAGCAGACGCATGCTGGCGACGATGAACAACCAGCGGTTGAAGTACGTGTTTCCCTTCCTTGGCTCTTGGCCCGTTTGTACTGACGCCTCCCTTTTCTCGTTACAGTACCCACCTCGTCTACTCGTTGCTCGACGAAATTGTGCAAATAATTTTTGGAGTATGAGCGGAAGATTACCGTCCAGTTCGACGACACGGCAAGCAAGCACGTAGAATGACTCGGATGATTCACGTCACGCAGGAATAGAAATGGTCGTTGTTTTGTCTTCATCCTCGGGCACTTTGAAGCGATTCATGATAGATCCGAGCTAATAACCTACTCGAAATCGTTCACTTCTGGTATCATTTTTATCTGTTTAAAAACTTGTCCTTTCCCCTTCATGCCTATAGTTCATAGACTCTCACATGCGGTAATACTAGAAAAAAAAATGTTCCCCCGTCGTACGACAATCGTCGTTGCACGTTAAGTGCAAACATCTCCCACGCGATCTCTTACACATTCCTTTTACTCCAAGGAAAAAGTTAAGTTTCCCTCCTTTGACTCTGACTCACCTTCCTAAATTTTATTTCCCCTTTTGGCAAAATAATCCCCAGCTCAGGCAGGCGAGGCTCCACCTTTCCAATACTTTGACGGCACAAACGGCATTTTGGTCACAACAGCCTTCCTAGGCCTACCGCGAACAACAACCTGGACCTCGGTTCCGCTCTTGTGCTTGCCGTCTTTGATGTAGCCCATGGCGATGTTCTTCTTGAGCGTCGGGCTGGGGCAGCCGCTGGTAATCTTGCCGATGGAAGCACCGGTCTCGTCGACGATCTCGGCGCCTTCACGGGCAGGGGCGCCGTCGACGATGAAGCCGACGCGCCGTCTGTCGACGCCAGCACCGCCCTTGCTCTTGGGCTTGAGCTGGGCAAGGATGGCGTCAGCGCCATGGAAACCACCCTTCTCGCGGCGGTCCTTTGGGATGATCCACGAGAGAGCGCCCTCGACGGGCGTGGTGGTGTCATCCAGGTCGTGGCCGTACAGACACATGCCGGCCTCGAGGCGGAGGCTATCGCGGGCGCCCAGGCCGGCCCAGCGGAGCTTGTCCGGGCCGCCCGTCTCGAGCAGCAGTTGGGCCAGGGCGGTCGTGTGCTCTCCAGGCACGGAGATCTCGAAGCCATCCTCGCCCGTGTAGCCGCCGCGAGAGACGAGCACGTCCGAAACGGTCTCGCCGGTGGGCAACTTGAACGACAGCGAGCGGCTCTGGCCAAAGTAGAGATTGGACAGGTCGCGCGACTCGGCGGGGAGGATGGCCGAGACGATGTCGACGGCGACAGGGCCCTGGATGGCGATCAGGCCACGGCCGTCCAGACGGTCCCAGGTCACGGCCGTGTTGCCGTCCTCGCCATGCTCGGCCTTGAAGGAGTCGAGCTCGCCGGAGAGGTAGGCCGAGTCCTTGTCGCGGCAGGCGGCGTTGGTGACGACGAAGAAGACGTCCCCGGGCAGCTTGGTGATGATGGTGTCGTCGACGATGCCGCCGGTGTGGGGGTGCAGCAGGGTGGACAGGGTGGAGGTGTTGTCAGCAAGAGTGCTCGCGGACGCGGGCGTGATGCGCTCGAGGAAAGCAGCGGCGCCGGGGCCCTTGAAGTAGTGCTGGACCCTGTGGATACTTAGCAGTGGACGCGGACTCGGGATTGGCGTGCGTACATGTGGCTCACATCGAACAAGCTGGCCTTCTCGCGCGTCCAGTTGTGTGACTCGGCCAGCGACAGGTCCGAGTACTGCACGGGCATCTGGAAGCCGCCGAAGGGCACGAACTTGGCGCCATACTTGGCGTGGAGATCATAGAGAGGCGTCTTCTCTGGAGCGGGCTCGGAGCTGTAGAGCCTCGCACGGGACGAGAGCAGGGTGGTGAGCAGCGGGCCGGTGGTGCGGCATCGGCTTGCGGGAAGCTGCTGTGCTCTGCTCAGAATTGAAAGGGCGCGCGGGCGAACAAGGCCATTGGCGCAGGGCGCGAACAATGCAGCTCCTCTTCGGGCGGCCATGGCTGGTGAGGATTTTTTGGCGAGGGTTGGGGAGGGGAAGAGACGAGGAGCGGGTAGCTGGCGAAGTTCCCGATGATGGCCGGCCTACCTAGCTCGGCGGGGAGCTCGCTGCAGCACGCGCCCCATGACGAACGTGCGCTCCCGCGAGCTCTCGGGCTGCTACGGTAGTTTAGCTGAGAGCTGCAACAACACCACCACCACCGCCTGCATCGTCATCCCCACCCCGGTCTGCCCCGCGCCCGCCACTCCCTCCGCCCGCGCTCCCTGCCGACCCCCGCCGGCACCATGTCGAAACTCTCCAAATACCTGCTGGTGTCGCTGCCCACGTCGATAGCGCCGTCCAACGACCGTGAAGAGGCCCTCACCGCGCTGCGCTCCACCGTCTCCAACGACGTCGGCACCACCTATCCCTTCAGCCTGCCCAACTTCAAGATCGGCACCCTCGATGCCCTCGTGCAGCAGGCCGACGACCTCGCCAAGCTCAACTCGGCCTGCGAGCAGGTTGTGAACAAGGTTGGAGACTCGTTGCGCGGCATCCTCGACGGCGACGAGGAGAAGATCGCCCAGCAGAAGACCATCAACGACAGTGCGTGCGTGCCCTAACTCGCCGACGAGCCGCTGTTGACTGTCAGTAGAGCCGGTCGAGCAGTACCTGCGCTCCTTCCAGTGGAATAAGGTCAAGTACCGCGCCGACAAGCCCATCGCCGACCTCATAGACTCGCTGCAGAAGGTCGAGCCGCCTGCCCCTCTAGCCAGTCGGATCAGTGAGCTCACACGGCTGCCGTAGGAACTTGCCGGGATCGACAACGACGTCAAGGGCAAATTCAACCAGTACAACCAGGTGAAGACGAACCTGGCCGCCAGCCAAAGACGGCAGACGTGGGCCACCCATCATCCGGCTTCCTGTATCGATACATGCTGACGTTCGTGCCAGCGGTAACCTCGCCACCAAGTCTCTTGCCTCGATTGTCCCACCGGAGGCCCTCGTCCAAGAGTCAGAGTACCTCGAGACACACCTCATCGCTGTCCCCAACACCTCGGTGAAGGATTTCCTGAAGAGCTACGAGACTCTGGCGCCTATGGTCGTCCCTCGGTCCGCCACTCAGGTCGCCAAGGACGACGAGTTCTCCCTGTTCGCCGTCGCCTCCTTCAAGAAGCACTCGGCCGAGTTTGTGCACAAATGCCGCGAGAAGCGTTGGACTCCGCGTGATTTCAAGTACAAGGAGGGCTCCAAGGAGGAGGAGGCGCGCGAGGTCGACCGTCTGGAGAAGGAGGAGCGCAAGGTTTGGGGCGAGGCTCTGCGCCTTGGTCGCACCGGTTACTCGGAGAGTGCCATGATTTGGATCCACGTGCTCGCTCTCCGCGTCTTCGTCGAGACGGTCCTGCGCTACGGCCTGCCTCTGGAGTTTGTGTGTGGATTAGTGCAGGTGAGTAGCCTCCCATGGTGCGAGGAAACTGGCGGCTGACGCACCAGCAGACCAACGAGAAGCTCGCCAAGAAGGCAAAGACAAATCTGGATGCGAACTACTCATACCTGGGCGGCAACGCGTTTGGCAGGGACAAGCAAGGCCGTGTCAAGAAGGATGACTCGGCCGTCAACGCCGAGCTGCAGGCAGCGGGCCATGGCGATTCCGAGTACACGCCCTACGTTTACTACGAATTCGAGATCCAATAGTTATGGGATTTTATGTACGCTTTTAACACGAGGAAAGAAAGCATTCTATTAATAAATTTACCGCGTTGCTAGTTTTTGGGGGGGATCCTGTGTACTCGCCGCCCACTGATACAGTATTGCTTGTCCTGAAAGCTGCAAATGATATCACGCTCTTTCTGCTCGGGTAGCTGAAGCAAGTATCCGGGTGTAAATGTTTAAAACGGTACAAAAACTTCATGTGAATAGAGTACCAGTGGTACTGTGTAGTATCTCGGAGTATCGCCCGCGGTTCCGCCGTGTCGGGAGTACCCGGTTCGCTGGCGTTATCCTAGAGATGTTGCACGCAATCGCGTCCGAGCTCAGCTGGCCTGTTGATTTAATGCTCTCGCACCGTATGCCGCCAGCTGCAAAACACGACACTACGGAGGATGGCCAGCTTGCAGATATCGGAGCCCGCCCTCGAAGCCTCTTCCCAGACCAAGGGGCGATGGCGGCTATATTTCATTCTGCTTGCGCTTTATGTTAGTATTGCTTCATCTTGCTCGAATTCAGAAACAGAAATTGAATAATGCCTAGCTTTCGGCGTTCATTGCGGCTCTGGATTCGACCGTAGTCTCCACCGCCATACCTGTGATCGTGTCAGAACTGCACTCCGCTACGGGTTACACTGTAAGTGGGTTGTCCGCATGATGATTGCCGAAAAGTCTGACTTATGCTTCTCAAGTGGATCGGCGGGGCTTCTATGCTGGCAAAAGCGTGCACGCTTCCGCTTTGGGCCAAATTTAGCGATATCTGGGGCAGGAAACCCATTATCCTCATCAACATCGGTCTCTACGCCGTCAGCTGCGTCATATGTGCACTGTCCCGCAATGTTGCTACGTTGCTGTGCGGCCGTGCCCTCCAAGGCGTTGCTGGCGGTGCTCTCCTACAGCTGCCAGCGGCCATCATCTCCGACCTCTTCAGTGTCAGGCAACGCACCCTTTACCTGGGCCTTTTCCAGCTGAACTTCGCCCTTTCTGCAGGCGTGGGTCCTCTGATTGGAGGAACACTGGCTGAGCTAGCGTCCTGGCGATGGATCTTCTGGATGAATATTCCCATCTGCGTTCTGGGATTCCTGCTCGTCTTGTTCTTGCTCGATATCCACAACCCGCGGACCAAACTTGGCGACGGCCTCCGTGCAATCGACTGGACAGGCATGCTAGCCATCATAGGCCTGACTCTCATGATTCTGCTGGCTCTGGACTTTGGCGGCGTCATCTACCCGTGGAATTCCCCAAAGATCGTCTGTCTGCTTGTCTTCGGCTGTCTCTTGTCCGTCGTGTTCGCCTTCAATGAGGTCAGCTTGGCCAACAACCCCTTGATGCCGCTGAGGGTTTTCCGCAACAAATCCAATCTCGCAGCCCTTGCAGCCGTATCCATGCACAGCATGGTTTTCATGGCTGGCGAGTACTTCCTGCCTCTGTACCTCCAGTCTGCCAAGCAGCTCACCCCCATCCGCTCCGGTATTCTCGTCCTTCCATTGGTGCTGAGCACAGCACTGACTGGCCTTGCGGTCGCCATCTTCACCCACCAAACCGGAGAGTACTTGCACCCTTTGCGGTTAGGTTTCTTTCTCCTGTCTTTGGGCACCGGGCTCTACATGCTCTTGAAGGCCGACGCCTCCAACGCCCTGATCGTCGGAGTCGAAATCATTGCAGGCGCCGGCTCAGGCCTCTGCTTCCAGCCGCCGATCATAGCTGTCCAGGCCTTCGTCTCTTCCGAGGACACTGCTACGGCCACTGCAGCCACTGCTTTTGCTCGCAATCTCGCGGCTGCCTTCTCCATCGTCATTGGGGGTGTCCTGCTGCAGAACGGCTTGAAATCGCGGGCGCCGTATCTCAAGGCCGCCGGGCTTGACTCCCATCTCATCGAAGCCCTGTCCGGCCCGGAAGCCGCAGCCAATGTCGACCTTGTGAAGACGCTTCAGGATGGCTTGCAGCGGGCTACGGTAGAAGACGCTTACGCGTGGAGTCTGCGGAATCTGTGGATTTTGTACACGGGCATTGCCGTTATCGGGGGCGTGGCGAGCCTTTTCGTTGGCAGGTTGGTCCTAAGGGAGGAGCATACGGAGCACAAAACTGGCTTGAAGGAGCCCAGCAGGCCAGAAGTACAGGCATGATTGATGACGGGCATTCAGGGGAAACTGCTACGTATTCAGGAACTCCATGGTGCACGGTGGTTAGAAAGCGGACCAATAGCTAGCCTTTACAATCAATCTCAATCTACAGGAAGCAGCCTTCACATGCCCTCATCCTCGCATCATCGCATATGGGGGGTTCGGCACAGCTTTCCCATGGGTGTTCCTGAAGTGGGCGTTCGAGAAAGTTGAAATCTGACTGTTAGATTGGTTCTTCCATATTACCTAAACGGTGACGGCAGTTTATGGGTGCTCAATAAGAATGAGCTTAGACAGTTCTAAATATAATTCAGAACTAGGCATTCTAGCATATATGGGCCGGGAAATGATGATAGCCTTTCATGCTGTTTCATTTTACTGTGTATATATAATATGCGGTTCAAAACATTACCACAAAAAAAGCTGAATGGCGCAGCGGAAGCGGTAAGCAGTTCCCACTCGAATATTCGTAATTCGGTCACTAACAAATTTAATAGCGCCGGGCTCATAACCCGGAGGACAGTGGATCGAAACCACTTTCAGCTAAAATGCATGAAATTGCAAATTTTTTTTGCCGAATCCTCGAGTTCGAGCCGAGGCCTGCGCACTTTTTGCGCATCCTCCTGCCGACTTCGCGCCTTTCTGTTAGCGGCCAACAATTAAAAATAGTCTTGGAGGTAACACAAAGCGTCGCTGATTATTCTAAAGCGACACTCACTATAGTCTAGGCAATTGCCATTGTTCCAAGCAGTTGAGGATATTGTCCAAAAGAAAGTGGCCCCTGCACTCCAAGGAGCGTACTGGGTAGAAACTTTTGATCCCTCTCACAAACCGGAACGCGAATCATTGCGCATACCGACGACGAAGCGGTTTAACAGATATTATTAGCAATGGCGGAGGCAATGAGAAGCAAATGGGTCTGTCGAGCGGGAGAGAAGGTCGAGTTTAGCGGAAGATGTCGGATCGTGGAAGCGATAGCTCAAGATACGGCCGAGTCGGTCGGCAATGGCCACTTTTAAAGGCGGCAGGTTGCAGATTCATATATCACACCACGTTATGCCACAGTGATTAGGAGATGATTGGGTCTTTGCACAGCTGAAATAGAGGCTAAAAATAAACAGGCATTTTGTATCAGTCCAACATGCACGAAAGGGGTCGAGTTCATCGCCGGAAGAATGCTTAAACGGCCTCGGCCAAACCTCGTACGATGGTCCAGTAAGATCCTACCAAGCCTACATGGTCTGTCAACATCCCCAAAAGGGGCCGGCCAGTCTTTGATGATTGGCATGGTGAATCCAGGACCACCGCGTCGAGCAGTGAAACCAAAACAGTCGCAGACCGTGACATTAAACACTACTCCGCATAAGAGAACAGTGTATCATCTTATTCAAGATCCTTCCATTTTTTTTATTTTCAGCATGTGTTGGTTGACTTTGCATCTATGCGGGTATCCATAACCGCGCCCGGCGAATCGACCGAGGTGCAAGGCAAACCGCTGCCGCCCAGCGTCTCAAGCCCACCCAGACGACCCCATACTGCAGCCCGGCAGCCAGCAGGATCTAAGCGAGCGGCGCCAATGGCTGTACAGAGGACGAAGAGCAGCAAAGAAAGCCAGGAAACGCGGCTGGCCCGACCAAGCCGAGAAAGCCACTGCACGCTTTGAAGCCCAACAAAACCAAAAAGGGGGGAAAAGAAGAAACCAAAAGGCTGCCACCCCAATCGAGGTCCAGTCCAGACCCACAAACCTCGCCATCGCATCTTGCGAGTATCACCAAGTGAACTGCCCATTCTAATTCGTGTCGTGTTTTCGCAGTCCATACGCTCTCCCCCGTGACGTTGCGATGAATAACCGGCGAAAGCCCTGTCAAACAAATGATCAGGAAGCAAAAAGCAAAGCAGAGAATGCGCCCAGATACCCCACCCAGAATAAAGACAATACTAATACCATCATCGCCATGCGGCCGACGTCAGAGGGGAAAATAGGGAGCACCATTAAAACGCCCTGTCCCTAACCCAGAACTGATCCTCTGCTCCTTGACTTTAGATGCATGCGACTGCGGGAGGGAAAAGCAAAAAAAAGAAGAGAAAAAGAAACACGCTCAAAAGCGGGTATAGCAAAATTTTGAACATGTTGAACGAATATCGGTTCGCGGACCCCGTCGACGCATCTTCAATGCTCGGGGGTTTCTCGACCAGGGCGGAGGCATGGCTGGTGATGCATGACGCGACATCGTGAAGCCTGTTGCGCTCGTCCACTGCGAGGCGAAGCCCGTGCAGGGATAACCTCAGACACCGAGGACCATTTCGTGCGGTGGTAGTGCCGACGTGCGTTCAAGGAATCGGAATCCGACAGTCTCCGGCCGGATGGGCTACTTCACTAATGGCGGACGCCGACCATTCCGACGTTGTGTCGGCGCTCGTCGAACCCGAGAGGACTGCCGGCAGCAAAGTCCTGTTGAGCGCAGAAGTGGTCAGTCGGTTGTTGGGCATCGATGTGGAAAAAAGAGGTCCAAAGAAATGTCGACAAAGAAATCGTCGTGGATGGCAAAAGGAACGAGAAGCACCTCATACCTTCCTGCGCTTCTTTTTGGCGCCGGCGCCCCTTCCATTGTCCTCGCCGCCGGTCGACTCGCCGACACCGTCGTCGTCGCCGTATCCTTCGCCATAGCCTTTGAAACTCGAATCCAAATAGCTGCGCTTCTTGCCCGCGCGATCCGGGCGGATGGCTGGCTTCGCAGCGGGGGACGGGCGCATTGCGGGCGATGACGTTGCTGAGTTTCGGCCGCCCTGCATAACCTGACCGGGCTTGAGCTTCTTGCCCGTGCCGTCCAGCACATCGGCAGCAGGACGCTTCGCCGAGGTGCCATCATCGGTGCCGATTCTTGTCTTCCATTTGCTGTCCTCTTCCTTTGAAAGCTTGCCAGGGCTCATCTTCAAAGCGCCTCCGTTCAGCTTGGCGAGGAGGCGTTGTTGCGCGCTCTCCATCTCATTGCCTCTCACACGCTGCAAATGGTACTCTTCATCGGGAAAGTGAAGCAAATTCATCAACTGACCGGGGGCGGCTTCGGGTCTACTCTTGCCGCCGGAGATCTTGAAGTCCTTGACGTGACTCTCGTACGATTTGCGCAACTTGTTGATCTTCTCGCCCGTCTTGGGGTCGAAGCGAGCGACACTCTGCGTGATGCGGTGAAGGCCGTACAGCGCTACCAAGTCGTGCGAAACATGGGGTCGCGACATTGGGTACGCTATTACAAGCCAGTGTTAACAGAAGACTACTTGGCAAAGCATAGCACATGCACGCATTCGGGGAGCTTACGAGTCTCGCTGAGCTTGTAGAATGGGCCAGAGCCGGACTGCAGCCGGGGTTCTGAGCCAACACCGCCCGCGGATGAGCCCGTGCCTGTCCGGTCGTGACCTGTGTGCCTGTGGTCGCCGTCGTTACCCATCTCCACGTCGCGCGCCGCCGTCTGGGCGACGCCTTCCATGCGGTCATCAGTCATGCGCACGTCGCTGTCCTCGCTCTTGAAGGCGAACGACGCGGTGCCGGCGCTGCTGGCAGGCGTCGGGAAGGAGTTGGTGTTGGGCGGCTGCGAGGCCTGTGACATGTTGGCAGACGAGGGCGGCGTCACGGCCTGGGCTGAAGCGGTGGAGAGCGAGGCAGTCGAGGCATGGGAATGGGTCGGGGTGGTGGAAGACATGTACGGTGGTGAGGTCGGGGTGTCGGGTTGCTGATGAAGGGTCGTCTTAGCGGGTTCGGCCGTCTTGGCAGCCAGGTGGTATGGAGGAGAGGCGGGCGAGAAGGATCCTGTCTGTCGCTGGCGCTTCTGAGGCGAGTCGACCGACATGTGAGCGATGGCGGCTGGAGCGGGCGGCTGCGCGGTCGCAGGTGGAGCGCGCGCAAGAGCGAGCAGCGGCGGCGAGGAAGGGCGGCAAGCCGCAACGTCACGGCTGATGGGGTAGCGGCACTTAATTCATCGGCTTGCGGGCGGCTGCGGGGGTCGGCAGAATGCGTGCGCGTGGCTGGCGAGGACGGCAGGAGCGGCGGTCGGGGTGCGCGTCGCTGAGGGGGGCGTGTTGGCGGTGTCGGGGTGGGAGTTGTGGTGTTGCGCTGCTCTGGACCGGAGCGGGCCTGAGATTCGGATTCAGGCTGGCGTCACGTGAGCCTCTTCTTCACGCTTCCTTGTCTGCGCGCGCCGCGACCCGCGCTGCCGATCGCCAGGCAGAACACTCATGGCCGTCCAGCAGCCAAAGCCCGTCGCGCTCCCTGCCCGCAGCGGCCCTGCCTCCATCCTGGTCTCGCCGCGCCAGAAGGGCAATCCCATTCTGAACAGCGTCCGAAATGTGCCATGGGAGTATTCGGATATTCCCGCTGACTACGTGCTCGGCGCCACAACATGTGCCCTCTTTCTGTCCCTGAAGTACCACCGTCTGCATCCCGAATATATCTACTCGCGCATTCGCGCGCTAGCGGGCAAGTACAACCTACGCGTCCTGCTCACCATGGTCGACATCGAGAACCATGAGGACGCCTTGAAAGAACTGTCCAAAACATCCCTCATTAACAACGTCACCCTCATCCTCTGCTGGAGCGCCCAGGAAGCCGGCCGCTACCTCGAGCTGTACAAGACGTACGAGCACACTGCTCCCACCAGCATCCGCGCACCCCAGGCCTCCAACTACTCTGAGAGCGTGGTTGACTTCATCACTACGCCGCGCAGCATCAACAAAACCGACGCCGTCAGCCTGGTTTCCAACTTCGGCAGTCTGCGCACCGCCATCAATGCGCACCCCGAAGAGGTCGCCCTGGTGGCCGGCTGGGGCGAGAAGAAAGTCAAGAAGTGGTGCAGCTCCGTGCGCGAGCCCTTCCGTGCGACGAAGGCCTCGAAGCAGGGCGGCATGACGCGCGAGGATAGCGAAGCATTCCCGCCAACCTTCTCACGCCAAGCTACACAGCCGGGCGGACGTAATACCCCAGATCCGCGGGTTGCGGCACGGTTGGGCGTGGGCGCGCCCGTGCCTGTAGATCAGGATCTGCTTGCCCCTGTGCCGAGCAGGAACCAAGACGCTGAGCATGTTCCGTCCAACGATCCAGGTGACGAAGAAGAGGAGGCCTTGCGCGAGATGGAGGCGGTGGCCATGGCAAGCAGCTCAAGCACGAAGCCAAACAAACCTGCAGCTGCCGTCACAAATAAGCCCGAAGCCGCAGCTGGCACCTCTAACAAACGGAAAGCTCCAAGTGATGAGCCTCTTAGTGAAGGGATACAAGCAGCGTTGGCCAGGCTACGGCAGGGAGGCTGAGGCTGCCATTTATACTCCCACGGGCTTCAGCCAGCCTCTTACGAGGCCAAGTTACATGCCGCTGCACCATGGTCGAGCTGTCATGCCACCGCACCTCCTAAAAAGCCCACGTCCATGATAAATTCTTCCACTCGTCACCCACAGCTGTCAAGATTCCACATGTCCACTCTATGGATTTCCTGCGATCAAAACTCAACCGTCAAACTCCTTTTAGAACCACCCTAATGGCCTACACTGCGGAATATATATTCCCGAAACGATTGGAGTAGAGATCACACGTGCTTCTCCTCCACACACGTCAGCATCCAGAACTGTCATCTTACGACGATCCCATGCTCAAATGTCCAATAACTTCATCCTTTCCATCACATGCTCCACATTCTGCACGCACAGCCTCATCTGGCCCAATTCCTCCATCTTCTCGACCGGCGCTCCTCCTCCTCCCATCGCCTTCTTCCGCACCTCGATCATAGCCGGGTCATCATGCCATCCGTTCTGCCTCCGCACGAACGCAGCCAACACCCCGTAAATTGTGCAGTCCACCGCCGCTCCCCCCTGCTGCCCGCCCTCTGCCTCGCTGCTGCTGCTGCTGCTACTGCTTCCAACAACCTGCGCCTTCACGACCTTCCGCGCCAGTTCGCGCCACTCGACGCCGGACAACTCCATGCCGAACCTCGCCGGGCAGTTGGCCGTGCCGGTGTGCATGTGGAGCGGCGCGGATGCGTCGGCCAAGACGAACTGCTTGGTGGTACCGGCGGCGTCGACGCGCGCAGCTTCGGCGTCGATGTCCTGAAGCAGCTTCTGCACGGCATCGATGACGGTCATGAGGAGCGAGATCAACATGTGGATGTTCAGAGTGGCGGTGGCCATGGAGTGCGGGCACGTGGGGCATTGGAGCACGTTTCTGGCCGTAACGAGGGCGGAGTGGAGAGATGGGAGGCAGAAAGGGAAGTTGTGACTCGAGAGCGAGTGGAGGGACGAGATGGTGAGGTAGATGGTCGAGAGACAGGCGCAGGGGAGACCGGGGGATGGGGCGAGAAAGGGTGGTTGTTGTATCGAGGAGTCGTGATGGGCGACTGGTGGTGTGTCTGTAAATTGGATCAATCCATCAAATTGAGCTTTTTGAGCGGCTGGAGGAATGCGACTTACTTTGTAGGCTGTGACCGCTCTGCGATGAATGCGAAGCAACACTCGCAACCCTATCCTCCTGCTGTAGCCCGTTAAACCCTCCAACACTACTACCATTTCCCCCTATGACGTCCGCCAGGTTCCCAGTGAGCAGCGAATCGAGACTGAAATTCGGATCCAGTTCGAAGGTTCCCCCACCGCTCGTAGCGTGGGGACCACCAGCTCCTTCTCCGCTGGTCTCACCATTTACCATCTCACCGAATCCAAACCCCTCAAACCCGCCAAAACCCATCCCCTCGATACCGCAATTCACCCCCGTACCATTACCGCCGCCATTGCTCTCCTCCCTTGGCCGATGATGATCACCATCTGACCATCCAACCACCTCGTTTACACCGCCGTTAACAACAAATTCCTGCCCCTGCCTCATCATCATCATCATCCCACCATGAATCCCACCACCGTTGGCCATCAAATCGCTGTTCGTCTCATCATCGACGCTCCTCCGCCTTTTCTTCCTTGGTCGGCCCATCTGCTTCTGCAACGAGTAGACGCACGGCAGGAGGTTCTCACGCGCGCAGCGGTCGCACGCCGGACGGTTACCAGAGCATTTGAGTTTGCGGAGGCCTACGGTTGGAGTTAGGAATGATTGCAGTCTTGGTACCTCATACGGTTTGATGTCAAAACAACCAAAAGAGTGGTGGCAGTGGAGTGTAAGAGGCAGGGAAAGTGGGATCCGGAGTACGTAGACAGGCAGATCTGAAGTGATGGCTTTTCGCCTTTCTTAAATTCAGCCTTGGATAGGGGCATCGAATTGGAGAATGAAGTGCATGTTTTGTGTAATGGACCTTGTTCATATTCCTCCTCTTCCTGGGTCAAATAAGAGAGGGGTTTTTGTTCCGTGTGTACTCCGCCTCCTTCCTGGCAGGGTAAATTTCCTTTTCTCTTTTCCTTGATTGTTCGCAAGCAGTCCGGTTGTATTTTCACAGTGCTCACCTCTCATCAATCCTGGCCTTCCAAATACCCGACGCGAATCTCACGGACTGAACGAGCGTTGCAGGATGAAACCACGGGATAAAAGAGAATAATACTCACGGCATTCATCACACGCCGCATGCTTCTTCGGCTCCGGCACCAGCGGCAGCGGCGGCGTCTGTTGCGTCTGCGGGGCGCTAGCGGCGTTCTGCCCGTTCGAATCCATGATGTGTGGCTCTTTCCCTCCTAACAGTGATCCTGCAAGGGAGGCGCGGGGTTCCAGGTCTCTCCCCCCCCCAAAAAAAAAAGAAGATCGATAATGCAACGACGTTTCCGGCTTCTCGTACTGTTCTTTACAATAGCAGAAGGAAAGCGCGGCGCCAATATCGGTGGCCCAGAAGTGCGAGATCAAGGGAGAGAGCCAGAGCTGCAGGTTCCCAGGGTCCAGAATAGAAGTCGAGCAGCTGTGCGCACAGCAGGCAGCAACGCAACGAGACGAGATGAGCAACCAAAAGTTTCGACGTGAAATCAAGTGCTGGGACACACAAAAGCCAGAAGGTCAAGGAGAAGAGATAAGGTAGAGGATAAGAAGCGCGGGTGGGAGGTGTAAGACGGACTTCCGTGCGAAGCAAAAGGAGGGGTCCGTCCCGTCCGGTTTCGTCGTTTCGTTTGTCGTCGAATGTTTCTGCGGCGGTGCAAGAACGCCGCCCGGTAGGAAAAAGGCGCGCGCCGAGCCTGCACGTCAGCGAGAATAGATGCCCAGCAAGGGTCCCCCTTCTCTCATACCACCCACCAATTCCCCAGTCAAAGGATGCCTTCGCTCTTTCTCCTGCTTTCGCGGCAAGACGGAGAGCAGTATACCCCCGCAAGGCAGCTGATGAACGGAAAAGGGGAGGGTAGCAGGAAGAGTGTAGTAGTAGTTCCGGGGTTTAGTGGGCTGTAGTGCAGCGTCCCCGGTTTTGGCCGGTGCAAGTTACCTAGTTGTCGGTCCCGTCGCGTCGGGCGGGCCTGTGCGGCAAATCGAACGGGCCCCACAGCTCACTTGCTCCCCCGCTCGCCAGTGGATTCGCTGTGCGGATCCCTTGCCAGTTCCTGCAGCAAGGGCCCCGCGCCTATGGAGACTTGGAAGGAAATGCGATCGACAGGGTAAAGCAGATGATATGCCACAGGATCAACCAGGAAAGCAGAACATTGTCCAAAACGCAAAAAAAGCTTAATTGCTCGCCGGTCATGGAAATCGCGCCACCCGGTCGTTTGGGCCAGAAGCCTGTGGCACAGAGCGCTGCACCCGGGGGCGAAAGGAAGGAATTGTCAGACGTACGCCTCTGTTGCGGGGACTCTATATAGTGCCCGAAATTAGAGAGTCACCGGCAGTTGAGTGAGCAGCTATGTCAGCAAAGCCGGCTGCCTGCGCCACCGCCGCCTGTCTCCGTCGACGCTAGCCAGCCAATCGTGGATCGTCAGTGTGGACCAGCCAACCTGTGCGATCGACAGGTGGGGCCAACACGCTCAACGCACATCCTTCATCCTTGCTTGGCCCTGGACCCGACCCAGAGGCATCGACTAGCTCTCCCGTCCTCACCCAGCCGCACGTGAGACATACTTCACCAACGTCAGCGCTTGAACACCATCGCATTTCCTTGGTTACAAAGCCCCGTTCTTGGTGCGGGCCGCTGGATTTGATGCTATACACTGTACAGGTGACTCGTACACCGTTGCTTCTGTTGCTGCTGCTCACTCCGACAGCGTGCTGATGCTGAGGCCGCTGAAGGAGCACGGCATGACGCCGCGCGCCTTCAGCGCCTCAATCTCCCTCCACACTGCCCCCACCACTCCCACCTCCACCGCATCCATCTCCTGCTCCGCCATCTCCGCCTCAATCTCCTGGCGGAGGAGCATTTCCTTCTCTTCCGCCGTCTCCACCGTCAACTCCTCCCCCCACATCCCCATTTCCTGCAGCTCCATCTCCAGGCGGATTTCCGCCTCCAACTCCTCCATCTCCTTCTCCCACTCCCTCCTCCTCTCTTCTTCCTCAATCTCCACCAGGAGGAGCTGAGGAGCCCCCGAGTAGGAGCTGATCTCTACGGGCTGGGCGGCCGCCAGCTTGGGAGCACCCGGAAGGGCCCCGGCAGCCAGCGGTGCCGCGGCGGAAAGCTCGGCCTGAAGCCGGAGATCCGCAACGAAGGCGGCTGGCTTGAGTCTCTCTCCACCGCGGCGCCAGACCCGTGGAGACCAGTCGTACTCGGAGGGCTCTTCAGCTCCCCTGGCGACAGGCGGGTGGTGGGCGGCGGCGAGGGCGGCGGCGAGAACGGCAGCGGAGGCGGGAGCGTCAGGAAGGTCGACGGGGCCACCACCCCGCAGGATGATGCGCTCCGCAATGAAGCGCTCGTCGCTGGGAGCCGCGGCCCGAAGGAGCTGGGTGATCAGGGACACGTCGTATCGGGGGATTAATTCGTATTCGACGACCGTGTGAGGAAACTGACGGGCCGGGCCGCCAATCTTGCGCATCTTGAAACTATTTGGGTGGTACCGCTCACTCCAGTCCTCGCTCTCGTCCTCGACCAGTGCCTGATTGCCGTCATATCCGCGCATCTCTTCGAGCAGATCTTCGGCTAGCGCGAGATCGGGTAGGTCCTGAAGCGAACCGGTCGTCTCGAAGGGGTTGAGGCTCTCGTGGATTCGGGCTGCCAGGTTCTTTATTGGATCGGCACTAATGCTGGGGGGAGGTCTAGGAGTTGAGACTTACCGAGTTGGTTCTGGACATGGGCAACGCCTCGCAACCCACCGCCCACGGCACGCGCTTCACGGTCCATCCAGTCCTGCTTCGTGACGGGGCTGGCGTCTTTTGCACCCGGAGGTGAACCAGACCCAACCATCTTCGGGGTGGTGTCGATGCTCTTGCGCTTCATGACCTTACCCAGGTGGTCGACCATCTTGGCCGCGTCTTCAAAATCCTCATCATCCATGCCCTCCTTGGCGTGATAGACCTCTCGGATGGTGTGGCGTGCAAGACGCCTGGCATACTGGTGATCGTGCAGGCAGTCCCAGATAAAGGCGCAGTGCTCAACTTCGACAGAGAGACGCAGAGGGTGGGAGCCGGGGAGGTAGGCAGCCGCGATGCGACTGGCATTGGTGAAGTAGCTTTCGGCCATTGGCAGGAAGTTGAGCGGCGGGAGAATGAAGGCCGAGGGTCGGGGTGCTGAGGGTAGACCGGGTAAGCCTGGCGGGGGCTGCGGCGACTGGACAGCGCCGGCGGATGATTTGGCTGGGTTGGCCGCGTATGGGTTGGTGACGAAGGAGGTTTCGGATGTAATGGAGCCGATAGGCTCTCGAAGCCCGGTTGGGCGGCCGCCGTTGTCCTTCAGCTTGCTCTGGTTTGCGCGCGGCGGGGTCTGGGGATCGCTGGAGTTGGATCCTCGCGAGGCAGAGTGCCGGTGGGCTTTGGGGTTGGTGGACGCAGGCGCGGGAGGGTTGACGGCAGGCGCAGTGCTCGAGGAAGAGGAGCGGGGGTCGAGCCTGGTGCTGGACGAGGAAGATCTTGGGTCGGTCTTGGTGACGGGCGGTTGGTTGTGGAAGAGAGCGAAGATGTGGAGGAAAGAGGCGCGTAGCTTGGAGGTGAGCACGGCGGCTTCGGCTCCGTACTGGCCGTGTTGGGTGTAGGGCAGCACGTCGACTTCCAGAATGGAAAGACCCTCGCGCGCCAGCCACAGGATATGCTGGTAGTTGGACAGCGACTTGGTGTCGCGCGACGTGTCCAGCTTGCGCATCTTGCGCGCCCGATACAGCCGCGGCGCCAGCATGATGGAATTGCCCTCTATCTGGCGCAGCGACGCGGCCAGAATGGGATTCTTCCGCTCTATCGCGACGGAAACGCGCGCCAAATGCTTCAGGTCCACGTCGGAGCTAGCCATTGTGCAGGCGATCAAGGCAATTCAAAAGAGAGAAAAAATTAAAGAGATGGCGGTTCGCCAATGGCCGGTGGTGAAGCGGCACAAGGCCAATTCCGAGAAGACTATTATCGCTGGGAAAGACAGAAAGCCGCCGAACAGGAGAGGGTGAGTGCGGACGCGGGCCGCCTCGGGTATCGGGGGGGGATTGCAGAAGAGCTATAACCGGGTCAGCCTTGGATGCGGCGGTCAGTGTCGCGCGAGGCTGTTTGCTACCTCTACAGGAACATGGCAGGGCCGGGGTATCAGGACGAAGGGGTTCTAGAAGCAAAACAAGGCTGCGGAGGGATCAACTTTGGCGGCGGCCGTGCGGGCTAAGGCGGCATACTGGTACACACGTCAACTGAAGACGTCACAGATATGATGGTGGGATGATTTATTGACAGTGCGGCCCATTGCGCCTGGTGGCAGGTATATACGGCGGGCAGGCGGTGAACAACGGTCAGTGCTCTGCGGAGGAAAAGAGTTTTTGACGCCCTCGGCGAGGAGTCACAGCCGCTCGCCTTATACTTTGATGCGCTGGCGGAGGGTGGGCAGAACAACGCACGGGGAAAAGCAGAATCGACGGCCATGATGAGGGCGCCCGCAGGCTTGGGGCGAGGTGCAGCTGACGGCTACGTGTTCAAAGCTTCGCAGCCGGCTGCTGCATGAACGTCGCCGCTCTGATCCACGGTGCGTCGGTGCCAACTGGCACTGTGGCTTGTATACTGATCGCCGGATCTGACTTGCGTCACCGCTGGCCAGCGCACCTCTCAGCGGCGCCGGAGCCGGCCAGCGCGCCCGTGGCCGTGGCGGCTCGCTGCCGCCCGCTGTCGTGGAACGCGCGCGATCAAATGCGCTGCCGACGGCAGATGCATCATCGTGTTTGCGCAAGGAACCTGATCGCGGCGCCAAAACCACAGATCCGCGCCGCTGGGAGGCTGGGTGGCACTGAGCACGAGAAGAGCGGTGAACGCGCGCCGCCATTGGCCGCCGCAACACCAGACGTCACCTACCTACATGTTCGCGGAAGCCGCGTCTCCGTGTCCGATCGCCTCCGCGCTATAGCCGCCTGCACTATAAGTCATGCAAACATGTTTGCCTCTTTGTCAACCCTCTCACGCGGCCATCAAATAGCTGCCCCTCTCTCAAAGCAAACCCGTCTGCTTTCCCACGCCCTACCGTAAGGCTGAAGTGCTGACCCGCTCCAATCTGTCATCATGCAGCGAGACTACACCCTCCCCACAGCCTGCCTGAGTACCACCATGGTGCATATCCATCTGCACCGCTCAGGCCTCTGCCAAATCCTCCTGACCATCAAACAAAGCGAATTGACTGCAAAACAGCACCCCCAATTCCATTTTGCTGACCCATAAAAGCCTCTGCCATGCATACCGTCTCATGCTTACTCTGCATCAGCGCTTCTTACCCTTTCCCTCCACCCAACTCTTCTCCGCTCTGACTGCTGCGTTCCTGGCCATATCCCAGAAGCTGCAGGGCTCAGTCATCAACACCACCAGCCTGCTCTCTCATTGGCCCTACCATCACACTCTTACAACACCCCACCTCACATCAACCACGATACTCACCGAAGCTCGGGAAATCACGTCTCCCCGTCTCCCAAGAGTCCAAAGAATCTTCATTTCTCTTTACGCGCGCTCAAAGCAACACAAAAAAGCGGAAAGAGAAAAGCCATGTGCCGCTACTACGCCCACAGCCACATCTGCGGCCACACCAACACCGTCTTTGCTGCTTACTGTGCCCCTGCGGCCCTGAAGCAGCGCCCCTGCTCCGGTGGCGAAATCTGGCAGACGCTCAAGATGGACCAGGTGTGCGCCATCTGCAGCAACAACAACAATGGCGATACGTCTTCGAGCGTGATCAACGCGAGGATGGCTGTTGGCAAGACGGCCGGCGCTGGAAGACGATAAACTGGCTTTTGTAGGGGCGTTCGGGCCTGGATAATGCAACTAAGTTCGGTTTATCGTTGAGCACGAAGGGACCAACGAGGACGGAACTGTGCTATTTCAATGTTCAATGGACTCGGCATTTGTATTTCTGTTTCAATATCTGTTTCAAGGGCATCCTGGAGTATCATTGAGACCCAGACCTTTTGCCGAAGGACAAGGCTCCGAGAGATTTTCTAGGAGAAAGATTTCCTATGGTCAAAAACTAGCGACGAAGATGGCACAGTATCATGACGGAGTTTGGCGTCCCCTTTAAGCGAACGAGTTGGTCAGCTGCAGGAGCTGTGTTCTTAGTGGGTTTTACTATTTTTCCCTCTCCCCTATAACTAAATGTTTCAAAATGATTGCAGAAAGGAAAACAGGGGTTTTGCATCTATTTTTTTTTTTTTGCTGTTCATGACTATCTGAAATCATGGGTTGCCGAAACAGAATTTCTATCTTCGATGATATACAAAGCCTTAACGCTTGTAATCATATCCAGAACAATTCACGATTATCCCAGACGTATGCTGAACCAAACTAGAATGGCTTTATGAAGACTTTTTGATTTCTTTATTTTGTCTTATTCGAATGGTGCTGACGCACTACTATATTCCATTTGACTACCACCCTCGGGTATACTTAATCCCCCGCACTGCAACAAAGCTTCCCAGACAATGCGAAATCCTTTACGTTCCGAATGCCATGCCTTTGTTCCAGACGGCTGCCCTACCATATTCCCTGCCATGGGATGTACCCAATGTGTTTCCTTCCATACATGACGTCGTGATGAACCTCAGACTTTCATGTCCTGTGATCAATAAAAGATTATAATGTGAACCCATAGAAATAGAAAACAATAAGTGCCTCTCTTTGCCTCATGGTCTACTAAAGACGAGAAAGCGAGTCTATCCAATGTGGATCTCTGTCTCTCTTGGGGGATTCGAGACCTGAGGTGACGTGGAGTCCAGGAGCGGCGACGAGAGAATGATTGAATATGTTCGCGGAGCAGATTAGGTCACCTTTACACATGCTCCGGCTTTGGAGTGTGTGATGCGCGCCTCTTACCCTGGTGCTGCTCTCTGTCGGCACCAATCTCCTGGGCGAACTTGGAGCGGGCACGAATCGCAGGGCCCTTCCAGTAGAAGACATAGATGGGAATCGTGACGCATATGGCAAGACAAGCGAGGATAGTCGAGGCGTAAGCGAGGCTTTTGGGGGCTTTGCCAATATTGGTGTACACTACGTCAAGGTCAGCACACGAGTTAACGGACAGCAGGATCCGCTAAAAGACTTACGAGGCGTGGCGTAGAGAGCGGCGATACCGGCAAGGAAGTCACGAGCGAAGCCGTTTCCACCTGTAGCCGAAGCAGCGTAGGGACCGTATGCGGCAACCATGTAGTCGATGGTGGCCATGTAAATGGCATAGTTTGCGACACCGACAAAGGCGGAAAATATCAAGGGCACAATCCAGTGGTTGTAGTCCGGCCCCATGCTGCTCCAAGCGAAGCCAAAAAGTCCAATAGTCTCGAGAGGAGCGGTGAAGAGAAGCCACTTCAGGCGGTATTCAGGATAGTCGGTGCCGTTCTTGATCATCTTTCTTTGTTTGATGAACCAGGGGAAGAAAGAGAACCAGGCGATGAAGTAGCCGACGAGAAGACTAGAGGAATCACAGTTAGTCGGCGAATGTGCTGGACCGGCTGCAGTTACTTACGGGATGAAGGCAAGACCAATGGCGATGGTGCTGAAGCCCCACTGTTTGAACACCGGTGAATAAGACTCGAGGAAAGTGAAGATGAGAGCGTCACTGAAACCGGAGAGCAGAGACAAGAAGAGCACAATGGGTTCAGTCAAGAACATCTTGAAAGGACGGATCCAGATGGTGACAATCTCCTTCAGAGGCAGACCATCGATGTTCCAGATTCCAGACTCCTTGACGCGGAGCTTCTCAAGCTCATCGGCAGTGTAGGCGTTGGCATTGCCGTCCTTGCGAAGCTTCGCGGCGTAGCGGTTCATGAGCACAGTGGCCCTAGTCTCCTTGACAGTGAAGAAATGGAGAAGCTGAGTGGCGCCGCCGAAGATCAGCTGCAGCCAGAACACCCAGTGCCAGCTAAGGTACGTCTGAGCAAAACCTCCGACGATGGGACCGATGACGGAGCCGCCGACGGAAGAGAAGACGACGTAGGCGACAGCGAAGTGTTGGTCATCAGGCTGCCACATGTCGGCAACCATGCCCAGCGTGACGGAACCACCGGCGGACGAAAGACCGCCCAGGAAGCGGCAGACGAGGATGGTGCCAAAGTTGGGAGCGACAGCGCAAGGAATGGACCAGAGGTTGACGAGGCCGAGAGACCACTGGAGGATCGGCCTGCGCCCGTACTCCTCGGACCAAGGAGCCCAAAGCTCGCAGCCGAAGGCGTAAGCAACAAGGAAGATCAGCTGGCCGGTGCGGGCGGCCTGAGCGCTGATGCCGAATTCCTCCTCGAGGCCGCCGGTGCCGTTGGCGTAGATGCTGGCGTTGAAGTTCATGGAAGACTGGATGACGAAGATGACGGTGAGAATGTACCACTTGTACCAAGTAGGGTAGCAGAAGCCCAGATGGGCGTAGACCTCAGGATCATCCTCGGTGATGGTGGGAACGCGGTCATTGATGGCCTGCTTCTCGCGGTAGGCCTTGGCCTCGCCCGGCTTCTCGTTCAGGACTTCATGGCGCTCGTTGCTGGAGGTGTCGTCCGACAGCTTGGAGACGGCCTTGGAGGCGACGCTGCCGTGCTGCATATTGCGCAAGTCGTCTGACGAGGAGGGAGCCATGGTGCAGAATGGAAGGCAGTAAGGCGGTTGCAGGAGAAAAAGCCGGGGGAGTCGAGCTACTTAAAAGGCATGGACATCCAGGCGCGTTGAGCGGAGGCACCACACCGGTGGTTCATGGGGTATGACCCAGCCGTGGGAAGCCAGCTTGCTGCGCTTACCCGATGACGTAGGAGAGTTGAGGCAGGTTGCATCGATACGGCCCGTTGGAAGTCTGACCAAGCCGTAACAAGCGCTGTGCCGCGTCGCCGCAAAGCTTGACCCACCGCGGGGCTCTGCGGGCTAGCCGCACTTGGCTGCCGTACCAGACGACAAAGGCGCTGCATGCTGGTATCTTACGGTATCGAGTGCTTGCCTAGCGCGCCTCCCTGGAGTCGCCGCACCGCAATGGCACCACGAACTCCGCGCTCCAGGCCGGGGACCCCGCCGCATGCGCCGTCGCCCACGGCTCGCGGCCAGTCGACTGACATTTGCGATTCGCCCCAACCGTGCTAACGCCTGACCGCCGCGAGGCTCCAGTGGGTGCGCGAATTTTGCACTGGGGACGCGGGGCCCCTCCCTCGCACTGCAGCGATAATGGGTCTTGGAGTGGTGGCAAGCCGCGACAAGAGATTCGTCGGAGTGGGAACCCACGGCCAGGCGCCGCATGACGCCCCTGCCGTCAGCCATCAGCCGCTCGCGCTCGGGCCCTGTTTTAGACGCACATGCACCCGAGCAACAACCTGCATGCGACCGGCAGAGAAGCTGAGCATCAGTCGAGTGCTGGGCGATAACGCCCCAACGCCCAATGGCGCGGGCCCGAGCGCCTCCGTTCGCGGTCTTGGCACGGGCCCGTTGCGCGGCGCTCCAGTTGCTGCCCGTGGGAGCATGATGGAGAGGCTCCACTCGCGCTCCGGATTCCGCCCACACAGTCGTCGACTCCAGCTGGGGAGACGGCGCTTGCCTTGCCGCATTCGCGCTCAGGCCGACCCGCCTCCGCGCCGACCCACTTCTGAATGCGACGCTGCGGCAGCTCGCAATCAAACCATATCCACCGCCGCCCGCCGCGCGCTCGCCTGGTTGCAGACGTGGTTGACGAAGCCGTGCAAGAGCGGCCTAAAAACTTTGGTGTTGCATGCGCCGTCGTCGGCTTCGTTGCCAGATTGGCCAATGGGGCGTCGCCGGCCGCGTCGATCTCGCGCTTGGTGGCGCATCTAAGCTTGTTGCCACGCTTCGCCCAGCATTTCGCACGGCTCACACGACCACGGCCGGCACTATCACGGCCCGCGAGCCTGCTCTTGCACACCGCCCGGCTCGCGACGAGAATCCTTCGCCCAGGTGAAGTGACGGCGAAGTCTCACCATGCGTCCAGCTCTTCCCGTTTGCGCTGCGGCCTTCCTACCATCCTGGGGCGGAAACGCCCGCTCCCACTCGCCACGTGCAGTCGAGAACTTCTTGGCTGTGCATGTGCATTATTGCCGGAAAACTTTTGGCCATCGCTCGGGCGTATCGTCTTCTCGTATCCGACACCACGCGGTCGGCACTCTGCCATCGGGAGTTGTTGATGGTGGTTCGAGGCCTCTACCTGTGCAGGGGTGACAGACTTCGCCCCCCCGCCCCGAGCCATTGGCTGTCTAAGGCAACGGTTCGCATAGCAAACGCTTGGCAAGGGAGAGTGAGGTGATAGGCCGCGCACGGCTATGCAGTTTTTTCTTCTTCTTAACGCTTCGTCCGCCCCAACGCCTCGACTGACTGCATATGGATGCTCGGCCGTGGCAACAGTAAGCGAAGACGGCGTCGTCCCAGTAATCCATGGGCCGGGCAGAAGTTGAGCGATCCTGGACCTGACTGGAGAGTATATCGCAAAGGGGGAGAAAGAAAAAGAAAAGAAAGGAGCTGCCACGGTAGAAGCTGTTGATTGTCCGAGTTACGTTCGATGTCTTGTTCTATCGTCGATCAAACGGAAGAGGTGGGCCCGTCGGATGCTCCTGCAAGATCGGGAGCGTTTTTCCATCCGGTCGATATTAGCCGTCTGTCGGCACGCCGACACCACAGAAAATCGGGAATCCGGTAGCAGTGCTGAATACGAAGGGCCGGCCCGTTATCCTTGGTGGACCCGAACAAACACATCTTCTTTTAGCCTGAATGTCGTCGCCCTTGGTTCCATGCTTAGCTAGTGTGAGGCTTGGTCGGACGTCTTCGGTCACATAGGACTCCCCGCCCGTCATTAAAAACGGATCTTTCCTGGAAATTATCCATCACCCGTCAAGAATCCGTCTGGCAGCTTCTGGTGTTCCTATCCGTTAAGCAATGAGGGAGGTCAGCTAGAGAACTTCCGCGACGTATTTATCAAGGGATGGTGTGGGGTGGTGATGGACGTTGGGGCCCACAATGGTGTACGCCAATGTCGTTAGTCCACCCAAAACCCAACAGCTCGATTATTCACTTACAAACTCACCGCTCATAAATTCCATCCACACAATCACACCGTCCTAGATTCGCTAGTCGCTTTTCCGGAACATTTTTCTTAAGTAGAAAGTATAAGGTGGATGCAAGGGGTGTTCGTCCTAGAACAATGGCTTACATGTGTTCCCAACACTTTCCGCTCTCGTTAGGTGATTAGCGTGGGACGGGCAAACGCTTTCGTGTTGATTTGTGTTCCCTTTGCATTTTACTTCCGTCTGCTGCTTCTTGTCTTTTTGCACGGCTCCATGAAGTGGGATGACCCCACCGGGAGATTCCTTTCCAAGGTCTACTAGGATGCGTTTGCATTCCTGATTGGGCGAACGCGGCCAGTGCTTCTCGACGCCAGGTGGAGTCAACTGTTAGAATAGCATTCAAGTCATGAAGCGCTCGATACTAGACTGAAGAGACGAGGCTTCTGGGGTGAGTGGCAGCGCATCAATCTGCGACGGAACTGCTGGCGAACGAAAGAGAAAGGGCGGCACAAGTGGCGGGAAGAATGTATACGTAGTTATCTCCAATAACTTTGATGGGCTGAGAACTCAGCGTTAATCGTCGTAGACTGCAGTGAATGAGGACCAGCAACTTTGTTCCGTCTGTGTAGCTGCATGGCCTCCCTTGTCGCTTCGCGATTGTAACAGCGAGGGCTGGTTCGGAGAGTGTGAGATCCCTCTTTATACTTGCTCTCTGGCTTGTGTGGATAAGGCTGGGGACATTGAATGATGATCTTGACCCATAATTTTGAGGAGCTCCCAAGCAAGGACGTCGTCATGGGCCGGCGGGGAAGGGCATGCACAGCGGGAACACGGCCCGTGCACCGCTCTTATCGATAACAACTTTTCGCTGCCTCTTGCATCGCAGACAAGCGCGCCTCTCTTTCCTGCCAGCAAGATCCGCATACACTCCCCTCACCATGGCAACACCGACCGCTACCTCACAAAATAGCCCCTTTATACGGCAGCTCGCCGCGAATGGTGCGTATCACGCTATCACCACCTCCGCCACCATTACCTGTCGCGCATCCACCAAGAGCCTTTTCCAAAAAGAAAAAAAAAACAGAAAACTAACGCAGACCGGTTGTCTTTTCCCCCACGTCCAGACAAGCGTATTCGCGACAAAGCTCTCGACAGCCTAAAGCGGTATCTCGACGGACGGACAGGTCTATCGGAGGTCGAGCTGCTCAAGCTATGGAAGGGCTTATTCTTCTGCATGTGGCAGAGCGACAAGCCGCGGACGCAGCAGCAGCTGGCGATCGAACTCGCGGCGCTCATCGACATCCTTCCTCTCGATACCGCGCTCGACTTCCAGGACGCGTTTTGGAAGACGATGGCAAGGGAGTGGGTGGGAATTGATCGGTTAAGGTATGGATCAAACCATGTCTCCATCAGAGGAAGATGTGGAACCGGCGAGAATAGGCGAGTGTGATCGCTGATCGTGTGTGAATCGGAAACTTTCAGGATGGACAAGTTCCTTTTCCTCGTCCGCCAGTACCTACACGCCTCGTTCCGCCTCTTCGCGCGCCAGCACTGGCAAAAGGCCGATGCGCTCGAAAGGTACCTCGATATCCTGCGCGAGACGCCGTTGAACCCTACCGATCCAAAAGTGCCGAACGGACTGCGCCTGCACGTCCTTGATATCTACATCGATGAGCTGGATAAGGTGGATGAGGCGAGGGAGAGCGGCCTGCCGCTTGAACAAGTTCTAGCGCCGCTACGCGAGCTTGGGGAGAAGAGTGTGACCAAAGCAATCCGGGTTCGTGTGAAGGAGACGCTAGAGGAAGACGAACGGCTGGAAGACTGGAATAACCCCAAGAAAAGCGAAGAAGAGCACAATGGACAGGACGAAAATGAAGAATGGGGAGGCATCGACGAGTGATATCCTGGGGGATTGCATAATCACTGTGGTTACAGCGCGGCGTTACTTTGGGTTCACCGGAAAAACACACTTCATGTTCATGCTTCTAAGTAACTTTTATCCTTGAGACTCCGAAGTCTTCTCAATAGATCAGCTTCGGCTAGGGAAACGGCATCACAAATGAATCACTCATGGCCAAGGAGGATCCTCCGGTCTCCGGAAACAAGCCACGAACTTCTGCCCCTGATTCCTCGTGACCTTTTTCCCTTCCTCCGTCTCTGTCTTCATGACCTCCACACAAACATCGTCCTCCAGCTCGGCATCACTGATCCTTTCAAAGCTCGGGTGGTTTTCAAAGTGCTCGACCATCCAGCGGTGCAGGTCCTCGACGTCCGTGATAGTGTACACAATGCCGCCCGGTCGCAGCGCGTACGCGTACTCGGAATTTAGCGTCGTCGACACGATGCGCGCTTTGTGCTTGCGCGCCTTGAAGTGCGGGTCCGGGAAGCATAGGAAGATCTTCGAGAGTTGACCTTTCCGGAAGAAATTGGGGAGGAACTTCATCGCGTTCGCACGTAGGCACGCTACGTTTTGATACGCACCGCTGCCTGTATTCTGGGCGCGCAGGGCCTTGGCTTTCTCCTGCACGAATTCCGTGACCGAGGTACGGATCTCCATACCTACAGAAGGAAAATTAAGAATTCGTCGAGAAAGAAGAAATGCGAGAGCTTTTGATGGAGAGGAACGTTATGTAGTGTTTTGAAACAATCGTTTCCAAAATGATAATGAAGAGGAATATTTGGTGGAAAGAGGATAGGCTGAAGGACTGTGAAAAATGGAGAGAGAGAAAAAAATCAACCTACCAAGCAAAAGCGTGTCGGGCAGCTTGGGTGACAATGCGAACAACAGACCGCCGAAACCGCAGCCGATGTCAGCTACTTCAACCTCTTTCGAAATCCCCCTTTTGGTCAGCGGATTCTCCTCTTGCCCTGGCTGGTCGGTCTGCATGGCAGCAGCCTCGTCCTCTGACGGCTCTACGGCGTAAGCTGGGTAGAGGCTGGCCCAGTCCATAAGCTCGGGCTGAGCTGGGCTACAGAGAAAGAGGGTAAAAGTTAGTTCAGACAGACCATCTATGTCGCAGAGTAGCGACAACTTAAGACTCTTCGTGCGTACTATGTTAAGGCATGGTCAGAGAAAGGATTCGCGTGCGCCCGCTGCCGGTAGAATTTCTTCTTGGGTAGCTGCGTGCCTTCAGCAGCAGCCTCGCTGAGCGCACTGCGGTACTCTTCTCGTTTTTGCCGCTTGTTTGGTTGGCCGGCCATGTTCGACGATGGTGAAGTGCGGTGGTGACGGCAAAGCGTTGCGCCGTCGATGACTCGGCGGAAAATTAAGAAGTGGCCGGTGCCACCAGGGCGCGACTCATCGTCCCGAAGCGGCAATACAAGATACGGCCAATCACGCATAACCACCGGAGCGTTCTTGCAGCGCAAAAGAAAGCAATACCCTCAATTCCGATAAAGCAGGTTTTGCTTTATGTGCACGCCGATACCTAGAAGTGTTATACATCCTACAGAGAAAGAAAGAGAAACCCAGATCCACCTCCGAAGACCTGTCCCAGGAGAAACCAAAGCCAAGGATGATATAAACGCAATGCCCTTCGAAAACAGCCCTTGAAAGTCACATAAGCCCGTGCGCAGCAGGATGCTGTCCGGCCTCGCCCAATATGCAAGCGCTAATCGTCATTCGTCACTTCATCGAAACTCAATTGCGCCCATGCACCCGTGATCATCGACATGTTCCAAATCCAGTTGTTGATACCTGCATCGAACGTAAGCATGCTGCTCGAGGCCGCCTGTCACAAACGCATGTACTCACTTTTCGCTTTTGGCGTGGAAGTAGATTCCGCTGATTTTCCCGGTGACTTGGCTGAAGCAGATGTAGTAGAAGCCCTCAAAGCTGGCACCAGAAATGGTGCGGACTGTATGGTCCGGAACGAGGAAATGTTCTTTCCATCGCATGAAGAGATTCTCGCGCTGAGCGAAGTTCTTGTATGTGAAATCGGCGCGCTTGGCCTGTTTGGCGAGCGGCCGCCATGCCGGAAAACGGCCCCAGTGCTGCATGTCTACTTTCTCGTTTGAACCCCATTCTGGCCGGTTGGTTTGGAAGGTGTATTTTGTGCCGATGATCTCACCCTCAAAATACGTGGTGAGCGTAGGGTGGTCGTCCGTTAGGCCTACCGGGCGTAACCGTTAGTCGAGACATGTCGAATAACGGACCAGACTACGTACCCTGGATGCGCAGGTATCCGCACAGACAGTGCGAGTCCATGTCCACGTACTTAATCTCCACCTGCACCTCGTACACTTGACGGTCGGACTGTTGCGTGCCCTTGAATTTGCTGCCGGGACGGAGGAAGGAGGAAGTGGAATTAGGGAGGAACTGCGCGCGTGCAAATCAGTTACGGCTCAGTCCAGCCGAGAAGGTGTCGATGTGTCTTACCCGATGGTCGGGCCACGCCGAACCGTACATGCTCGGATACCAGGAGGCGGAGGCGGTGGAGGGAAGCGCAGGACTCTGCAGTGACGAGCGGTCGCATTCGGCAGTATCGCCCGTGGCACTGACCGGACTAGGAGTGTCCCTCAGCGGGCCGTCGTCGTCGGTATCCATTCGTTTTGCAGGTGCTGGTTGCCGTGGGTCGACATTCGGCCGGCTATCCTGGTCAGCGGGCGGCGAGGCGATATCAGAGGTTGATTCAGGGTGTGCGGCACGAGCGTCGGAGGAAGTGGAGGTGTTGGCTTCAATTGCGGTGTCGCGGGTGCGTGCATGAGGTCGGGAGGTCTCCGGGGGGCATGTCGTGCGGCCGGAAAGCTGGTCTGGCGGAGGCGAGGGCAACAGGGTATCTTGATCCGACGGCAGAGGCATCTCAGAGGGCTCGGGGCACATTCAGGGAGACTGTATGCGCGGCAACATCAGAGAAGAAATTAGGTGAGGTGTAAGCGATTCCAGGAAGCGGTTGGCGGGGAAGCTACATCAGACTGCAGCTGCGGGCCGGATAGACCATCGTGGGCTGAGAGAGGTGATGCGTCGATGGAAAGACCGCGGCGGCGCGGCCAGCCCTCGACCTTGCGGGGGCGCGCCTGGCGCCCGGCGGACTGAGAGCGATCAGCATCACGTGCAGCTGCTCGAGGAAAGATATTGCCACGACATCGGCGCTTGTTCCAAACTACTTCTCGAACCCGCTGTTGGTCGATGCATTCGTCCGTCGCAAGAGCACCCTTGGGTCCGCATTGATGTTCGAAGATCGCTTGATCTAGCGCCCGTCAAGTCTATTAGGGGCAACGTCGTTATCCGCGCTAAGCAGTCGAGTGGCTGCAAGAGCAGGCGAGCAAGCAGAAAGCAGAGCAAAGGCAACGCATCTTAGCAGGCCAACGCAAGCGCCTCTGTTCTTATGGTTCAGTCTCCTTAACTCTTTGCTACTTCCCAGAGGCGCCACCACGTTGTTAAAGAAAAAAAAAATAACCGCTGAAGTTGTGAGGAATCTGCTGCGATCTCGGGCAACGGAGCTGTATCGGACAACGCCCTGACATCACTGCTAGCGCTGCCGTGGCAGGTGCCGCTTTGGATGATCTTCTCCACCCACCTCTTGCAGACCTTCCTGAGTGGGTCGTGTGTAAGAAACTCTTTGCCTTTTCTTGGCATCAAATTGATATCTAGATTTTTTCTTTTAACCTGCAGTAGCACGGCCATATGACTTGCGTTTTGTACGAAGTCATGGGTACTGTATCCGGCGGCCTCTTGAACATTCCTTTTGGGGCTGTCATTTCAAGCCGCTCTTTTCTTTCCATCCTGTCAAGCCGCCAACGACCAAGCAGTCTGATGAGACACCCAGGCAACTCTGCTCTGCCCATAACAGGCCTTAAATGGGCTTGATCTGTTGCGCAAGGCGTGTTCAGTCGGAGAAGCAATGTACAACAGCAACGGGAGTGACCAACCTTGAAGTGGAGCGAGATTAACGAAAACACCAGCGCCTTCAGATCTTGTACAAGATAGTAGAAAACGCGGAGGCCCTCGGGATCCGCAGACTCGGTGACATCGACAAGCGAGCCAATCTTGGCCGTCTGCGTGCAGGTGTTAGTGGAAGTAATATCACCGACACCTTCCGGATCGGAGATCTCACCTCGAAGGAGATGTGCTCGTTGCCCAGCTTGATCTCCAGCTCCTGACGGCCATCTTTGTTCTTCTGCGGCCATTTGGCATCATCTTCCCTGCCGGGAGTCAGCAACTGCACCCAGACCGATGGACGGGATTGCGTACTTCATGATTTCGCTCTCCTTGATAATGCGCTTGATCTCAGCAATGATGGTAGAGCTGACGCACACTGCAGGCACCCTGGTTAACTTGAGTGCAGCGTGTGGAAGCAGATGGCAGACCTACTCTCTTTCCGAATCAGAGAGTCGTTGCGGTAATTGGAGTTGTTGGCATAGCGCGCCGTTGCACTCCGGCCGTCGCCAACGGTACGGAAGTCAAACTCTAGGGCGCATTAGTCCCACGTAGGATCCTGAGGGCTGCACAAGATGCATACCAAGAAACTCATGGCCGAAGCGCCCAGAGTGACCCGAGCTGGAGAGCATGTTAGCACGTGAGCCTGGGCGATGCAGCGTAGCAGGGAAGCATACTAGTAGCGCACATAGAACTGGTCGTTGTCGGGCGCCATTGTTGCTGCAGCGCAGAGCAAGCACGGCGCACAGGCAGGATGGGATGGAGTTGCTAAGAGGCGACGCGGCTGGGTAGGGTTGTCGCGGCGCGGCGGGCGGGCGGTGAGCGCAGGCGAATCGGCCAAATTCGCAATCGCGCGTCGTAGTGAACACCTGGAGGTGATCCTCAAGAACGAGCCAAGGGGTCCAGCATCCGACTGTCCACTGCCCACGCCCGGCTTGAACCACCACGACACTCTTTCCGCCGCATCCCTGGACACCTTCGGACCTGTCTGCACAGTCCATTCCCGCCTCCCGTCCTCCGCTCCCGAGCTCTGCCCCGCGCACTGGGCAGCATCCACTGCGCATCGAACGGCTGACGGCCGCCGCGGGAGCACGACGCAACTGCTCGTCTCCCACCTCAGCGTACCCACCACAACCTCCCCCTAGGCACCCTTACTGCCCGGTACAATGGCGACCTTTCTGGATAACGCGTACAGCCTCGTCCACCAGGACAATGCTGCCGACCAGCCCACGCTGCAGGAGCTCAAGACGCAGCTTGAGAAGGGCACCGACGAGACCAAGATCGAGACAATGAAGAAGATCCTGACCATTATGCTGAATGGCGACCCCATGCCTGGTCTGCTCATGCACATCATCCGATTCGTCATGCCGTCCAAGAGCAAGCCTCTCAAGAAGCTCCTGTACCTGTACTATGAGATATGCCCCAAACACGATGCCAATGGCAAGCTGAAGCAGGAATGGATCTTGGTCTGGTATGTGTTCAATTGGTGCCAGCTGCGCCCGGCCTATATCTGACGCAGCACAGCAACGGCATGCGCTTCGATCTGCAACATCCCAACGAGTACATCCGGGGTAACACCCTTCGCTTCGTCTGCAAGCTCCGTGATGCCGAGCTCGTCGAGCCCCTTCTTCAGCCCGCCAGGCAATGTCTCGAGCACCGTCACGCCTACGTCCGCAAGAACGCCGTTTTTGCCATTGCGTCGATATACCAGCACCTGGAAGCTCTCATCCCCGATGCGCCCGAGCTTCTCCTGAACTTTTTGGAGGAGGAGAACGATCACACGTGCAAGCGCAATGCTTTTGCAGCCCTGGCGTCGATTAGCCACGATAAAGCGCTGGAATACTTGAGCGGCGTTTTTGATGGCATTCCCAACGCAGACGAGCTTCTGCAGCTTGCGGAGCTTGAGTTCATCCGCAAGGACGCCGTGGCCAACCCCCAGAACAAGGTCAGAATGCTCAGCAGTGGTGCGCTTCCGTTTTCAAGATTCTTCGAATTAACCATCCACAGGCCCGCTACCTCCGCCTGATCTTCGACCTTCTCGAAGCCAATACCTCCACCGTCGTGTACGAGGCTGCGTCTTCGCTTACCGCTCTGACCAACAACCCGGTTGCCGTCAAGGCAGCTGCCGCCAAATTCATTGAGCTGAGCATCAAGGAACCCGACAACAACGTAAAGCTTATTGTCCTCGAAAAGGTGGATCAATTGAGGCAGAAGAATGAGGGCATTCTCGACGACCTGGTCATGGAGATTCTCCGTGTTCTTTCCAGCACTGACATTGATGTACGCAAGAAGGCCTTGGAGCTTGCTATGGAAATGGTGTCGAGCAAGAACGTGGAGGAAGTCGTCATGCTCCTCAAAAAGGAGCTGTCGAAGACTGTGGACGAACAGTACGAGAAGGTTTGTGCATCGCTAAGGGTATGATTCCTCCATTTGCTAACATTGTTCAGAACACCGAGTATCGGTCGCTGCTCATTCACTCGATACACCAATGCGCCATCAAGTTCTCCGAGGTTGCCGCCAGCGTTGTCGACTCGTTGATGGACTTCATTGCGGACTTCAACAATGCCTCTGCGGTGGACGTCATTTCTTTTGTCAAGGAGGTGGTGGAGAAGTTCCCGGATCTCAGACCGTCGATTGTGGAGCGTCTGGTGTCTACCTTGAGCGAAGTTCGGGCCGGCAAGGTGTACCGCGGTGCCCTGTGGATTGTGGGAGAGTACTCGTTGGAAGCCAATGACATCCGTGAGGCCTGGAAGCGGATTCGTGCGAGTCTTGGAGAGATCCCGATTCTCGCCTCGGAACAGAGGCTACTTGAGGAGGTCCCTGATGGCCAACCCGATCCTAAGGATCAGATCAACGGCCACGCGAAGTCCGCTCCTACCGGTTCCAGGAAGGTGCTGGCAGACGGCACCTATGCCACGGAGAGCGCTTTGACCAGCCAAGCCGCCGTCAAGGCCAAGCTGGAGGCAGTGAAGGCAGCCCAGAAGCCTCCGCTCCGCCAGCTGATCCTGGACGGCGACTACTACTTGGCTACTGTGCTGTCCTCGACTCTTACCAAGCTTGTCATGCGCCATTCCGAGATCTCCCAGGAAACCGCTCGTACCAATGCACTCAAGGCAGAGGCTATGCTCATCATGATCTCCATCATCCGTGTTGGCCAATCACAGTTCGTCAAGACTCCCATCGATGAGGACTCGATTGACAGAATCATGTCCTGCGTCCGCGCCCTCGCCGAATTCCAACAGAAGAAGGAGCTGGAGACCGTCTTCCTGGAAGACACCAGGAAAGCGTTCCGCACTATGGTGCAGTATGAGGAGAAGAAGCGTCTTGCCAAGGAAGCATCGGAAAAGATGAAGACTGCAGTCCAGGTCGACGACGTGATTCCCATCAGGCAGCTTGCGAAGAAGAACGCCGTCGACGGCGCCGATGAGATTGAGCTTGATCTAGAGAAGGCCACCGGAGGCGACAGCACTACCGAGGATCTCTCCTCGAAGCTCAGCAGGGTCGTGCAGCTTACTGGCTTCTCCGACCAGGTTTACGCCGAGGCATACGTCAAGGTCCACCAATTCGACATCGTCCTCGATGTCTTGCTGGTCAACCAAACGACCGACACCCTGCAGAACCTCTCGGTCGAGTTTGCTACGCTCGGAGACCTAAAGGTTGTTGAGCGGCCGACTACACAGAATCTCGGACCCCATGACTTCCTGAACGTGCAGGCCACGATCAAGGTGTCATCAACCGACACTGGCGTGATCTTTGGCAACGTTGTGTATGACGGCGCGAGCTCCACGGACACCAATGTCATCATCCTCAACGACGTGCACGTGGATATCATGGACTATATTCAACCTGCGCACTGCTCGGAAACACAGTTCAGAACCATGTGGACCGAGTTCGAATGGGAGAACAAGGTCAACATCAACTCCAAGGCCAAGACGCTCCGGGACTTCCTCAAGCAGCTGATGGCGGCCACCAACATGAGCTGTCTTACCCCAGAAGCATCCATGAAGGGAGATTGCCAGTTCCTGAGCGCCAACCTGTACGCTCGCAGCGTGTTTGGTGCGTCCCCCCTACCCAAACCAGCTTTTTTGACATTTTGCTGACTCATTGACAGGCGAGGACGCGTTGGCCAACCTGAGCATAGAGAAGGAAGGCGAAGACGGCCCGGTCACCGGCTTCGTCCGGATCCGCAGTCGCTCGCAGGGCCTGGCACTGGCTCTTGGCTCACTCAAGGGCATCAACAAGGCGGGCGAGTCGTAGAGGTGTTGTTGAAGAGAAGACATTGGACGATATCAACGCTCCTGTTTTAGCGGCACTACTACAGAAGCAACTGCAAGGGTGGCCAGTCTGTATGCAGCGACGGCGCCAACGGATGTTCACGAAGGCGATTGATGACATGCACGCGTTTAAGCCTCCCCAGAGGACTCTTTCGGCAGTAGAGGGATCTGGTGTTTGTTTTCGCTTGCATATGAGGGAGCAGTGAACAAAAGCTCGACGGGACACGAGAGGAGGTGGGAAAATGGGAGAGAAATGGTGGTAGTCTAGCACAAGTACACTCTTAATTGCAGCCATGCGGTTCAAGCAGAGTGCGATGACCAATGCGCTTGACGACGTTGGACAGTTGCGGAAGGTCAAGAAACGGCCGCTAAAAGGCTGTGCGACCTGCCAATGGGGGCGCATTGTTCGCGACAACTCTGCCGGATCGGGGAAAGGGGAGGCTTTGTTTGAGACGAGTCCCTTGCAGCAGCCGCGCCGAGAGCCCGGGAAGCCCGCCCGCCTCGGCTGCAGTTCTGTCGCGCTCGTGCTTCGTCACGGAGCCTGCGGACAGTGACGCGAGCAAGCCCCGAGCGGCGACGGGCGGCCTCGCACGTCCTCCCCGCCGCTCGTCATCTGCGATGACCTCTCCAGTTCCACACAGCCATGCCGGAGCTGCTCGGAACCACCCACACTCGTTTATCCCCACCATAACCGCAATGTCGACTGCCGGAGAGCGAGAGCCTTTGAACGAACATGCCGAGGAATTCGCGCGGCCGACTTCCGCGCTGCTGAGCCCCACTGATGCGCCCGACACGCTCGCCGTGGGCAGGCTGGCCTCGCTATCCTTGGGGGAGGACTCGCTCGTAGTGCTAGGTAACCACGAGCCAAGTGCTCCCTGTTCTCCCGCATCAGCTGACGAGGCGCGCAGACGAATCGTTCGTGGAAACCGACACCAAGTGCTGCGGCCTTCTGCCTGGAGGTACGTGAATGATCCGCAGTCTAGCGCACAGGCGTTTGCTCACTTCCGCAGCCGCCAAAACCACTCGCTCCATTCCGCTGTACAACGTGCTGTGGGCAGACCTTGCCGAGTTCGACATCTCCATCCACTACGCCCGCCAGGTCTCTTCGTCGGTCGTGCGCCCGGCCTTCATCAACTACACCGTGGAAAAAGATGACCGGTCCAAGGCGCGTTTATGGATTGAGAAGCTGCTGGACCGGGCGTATGGGGCGTCGCAGCGGCAGAAGCGCATCAAGGTCCTGGTGAATCCGTTTGGTGGGCAGGGCGGCGCGCAGAAAATGTACCTGAAGGACATCGAGCCCATCTTCGCCGCCGCGCGCTGCGTCATTGATGTCGAGGAGACTCAGTTCTCTGGCCATGCCGTGGAGCTTGTCGCGGAGAATTTGGAGGTCGACGACTGGGACGTTATCGCGTGCTGCTCTGGCGACGGCGTACCGCACGAGGTCTTCAATGGTCTGGGCAAGCGAAGGGATGCGGCTAGAGCACTGCAGCAGGTCGCTGTTGTCCAACTGCCGTGTGGGAGTGGCAACGGCATGAGCCTGAACTTGAACGGTACGAACAGCTGCAGCATGGCCGCTCTTGCTGTCGTCAAGGGCCTCCGCACGCCAATGGACCTGGTGTCAATTACTCAGGGCGACCGCCGCACTTTGTCGTTCCTGTCTCAATCCGTCGGGATCGTCGCAGAGTGCGACCTTGCTACAGAGAATCTGCGCTGGATGGGTGGTCAGCGCTTTACCTACGGCTTCCTTGTTCGGATTTTGGGGCAGACTGTCTACCCCTGCGATGTTGCCGTTGGCGTGGAGATCGACGACAAGGCCTCCATCAAAGAGGCCTACTACCGCGAAGCTGCCAACCCACCTCAGGACGGAACCAAGAAGCGCCAATCCATCATGGTTGGTGAGGAGACGGGCCTGCCGCCTCTGCGCTACGGCACGGTGAACGACCCCCTACCCGAGGGCTGGACACTGAAGCCGTACGACAAGATGGGCAACTTCTACTGCGGCAACATGGCGTACATGTCGGCTGACGCCAACTTCTTCCAAGCCGCACTTCCCAGCGACGGCTGCCTCGACATGGTCTGTGTCGACGGCGATATCAAACGTATGACGTCCATCAAGACGCTGCTCGCTGTCGAGAGCGGCTCGTTCTTCGACCTTCCGCACGTCAAATACAGAAAGGTCACTGGGTATCGCATTATCCCAAAGAACCAGAAAGATGGGTACATCAGCATCGACGGCGAGAGGGTCCCCTTTGAACCCTTCCAAGCCGAGGTGCACAAGGGCTTGGGGACAGTGTTGAGCAAGACTGGTCATTTGTATGAGGCCAGAGGCCCGCCTCAGTGAATCATTCTTTAGCTCCCCTTTATTATGCATAGAGGAAAGGGTTTGGGAGAGGTAAGACAATTGCTTCGCAAGAACGTCCTCTTACATCTAAATCCGAGACAGTGTGGCATCCATTGCTCGGTTGTCACTCGCTAATTCCCTGTACATACAAACTCTGTCTGCTCTGTACGAAGTGACAGATAGATACCCGCTCGTCAGCCAGCAAGATTTCGTACTTCTAGTTTTCTTTTGGGAGGATAAGGCGTTTGGGAATAGAGCAACTTTGAACATTAGTCTATGTTTCAGCTTCGTAAAGGAGGATTTTTGCTTTTGGTGATTTGATACTATCAATAAACTCCGCCCATACCTGTTTCCCAGTCAAAACCCAGCTGTTTCCTGTACAGTGATGATACAACACAACGGCTCTTTCCCCAGCAGACGCCAACGACAATGACCCGTCGGCGGACGTTGTCCGAATGGTCCAGAACGATACTTCCTAACCTCGATAGCTTCTTGAGCCCGCGGAATCTTCATCGGCAGCCCTAAAAACATTTCACGATGCCCGGGACGGCTCCCACTTCTCCTCGCCGCGGCGTAGCCGCTCGGCCTGCTCGTGCAGCGTCTTCCTGTCCTCGGGGCCCTCGTAGATAGCGTCCGGCATCATATTCTGCTGCTCCTTTTCCGAATACTCCTCGGCCGCTTTGTATAAGTCGCGTCCGTACCTGCAATGGATCAGCCTCTTGATTTCGATTTCAAGCCACGCTCGCCTCGATCGACCCGCATATCGAATCAATCGGCCCAGAAATGGAAGTCCAGAGTGCGAGAAAGGGGGGAGAAAGAACGTACGGCGTCCAATCCTTGGGCTCGTCGGGCCAGACAAAAGGTTTGTCCATCTCGACCGTCATCTTCTTAATGGCGGGGCCGCGGTACCAGCGGCGCGGCATGGGCCGCTTGCTGTTGGGGTCATCCTGGCGCACCTTTTGCTGCTGGACAAAGGAGCGGATGTTAGCGCACTTGACACCGTAGGCGTGCCACAGGTAGTCGCGCATGTCGAGCTTGTTGAGGTGCAGCGGCACAATGAACTTGGCGAAGGTCGGGGGGAGGAAGGGCGTGCGGAGGAGGGTCAGGGTAAAATCGGGCCTGTTATCAAAGGCGGGACGCGCGCGTTAGCATTGGCTTGGGACATGTCGTATTGGAGGCGAGGTTGCGGAGGTCGCGGCGGAGGTGCGACGTGTGGTGTGCGTGCGATATGAAGCCTAGGGCGCGGCGTACAGGTAGACGGGCTTCTGCCCCATGCGGAGCTGTGCGAGCTTCTTGGCAGCCATTGTGATGGGAGGAGAGCGTTGTGGTGCTCGGCGGAGGGAGCTTGGGGGCGCGGTGGACTGGTCGTCGGCGGTCTTTGAGATTTTGGGATGTCGTCGTCGCCCGCGAGTCAGGGATCATCGCGGCCCTCCGCCGGATGTCGAGCCGCCCCCCACAGCTCCACCATGTCAAGAATCTACTTCACGGAAGAACTTAGCAGCTAGGTGCAGAAGATTAGGCTCCATTCGCTGCACAATCATGTTGAGAAAATGGCAGGCCGATACCCATATCGTCAAGTCATTACGAAATTCCCGAGCCATTGCCATAGGTTCAATCGGTTTCTTGTCTGACGAGGCTTCTGAAGAGCCCTCTAGCACGTGTTTAATTCTCTAGAAGAGATATTGGAGGCAGTGCCTTGGCCTGCCGCCACGCCCGGTGGACCCTGACCGAGCCTCCCACCCTGCACCTGCCCCATTCGTGCAGCGCGGCAACTTCCATAACTTGCTTCTTTTATCTTCCTTCTCTTTAACTGTCTCCAACAATCGTCAACCATGGTTTCTACCCTCTCTCCAGCGCTGCAGTAGCTGCAGTTCAATTCCTACGTCGCCCAGCAGGAGCCCGCTCGCGCGTCACTCACTCACTGGGCCGTCACGCCACGCACTTCCCTCACTCTAGCCGCATGTCGACACACAAGGATCGTCATGGACAGGTATGGGCACCATAATCTTCAAGTATTCGCAGTACTAACGCAACGCTATGCAGCTTTGAAACGCAGAACGCGGCTGGTAAGACACCCATCCCAACTGAAGACCGCTTCATCGGCTAATGCGCCATCTCTAGAGTGGCAGCCAGTTGGACACAAGAAAAGAAAACCGCCGCCATCCAGATATGAACCCTCGCCGAGCAATACTCCGCGCAATCAACCCCGGTGCCGGACGCACACTTCAGTTATTCCCTCTACCAGTCAGCGGGAAGATATCCTCATCGATCTGGGAGAGCCGGATGAACAACCTTTGCCCAAGACACGGGTTAGTTCTTCTAACCCGTTCGCCTCGCTTGCATCCGAAGAGTCCAGCTTCTCGGCCAACTCGACTCCAATCCATGGAAGAATCGGAGTGCTTTCTCCATTGAAGTCAGCGGCGCCTATTGGAGCTGATGACCAAGCTAAACAAGAGGTCCCAGCCAAGAATGTCGTGAGCCGCACGTCGACGCCTACCAAGCAGCCTCGAACTGCCAATGACTTCGACGACCTAGACGGGCTCGATCCAAGCTTTTTCTTTACGCCACCCTCGAAGCCTCTTCTACCTTCATCCAAGAATTCAATAGTTAACGGCCAGCAAGAGTCGGGCCCTATCAGTCCTCTTGACCAGGGCGTGCCTTCCATGAAGAGGGAAGAGGATGAGGCTTGGTTCGAAGCCCAACTGGACAAGTCTACACCTCCGTCTACAGCGCAGCCCAAGGGAACAGATAAATCTCGCCAGCATTTCCAGCAATCAGGACAACTAATATACCCGCTCGGAACGCCCGTGGTAGCATCCTACCGTGGTCGCGAAAGTCGAAGCCCCGGTAGCCGTGGTAACACTCGCAGCCGTGGAACCCCCCGCGGTCGTGGTGGACGGCATGCTCATAGCGGTCGGCAGGGATCTCCTTCCAACGTATCACAACGCTCTACTTACAATTTCTCGGGATCCGAAGACTCTGTCCTCAACCAAAATTCTACACGAGGCCGAGGCGATGGCAATCGCGGTTTTCGGGGCCAGGGTATCTACAAGCAGTCCAAGGCTGATCCCGTCGGCAAGAATATGCCGTCGGTACGCAACACCACGCGAAGGTGTTCGCAGGCAAGCAGTGAGCAGTCGGAAAGGAGATCCCTTGCAGCGAAAGTTGCTAGTGCTATCGAGTCAGATAAGCAAGTTCAGTCTCTTGCCATCTATCATGATACGGCGGCTACAACAGAGTGGAGGAAGAAAGGCATGCTTCCTGGCAAGACTATTTCACTGCCCAGATTAAATTTAGCGGGAGAGTAAGTGTCTAAGCTATCCTCGATCGCATCAGCTATTCACATGAACACAGGAATTTCGATAAAAACCCAAGCTCGAAGCCAGCCATTGCTCGTCCTGCCGAAATTAGTATTATCACAAACACTCACATTGACCAGGTGTGGAGGAAATTCCGAAACGGAAATATGGTTCAGCTTCTGGTTCACGGCACCAAGGAAGCGGTTGACGAAGCAAGCAAGCTCATCAAGGAATGGATAAGTGAGATTCTCAAAATGCAGAGAAGCACGTCGAAGTGGGCTAAAGTCTGGTCCTTCAACCACAAAGCTGAAAGAAGACTCCGTAAGAGGCTGTTGAAAGATGAAGAGCGTGCGAAGTATCGGCAGGCCATATCTGAAGGCGAGACCCTGACCTACAGCACTGAGTTCGTTTGGCCGTTGCCCAAAGAGCCGGAGCAAATCCTGGGCATGAATTATGAGGCGCTCGACCCTATTCGCATGAATTGCGAGTGCTACATTACGTGCGAAAAGGTGCCTCGGACGATTTTCCGGATCCAAGGAAACAATGAAAACAAGATGCGTAAGGCTTTGGAGCGAATGCAGCGCCTGCCTGCCGAATGGTACGCAAAAATGTTCGAAGCAGAGCCATTCGTCATTCTAGACATCCCATACGCCTTTGATCCGGATGATCTGCCTCCTGTCATCAAAGTTCCGTACCGCCTCCCTCGCCCGCTTCTTGCACCAACGTCTGCGAAGGAGGATGGGGTTACTTTTCGCTTCAAGGGGCCGCACCAGTTCCATCAAGCCCCGTACCTTGAGCCGAAAGACTCTCCCGCCGGAAAACTACTCGAGGCTGTTTCTGAGACCACTCGGCATGCTCGTTACTTCCGCAATATGCTCAAGCTCCACTTGCATCTGGGAACCTTCGCTGCACGAAAGACTCAGCTGCCTGACATCGATAAAGACACTTATTCGTTTCTCAGTTTTTCCGAAATGATGGAAGAGCATGAAAAAATGGGTGCAAAAGCCTCTATGGAGATTGGCGATTTGATCGTGGAACGCCATGTCCTTGCAAGATGCTTCGAAGCGTCGCATATCCTGGCACCTCAAGATGTGTGGACTTACAAATTATCCGATGTCCAGCCAGTGTATTGCGCCACTTTTGAAATCGCAAATCCAGCTGGTCAAGCCGGAGATCTCGTTCTAGATGTGGAGCTGTCCGCCGATGATGGCGTGACAAGCGTTGTATCAAAACGTTGGTCTCAGCTGGCCAAAGGAAAAATGGAACCACGCAGACTGTTGGATGGCAACATAATCGATTTACAGAACGGCGGCCTCACCTGGCACCTTGGCCTTGACGAGTTCATTCCCGTGGATGAGCACGGTCTGTCTCCGGACTATCGAGTTTTTCCAGGTACTCTAAGCTTGGATACCACAGCTGCACATGACCTGTCAGGCGGACATAACTTTGTCATCTATCGCAGTCGCGAGGATCGATTGATCAAAGTTCCTATCAAGTCAGTGCGGCAAAGGCGCTGCTGGAGGTTTAACACACTCGCTAGCAGGGGCGAATGGGTTGTGGAAGTTTCCCACGTGGGAAAGACGACAATTGGAACCGACGGCCAACAGACCCAATTCGAGCCACGCTGGACCTTCAGCATATCTAACAACCACTGGAACAAGCTTCTCAGCAGTAATACTCGCGCAGATATTGGTCAGGTTGCAAGCTGGGGACACGGCAACCCCGGGAACCTCCTATTCCCTTTGAATCCTGACAGTTCTGCCCTTACAGGCGTCGCCAGACAAGACGATGAGCTCTCCTCCGAAGGGTCATACCGTGAGGATAACAATGTCGATACTAGCAGCCCGGAAGAGCGAGACGATGCTCACGAAGAGCAACCTTCTCTTCAGAATTTCGAACAGCTGCTGAACCTCCTTCGCACGCTAACCGACGTTGTGGTTGGCAATCCTCATCTTGACCATTTTCAGTGACAGAGCCAACGAGTTTACAAGCAAGGTCAGGCATTAATCCTACGCCTTGATTAGCTGGCCCCCCGAGCTTCTGCTCTTCCAGGGTAGCTTCTCTTCCGGTACGCCGGCACGATCTCCTCAACAGCAAACCAACACGGGTTAGTCGATCCTAGGAGATGACAGACACATGATTATCGTGAATACTGTCAAGCCAGGGTTTCATCTGCATTGCTTCTACTAATACTCCTGATTTCTAACCAGTCTGGTTTGCACGGTCTTGTGTTTCCCTTGGCATTTCACTCATTTCTGGCGAGAATCGGTACTGACTATTTTCTTTTCGCTCCTTTTAATTCTCCCACCTGCATGTACACACGAACCACTGCCATGAGGTTTGGGGGCGCAGTAAAGAAGCTTGATGGATTAAGCACCCAGGGGTTCTTATTCACGAAAGTCATTCGACATTTCTGGAATGCCCATGGACACAGGAAGGCAAGATCGGGAAGTTCATGGCTCTCCAAACGTAGGCAGATAGAACCGGACAAAGTTAATTTGCTTGTTTTGATAAGAAGTTTTCTTTTTGGCATGTTTAGTTCCGTGAAGATGGGTGGAGCATCTCCTTTTTTAGGTTCTACCATGAGGCATTGCCGGGTCCGATTCAATTGCTCCGTCGCTGTCCCCCATGCGATGCTCCTTGTTCCTCTCCGATGCTCTTCAAGACACTGCAGTCGAGCATTCGGTTTGCATAAGTCACCTGGCCGCCTTCCTCGATGACGGAGCAGGAGGAAGATTTATAACGAGGAAAGCGCTGATATACCAACCAACCATCCATTGTCACTCCGTAAACGCCATCGTCATGTCACAATTCTTCCCAGCCCAGCTACAATTATCTCCAGATGCCAAGTCTAGATACCATACTCCCTTTTGTGCCTCAATTCTCCCTTTCTCATCCTTGGTTATGAGACTCGCAGTCCTCAGGGACATCAGCAGCAATTGCTGTCCAGGCTTCACTCGGCTCATTTCCCGACCGCCTCCAGCGCCGCCAGCACCTCCTCAGCCACGCCACCCTCTTGCGTGGCTAACTTGATGACGCGGGCGACAAGCCCGCGCTTGACACCCCCACGCGGCGGGGTCCAGACACCAGGTGTCTGCATGCCTTCGCGCAAGGCGATGGCCTCGGCGCTCGACGTGGGCGCGACGCCGCCGGTCGCGCTGTTGAGCGCGTTGGGTACGCCGGGGGGCGTGAGCCGCGATGGCGGGTCGATGGTGCGGATGGCGTGGAGGCGGAGGGCGGGGGCTTTGGTTTTGTTGTCGGTGGTGACCTGCTCGCCGACGGACAGGGCTATGACGGCTTCGGCGACGGCGAGTTCTTCTTTGGAGGGGTCGAAGATGATGTTGGAGCCGACGGCGACGACAAGGAGAGTGATGGGCGGCCGGTTCATGGGGGCGGTGGAGCTGTTGTGGCGGGGGTATAGGAGCGTGCTGGCGGCCCAGTCGTCATCGAAGAGCGGGTCTTCATCTTGCTCGGATTTCAGGCGGGGGAGGCGGGTGGAGAGGAGGGCGAGGTGGGTGGTTAGAGAGAGCAGAGGAAGGGGATAGGAGAGCGGCGGAGAGAGGAGAAGGATCTACGGGAGGTTTGATATCAGCAATTGAATGCGTTGCGGGACTGAGGGACCTCTTACATCAATGTAGAGCTTCCAGTGGAAACGGCGGTTGATGAACAGACGGTCCCGCAATTGACCGTCTGCCAGCAGAGCCTCGGTCAACATGGCGGCGAGGAAAACTGGCAGCGGGTCGTCATCGCGGTAGCCGGGGATCTCGACGCTCATCTCCACCCATGCGTTCTCGCCCATGCCTCTCGAGCGGCGGGCCTCGTCGTCGGCCGTGTCGGCGTCGGCAAGGTCAATTTCATGCTGACCCGGCTTCCACGCACTCTTCTCAACCTCAGCCTTTGCGCCCACAATGGCTTCGGTGCCGTCGGCGAAGCATATCCTTGCGCTGCCGTTTGCGCCGGGGAGGATGTCGGTCTCGGCGACGAGCGGGCGGAACTGGGTCGGGCTGCGGCCGTCGGGGCGGATGGGCGGGTCGACGGACAGCGAGGAGTGGATGTAGGCGAGCTCGGCGGGCGAGAGCAGCAGATGCTGGGTGGGAGGCGGCATCGCGGGGGTGCAGCTGAGGAGAAGCTGGGCGTGGTTGCGGTTGAATTATTTTGGCGCACGGGCTCGGCAGCAGCAACGACGGAGGGCAAGCGTCATAGCACCGGCCAGCTCATTACCGCTTGTTCGGCCAGGCACGCGAGCTCCTATGTCGTGTGCAGAGCGTCTTCGGCCTCAATGCCGCACATCGCAAGCTGCCAGCCATGCCGTCGCCCACAGGGAGCATGGGGCCTGGCCACGCGCGCATCGACAAGCGCGACTACCCCTCGGCCCCGGCTGAGACGCGCCGGCTGCTGCGCCCCGATGACACGCTCGACTCCCGCTCCTCCTCGCGCCCCAGCCAGACCAACTCGTACGCCGGCAGCTTCTTCGAACAAGTCGCCGAGCAGATCCAAGAACGCGACCGCCAGATGATGCGCCGCGCCGTGACGCGATATGGCGGCTATGCCTGCGCCATACTCAGCTGGTGCGTAACACCCCCCGATGCCTGCAGCTGCAGTGCCGACATGCTGATTGCTCTAGTCTGGCCGCTGGGTCTATCACCGTCTACTCGCTCTATGCGCCGCTCTTCCAGTCGCGGCTGCGCTACACGCAGTTCCAGGTGAACATCATCTCCATTACCGCCGAGCTGGCCATGTACCTGCCGGTGCCCGCATTTGGCTACATCTGCGACCGCTACGGCCCCGCCCTTTCGTCCTTGCTCTCCGCTGTGTTTTTCGGCTTCGGATACCTACTCGCTGCCTTCACCTACCATGCCGGGCCTCACGGATGGCCGTTTGGAGTCATGGTGTTGGCTTTCGTTCCCATCGGCCTGGGCACCTCGGCCATGTACTTTGCCGCCTTGACGACATGCGCAAAGAACTTTGGGCGTGGCGAAAACAAGGGACTTGCGCTGGCCGTTCCAGTCGCTGCTTTTGGCCTTAGTGGCATGTGGCAGAGCCAGGTCGGCAGCCGCCTGTTGTACGAGCGCCGTCCCGACGGATCCCGCGGAGATGTTGATGTCTTCCGCTTCTTCTTGTTCCTGGGAATTTTCCTGTTCTTCGTCGGCCTGCTGGGCGCGGCCACTCTGCGCATCGTTGACGAGGAAGAAATGATCGATGAGGCAGTGGATGAGCTGGAGCGGAGCGGCCTCCTGAGCGAGGATGAGTTCTTCAATGCAGCTCGGCACCAGCACGGATATGGCACCATAGCGCCGCAGGACCTCTCCGACTCGCAGTTTGATTTCTTGCGCTCCGAGGCCGACGACTTGAAGCTCAAGGCCGAGCAAGAGCAAGCCAAGAAGAACTGGCTCCTGAACGAGGAGACGCGCCGCTTCATTGGTGACCCGACCATGTGGTGGCTCTCTGCAGGTTTCTTCTTGGTCACCGGCCCTGGTGAAGCTTTCATCAACAACCTTGGCACCATCATCGGCACGCTCTATGACGCTCCAACCGCTGCGGAATACCGCACATCGCCGGCAACCCATGTGTCAATTGTTGCCATCACATCAACTGCTGCTCGCCTCCTGACTGGCACCGTCTCTGACCTATTCGCCCCCGTCCCCGCAAGCCCCTCGCCTGCTCACCGGCACGGTCCTCACTCCCAGGCTTCCTCGCTCGCCTCGTTGCCTCCTCGTCGCCGTTTTACTGTCTCCCGCATCGTCTTCCTGCTCGCTTTCTCCCTTCTCTTATCCGTTGGCCAGATTATCCTCGCTATTGGAGGTGTTCAGGGCCATGGCGAGCGTTTCTGGATCGTTAGTGGTCTTATTGGAGCGGGCTACGGTGCCGTTTTCTCGTTGGTCCCCATCATCATCGCCGCTGTCTGGGGGGTGGAAAACTTCGGCACCAACTGGGGCATCGTAGCAATGATGCCGGCAGCCGGCGCCGCCGTCTGGGGCGTCGTGTACAGCGCCGTTTATGACTGGGGCTCTGCAGCCGCTAACGATGGACCGAGTCACGAAGACCAGGAAGACGTGCTGTGCTATGGCAAAGCCTGTTACTCGGCCACGTTCTGGGCAATGGCTGTCAGTGTGTGGGTCGCTTGCGGCTTGTGGATATGGGCTTGGAGAGGCCCTGGTGGGTGGAAGGCAAGATGCATTGCGGTATAATTGTCGTCTTAATGAGTTGGCCTGGATTCCTTGCATTTTACAGCATTTCCAGTCACTGCAGCGCGCATTGCGTTTCCTTATCTGTCGGCATTTGCCTGGTTTTAGGCTGGTCCCACTGGTACTGCATTTTAAACCAGCATGGCGTTGGATGGTCCAATCTTCATCTGCTTTCAAAGCATGCACTGGTCGGCGTCGAGACTGCTTAGTTCTTTCCTGCTTCAACAGTTCGGAATAATGGGGTCTAGAGGGCAATAAGTTGCATTAGCGGCGGAAGGGTCCAGGGGACCTGTTCTGTTGTGAATGAGAATGCGATGTCTTAGGCCTATTCGGCATAGACGTAGGTTTCAGTTGCGCCGCCGTTTATTTATTGAGAAATTGCTACCCATACTACCCCTCATTCTGAAGTGTTGTACTACTTCGGAGGCCCGGGTCTGTCAGGCTGCTACTCTCTCTCTCTCTCTCTCTCTCTCTCTCTCTCTCTCTCTCTCTCTTCCCCCATGTATGCGATGGTTCTGTCGCAATGATAGGTACGGAGTTCTAGTTCAGTCGAATGACGAGTCTACTTGGTTTTCTCGCGGGTTGGATGACTTGTGATCTGTTGAGCCTGGCAGTCTTTCAGCTGTCCCGCAAATACAGCGCCAGTGTTGCACAAGCGGGGGTGACTCTCACACGATGAACCCGTAGCTGTCTAAATCTATGTTTTGCTGCTTTTATCTCGGTCCCTTCGGGAAGGAGAACCATTGAAGTGATTAGGTGTAGCTACGAAATGCGCAGCGATCACATATCATCACTTTGTTACTGCGGCATGGCGGTTACACAGGCAGGGGCCCACCCAAGCATTATTTATCCTTGCAACGATAAACAGCCAGTTTCCACGTCCACCTGCCATCTCCCACACTCCAACCAGGGGCCCACCCCAGCCAACAACAAGTGGAATCAAAGCAAAAATCGCTGCACCATACCCTCAATGTCCCCGAACCCGCCTCTCTACATGCTCAAAAAGGCGCCGCGGTTCATCCCCGGGCTCGGAACGCTCACCCTTCTCGCTGTCGGCGGCTTCGTTGTTGGTAGGTCGTCCGTCAAAGACTCTAACGTCTCTACCGCCGAGCCAGCCCAAAGGACTCCATGGCCGCCGCCATTGAACGACGCATTAGACGATGACATCCGCCCATACGTGCGCTCCCGCTTCCAAACCAGTGAAGTGTCGCATAGGGGCCGGCAGAGTGAGTGCACTGACAGGGATTGGGTATGTGTCCTTGTTTTATTTTTTTTCTCAGGATGCGGAGTTTCTTCACGATTATCCGTGTAGTGCAGACCATGGAAGTCGTCAGATCAAGGACGGCAATCAACCAATACGTTTTCATTTCCTTCTTTCAGACCAGGGTAAACGTTAACGTGCAAATATAGGTCACCTTCTCCGATCCGTCCGGCACCGCCGCTGTTTATGAGCTTCATCGTCTTGTCCGCGCCGACGGCACCAACGATTGCATGAGGCGCATCTGGCTAACAACCACGAACCGTCATACCGAGCCCCTTTATCTGACCAGACGCGAGGTGGGCCTATTCAACGGGCCGGTGCAGAAGTTCGAGGCGCAGACTTGCAAGAAGAAAGATGATGACGGAAGGTGAAATGTGAGGCGAAGGAGTTTTTTGAGGTTCATCGAAGGAGAATTCTCGGGAAAGTAGTGCTTGAGGAGACAAGGACGATGCCGCCGGTTGGCTATGTATACGAGCGCACCCCTGACGGGAGAGCGGTGTGTCCGCCGAAGATGCCCGAGGGGCAGGATTGGTGGGCTACCACGGGAAGACTGATGGAGGAGAGGTTTCCAGAGGGGACGGTGAAGGAAGAGGAGGCCGGCGGCCAGGACTTGTTGGTCGGTGATGAGGGAAGGTCTTCGGCATAGGAGGAAGGCTCCTAGGAAATCTGATTTGCCTGCCCGGTATTTCTGAACGTACATTGCAATGCAGAGAGTAAAGATTTACTTTGTTTTTGGCATCCCAAAGGAATTGCTGAGGCCTACTCACGACGCCGCGGCTGCAGTCTGTGCAGCGCCAGCGGCTTGCCCCTGCTGTTGGGCGAGGACCTTCTGTCTCAGAACTAGAAGACATTGTCAGCCGATTGTTCATGCTTCATCAACAAGCCGCACGCACCGTCCTCGATAACTCGCAGGTTGTTGCTCTTGCCCGTGACAATTGCCTCCAGGTCCTTCAGGTTCTTCTCCAGGTCCTTGATCTTGCGGTCGTAGAATTCCTTGGCATCGTCGGTCGACTTCTCGACGTAGAAGCCGGTGCCGACATCGACGAGCACGTTCTTGACGTCGGCGAGGGTGCCGGTAACGTAGAGGGACGAGGTGAGGGGCACGAGAATGGGCTTTTCTGTGGGGCGTTAGGGTGCGAGGCTCCAGGGGGCAGATTAACGCACCGGTGGAACCGCTCTGCAGGCCGGTGTTGATGGACTTGAGGCAGTCTTTGAAGCGGGTCTGGGCGCTGCGCAGCGACTGGAAGGAGGAGGTAAGGTGCTCCAGCTCCGTGTCGAGCTGCTTCTTGAGCTGGCTGAGTTGCGGGAGCGAAAGCGTGGCAAGGTCGACTGCGCGGAGTCAGCTTCTGGCCGTGGAGGCGCGGAGGGGAGGCGCACCCATCTGGCCGCCCTTGTCGCTGGAGGAAGCCATTGCGGGGAAGCTCGTGTGCGGTGGTGCGGGCGACGAGGTGGTGCTGAGATTTTGGCCGAGTCATGGCGGGGAGTCGCCTGACTCGCCGCAGCTATCTTTCCTTCCCGCCGCCTGCCCTCCGCTGCCTCGACCCGCCCGCGCAATGAGCTTGAAATGGAAGTTGGTCAGGCCCATAGAGGGCGTCAGGTACAACAACCGGGTGACAGCCGAGCTTGCCAACCAGCCCCGCCTCCTCCCGCACTCGCAATTCAGCAACATCGATGCCATATACCGCTGGTTCCGCCCCGTCGGCCGCAAGGCGGACAGGCACGTCCTGAACACTGCAAGCCTCCGTCCCTTCGCCAACACGGCCGTGCCGCTCGAGTACACCGGGCCCGATCCGACCGGAGCCTCGGCCAAGCTCTTCAAACGCTTCGACGCCCCGCTCGGCGTCTTCCTCGACTACATCGAGAACCCGCCAGAACACGTGCGCATGTACCTCGCTCAATGTAGCCTCAAGAGCCTGCCGCCGCCAATGCGAAAGAGCCTGCCGCTTCCGGACTTCCTACGGACCCATGGGGCACGCAAAAAAGGGTCCGCTCTTGACATTTACGACACCTCCCTCTGGATCGGCCTGCCGCCGACGTACACGCCTTTACACCGCGACCCCAACCCCAATTGCTTTTTCCAGATGGCGGGCCGCAAGACTGTTCGCCTCCTCCCGCCCGACAAGGGCCTTGAGTTGTTTCAGAGGGTGAAGAGACGGATCGGAGAAGATGGTGGCGATTTGAGCGGAAGAATGAGGGGCGAGGAGATGATGATGGGAAGAGAGAGAGACGAGTTGGAGAGGGAGGTGTGGGACACGGTCTACGACCCAGAATCAGGCGGACTGGAGGCTCGTCTGGAAAGAGGCTACGGCTTGTTCATCCCAGAAGGCTGGTGGCACAGTGTCAAGGGGCATGGAACTACCATCACGGCATCGGTAAGCGCCTTGGGTACATCGTCGACTTGGTACTAATTGCGCCAACAGGTGAACTGGTGGTTCAGGATGCGGGAAATCAAGCCTGGACCGATGCCCGCAGGGCTGTTACAAAAGAAAATTTCATCGCGAGACATCGGGCGCTCCAAGCTACGGTTTGCGAGAGTACCCAGCCAAACCCCACCCTCACGAGGCAACGGCCGAAATAGGTCTGAACGAAGCAACACCAACGGTCCTGAAGATGAGCTTGTGTCAGGCCGCAATTAGCTCTTCGCCACAGCGAAAGGACAACCGCCACGACCCTGCTTGAGCAAACGCTCTTTTGCCTCCGTGACGTACTCTGTCCCCTTGCCCTCGAGGTTCTTGGGTCCAATCTCTGCGAGAACATAGCCTTCCGACTTGAAGCCTGCACTTCCTGGATACGGTTTACCCGCCATCCACTTCAGCCAAGACTTTGCTGCCCAGCGATTGGCGAAGGTTGCTTCAACGTACCTGGACCAAATCATCAGCTATATTGCGACAGTTTGCAGCGTGACTGACTCACCAGGGATCGACGTCATAGGAAAGCTGGTAGTATCTCCCATCCTTGTTGGGTTCATCAGACATTCTCTGCGACCGCAGGAAATGTGGTCGCGGCAGGGCGAGATTTCTCAGCAAGAAGGCGCGGATCTTAAACGCAACATCGATAGCCGAGACCAAGCCGGCAGGCGGATCCGGATACCTTGGAGTCGAGTTAGCAGAAATCATGCCACAGCCGCTTGTGCACTCACATCATGGCCTTTCGCAGCCGTCCGTCCATGAGTGCCGAGACGACCTTGAAACCGACGGGATGTAAGGACGAGGGAGCATCGTAGAGCAACATGGCAGTCGTTTCATCGGCTGTCTTCTTGTTGTCCTGGTGGGAGACCATGTACTTCTTTTCGTATGCTTCACTCCACTTCGCAACCTCGTCGATCCACTGGATCCCGTCCTTCCAGCCCTCTGTTGAGCCCGGCAGTTCCTCGTAGGAGATTTCCATGGCATCGCCAACGGACTTCCAGAAGGTGCCGAGTGCACATATTTCGAGGTCGGTAAGCTTACGCCATTCGTAGCGATTGATCCAGTTCTTTGGCTCAAGCGCGAACAATGCCAGCGTGTACAGCAAGTCGCCGTTCGAGATCTTGCCGGATTTGCGGTATAGGCTGTGCAAGTAATTCATACGCGCAATGGCGGCATTGGCGCGTTCTGATTCCGGAGAGTTGGCGATAAAGTCCTGGATCAGCACTTCGGTATCGACGTAGCGCTGGAGGCCGCCTTAGTGACCTCTTCTCCCAAATGCTCGGCGCAATACTTACCCTGGGTGCATGTTCCTTCTCAGAGAGCTGCTGAGTCTGCACAAGCAACCTACTGATGGTCGGGATGCCGTACGTGCGAAACAAGGCAAACTGCAGTGCCTTGTTCATGGTGAACGGAAACTCGCATTGGATGAGCTCTTTCTGGATCTCTTGCGCCTCTTCATTTGTCATGCGCGCCATGTCACCCCGCGTCTTGTACGGGTACTTGGACTGCATCCTGCGCAGCCGCTGAAAACGTAGAGCCTTGCATAGTAGCGTGTAGCAAAGTAGCACAGAGGCGCCAAATGTGAGCTTGGGATGGGTTTCAATGAAGCCGGGGACATTGTCAGCTTTGCCCAACAGCACCTTCAGAACGTCTTCGACGCCCATTGTGCCCCGTGCTCCTTTGGATCAGTAGATTGGATTTGGAAGTGTTGCGACACAGCGCAAGGGTTAAAAGGATGTTTTGCTGCTGCCTCGACTTGCGGCCGATGCTCAGAGCAATCGCCAGGTTCCAGTCGGATCCGTGGAGGGTTGAGGTGGAAGGATTTGTAAAAGGGTGCGCGCTGCTGGCTGGCGATAAATGTCGCGGCGCACGGACGAACGGCCCTGAATCCCTTTCGCGTCTGCCTAGACCTGAGTTGGTGGCGTGTCACAATAGAAGCGGGAAACAGTTCCGCTTTCGTCGGTGAATGTCTCTTTGTCACAGCACAGTGGTCCCGTGCCAGATGCATTTTTCTCCGAGGTGTGGCGCGTGTTCCTGCGGGGTAACGCATCCACGAAGACCGGCACCCTTGGTCACATCTCAAGTAGCCGAATACCGTGTGCCGAATATGCTTTGAATGTATGCTCCTCTTTGTCCCAACACTGCAGCCTCTCAACTATGTGTATTGCTCTTCTTCTTATCCCTACAGCTCTGTATTCCCTGACACCAGCGCCGCTTAATAATCAATCATTGCTTTTGCTTTTATCCTCACTACCAAGACATTCGCGTTGAAGCTTATTCGCTATCATCCGCCTACACCAAGATAATACTTAGATTATTCTAAAGTAATATATGTTACCTCTATACCGAATTAAAAACTTTAACGAGATAAACTATCTTTAGATAGACTTAAATTTTCTTAAAAAAAAAAGCTACGTTATCTTAAAAATAATATTAGTTACGCTTAGACTTTCGGCCCTCGATAACCGAGTACCTCGAGAATATCACGTGACTTATTATCTTAGATAGCTTTTTTAAACGGGTTCGCTTTATAATCTATATAACCTCTTATTAGTAATTTTATCTTTTACTTTAAGTCTATAAAAATAATTAAATACTTTTAAATTTTAAAAATATATCTAGACTTTTAAAAAGAAGTCTAGCTATATTAAGCTTAGTATAGACTAGTTTTGCTTAATAAGCTCTTTCGCGTAGAATAAGATATTCTAAACTACGTAGATTTTTTCTTTATCTTAGACTACGACCTCTCTTAAAAAGACTTTAAAGATCTTTACTAAGTAAGTACTACTTTTATTACTAGATTATAATATATTCTCTTTAAAAGACGCGTAAAAAAAGAAAAAAAACTTTAGATTCTTCTAAAATAAACCTTTCGATTAGTACGTTCTTTTGGCTAGTATTATACTAATATCTTAATTAGGTCTACGCTTAATGCATGCGCATGTACTTATTGCGCGGCCTGTCCTAGGCAGTGAGGTATGTTACTCTGTCCGGCGTCTTGCCGGGATGCGCGCCCTTACGCGAGCTTTACTACGCGTCGAGCGCGTTACTAACAGGCCCTAGGTGGAGGAAATTGTGTCCCACCGTCATGGTAGTAGCGAGGTAAGCTAGCAACCCTTGTCCAGGATGGCGCAGCATCAATGCTGACCGCAATCTAGGGCGAAGAGGAGTACCTTCTGCGATGGGCATCTGAAAGAGGTCCATCCGGCGCCAGAGACGTGCCTTTTTCCTGGCATAGCATAGCAGAGCTAGACACATGTGTCCAGCATCTGCAAGCTTACCTGGAGAGCCTACTCACGTACGCTGCTGTCGCTTCACCTCGTCCAACCGTTCTATTGATCACGTGACTGCAGGCCCTCACGTCGCAAAAAGCGCAAGCACGCCACTGGCGAACACGAAGCTCGCGCCTCCCCTGCAGAACGCCTGCGCGACGACTCGTCGACATCGTCAAACTCACGCCTGAACTCGCCCGCAATCTCGCAAGCTTCCACGACTACACGTGACGAGCCTGAGATCAGGGTCTACAATGGGTGCCTCGTCGTCGAAGACGGCTTCACCCTTGCGATACAATCCCCTTCGGCGCCACATCGCATTGACGTCCGGAATGTGCCCACACCAGCCATGATAGCCGCTGCAAAAACGGCTAGCACGACGGCGGCGGTGGCGAAAGTGCGAGCAGAAGTTATGAGACGCCTGGACAGTTTATCTGGCCCAAAGATTTCACTGGTTAACACCATCGATGACACCTCGCCGCCCCTAGGCTTTGAGTTCATCCGGCAGAACATTCTAGGTGAGGGCGTTTTCGCTGCGGACCCCGCCACCAGGACGGGTTGCACCAGGTGCAAGGCCCACATGGGCCAAAACATGGGCTGTGAGTACAGCAAGAAATGCGACTGTTTGGAGTACGCCGCCGTGAACGACACTGAAAGAATGTTGCCTGAAGAACGGGAGCGGTGGGAGGCAATCAAGGCGAGCGGCGGCTTTGGAGACACCGCTGGGCTGCCCAAAAAGTTTCCGTACTTCTCGAGCGGACCGCGCACCAGCGCCGAAAAAGCAGGATGCCTTGTCCCCTTCTACCTCGACCGCCGATATCCCATCTACGAATGCAATGAAAATTGCAATTGTGGCCCTGGATGCAAAACCCGTGTCGTCCAGAAAGGACGGCAGGTCCGACTGGAAATCTTCAAGACGCCCGACAATCGAGGCTGGGGCCTCCGCTGCAAGGATGCGCTCCGAACCGGCCAGTTCATCGACACGTACAGAGGCGAAATCATCACAGACGAGGAAGCCAGCCGCCGGGAGAAGAACCCGCGCCATGGCACCAAGGACTCTTACTTGTATTCTCTGGATAAATTCGCCGAGGCCGAGGGTATCCCGCAGGAGGAACTCTATGTTATTGATGGCGAGTTCAAGGGCGGGCCAACGCGCTTCATGAATCACTCTTGTGAGCCAAATTGTCGCCAATACGTCGTGTCATACAACCGCCACGATCCAAAGGTCTATGAGATTGCCTTTTTCGCCATTCGCGATATTGCGCCCAACGAGGAGCTTACTTTTGACTATTTGGACAAAGATGAACCAGATGATGAGGAGGTCGACCCGGAAGAACGAAACGAGGGAGGTCTGAAGCCGATCAAGTGCCTCTGCGGTTCTCGTAAATGCAGGAAATACCTATGGCTTTAGAAGGGTAGAAATCAAAAGGCGCGGCTAATTTCATGTTCGTGGTGACAAAGCCATGGCACTTTTCTCGAAACATTGTGGGGGGCAGCGGAAGGGATATAGATACTCTAGAGCATGTCGAACGAGCTTCCTGTTCGGCAGCGACTCGCACTTTTTGCACCCGGGCTCCTGGAGGCGGTAGTGCCACTTCTGCTCAATTTTCACATTCCTCGTCTCAGAGCGCCGGCGAGAACGGCATCTTTTTTCTTTTTTTTTTTCTCTCTCTTTCTGTTTCCATTTTTCTCCAACTTTCAAAGCCCTAATAGCAAAACACTTGCACATCAGTACTCCATGCAAGCATTGGAGTGAACATCGGTCTGTGTTTTTTGCATTCGGTTTTAGCGCTAGATAGTAGATGATACAAGCAAAATGTGGAAGACATCCCAGTGACGATCTGTTGCGGAATCCCGAAGACGCTAGCCTGTGATTTCTGGATTCACGAAGCACGTTTGCGAATGAATGCTTGCCATAAATCACTATATACCATTGTTCTAGAGGAGCTACCCCAAAGAAACGCAATGATACGCGGTGAGGAGCAGCCTCCAGTACGATCGGCCCATGCTCATCATCCCCTTTACCCCACGCGAAAAGTAACATTACCCCACCTTCACCCACATCTTCCCCTCGTTACGAAATGCTGCGGGGGATTAACATAACGCACGTGCGGCAGCAGTAAGCGAGCATGTCAATACTTTCCGATGAGAGCGGGGAGGGGGCAGTATGTACTAACTGCAACTGCCGACGAGCAGGAGCCATCTCTTAACATTAGAACTACATATAAAACACTAGCTCCGCTACCGCGCCTTGCTCTAGTGACAAACTAAAAACCAAAACCTACTTTGAAACTGCCAAGTCTCCACTCACACAAGCAAAGCAACAACAAACACACGGCGATGTCTCTCCACGTGACAACCACCATCAAGCACTCAACCCTTAACGCAACCCTGCATGGCGTCCTTCGCCGTGGCGGCGCCGACGTCTTGCAGTTTCGCGGCATCAAGTACGGCCATGTGCCCGCACGGTTCACAGCGCCCATCGCGGTGGATGACTGGGCGGGCGCGAACGTAGATTGCAAGGAGTACGGACCGCGGTGTCCGCAGCAGGCTTTCGACGTTGGGTATTTGCTGCGGCTGCCCGAAGACGTGGAACTGCCGCGTGAGAGGGAGGATGAGTTCGAGTGCTTGAATTTGGATATTTCGATGCCGGCGTCGGAGGCGCGGGTGGGGGAAAGGAAGAGGGAGGGACTGCTGCCGGTTATGGTGTGGATTCACGGTGAGTGTGGTTTGAGGAACTTTCTTATCTCCCTGAAATGCGCTGGCGTGCCTGGCGATATCAAAGGTTCGGGACTAAAAGGATTCATCTTAGGTGGTTCTCAAGTAATGACGTTTGGCTCTGCGGCATCTGGAATCTGTGGTGAGTGCATTGAATTGTGCTAGGTGGCTAAAGCTGAGCGCATAAGATACGTGTAAGATTGTCGAAACCTCTGTGAAGGAGTCGAAGCCCGTAATTGTGGTAGCCATGCAATACCGCTTAAACATTTTTGCCTTTGGAGACGGCAAAGGTCCGAGAAACCTCGCCTTGAAGGACCAAAGGCTTGCAATCGACTGGGTCAAGAAACACATCGCTGGGTTTGGCGGAGACCCCGTGAGGACAGTCTCTCGAAGGTCGGGTCAGCACTAACAAATGAGCAGGAAAATATCACGGTTGCCGGAGAGAGCGCAGGCGCAGTGTATGCGCATGCGCAAGTGGTGGGGAATGCGCCGGTCAAGAGAGCAATTCTCATGTCCGGCACTCTTGAAATGTCACCGCCGCGACCTCTCTCGAACGAAGCGACGATCGTTGCTCCAATCGAGGCGAAACTAGCCAGGATCGGGTCGTCGCTCAGGACCGCAACTGCCGAGCAGATAATTGAGGCGCTCACAGAAGCAAACATGGTCAGCATGTGGCTTCAGCAGAGCCCGGACGAGCCTGAGTTGAGTGAGTGGACGCGCACAGGAAATGCCAGCAGCCTGTTGATCGGAGATGTTGAGTATGAGGTCAGGCTACGAGAAAACTGGCGCGTGGCCACGCTAACGCATCGCAGTCGATTCTTTGGCGAAACGGCATCGAGGCATTGACACCTCAAATGATTGTGGACGCGTTCAACTTGGCAGGCGAGCACAGCGGAGAGCTGCGGCGGGCATACAACATAACCGGGTCGCGGGCGACGCCGAGCAAGACAGGGGCGCTCGACTTCATCAACGACACGCGCTTCTCATGGCCGATCAGGAAGCTCAGCAGGGCGTGGCGGGCGGGCGGCTTGCCTGTATACGGTTACGCGGTTGACCAGGCCAACCCATGGCAGGCCAGCAGCAGGGCGCACCACGCCGTCGATCTCGTGCTGCTGTTTGGCGGGCTGGATCTGTCATTCAATCCGGCGGCAGCGGCTGTCGGAGACGAGATGAGGCGGAGGTGGATCGCGTTTGTCAACGGGGAAGCCCCCTGGTCGGCAGACACGACCTTCGCATTTGGGCCGCACGGCATCAGCAGAGAGGTGGACGCGGGCGGGCTCGCAGCTCGAAGGAGGACGGCGCAGATGGAGACGCTGGAGCGCGTGGAGCCGGCGCAGCTTGGGGCCGTGTTCGCCGCGCTTGCCGCTGGGCGGGTGAGTCTCCTCAACTGAAGACGAAGAATGGGGACGCGGACGAGGAACGTCTGGAGCGTCGCGACGGCATTGGCCCGCTCGGATAAATATTGTGGTCGTGGGCGGAGGCACGCGTCTGCCGCTGCAGCGCATCGCATTCTTGGCAGACGGTGAGGTCATCTTCCCGAGCATGCGATCATGCATGCGCGGCGCACAGCGCGCGGGCCGGGACAGCACATAAATAGAGCGAGAGGGGTAGCCATTAGCTTTGCAAACGGAGAGCCATGGTTTCTGCGGCAGCCAAGCTGTGCGAGCGTCGGCCGACGTCCGGATGGAGGCAGCATCTCAGCGTCGTCGGTTCACGTGCGGCCGCAGAAATAATGGCCCCCATCGGCCTCGGCTGCCTGCGACAAATTGGAGCTGCGGGAGTCGTGCATCGTTCGGCCACGCCCGGCATGGCAGGCTGGAGCGCCGGAAAGCCGGAAGAGCGCGCTGACGGGCGGTGGTGCGCGACTGAGTTGCGCGGGCCGGAGCGCGGCGCGACGAACGCCAGCAGACGGCGGCGAAGATGAAGGAGGACGGCGTCGTGTGCGGCGCGGAGAACCAGCGCATGCGTAGCTATGTGCCGTGGGCGGAGCGTTGTGGTGCGGCGGGCGTTGGACGGCACCAGGAATGATGGATGGCCCATGGGCCTTTCTCGGCTGCGGCCTAAAACTTTCGTTCACTGTGCAAATTACGCTGCTGCTGCTGCTCGTACCTTTCAACCTCACTCTCTTCCCCCCGTCTGCGAGCTGCCAGAGTCGCCTTCCACCGGCCGTCCACGGCGTCGCCGACGTTTTCCTTTCCGCTCGTCCTGCTGCCCACCCGCCGCCGCTGATCCGTCGGTCGTGCCTGGAGCACCGTCATCGTAGCCCGCTCTGCCAACCGGTACCAGGCCAATTCACCACCACACGACAATTTTGCCCCAGCCCCAGGTTCGTGGCAACCTCTCTCCAACTCCTCCGCATCGCGCTTCGGTCTCCGCACACAGCGCCCCCGCCCGCATCCTGCTCGCACTCGTCATTTTCGCTGACTTTCTCGCCCGCTTCTCAGCGCAGCTGCGAGAACTCCAGCGTCGCCGCCTGCATCGCATCTGCCCCGCGCAGCCCACATCCCGCGCAGGCTCCACCCAGCCAACGCCACCTGCCGGGCCCCATTGCACAAGCTTGTCTGGTGCGGGGAGGTCAAGCGCAGCACACCTCTCCGGACGCTCTCAACGCGCGGCCTGCCAGGAAGCGCTGAGGTGTTTCCAGCTTTTCTTTTTTTTCTACTGACTTTCAATACCCCTTCGCGCCTGTGCGGAATCACCGGCGTTCAGTATGGCATCGACGTTTTCGTACGCACAAGCAGCCAAGGGCATGTCTACGACTGCCACTCCGGCATCACAGTCCAAGGCAGCGTCCGGCACCACCACCCCGGCCCTCGCTACGGAACCCACGGGCATAAATTGGGCAGACGAAGGTGAGGCTGGCAGTCGCGCTCTCGAGAACGGCGCAGAGGCTGCAGCCAAGATGGACGAAGCCGTCGCCAACGGAATCCAGAGCCAGGCCCAGCAACCTGGCGATTCCGGCGTCTCGTCACCCAGCGTCGCTGCCTCGACAACAACGAAGGAGGATGACACCTCTTCTGTCCCCAATGCCTCGTCTGAGTCTACGTGGGACAACAAGTCGCAAGCTTCCAACGCTGCCGAGAAACCAAACGACCAAGGAGATGCTGGCCCAGAGAAGAAGCAGGGCAAGGAAAAGAAGGAGAAGAAGGAGAAGGCTCCGCCCAAGCCGCTTCAAGAAGCCCCCATCCCTCAGGTCAACATCTGGAAACAGAGGGCAGAAGCCAATGCCGCCAAGTCCAAGGTCGGCACTGCTGCTCCTGCTGTCAAGCCGGCTGCTTCCGCAGCCAAGTCACCCGCGCAAACGTCTCCCAACAAGACTGGCGAGTCAAAGGCCAATGCCGCAAGGAAGGCCAAGGACGACGAGATTGACGGTGGCAAGGCCATGGGCAGCAAGGGCAGGGATGAGGATCAGTCCAGCCGTCGGGCACAGGGCGATGCTCCGAGGGCAAAGAGGGGGGTCCAACACAGCGGCGTTCCACAGCCTCCTGTGAAAGACCAGGAATCGTGGCCGACGCCTGAAGATGTTCAGGGCGAGGACCGAAGGAAGGCTCAGGAGAAAACCGAAAAGTCAGACAAGGACCGCCCAGCTGCTACAGCGCCAAAGGGCAAGAGCGAATGGGTATCACTGCCCTACACTCCCTCGGTCGTTTTCAGCACGCCAATGCCAAATACCGGAGCCAGGAGGGGAGGACGTGCCGGCGGCCGTGGTGGTGCCCAGGTCGGAGGTCGTCCCGCCGGAGTCGTGAATGGCGCGTCCGGCGCCGACAAGGACTCTGCGTCTACAGCTGGCGAGCAGCCTCGACGTGGAAGGGCCGATGGCGCTACCCAGGATGCGTTGCCCGCTAGAGCAAAGAGAACCTCTAGTGTTGGCTCGGCCGCTGGCCCGGTGGCTGAGGCTCAGAAAACTGAGGCAAATGCTCAAACAGCACGCTCCTCGAACGGCGACGGTCCTGTGGGATCCGTCTCGGGATCCACCAATGCTCAGCGCGGCAACACTGCTCCGCGTCAGAAGGTCAACCGTAAGTTTGACCAGTCTGGCGCCGAACGGCGCAAGGACGATGGTTCAGTGTCGCCTTCGGATACCACTGGTCGGAGAGGCTCTACAGCTGTGCAGCAGTCAGAAGGTCAGTTATGCTATCTCGTTATGGTGTCTTTTTTCCTTTGTCTTTCGCTGGTCGAGAACGGACTACTGAGTATTATTTTTCAGAACAAGGCCGTCGCAGGTCATTCTCTCAGGGCGATAGCCAACCAGCTCCTGCTCGCTCTGGCGGGCCTGAGCGCCGTAATGGCCAGTATGGCTCTGGTCGTGAGCGCGGCGAAAACCGTGGGCGTGGCAGCATGCGTGGACGAAACGGCAACCACGCCTACCAGAATGGCCACCATGGCAGTTTTCCCAACGGCCACGCCTCATTCTCAATTCCTCGATCACCACCGAATTTCGAATCTCACACTTTCTTCGGCCAAGGTGCGCAGCAGCAGCAGCGCGGTTATCGTGGTGGACGCGCCCAGTCGCTCCAGACCGATTCTATGTATGGTCGCCCTCATCCCGGTTACTCGAACGGCCAGGCGCTGCCTCCGCTGCAAACTTACATGAATGGCGGTGTTTACGATTATCCAATGCCGCCCATGAGTGCCATGCCGTATACGCCTTACATGGCTGACCCCTACCACCTTGCCCGGACAGTACAGATGCAATTGTACGTTTACCTAAGCCTTAAACTTGATGGCCCACCAATGCTGACTTGAATATAGGGAGTACTACTTCTCCGTTGACAATCTCTGCAAGGACATGTTCATGCGCAAGCACATGGATTCCCAGGGGTTCGTGTTCCTCGACTTCATCGCCGGTTTCAACCGGGTCAAGTCATTGACGACCGACATCTCCACTATCAAGTATGCTATTACTCAATCGACCGTGATCGACTACAAGATTGGTGGAGATGGCAAGGACAGGCTGCGCCGCCGCGAAGGCTGGGAGCAATGGGTTTTGACGACGGGCGAGCGCGATGCCTCTGCTCAGAATGACGGCCCCAATGAACTGCTCCAGCCGACGGTTCCGGTGCCGCCGCCAGTCGATGCTCGGTATGTGATGCAATTTCCCGGTTCGCCGGTGGATGTGCCCACCAGCCCCAGCCACGGGGGCGCTTTTCAGCCTCTCAACGGCATCGCACAGGGTGTTTCTCCCGTCAACGGTGGTCCGGCTGGTTCTGAGCTACCCAACGGTGGCCACTATCCTGAGGGCGGCGCATCTCAGTTCTCGTCCATGAACGTCGGCGCTGTCCCTGCGTTTGCTCCCAATGCGTCTCCGAATGGAGTCAACCCTGAGGCGGATTCGTTCTCAAATACCCAGACCAAGGGTCTTACCGTCATCGTTCGAAAGCACGAGCAGGCTCCGGAAAAGCAGCCGGCTTTCCATTCCGAGGGATCTCGCACCTTTTCCGACGGCTCGATCGACAGCAAATCCATTGCGGAGGAGCTGCACAAGGTCGACGCCAAGCAGACTGGACCGGAGACCAATGGTCACGGCCCTGTGGAAGCGTAAGCTCAACCGTGCACGCGCCAAGGGAGCTGTTTCGTGCTAACAGCACGATCAGGAATGAGGCTCGTCAATCGGACGTCCTCACGAGATCAAAAAATCCCTCTTCACAATCTGGTAGTTCTGCAATGCGGCTTTTCTGGGTCAAGGATCAAGAGCACCCGGTCCAGTCTGAATCTCTTCCTCATGATGCCAACGTCGTTCTCTACACCGAGCTGTACAAGTCAGCGCTCAAACAACGCGAAGCTGTGCCGATCGGGAATTGCCCTTACGACATGGTTGTGCTTTATCAATTTTGGTCTCATTTTCTCATTCGAAATTTCAACACCGGCATGTACGACGACTTCCGGCGGCTTGCTTTCGAGGACATTGCTCAGCGTTCTTCCGACGTGGGCATGAGGTGCCTGGTCAAGTACTACGGCGAGGCGCTGTCAAGCCAAAGCGATATGCGGCAGCGAGTCGCCCGTCATTACCTCGACATCGTTATGACGGAAGCTGATCACGACGGACCTGCTTTCACGCAGTTGCGGACAGCATGGCGGGACGGCTCTGTGAGCGAGAGCAATCGCCAGGTGATCAGCGCTTTTATGGGCAGCGACCTGCTCTCTTCTCTTGAACAGTAGTAATTCCCCTTTCGCATCTGCCCAAATCGCATGACTCCCGCCAGCTTGGTCGTTTTAGCACCTGTACACCATTACCCTCAAGCGATTGATAGCGCTTGACTTCGCTTGCCTTCTTTTTCTTCTTATGCTTTGACACACGGCACATTTTCTCCCCTTTGCATTCCCTGGCTACGTTCCGAAGTTCATCTCACAAAAGTAATTGGCGTTTGAAATGGGCATATGGGGTTGGTTGCATGATTGCGTTCTGTGCTTTTTTTTCGATGATGAGAACTAGAACCCGACGGCCGGTCTTGATTTCCGGACTGGCTGGAACACTGCAAAAGGGCCATGCGAGGCTGCACGGTACGAAAGGGTTTCAAGATTTGGCGGCACACGAAGGATGGACGGGACTTGCGAACACGCGCCGTCCTTATCAACGCGTTCGGGTTTGCACAGTGGCGCCCCCACTCCTTGCTTCGAAGGCCAAGTTCTCTCCTTTCTCTTCATGGCTTTGAAAAAAAGGCTGGGGCTGCGATGGGGTTCCCATAGGCATAATCGCACGTGAATACATAAGATTGCTCCGCTCAAAAGTAGTTCCATGCCGGTGACGCGCGACCTCCGCAGCGGTGGGCGCTAATCGCGGTAGTCAGGTGAGGCGGCGTCGGTCAGGTACAGCGGAGCAATGGAAGCTTAAGCTCTCCGTCTGCGCTGCAAGTGGCTTTGCGCACACGCGGGACGGGTGCAGGGATGGAAGGCTGAAAACCGTGCATGATCAGAGTTGAGTCAAGCGCATCGGCAAACTGGGGCGGCGTTCCTGGAGGCGGTGGGTTTGGCAGGTGTGCGGCTCTCGGACCTGTGCTTGGTCCTCTGACATAATTGCTCGAGCTGCACGCCCGCGCTAGCGCCGCGCGAAGCTCGATCACCTCGTCCGGCATTTACTCTCTCACCCTCCGTCCCGCATGGCTTCTTCTGCTACCCAAGCGCCCTAACACGCTACATATCCAAGCCGCCGCTCCTCACTCTCTCCTGCGCCTCGCCCCGCCTCTTCACAATGGCTCGCGACAAGTTCGCAAAGCAGTCGCTCGGCGCCTCGCTCCATGCCCACATCAAAGAGGTGCGATCTTCGCCCACGCCCGCCCCGCTGACCTGGCTGATCCGCAGTCGCAGTCGCGCGTCCTCATGGTTGGTGCAGGCGGCATTGGCTGCGAGCTGCTCAAGAACCTCGTCCTCACCGGATTCGGCAACATCCACATCGTCGATCTCGACACCATCGACCTCTCCAACCTCAACCGCCAGTTTCTGTTCAGGCATGAGCACATCAAGAAATCCAAGGCCCTGGTACGTCAGTTCCACCCCGCTCCCCTACCGGCCGTCCGAGGCTAAGCCAGCATTCTATTCGTCCAGGTCGCGAAGGAATCGGCCGGAAAGTTCAACCCCAACGTCAATATTGAGGCGCACCATGCCAACGTCAAGGACCCGCAATTCAACGTCGATTGGTTCAAAGGCTTCAGTCTCGTCTTCAACGCGCTTGACAACCTTGATGCCCGCCGCCATGTCAATAAGATGTGCCTTGCGGCTGACGTTCCTCTGATCGAGAGTGGTACCACCGGCTTCAACGGCCAGGTTCAGGTCATCAAGAAGGTAAGAAGCCCGGCGCGCATCATCACGATCCATGCTGATATGGGCCAGGGCAAAACCGAGTGCTACGACTGCAACGTCAAAGAGACGCCCAAGAGCTTCCCCGTCTGCACCATCCGCAGCACGCCTAGCCAGCCCATTCATTGCATTGTCTGGGCCAAGAGCTACCTATTCACAGAGATATTCGGCATCAGCGAGGATGACGCCCCGGAGCTGGACCACACGGAGGATTCGGAGAACAGGGAGGAGATTGAGAACTTGCGTAAGGAAGCGCAAGCCTTGAAGTCGATCCGCCAGTCGATGGGCTCTGAGAGCTTCCCCCGAAAGGTGTTCGAGAAGGTGTTCAAAGAGGACATCGAACGGCTACTTTCGATGAAGGAAATGTGGGCACACAGGCGGGCCCCGGAGCCCCTCGACTGGGAGAAGATCTCGCAGCACGCGCGCGGCGCCGGTTCCGACATCGCACGAAGCGACCAGGCGATTTGGACGGTAGGAGAGAACTTTGCCGTGTTTAACGACAGCATACGCCGCCTTAGCGCCCGGCTCGAAGAGCTGAAGGCTAACACCGACACTGGCAACGCCCCTCCTGTTTTGAGCTTCGACAAGGATGATGTGGACACGCTCGACTTCGTCGCAGCAGCTGCAAACCTCCGCTCCTGCATCTTCGGCATCGAGACTAGATCCAAGTTCGATATTAAACGTAAGTCGGTCGCGATTCTCGTTCATCAAATGCTACTAACATGCACATGCAGAAATGGCTGGCAACATCATCCCTGCTATCGCAACTACCAACGCTATGACGGCGGGTCTCTGCGTGCTCCAGGCCTTCAAGGTCATGCGCGATGACTACGACAAGGCCAGGATGGTATTCCTCACCCGCTCGACCGACCGCGTGCTTACGGCGGAGAACCTTCACCCACCCAAGCCGGAATGCCCGGTTTGCAGCGTCGCACAGACTAAGCTTGTTGTCGACACCTCACGCGCCACCTTAAAGGATCTTGTGGAGGACTTCTTGCGTTTGGAGCTCGGCTACGGTGAAGAGTTCAGCGTCAACAGCGATGCCGGCGTCATCTACGACCCTGAGTTGGACGACAACTTGCCCAAGAAGTTCAGTGAGATTGGTCTGAAGGCTGACAGCTTCGTTACCGTTATCGACGAGGAGGACGAGAACCCCCGTGTGAATCTCGTCCTCTCGATCACTGAGCAGTATGTACTAGAACATCCACATTACATATTACTGTCGTATGCTGATACTGTTTCAGGGCCCTCCCTGAGGACGCAAAGCCGATTCATCTTCCCGAGAAGCTGGAAATCCCGTACAAGCCCAAAACCGCCCATGGGGAGCCGAGTGAGCTTAACGGAAATGGCGCCGTTGTCACTAACGGCGTTGATGGCCAACGCAAGCGTACTGCCGAGACTGCCGGTCTTGAAGAAGATGAGAAATTGCGCAAGCGCGGCAAGGTTGCAGAGGAGCCATCGGCTGGCCAGAAGTCCGGAGGACCGGACGATGTCATCGTGATAGACGACAACGCGCCGATCACGATTGACGACTGAGGTAGGCATGCCCCACCCTTCTTCTGACGTCACTGCAATCTTCCAACAGCGTAAACTGCTCGCAGCAGCGTCGTCGCCTTTGCTGAAGCCCAAACGCAGTCTTTCAGCTCGTAGGACTATTATCTGCTGCCATGAGCCTGGCGGCGAGGAATCAACTGGACAAGCTTAATCTGCCTTCTGCTCAGTCTCCCATTAGATCTGCTTCTGCGCGTCAGCCATTGTACTTATACCACATCCTGCTTAAGGCGTTTTGGATGACCGAATGCGAGACCAAAAGAGCGCGAATTACGATTACATGAGCTACTCACCGCACTCATACCTCCATCGAGGTTGATGACACAGTTATTTGCGTACTGGTTGGTCACGAGGAAAACGGCGGCTTCGGCGATTTCTTCCACGGTGCCGAAACGCTTCAAAGGAATACGCTCTAAGGCTTTCTCGCGAGCCACAGTTTGCATGGCTGTTGTTTGGGAAAGCGGACATTTGTATATTAGCCAACGAACTTCTCCTTTTTCCCGTTTCATCGGAGGGGAATCTATTGTTCCATAGTCGCTGCAGCCCTGGAAAAGGGACAAGACAGTTCAATGGAAACCCTAAAATCACAATGCCCAACCTCATCTTGGAGCACGTAGCTAAAGAACAATGGCATATTTGGGCGCATGGGCTTGCCCTTGCATGAATATAGGCATTGCGCAATCTTCTCTTCTTCTATTGACTTACCAGCTGTCATGTCTGTTTCAACGTATCCGGGCATAATAACATTAACCCTGACCCCGAGCGGGCCCATTTCCCCAGCAAGAGCACGTGTGAGTCCTGCAGAGATTGGAGTTAGCGCACACAGAGACACGAAACCAGTACTCTGTAAAACAGGAGACCCCCGAAACGTCGACCACTTATGTCAATTCAGTTCCGTCCGCCGTGGAGAGGTGAGAAGATCAGGAAGGCAAGAGAGCATGTCATTTCGGCATGCATAGTACATACCCAGCACCCCAGCCTTACTCGCCGCGTACGCCGCGGACCCCACGCCACCATGCGTCGCCAACAAGGAGCTCACGTTTACGATCGAGACTCCGCCCCTCAAGGCCTTTTCGCTTTCTTCCAGCGTTTCCATTCCTGCCGCCTTTTTCTTTTTAGCGCCGTCGCGAGCCGAGCGTTTCATCAAAGCCTTGCCCAAGATCTTACAGGCCCACATTGTGCCCATTAGGTTCGTCTGTACTGCATCCTCGGTGGCTACAGCGGACTGCCGGGTCAGCAGGGCATTGTGTGTCACGCCGGCGGCGTTGACGAGAATAGTAAGGGGAGTGGGGTCGAATTTCTCTTGATTGAATTCAGAAGGGGAGTGGCGAAGGCATTGACGCAGGACGAGGGAGCGGGAGAGCATCTCCCAAAATCCCTTGGTCGAGATGTCACCAGTCACGTAGCCGTGACTTATGGAATCTTCATCGAAGCGCGGGGACCGGGACACGATTTCGTGGGTGGCGAGCTGGAGAGTGTCGGCGTGGCGGCCAACAATGGTAGTGCTAGCGCCGAGGGAGGCGAAGCGCGAGGCAATGGCCTTGCCGATGCCCCGGCTGCCGCCGGTCACAAGAACGTGGTGGCCGTTTAGAGTGCTGGTGTCGGTGGTGGAGTGGTAGGGCTGAATGTGGGGTCTTGCTGCGGCACGGCGGAGAGCTGGGGCTCTAGACGTGGCGCGCAGAATGGTTCTGCTTAGAGGTGCGTGCGGCGACATTGGTTATGTTTGTGCGAAAGGTTGGTGTTGGTGGAAGGCGCGGAACGCAGCTTCTCGTCGACGCGAAGTCGCGTGCCTTCGCGTGGGGGGCGAGCTCCACACGGTTTTTCTTTCGACCTCGCCTTCTTCCTTCTTCCTCCCGAACACCGCACGCCAACGCACCAACACCCCAACAACTCTCGGTCCTCCCACCATGGCATCGTCTGCTGGAATGACAGAGTACGTGACGCTCGTCTCACGGGACGGCTTTGAGTTCAAGGTGCTACGTTCGGCGGCAAACATCTCCGGTGCCATCAGGCGCATGCTGGATCCGACTAGTAAGCCTCCCAAGTACTCGCCTCAAGGCACATGTCGCTGACGACGTTCGCTGCAGACAACTTCGCCGAAGCAAAGAGCAACCGCTGCGTCTTTGAGAACATCAACGGCGTCGTGCTGGAGAAGGTCTGCGAGTACTTGTACTACAACGACAAGCACAAGGATACGAAGGACGTCCCGGACATGGACATCCCGCCTGAGCTGTGCCTGGAACTGCTCATGGCGGCCGACTACCTAAATGGTGAGCACCCGGTCTCGGTCGCGCAACCTTGCACAGGAGCGCGCCTTTCGCTGACCACCTGCAACGCAGTTTGATGCTGAAGTTCGCTCATTGTGTGTGCAACGCGTTTGAGGGCATGAGTCGCACACGTCAGCCCGGCTGAGCCGGTGGGACGAGCATGGTACACACGATTCTCACATTAATAAACGGAGCCTTCGGAACGTCAGCCTTCCAAGAGAGACAAGGCTAGACCAGTGTAGTAGTTCCAGATGGGCGTAGTGCGCTGCCCCCGCACCCTCGGCTGTGTTCTTTGAGTCAAGCTGTGATTCAGCAAGCCAAGTGATGCCGACCGCGGTAAGTTCCGGTACAGCATCACGAGCATATACGTTCAACGCCTACGCTCCGTGGGTTGGACGCCTATAGTTGATGCGAGAGCAACATTCGTCCCCTCTATTCAGTCTGCTTCCTTCAACCGTGGATCTCAGGCCTTATTCCAGTCGGACACATTCTTTCCCTCTTCGCACCAATGCAGAGAGTAAGCAATCAATATGTTCTTTTTTACGGCGTGTTTTTGTTTCCAGGTGTGAATGACCGTCTCTCCGCCTCATCCGCTTCAACGATCCCGTTAGGCGCGATTGTGGGGCAAGTGAAGCTTGAATCTTGCCCACGTCTCAAGCTTCGCTCTATCGAGTCAACGCCGTCTGACTCGTGTGATTGCATGCTTGCCTTTCCACTTGTCTTTTGCATAGAAATAAGAGCTGGCCTTCGCTGCGGCCCGATCCCTGCACATTGTGGTGGACGGAAGGATGTAATCGACCTTCGACGAGTCGAGACATGACGTCGAGCCTTCCTTGCCGTTCTCCGACCGTCTGCATTCCCTATTATTTTCAAGATCAGCCCAAGTGAGGGGGCCCCGCCAGCCCTAATCAGCGCTGAAATCAGAAACACCCCACCTGTCGAGTGTAGCCAGTCGCCCCGAGTTAGAAGTCAAATGATGGAAGGATTCTTTCTCGTCGTTTGCCACCTCCTCACTTCTCCTTCTGATGAGTAGGACCTCTGTCCCCGCGGGCTGGACGCCTCTTCCAGAAACAGAAACCGGCTCGAAGAATTACGACTCTAGTCTGCATGCGCAGTGTAACCGGCAGACGTCACAGTGAAGGCAAAGAAAGACCAAGGCGAGATATACGCCAAGCAACTGTCTTTGAGCCCTGCAGGGAGGGGGGGTTGCTCTCTTTCCTTGCACATGCATAGATGCAAGAAACACTGATGCATGACTAAGTAACTGTTGACTGCAGATAAATGACCGCAGGTGCAAGTGCTTCACTACCTGCTCATCTGTTTGTCGGAAAATGCCGGATCGTGCGGGGGAGAAAGAGAGGATAAGGGATCCATTTCTTCATCTGCCGAACCCTGCTCCATCGCAAAATCCCGTCACTCGATGTGATTTTCAGGATTGAGCCTAATCGACAGTCTATCAAATGGGAGAAGTCGATGCTATGAAGGAACTATGACGAGTGTACACGTGAAGGACCGCAGGCATGGCAGTTGCAGACCAACGGTAGCAATGATGGAATCCGGGATCGAATTCTCTGCGTACTTATCTCATCGCTTCACTCTCTCTTCCACGATCATCCCCCCACGGATGGACCGGCTGGCTATCTGACCGACGAAATCCCATCTTGCCGGCGAGTCATGCCCCGCGACTTTTGGCCCGTGGCGACGCCAATGGCGGAGAGTTGGAGCACAAGCACGGCTCTAGTGGACATGCGGGACGAACGGATGAATGGATACATGGATGATGAAGGAACGGAACAGGAAACAAGAGCCATTACACTAGTCACCGCCGCGCAATGAGTCGAACACGCAGCGTTCTTTTCGTTTTCTTATTTTTTCCCTTCCTCTCACCGGCCTGTTGCAGCATCGCCGGCCAATGAACTTAGTTGGAAAAAAAAAGAGGCGGCGCCGAAACTAGTGACATTATTCCCGAGACGGTTCCGTCACGAACAGTGTCGATCAGCTTCTTTTTTTCCGCCGAGGGTAGCACTACTTTAGCTTCCTACATACCGCGCCGCGTCGCTGCGTCCCCACACAGGACCCTGAAGAAAGTGGTGGCTATGGTTGGATGCCAACGGCTCTTGGTTACAGGACATCTGTTTCATGACTTGCATCCGATCTCCGCGGTGCGATGGCGTTCGATTGGCTTACGATGACTTGATCAATTGCTTCTTCATCGCTGTGTCAAATGCCTCCTGTTTGTTTTTTTCCCTGGGGTCTAGAAAGGTGGCAGAAGGATTCTGAAGCGAAAATAAAAAAAAAAAGTAGATCTGCCTTTCGGCGTATGGTTGTCGTTTGCTGCTGTACAGATCACTTACCTAAATGGGGTAGCCGGACGCCGCTAGATATAGTAAGGATGTGCTCCCACAGCATTTCCTCCCCCTCATGCTATAGCAAATCTGATAACAGACGTGCCGCTCTAATGCAAGCCACAGGGCTGGAGACTTACGAATACCTGCGGCATGTACTATCATCCTTTGGCCACCTCAACCCAGCTGCTTGCACCAGAGCGTCGACAGGCGCCAACGCTTGCGCCAGCGCCAACGCCAACGCCGGCGCCCGTCAGGAAGAATATTGCGCAATGCACACACCTCGACAGGGTCTGAACGCGACCTCCCCGCCATTCCCCTGGAGGGAGCTTCCCTGCTCGTCGTGCTCCCGTCTAAAGTTGCAGGATTGCAAGCACGAATAGGCGTCGTCCTGGTTCTGGCACGATTCGCTGTCCTATCGAGAAAGGGCCTGCTCAATGCGCACCCGCACGGCCCGCTGATCTATATGCAAGCAAAAGCCATTGGTCATTCCGCTCCCATCATCACCGGTCACTCCAACCATGTGGTAGCGAAGGACCGCGCCTGACTCCGCGGGGAAAAAAAAAAAAAAAAAGAGACGGCGCCCCGCCATGGAGCGCGGAAAGCGCGTGATTTTCCTCGACCTGATTCATTTCTCTCATGGCAGTGGGTCGGGCCGGTTCCTGCAGCTGACGAGCTTCCTTTTTCACGCACCCGCAGGGAAAAACAACGTCTCCAGCTAGCTTTCGGAAAGAAAAGACGAGCGGGGGCGGGTGCCAACACAGGCAGTGCGACGGAGGTATGGTCCGATTCTGGGGTACAACAAGACGTTTCCGAAAGCTCCGGCCACCGAAAGAGGGCATCCAGGAATGGGTTGGTTGTCTTAGATGCTGCCCAAGTGCGGCGATCAACAGGGCTGAGGGCGCTTTGCCTCTCGTCCACCAGCAGCGCGGTTTCAGAGTTTCTGGCGCGATGTCATCGCACATTAGCGCGCCATGCTTCCCTTTCGCGGTGGGCGGGTGGTGGTGTGGTTGTGTGGGGAGAGAGAGAGGGGCGCACTTTCGGCCGTCTTCCACTCCACCCGAGCTCCACTGACCAACGAAGCCCCCCACGTTTCTTCACCTCTGCACACCGTTTTGATCGTCCCCTGTCGCAATCCGGGATGCAGGCTAATGATGCGAGATAAGAGTGGAGATGTTGGGTGCTGGATCCATGAACAAGAAAAGATGCTCGTTGCGGCTAGCGCTCGCACGACGACGTCACGGCGCCAGCCCACGAATATAGAAAAAGAGGAGCCACCGCGAACCTTAACCCATTGTTTTTCCCACTCGCTGCGTCGTGTCTTTTTCGCCACAGCTGCGACGACACGACGCGAAGCTGACCGCAGCAGGCGCGTGTGACGTACGGCTGTTCTGTTGCCTGACACAGAGCGGATTCGTAAGGAAGTTGCTCAGCCGCGATGGCGGTGGGGGAAACCAAAGCCACTCCGCGCGCGTCCGGGAAGGAAATAAGTGGTGGCCGTTAGGGATCCGCGAGACCCTGGCGACGGACGTCATCCGCGCACGCGTGTGCGTCGCTTTCCTCGGCTGGCGGCCGAGACCCACAGCTTGCGGTGTCGCAACTAGCGCGAGATGGGGCGCTCGGGCAGTGAGGTCACACGCAGCGGTGGAAAAGATGGAGAACGGAGGAGAGCAGAAAGGAGGGCGCTCAGGAAGATCCCGGCACGCGACCCCTGCGCGGCCCTGCGTCAGAGCGCAGCAGGCATCAAGCCAAACAACAGGCTGCGGATGTACCTTAGGCACCTCCGGCCGCGACAATTTTAGCACCGCGTCGTCGCACAGAAGGATCGTCCTGCCGTCGTCGTCAGGGTCGCGCGTCGAGCCGAGTAATCAACCCAAGTCACTCCAGACAGGGGTCGCAGGAGCCACGGCGATCGGCAATGTCGTCGTCTCGTGGGGCGCTCGTTGATGCGCGTGGGCTCCCCAGCCCGCAGCATGCCAGAGCCTTAGCCGGCCGAGGTGGCTTCCCCTTTCTTTCAAAAGGGTCTGGTCTGGCCTGTTCATGCAATTCCTCTCTCCCGATCATATTGCTTTATAAGGTCCCCTGCATACCCACTCTCGACCTCACCTCCATTACCCTTTCAGGACCTCTCCACCACCCCGACCTTTGCCGCCATGGCCTCCTCGAAATTCATCGAAGTCCTCGACACAACCACCCAGCCCACCTACTCGGGCTACAACGTTAGCCTCGAAGACATCCTCGCCGAGACCCAACGGCGCTGTTCCACCAGCGACATGCCCGCCGCCTCCAAGCCGCGAAAGGACAGCAACTCGGGCGCTTCCACCTCGTCAGCAGACTCGTCCACACCGTCGAGTCCCACCAGTCCAACCATGCGCAACCGCCTGCGCCGCTTCACGCTTGCGGGCGTGGCGAAGAACCGCTAGCAAAACGGCGCCTGCATGCATCCACGCACGTGTGTTTTTTTGGGAGCGGTGTGCCTGGCGTTTTCATTGGGCTCGAGGCTAGAAGCGGCTTCTTTTCTTCCTCCGCCGCCGATCATCTCACTATTTCGATTCCCCGCATTTGGAGATTCACTGGTCTTCCTTAGCGCGCTTTTCGGCTCTGCCTCCCCATTCGCCTGCCTCGTGCTCACGCGCGCTGTCAGCGATGGCAGTATTTTTTTTTATTAGGCGGCAGTGTTTCTCACGAGTGGCTCATCAGCCTGGCCTGGCGCACCGCATATGCACGCCGGAACGTTTTCTGCTTGTTTCCTTCTCACCCGGGTTTTCACGGGGCGGTGGCGTGTAGCACACGCAAAACCAACGAGGACAATTGCCGGCCGGCCTAGTTTTTTTTTTTCTGTCTTGTCTTGGGCGATCGGCTGGCGGTGCTGTGTTGTGGTCACACGACGCGATGCGCGCTCACGTGTGGGGTGAGCGGGAATGTGTGCGCCCTTCACTGTGGCGCTCCCCTCCGCAAACTGCTCCGCCCCCCCTGCTCACCACCCATGATGGGTCTCCCGACTTCTCCCTTTAGCAATCTTCGATGCTTCGACGAATCTCGATTTCGCAATCTCGCCCTGCGTTCTGGACTCGCCGCTCCACTTGGCAGAAGCCGCATCATGCGCCGCGAGCAGCGCCGGACAATCGCCGGTTTACGAAGAGGGGGAAACTCCGATCAAGAGCGAGGGATTTCAAAGGAAGGGAGATAAGCTGCTCTCTCTGCTGCGGCAGTGACCGCACATGCACGTCAGCGCCAGTGCAGCCAACATCTTTCCCGCCTCCGCATGCAACATGCACATGTCGAACGGTTCTGCATTGCTGTGCGAGCTGCGGCTGCTTTCCCGGCGATTGGATGGGCGCAGTCGTAGTTGAGGAACTCGGCCGAACATCTTCGCCTAACCGGGCTAAGATGCGTCTGACTTTATTCCCGTTGGACGAGGCACAGACGCCGTGGTGCGCGGATGCGCCCGCCCGCTTTTCACTTGTTGGTGCCTTTTCCCGCATCATCTGGAGAATAGCTGTCGATCGCGCAAACGAGCAGCCGACGTCAGATGTTTCCTGTCCCAAGCCGCACTACCGACACCGCAGCAACGGGACGGCACGGTTCAGACCTTCTCAGGAACGCCTCTGGTCTTTCCGACCGGTCGCCGAACGAACGTCACGTCAGTTCCGCAGGGCTGGCCGCCACCAAACAGGAAATTTTCAATAGCGCCATCCCTGGTCTGTCGTTTTCCGCGACGAGAGGGAAAGCCGTGCGGCTCAATCTAGAACGTTTGATCGACCGCAGCGGATAGATGGGCCTGGCTATCGTTTACCGACTGATGTGCCTTGCCTTGCTGGCTTCCACACTCGTCATCGCTGCTTTGCTACTCCTCGTCACTGTGCGCGCATCTCGGGCTGTGGACGAGACTATCGATTCTTTCTCCCCTCGATGAGTCGGTCCGACCGTTCCATCGGTTTCGGAGTCGCTTCCGACAACACTTCTTCATCACGATCGGTTTTATTTTTTTTTTCGATACGAGCGGGCGCACTGTGGTCCTCTCATTGACTTTTTGGCCATGACGACATTCATGCTGTCTGTCTCGTCCCGGCCACACATTGGTCCCAACAAACCATGAACGCTTGTCGGTTTTCTGTTTCTGTTCCTGGTTGCCGTTACTTTCACAATTCTTTTCCCTTGGCGAGGCTATTTTTGGAACTCGGCTTGATTTGTAGATCTCACACAACTGAGAACGACGAATAGGTTCAGGCGTTTTCACCATCTGTTTTGATGACTTTATCTGACGAATGATGCACGAATCATACCCTTTCCCCCTTTCTCCTTTCAGTTCTCCGGATGGGAAAAAATATTATATTATCGTATATATTTATTAACAGAGCATGCCGTCTTCTTTTCTTCAAGAAAACAAAAGACAGTTTCAATAAGGGGCAAAACGCCTAGAGTCCACAAGACAATTCCTCATTTCCGCTATGCGTTCAAAGATGCTCTGGACTGCAGATATCACCAGATGGACTAGACAGAGTGTCGAACCACCCATGTTGAATTTTCTTTTCTCGCTGTTTTCGCCAGAGTCCCGAAAAGGCTGGACCCCGCCGGTCGTATTGCTGTCTCGGTGCCATGCTGTGTGCCCTGTTATGCATTGCGTTGTATGTATGTATGTATGTACCTCATATACATAGTGCAGAAAAGCAAAAAAGACCGGTCTAGAATTCGCAACTAATCTCGATTTCTTTTTGCACCTCTTTTGGGACGTTGCTTCGTCCCCTTTAGCCATGCACTAAGGCTGTTTGGCCGTCTGCTTTGGAAAGGGAAAAGAGCCTGCCGGCCCAGCCCAGTCGTCATCGTCAATCATACGATCCCCGCCTACCACCAAAATGAAAGTGAAAACGTCTCATGTTACACCGCTCTACGTACGTTCCCAACGGCACGGGAAATTGCGCAGTGGAGCATTTAACAAGAAGGGCAAAAATGCAACGAGAGATCCCGAACACGAACCATCAACGGTGCGCTTACACGAGGTTGAGATGAGGAGCAAGGAAACGACAGGGGAAACGGGATCGCAAGTTCCTTGCCCTTCACTCAGCCGAAGAACCGACCTTCTCCCTCCTCTCCACCCAGCTAGCTCATAGAACAGGAGACACGGGGTAAAAGAAAAAAAGAAAAATGGACACAGCGTCCAGACGCAAGCAATCTATCGTTTTCTTTGCCCATCTTTGCTCCCGTCAACACCGTTCTCACAAGCCCGCGGTTGCCAACCTTCTCCCGCTCCCCACCGTCTCCCAATCCTTTCTAGCTCATCAAAACCATTTCGTGCTCTTGGTCTGCGAGCGAACCTTATCAGCGCGCCATTGACTCTCCTTGGTGCCTGGAAGACTCGAACCAGTCAGAGCATGCTAACTTTAAAAGAAAAATAAGCGTCCAATCACACCTTACCACGAGGCCTGAATGACTAGATGGTCTGCAGGGGAGAGAAGATGGAAGGCACCCGTGCTTCAAAAAAACATGGGTTGGAAAACCGTTGGGCCTGTTCAAGATATTGAGGCGGCGGGGGCCCGATCGCTCGTAAGCCACTCCTCGGCCCCATGTTCAGTGGGGTTCTTCAGCGGTGTCGTTGGATAAGTGGCCCGTTTTGCCGGTTGGTGGGATTATTTCTTTTTTTTAACTATAATATTGTCTGCTAACTCTCTCTGCATCATCTTCCTTGTGGGTCCAAATAGCTCCGTCCCTTGTTGTTACTGCTGGTGCCGCAGCAAAATCGTTGAGATTTCCTCGGAAGCGAACGCCGGCGTTGCTTCGCTGGGTCATGGTACATGCACTGCATAATTCACACCGTTCTCTCCGATCTCCCAAGGCGTACTTTTCTCCCATATAAATGGAGCAATTCGTCACCCCGGGTCATGAGGATGTCCCTCTTGACGCTGGCTGACGCAAGCTTCCTAAACGCCGATTCGCTCGAATAAATAATTGCGAATGCGGTGGCCGATTTGTACTTGTGTCGCTTAATCGGAATATTCAGCCGGCAATATCCATGACCAGTGTCTTTTCCTCTGGATTTGATACCTGCCGGTAGCGCAAGGATTGGTCAGGGGTCATCATCATTCCAGCGGCGTTAGGGAGGCCTGATAGAGCATGCTACCCTTGGCATGTGCATGCCACAAGGACAGCCAATTGATGCAGCGGATAATGTGGAGCAGCAGCGTTTATTGCAGTTCCTCTGGTTTATTCTTCCCCCTTTTCTTCATGGACTTTTGTTTTATCTTTGACCGGGCGCTTTCTAGGTCTGCAGTTGTCTGTATTGTCGAGTCACGGCGTCAGCCTGGTGTTCTGGAATTTTAGTCCCAGGAACCTTCCTGGGCTTCAGCGGGGCTGTTGTTTTCATTCGCGTACGTTTGAAGACCCTCGAAGAAGGATGTCGCAGTATCTGACTGATCAAAGACCGTTCCCGATTGGTCGTTCGTGCTGTTGCCGTCGTTGCTGTTGGAGCCGGTGTTGTTATCACCGTTCTGTTGGTTAGTAGAGGCTGTCTCGCTGCTGTGGACAGTACGGAGATGCTGGTGAAAGTTGTCGCTTCTTGAGAAAGCCTTTGAGCAGTATTGGCATTGGAAGGGTTTCTCCCCCATGTCTAAAATCCGTAAGTGGGCAGCTTGCAGGATTTATGAATGCAACATTTCACTTACGGGTAGTCTTCTCATGGCGTACTCGATGTTCGATTCTGCTGAAGATCCTCTGACAGTACTGGCATCTCCTCTTCTCCATGCGACGAGCGGCGGCCTCACTCTCGACGGGGGAGATGGGCACTTGAGCACCCGGTTCGGAGGGAGGCATATCGGAATCTTTTGGAGGCCTTCCACGCTTCTTTCTCAACGAGTTGTCGTTGACGCCCTCGCCCAATGCGCGTTTGTGCGCAAGGTTGCTGTAGCCGTTACTGAAGTTGTTAGCGGATATGTCACATCGTTGCAGATGGCGCTGGCTGGGCATGAAGCGGGAAACCATGCGGAGATTCAATACTCACTCTTCGCCGGTACGAATCTTCAACAAAGCCTCAGCGTTCCTATACGCAATGCCCTCCACATCCCTCCCACTCACAAGGCCGCTGTTCCAGAGGTCATCGATGAATTGTTTGCCTTTCTCATTAGCCGAGAAGGGATAGTCGACGCTGAGCATGATCTTGTCGGGAGATGTGACCTTCAACAAGCATGTCATGGGAGCGAGCGAGAACATGCCCGATGTGGTGATCCAGATGTTGCTCTCCCAGACTTGGCGGAGCCCACGCTGGCGGTTCCACTCGGGCGTGTTCATGCCCTCGGTGATATCGATGATGCGGTCCAGCTGGAACGGCAACATCTCTCCCATGTGCCCAATGACGATCTTTAGTTTCGGGAAGAGGTCGAACAGGCCAGCGGCGTACAGGCGGAGGACGTGGAGGCCGACGTCGCAGTGCCAGCCCCAGCCCCAGGCGCCCAGCATCTGGGCAATTGGCTCCGAGTAGTGGCCGCGGTACTGGTAGATTTTGTCCTGGGAGGGGAAGGCGGGATGGATGTAGACAGGCACGTCCAGGCCCTGGGCAGTGGAAAAGACGGGCCAATAGCGAGGGTCGTCGTAGAAAGAGCCTTTGTGATGGTTGCTGACCAGAGCGCCGACGAAGCCAAGGTCGCGCACGCAGCGGTTCAACTCCTCGGCTGCAGCTTGGGGATCAACCATGGGCAGGAGGGCAAAGGCAGCGTAGCGGGTAGGATTTCTCCGGACGGTCGCGGCCAAACGGTCATTGGCCCCGCGGCAGACGTGTGGAGATGGATCGACAGGCGCGTGGGAAAGAACTTGCATGGAGATGGAGTTGGCGTCGAGGTCGGCGAGGCGGTCGTCGCCCAGCGAGGCCAGCTTGTCCATCAAGGGCTGGGGGAAGGCGGAATAAGCGAATGCATCCTCCTGCGAGGTGCCGAGCACCTGATGATCAACATAGTGCTCCTCCAGCGTGACGAGAGGCATCGAGGAAGCCATGGTGGAAAATTGGCGGGTGCGGTCCAGGGGGCGTCTGTATGGCTGTGGCCTCGACCAGGACGAGACACATGTCAAGCGGAAGGGCGAGTCAGCACAGTGCCAAGCTATCGCGGAGCCTCGCGGTGCTGATGGGGGAGGGCTCCATGTGGCGTCTGGTCCACTGCAGAGGTTGTCTGGCGGGTTACGTCAAGCTCCCAGCACGCGCGCCTGGAGACGCGAACCGGGCGCGCTAGCCGCACGGGGTCCGCGAGCTCTGCGCCTCAACCGCCACCACTCCGCGCCTTGCCTCCCCCACCCTGCCCGCAGTCGCCCTTCCGAGCTTTGTGGAGCTGCACCGAGCCGCGTCGCTCACCATGGCCGCCCAGGACCAGTCCCGCTTCGCCATCCACGAGGCCTGCCGCGAAGGCAAGAGTGCGCACTGCCCGCTGCCCCGCTCCCCGCTCCGCTCCGCTGACGTCTTGCCCAGCTGCCGCCGTGGAATCGCTGCTCAACGTCCGTCCACGCTCCGCTCCATTCCCCATCTCCCGCTGAGCCCATTAGGCCAATCCGAACCTTGCGACCCGTCGCGACGACGACGACCGTTTGCCCATCCACTGGGCTGTCTCGTACAACCGCATACCCATAGTCTCGCAGCTCATCCAGACCAAGAACTTCGACGTCGACGCCCAGGCACGCCGCCACAATCGCCTTTGTCATAGCTCGACGGCTGATCCGCGTTGCAGGATGGCTCTGGCTGGACGCCGCTGATGATGGCTGCGAGTCTGAAAGATGCCGACGAGCTGGTAGACCTTCTGCTCTCCCGCGACGCTGACGTCAACATGAAGAGTAGGTTACACGCTGGCCGTGCGTCCCTCACAATGCAGCTGACTTTGCGCTCCAGACAACAACGGCCAGGTTTTGCCCCTCTCTCGTTCGCTGCTAACAAAGAATGCTTACTGGCCGCGACAAGACCGCCCTGCACTTCACCGCCTCGAAGAACAACCTCGATACCGCACGGAAGCTCGTTGCGAAGAAGGCGTCGGCCCGCGTGAAGGACAAGCGTGGCCAGCTCGCTCTGCACCGCGCCGCAGCAGTCGGCTCGGTTCCTATGATCAAGCTGCTACTGCAAGCAAATAGTCCGCTCAACGCGACTGATATGGACGGAATGACCGCGCTGCATCACAGTATGTGGGAGACGGATCGAACAAGACGAACGGGGGACGACACGCTGACGGACACGCATAGCCATTGCTGAGGGGCACGGCGATGCAGCCTTAGTGCTCCTTAAAGCCGGCGCTGACACGGAGAAGAAGAGCATTGACGGGTCGCTTGCGATTGAGCTTGCGCCAGATACCAAGGTGAAGATTGATCTCCTGGCCCAAATTCGTGCCAGCGTGCTGACAATGCAGATCATGAACTATATCATCCAGAACGCAGAGCTCGAGGGTATCGAATTGACTGCCCCTCGCCCTTGAAAGGGCTCTTTCTGGATTTGTCCTCACAGTCTGAAGGATCAGATATGCTGCCAGTAAATATACCCCCCAAGAGTGAACATGGCATTATTTTGCTCTGGTGGTAGCCTTCTAGACAAAACACGTTGACCTATGTATCCAAGCGCGAACAGTCTCTGGTAAGTGTTTTGAAAGGTAGGTGGACACTTGTTGCACGCTGTATCTGACCATGCATGGCGAGTGATACTCTGCGAGTTGGCAGCACTGAAATAACCATAGCATGAAGAGAGAATGTGATGCATGTAGAAAAAGTTCCGGCAAATACCAGTAACAAAAGTCCAGAGGAATACACTGCCATTATCAATGTCGACTATATCGATATCTGCATCTGTGGCACCTGGACTCAAGCTTTACTGTGCGAAAGAGAATCGAAGTTGTACAATGCCAGCCAGAAAATACCAAACGCCGCGAATGCTTCCATGATTGCATAAACATCATTGACGACAGCCATCGCGTACATACACACATGGCTCGGTGCTGTGACCAAAATAGCATGTCCAGCTGGATACACAGATGGAAACAGCGCGCAACACTCATCCACTACACTCGAAAAGGGATACACCCACTGTCACCGTCCCCTTCACCGCCGCTACTTCATTGTTCTCTCCACCAGATCCTTATAGATCTTCTTGAGGTCTTCGACGTCATTCTGCAGCTCCTCGACCTGCTCACTCTTCTCGCCGAGCGCCTCAAGTGTCGTTTCGTAGCGAGCGTTGACATCACGCAGCTCTTGACGAAGCTGCTCAACGAGCTTCCCTTGGGCGCGTTTCTCATCGACCTCGCGCATCAGCGCGACAACCTCCTCGCGCGCCTCGTCCCGCTGGGCCGCCAGCCGCGCCATCTCTTCCTTTGAAACGGCCTTCTCTGACTCGAGCCGGCGGACGGCGGCACTCATGCGCTCGACCAGCTGCACCGATGGTCCTGCGTTGCCAACGGTGCTGACGGAGATCATATCCGCAGCGGTGCGGTGCGGAGACGAGGAGCGCTCGAAGGCGTCGGCCGAATCGTCGACAGTGTGGATGGACGGCGGGGCGGCCGGGTGGCTGGATGAGAGGTGGAGACCGTTGTGACCGTTGGCGTTCGTTGATGACGAATCCTGGCGCTGCGGCGTCCCGGGCAGGCCGGATATGCGTTGCGACGAGCCCATGCGCCGAGGCTGCGGCTCCAGCGATAATAGCAGCTCTGATGACACGTTCTTCGGGATGCTGCGCCGCGAGTGCAAGCCTAGAGACTGCTCGCCCGAGTGCTTCCGGCCGAACATGGTGCCCGGCAATGACGGCGTTTGTGGTGTGAGGAAGTGGCCCTGACTGTCACCTGGGCCAGAGACAGGGGAAATTGTGGATTCGAGTCGCCATTTGGTCTTTTCTTCCTCGATTTTCTGGGCCAATTCGGCTTCCCAGACCTTTTTTTGTTGCTCAAAGCTTGCGTTGGTGTTCTCGAGTTCTTTCTCCACCTGAGCTAGCCGTGACTGCAGTTTAGACATCTGCGTCTTTTGCTCGGCAAGCTCGTGCTCCAGGGAACGCGCCTGCTCGCTGGTGTTTTCGAGTTCTTCTTCCAATTTGCGGGACTTGGAGTTCACTTCCCGCGCCTTGCGTCGAATTTCAGATTCGCGTTTAGCGAGTTCGTCGCGCTCTTTCTCCAGAGCCGCAACCCGAGCCGTAAGGCTGTTCTCGATGCCTTGCCAATTCTCGCTAGCAAGAGAATACTGAGTCTGTAGTGTTTCAATTTGACGCAAGAGCTTGATTTGTGAATCGCCGGATGGGTTCGACGAGACTTCTTCGGAGCGAGCGCGGAGCACTTCGAGCTTCGTCTCAAGGTTCTGTGATGAAGCATGGTCAGCCAAGTTTACTTAGGAAAGTGCCTGGATAGGTGCGTACCGTAATCTCGCTCCGCAGCTCCGCCTCCAGCACCGTTGCCCTCTCTTGTTGCCGAGTAGATTCTTCCCTGGTCTCGCGAGCTTCCGCTCTCGCCCGTTCCTCAGCAAGCTTCTTCTCAACTTTGAGATCCGCGAGCTCCTCCTCCAGCTCCGACACCCGCTTTTGCTCTGCTGCTGCCGCGTTATTCTGGGCTTTCCTCTCAGCTGCTTCGGCACGTTCATTTGCGGCATTTAACTGCCGCTTCAAGTCTGCGATCGTGCTTGTCGATTCCTCGCGCTCCAATTTGAGCGAGCTGGCTTCTTTTTCAATCTTCTCGAGCTGTTTGACTTTCTGCTCAGCTGACTTGGCTACAGCCTCAGCTCGCTTTGCTCGTTCAGTAGCCTCGCTTATGCTGGTTTCTGCCTTTGCCAGCTTCTTCTTGAGATCTATAACAGTCTTTTCGTCTTGCCCAATCTTGGCACGGAATTTCTTGATGCTGTTTGAAAGGTTCAGCTCTTTCTTTGACAGTGTCTGCCCCTCTTCCATGAGTAGAGCTATTTGCTCGTCTTTTTCGGCCAGCTTCTGCTCCAAGGATCCCTGCTCTGCCTCGTTCGCAGCCGCACGGGCCTGTGAAGCAGCCTGGCCCGAGAGATATTTCAATTTGGATTGCAGCGCATCAATGCGCTCGAGGTGCGCAGTTATCTCATCGCGGTGTGTTTTGGTGAGTTCTTCGTACGACTGTCGGAGGGCTGCAACGTCTTCCGGCTCGGTGACGGGGGCACTGAGATCAAGGCTCGAGCCGGCGTCGGGAACAGAAGCTGGAGTCCCAACGCGTGACGGTGGATCAATTGGAGTGTCGGGACGGCCAGAGTCCATTGACGCACGGGGAGAGTCGGTCCTGCTTCCTTCTTCCGGCTGTAATGTGGCCCTTTCCCCAGCCTTTCCAACACCATCGTCGTCGTCTGAAGACCTGGGCGCAGAGGGCTTGTCGTTTTGGAGCGATGAAGATGGCTGGGGCTCAGAGAACCTCGAGTCTACGCTTGTGCGCGAGGTGTCGGCGCCGTTGGTGGGCGTGCCGGTGCGCGACGGGAGCTCGGATGACGGACGTCCGGAGCGTTGGGCATCAGACTTCACAGCTTTGGCCAGTCGTTCCTGGAGGCGGTCGTTTGTGCGGGAGCGAGACGGGGTGCGGTCGAGGCCTGCATGCGGTCAGTCCGGCGGGGCGGGGGAGAGCTGGCGCGGTGGTGTGGCTACCTTGCTCGGCGGCGGCCTTCTTCCGCAGGGCGTCGTCGGCCCTGCTGCGCGCAGAAGCCTGGTCGTCCTCGGCGAGAATGGTGTCCAGGCGCGACTCGAGGCCGGCGACGGCGCCCTGCAAGAAGGAGCCCCATCCCTTCGCGGGCTGCTTGGGCTTCGCGGGTGCGCTCATGCTGCTGTGTAACTGGGTGGTCGCTGTTCAGCCGGCTCGCAGGCGGTCTAGCGCAATCTCCGGCGTTTGTGCTGTTTCATCGCTTGCGCGGTGGTCAAGGGTGCAGAGTGCGTCTGGCGCGCGTCTCTGGACATGCGGAAGGGCGATGGTGGGTATGTTGGGTTCGTGGCCTGAAGTTACGTCGGCCTGCAAGGGTCCGGGCCGCACGGACAGAGGAATGGGCCAGGGTGCCCGCGATGATGCGCGATCGCCGCTCCGTGGCTCCAGAGCTCCATGCCGTAGCGCTCTCCACCAAGCACCTGCACTAACCATCCCCGTCGCGCCTCTCGCTGCGAGGAAGAACGACGGGCCGCAAAGGTTATGTCGACCTCGCCTCTGCAGCCGCTGGCGCTCCAGCACGCGCTCCGCATCCCGTGTTGACCTCCATCGTGGCGCCATCCCTCCTCAGCAGCCCAGTGCAACCCTCGCCGGGCGCAACCAGACTGTCTCAGTCGGCCCTCCTTCCGCGGAATCCGCTGTGAATCATCAACTCACCAAGTGTTGCATGTCTTGCGCCGTCGCCCGAGCGCCCAATGGTGACGCGCCTGTGTGGCGTCGTGACGGCCCGCTGGATACATCCAGGCCCCTCGTACGCAGACCCGCGCCGGTTTTGTACCTTGCAGAAGCAACGACGTCTCACGCTCGAGAATGGGCTTGGCGGCTTGGTGTTGTCGGCAGCTCTCCAGCGTCTGTTCAGGGGCGTCAATTCCAGCGGCGAAGGCATGGATGGCCTGTCTGCCCGTCGACAGCTGCCACAGCTCCTGTGTAGGCCGCGCACGTGCTGTGTGCTCAAGGAGGCGAGCATTCATCTCCCGTGAGCCTTTGTATCACCGGCCAGCGCCTCCGCATCCCTAAGGAGCCCGGATCGTCGACGCCTCCGGCTCTCGAACCACTATGACGACTCCCGTGAAGAAACAGCGAGGGGCAGCTGAGGCAAACCTTGTCTGCGCCATCTTTTTCTTCAGGGCCAGGGTTCTGCACAGCGCCCACGCAGCGCCCGTCCGTAAGGGATCGGAAGAGGCTTTAATTGGGCTCGGAAGGATCCCCAGTCGCTGACGCCCGTCATTTCTCTGCGAAGGGGTCGCCTTATGGCTAGCCGTTGTGTGACGCTCCTTCGGAGCGCCCGCCGCTATCCTGATCGAACCCCGATCGACCGCGGGCGAGCGAGAGTCCGGCGAGGCTACGATGCTGCCATGCGGGTTGGGTCAGGAGGTCGCTTTCGCTTCAATGTTGAAACGCCAGACGGCCATGGGAACGGGCAGTCCTCTACCCTGATGGGGCATAGCAACGGCCGTTATTCCTGACGAAAACACTCCAACTCTGGAACACCTGCTTTACAGCTCCGGGGCGGATCGTTTAGCGCGCGGGGCCCATCCCTGCACACGAGCGGACGCGAGATTCTGGTCCAGGCGCGTCAATTGCTAGCTCTCGGTCTTGCCGCAGAGCTGTATCGCAGGGAAGCCCGAAGCGAACGTTTCCGCACCTTCTAGCGTACCGTAGCATATGCATTCGGAGAACGCCTTAGACGATCGTTAGTTCGAGCCTCTCCGCCCGATTTCGTCCCCAGACGACACCTCAATATCAATCTCCGGCAATCGAATCAGCAGGTGAAGTCAACCAGCTCGCCCTCAGCCGTTGGACGACCATGGCTCCTGTGGCAGATGTGGCCCCACTCTCCCCAGCCACGCCTCCGAATCAGCCAACGTGCCCACCAATGGGGACGCTGGCCCGGGCTGCGGTTACCCGCATCGCCTGGGCACGAACGGGGTGCTTGACGGTGCCAATCAGCCGCTCGCAGACGCCGTCCGTCCCTGGTGCTCACCGGAAGCAACCGAACCCTGCATCAGGCGACAGCACGGCCAAGGCGCCTGCGAGCTGCCAGATGCAGTCCGGGATAGCACAGAGGAGTTGCTGCTCCCACAACCCCGTGAAGGATAAGCGCCCTTGCGCCTCTCCAGCCACATGTGCTGAGCTCCCAGGGAACACGCATGATCCGCATCCACTCGCCAGATCGTTGCGGCGGTGACACTGACGCTTGTCTTAGAATGCGGGCCTTAGCACCGGCGCAGAGGGAAGATGGCAGCATTAGTCACCCGCGAACCTGCAGGTGATCCCTGCTAGTTCCAGAGTGAGACAGTCATTCTTCAAACGGATTTGGCCTCCGCCATCAGCCCGTCCAGATGGGAGGTCCCAAGCAGCAGGTAGTGCCGCGCATACCATGGCCGCGAAACATACTGCTTTCGGTCCACCCAAGTCGTCTTGCGGCTTGGCACCCTGACGGCCAGCGGCTGGTAAATTGGGAACTGGTAGTAGGAATGCGAGGCCCTCGAAGCCTTGCGTGTGTAACAATCTGGCCTACTTTGCCTGAGTAGTGGGCTTGTTTGACCGTTTTCGTTCCATTTCGAGCGTCCAAGCAACCGCTGCGCGTGGTGGGCCAGCCTCCCGCCCTCTCCAGAACACCGAGTCTTCACAAAAACCCCCAGAGGCGTCAGTTGCCAGGTCTCTCGTCCAAAAGCAGCCACCAAGAGACGTGGTCTTGACCTCTACGAATCCGGCCCCATTGGTCGTCCGTCTTCAGTCGCCCCGGCCTCCGATCTCCTACGTATGCGGTCAACCTCGACGACCCTCCCCGCTACAAATAACTGCCCTGTCGGACTTGCTGTCTCCAGACAAAGAAGTGCTGCTCCGCCGGCCGGCCGATTTGTCGTCGTCTGCTTGCCGTCGGTCTGGAGCTCCGCAACAAAGAACAGCGCCTGAGACAGCGTCAACTCGCCACGCCCGGAGCCGCATAGCACTCCGCGACTGCTTGCTGCCACATCTAAACCGCTGAGCTGTCTGTACAGACATAACACGCACGGCGGGCAGCAGGTACCCGCGACAGGTCCGTTCCCAAAGGCCCCCTCCTGCTCCAGCCCGCGTCAATGCGGCAGTAGCAAGAGACAAGCCCCTTGCATTGCAGCAACTACGGGAAGCAGCAGCCGCTGACACACATAGTTCAGTTGATATCCTGCACAACTCAGCCGTCAGTCCAATCTTGATCCACAGAATCCTTCCAGAAGCCTGCCCGAAGGAACCCGATCTCTACAAGGCGAGACTTCCCAACGGCGGCAGTGGCTCAGGAGTACCACCCGGAGCCCTCACGTCTTCTATCGCGAAATCTCGTGCGACGAGAGTGGAGTTTTGTGCGTCTGTGGCACAGCACCTCCGTTTGGCAGCTACCGGCTTTCCAAGGCCTTCGGACTTTCAGCATCTTGCGCGGCGGCTCTCGTTCGGCAAACGGCGGTACTCTCTGCCTCAGATCATGTTAAAAGCGGAACCAATGATGCAGAGACACCCCCCGACACCGCCCAGCGTGCCGGCTGAGCTGCAGTATGAGCTCCATCACCTGGTCCAGCACAATGCCAACACACCGTACAAGTATGAGATCGACGAATCGCAGTATGCGCACTCTGGAGCACAGTCCGCGTACGCATCACCTGGCTCAGTGCAGCACCCACAGGCCAGCGGCCCGTACATGAGCCCCCAGTACAATGTCAGCAGTTACCCGGAGCCACATGGACAGAACGAGGTCGGCCTGGGCATTTCAATGGTAAGCTGTTTTCCGCAACCGCCAGTCTTTGACGCTCTCCGAAGCTCTTGACACGGTCAACATGTCTGTTTTGGAAAGGCTTTTGGCTAAGCAGTTGTTGGCGCAGGATGGTTATGGAGGCCCTGGACCAGTCTACTGTCATGATGATGGGCAGGCCTACCACGGTCTTCCTGTAAGTTCTCCCTTAGCTTTCTAAAGAGGAAACAAGGCAAAAGAGTAGCAGGTGCTAACAATGCTTCCCTTCGTACAAGTATATGCCCCAGGGAATGCAAGCTCACACCCCCCCGACGCCCAGATCAGCAACGGCCAGCGATGGCGGTCGTAGGACCAGGAGTGGCACGTCGGCCGCCCGTACTGCGTCCCCCGTCGCGAAAGCGCGCACGACCAAATCGAAGAAAAAGTCCGGTGAAAGCAAGACCAAGGTCAAGACACCGAAGCTCACCGCTCCCCTGAGTGTGCTGACGAAGGATTTTGACCACATCCCGGTCAAGAACATGGAGGAGTGGGTCAACAGGCCAGCGGAGCAGCGGAGGGAAGAGGCAGCGAAGCGCAATGGGTACATCACGAGGCCTATGAATTCCTTCATGCTCTATCGATCGGCGTATGCGGAGCGCACCAAGATTTGGTGCCTGCAGAACAACCATCAGATCGTGTCTTCTGTGTCTGGCGAGAGTTGGCCGATGGAGCCTCCAGAGATCCGCGAACACTACAACGAGTTAGCGAAGATCGAGCGCATCAATCACCAGAATGCTCACCCGGACTACAAGTTCTCACCCAGCAAGACAACACCGGCTGCGCGCAAGAGGAAAGGCACCTACTCTGATGAGGACGACAGCGAGCCCAGCGACCTTGACGATCCAGATGCAGACTGGAACCCCTCGGCTCGCCGGTCAAGGAACAAGACCCATAGGCGCCAGCCAACTTTTGACGAGCGCAGCTTTGGCCCGAACAACGGCGTTAACAAATCGACTTGGGAAGCGACCAACGGAGGCCCTCCCCCAGCGGCTCTGGGTGTGGCGGACATGCACCGCCAGTACTACCAGACCACAGTCCATCCGCATGGCGCAACACCTGGTGTCGAAGACGTCCGCATGCATCGCATGGAGCACCCAGGGATGCTTCGGCAGCAGCAGACGACGCCCGTCTACCCCATGAGCCACGCGCTCCTCGGCCTTCCTGGCGGCCAACCGGCCCACGAGCTTCTCCAGCTCGGCTTTCCCCAGGGCATGGGCACACCTGGTCACGAGCCACAACTCGACCCGATGCTTCTTGGCCTCGGGCCCGAGCAAGCCTTCCCGCATGACGACCCGCAGCAGCAGTTCAGTGGCGCGTACGACGAGATGGGTTACCCAGCCTTCATGAGCGAGCAGCCACCTGACCATCAGCCCGCCGAATGGCAGGTCGATGCGAGCCTCATGCCCATGGAGCCGGCGAGTGAGTTTGATAAGTGGATGGACGAGACGACGGCACCGACGAACTAAGCTCGCTAGTGTGTTTGCGGCGTTGACTGGCGAAACCGACTTTTTGCGACTATTTACTGTGCTGACTGCGTGGATGGCGCGGCAGGCCTCCTGACCAGCACAAGGACCTCTCCACTACCCTGGACAAGATGAAGTGGCGTATAGCTGCTGTGAGAGAAGAGGCAACCGCCCCACCCTGGCCTTTTCCTTTTCTGCATCACAAGATGTGTGAAGGAAAAGCTGCTGCATGAAATCGGCGTTGTTCTTGGGAAGTAATGAGGTGGCGGCACTCTTGTCTTTATCATGCATGTACTGTCTTTCTCGTCGGCTCCCTTAATGCTTTTCCCTATCTCTTATCCTCTTATTCTTTTATTCCCTTATTCTTTTGTCCCTCTCTCTTTACTTCTTTTGGCATGTACTGAAATGCTTGTATTGACGGCCACATAAAGGAAACTTGCATCGGAAAGGGTGACGATACTGGGTTGGGAGCGGGCGTCGGCGAACAAGGGCTGGAGGAGAATGTCAAGAGCAATCTGGCTGGGCGGGCAATGTGCTTTAAGCTTGTCATAATGTCGGGAAAAGCAAAAGGGTGACGATGATAGACCAATCCATATCTGACTTCTGATGTACCCACGGAACCTTTTGCAATTCCTCTATTGTGAAACCCGATCTGAATGCTCCAGGATGAGACAGTTGATGATACGCAATACGTGCAATTGTTGCAATGAGCAGCACGGGCTGATTTTCCGAATAACGCAAGATGCAAATTGAACAGACTCAAACACGAAGAGAATGTGAATCGGGGGCGTCGCGCTCTTATTTTCACGGCAGAAGAATATTTCCGCTCGTACAAGTGTCTCGTGCGACCTGAAATGCATCATGGACAGGGATGACAGTTTCCTTCTTTGTTTCCTTTTCCGGCCCGTGGCACGTGAGACTGAGCTCACAAAAAGGGCCATACCCAAATTTGCATCGAAACTCCCCATTGCATGCTAAGTGAGTAATCTTGAGGCATTATGTTCTTTCCCCAACGCCATATTGCAACATTCACGGTGACTCCTGCGAGTAAACCTTGACATCAGGAACAGCACGCGTAGCTGGTAAATGCACGAGCAATACCGTATCGACCCCAGAATCCATGTCCCCGCGGGACACTGGCTTCTGTGCACGGATGTCCGAAAGTGATAAAGTGGATTCATCAACCGGAAAATCCTTTACCTCTTTTCTTTCAACTTATCATATTAATAATAGGCTTCTCTCTATCGACTGTTTGCCTCTTTTGCTCTTTGCTTTCTTTCCATGGCAAATAAAGCGTGGGCTTTCGCACGAAATTTGCTGTTGCATTTTCTCTATTGCTTACCATAAGCAGGCCGCCAAGCCAGAAGCAGAAACAGCTTTGACCATTCAACATGTGAGGTACCAAGGCCGATCTAGATAAGTAGTGCATAGCCATTGAGCTCACATGATTAGTTTACGAGTCAAATCATAGCTACAATGCTTCTACTAGTTGGACTACTCTCTTTAGTACCCTTTTTTTTCTTGGGGAAGAAAAAGGAGCGGTGTGGGAAGTTGCTGCGTTAAATCCGAAAGACGGTAGGTACGGCGCGCTTACTTATGCGATCGTCACTTGGCGCGTGCAGCCTGGCGCGCGACGCGGCTCTAAGCTCAACACCTCAACACCTCGACCGTAATGGCTATTGGCGATACATCCAGCGCGCTCGTGCTCGCTGCAAAGCGCAGCCAAGCGCTTACTTATCTTCCGCAGTACCAGAATGAGCTCGTCCGTGCTGTTGTTCACGAGACGCGCGAGTTCAATACTGAGGCACATGGTATCCTCCAGGCGTCACTCAACCCTTCTCAAGACGCAGCCACGGCATGCGCGCTCCTCGTCAACCATCTCGCCATGCGCCGAAACAAGCGATGTCTGCTAGCATACCACCGAACGCGCTCGGACAAACTGGAGGAGATGTGCTGGAATGGCATCGACGTGCTGGAGCGGCAACAGCAGGCTGGCGGCAAGGATGTGGGCGGCGCCACGGGCAGCAGCAGCATCAGCAGCCTGAGCCCGGAGGAGGAGGAGTACGTGAGGCAGTACAGCGATCTACTGGCGGCGTACAAGGGCCAGTGGACTGATATCGACCTCACCGGCAGCCTGGAACCACCGCGTGATTTGTTCATCGACGTACGCGTACTCAAAGATGCAGGAGAGATTCAGACAGAGTACGGGTAGGTGACTTCCCTGTTTCCCCCATGGGTTCTCCTCCACTTTACCCCTCAAATATGGAGATGGCATGGCCGGGATGGCCCCGACTTCGCATGCTCATTGTGCTGCAAGGTGGAGAAAGTATGGCTAATCCTTCACCCAGAGCGATTACCTTGACGAAGAACAGCCAATTCTACGTGCGTCAGGGCGACGTCGAGCGCCTCATCCAGCAGGGCTATCTTCAGCGGCTCACATGAATTGGCGCGAAGATGGACGGGACAACCCGAGCCGTGCTGCACCAAGGCGCTCTCTGTCGGCGTCTGCGAGCCAGGCGCGTGTCGAACTCCCCCAACGACACGGGTTCTCTGGAGCTTGCGCGGGCCGAGGTGCGTCGGGACGGGTCTTGGTGCTCAAATGGTTGGACGAAGAGCTGAAGCTTACGGCGAGCAAAGCGGGGCCTAGCGGGCTAGGCCCAGACAGTGCACCGCATGCAGCGTCGCTGAAGCCATTGGTGGTCTCAGATCAGGTGCCAAAAGGCTGCGCTTATTATCACAGAGGACATGGCGCAAGAACTAGTGGTGTATGTAATTCGATTAGCACCGTGCTGGCGAGCAGTGGCGTGGTGCGGCGTCATTGCACATGTCCGACGGCTGAGCTGCCGGCGCCACGCGTGGATGCGCGTTAGCGAAGCGCCAAGACTGCTGCATGAGGACTGACGGCCGTTCACATGGCGATCAGGCAGTTTGTGCGACGGCGGTGGGGCTCCTGCAGCAAAAAAAGGTGCTTGACGCTGCCCTACGGCCTGCGAATGCCCGCGGCCGGAGACGCCGGTACGCGAGCGACCCCGGGCCGCCTGACGCTCAATGGTACTGGCCGAGCACGGTTGTGGCGCCCATCGACGTGGTTCTGGAGGCGGGGAGAAGGGAAAATTCTCGAGCTCGACCATCAACAGCTCCGGCGCCCATCCCGGCCCACCATCCCGCCCGGTTTCCCGACCAACTCATTCGCCAATTGCTCCACCCGCCCTGCAGCTCTCCCTCTCTCACCGACCCTTAATTCGCAATCGATGCGCAGATGGGCCTAATCCCCCGCTGAGCAGCCCGTCCTGCTGGTCCCGCCGAGTGACGTTTTGCACGTTACCTTGCGCCATTCACTCGCCATCGCTGCCGGACTGCACCTCCTCGCTCCGCAACCATGTCGAGACGCCAGGGCAAGATGCCTGGCGACCCCCAACCGAGGCTCCATCTGCCCTTCACCAGCCAGTACGTCGACGACGCAGACCTGAGCTACACGCCTGGGGAGACGTCCACCGCCAACTCCAGGCCTCAGCCTATATCCTCCCCGCCCCGGCCCACCACCAGCAGCGGAGGCTATCTCTCGTCATCCTTCACCCGGACGCCGGCCCGCTCCTTCTACCACCAGGCTACTCATGGCTCAATAGGTATGCACTTACCTAATTGCCCGCCACTCAGCTTGCAGCTCTTGACTAACAGCTATGCAGATACCCCAGAGTATTCGTCCCAAGGCGTGAGAGACAAGACGCAGGAACTCTCCATGCATGCCCTCTCCGAGTCGGGCTCCTTCCGCTCCCCAAGCGTCCTCGCCCACCGCCTGTCCGCCGCCGGCAGCCCCCGCGGCCGCCGCCCGCCCGAGCTAGTCAACGATACTTTTGACCTGGACGGTGGACGGGACGTGCTGGAGCTGCCTCCCTCGGGTATAATCGAGGAGGAGTCGGAGCCCTCCTCGCCGGAGCCTCTGCGCGAAGCCGCCCCCAGGAGGTTCACCCGGCCCGTGTCTTCGGCAGGCGCCAGGCCATCGTCGGCCTCTGCCGCCAACGGCGAGCATCATCGAGATCCTCGCCGATCGACCGACGATCGACGGGGCCTTTCTGAGACGTCGTCGCTGCTCCCCAACAAAAGGCCTCAAAGCAGGAAGCACTACGGCTCCACCACGACCGACGTAGAGGATCAGAGGCATGGGCTCGGGTCACGGCCCGCCAAATTCTGGACTCGCGTCTCGGGCGCGGCCCACTCGGCTGTCGATGGTTTCCACAGGGCGACGAATCCGAAGAGCTGGGACAGAGAGGCTATCTTTCAAGCCGCCGTCGTTGAGCCCGTCTCTGCCCTGCCCGCTGTTTTTCTTGGATTGCTGTTGAATGTGTTGGACGGTCTTTCGTATGGTGAGTGCTCATTGTACGTTGCGAAGTTGTTTCAAGTCGACACGTAGTTGCCCCCCCCCCCCTTGCCTCGAGCATGCGGAACGCGATCCACCAATCGCGTGGGATGCTCGCTTCATGCCCCGCAATCGCACTTAACCACGGTTGGAAGATATCCTACTAATGCTTCATAGGCATCATTCTTTTCCCCCTTGGTGAACCGATTTTTGCCAGTCTCGGTGTGGATGGCTTGTCAATGTTTTTCGTCAGCTGCATCGTTGCTCAGCTTGTTTACTCTCTTGGTGGCTCAACATTCAAGGGGGCTGTCGGATCAGAAATGGTATGCATGTTCAAACTCGCCACATTATGGCGTATACTGACGTGATGCAGATCGAGGTCGTACCCTTCTTTCACAAGATGACTTACGTGATTATGGCGCGGATGGGGCCAGCCGAGCCGAACGCTATCATCGCGACCGTCGTAGTGTCGTATGCACTCAGCTCCGTCATCACTGGTCTTATCTTCGGAGCACTTGGCCTATTCAAGCTGGGCAATCTCGTCAGCTTCTTCCCCCGCAACATCCTCAATGGTTGCATCGGAGGCGTTGGATTTTTCCTGTTCGTGACTGGAATCGAGGTCTCTGCCAGACTGGACGGAAACCTCGAGTACAATTTTGATACGCTGCAGAAGCTTTTCCGCGCAGACACCGTTGCGTTATGGACTTCACCGCTTGCCCTGGCCATTATCTACATGGTCATCAAGCATTATTACGACCATCCAGCATTGATGCCGGCTTTTATTGTTTTAATCACTGGCATTTTTCACATAATTGTTGCTGCCGTATCTCATTTTAATCTTGACAAGGCCCGAGATGCTGGTTGGGTTTTCGAAAAGCCAGAGTCGGGTGTGCCGTTCTATCACTTTTACACTCTCTACGGTCAGTGTTTCCGGGCTGTTGGACAAAGTGCTCAGGCTAATTTCATGTAGACTTCTCCATCGTCGATTGGTCCGCCATATTCAGGACCATCCCCACCATGTTCGCTCTGTCCTTCTTCGGAATCATCCATGTGCCGATTAATGTTCCGGCACTCGCCTTGTCCGCGAAGGAAGACGACGTGGACATTAATCGAGAGCTTGTTGCTCATGGTCTGTCCAACAGCCTGTCGGGTTTTGTGGGAAGTATTCAGGTAGGTTCCCCGAGTCTCACGTACACAGTCATGATCGTGGAGCTGACCGGTGCAGAACTACCTCGTTTACGTGAACAGTGTCATGTTCATGGACCACGGTGGTAACAGCCGCATGGCCGGTCTCATGCTTGCCGCAGCCACCGCTGGCGTTTGGATGGCTGGTCCCGGGATGATCGGATATGTCCCCGTCATGGTTGTCGGGACCTTGATCTTTTACCTAGGCATTGACTTGCTGAAGGAGGCTCTCTGGGATACTCTGGGCAAATTGCGACTGCTGGAATATCTAACGGTGCGTAGATTTCCTATTTCGGTATCGCCATTACTAACGAATGGAACAGATCATCACGATTGTCCTCATCATGGGCATCTACGACTTCGTCTGGGGTGTTCTTGCCGGGATCGTGCTGGCTTGTCTGACCTACGTCGTTCAGACGTCACGTACACCAATCATCAGATCAACCTATACTGGGGCAATTGCGCAGTCGACGGTCCGCCGGCCTCCGCTGCACCAAAAATACCTCCGTGAAGTCGGTCAGCAGGTCTACGTTGCCAAAATTGCGGGCTATCTTTTCTTCGGAACTATCGTGTCAGTCGAGAATGACATCCGCAAGCTGGTCGATGAGGAGCAATTCCGGACCCGACCGATCCGATACGTTGTGCTGGATTTGGTCCACGTGATCGGAATAGACTACTCGGCTGCGGAGGTGCTTGTACGGCTCAACCGGATCCTCCACCGCCGGAATGTCACGCTAGTGATATCAAGCATTTCGCTCAACGATGAAATCGGCCAAGGCCTGTCCATGGTAGGCTTGTTCGCGCCAGCAGAGAGCAATGATGAGCACTGCCCGCCGCCCCAGAGGTTCGAGACTCTGAACAAGGCCCTAGAATGGTGTGAGAACGAACTTCTAGGTACTCTACACGAGCGTGCCAGATCACTGGGTTCGCCCAAGGAGGCCGAGCCTGTTGCCATCACACCACCGAAGCCGATGGGCAACGGAGCGAATCCGTTCGACGGGGCTTTCAACTCGCCTAGGCGGGCGCTGCTACGGGAGGCTGCTACTCTTGCACTCAAGGATCACAAGAATGCCACGGTCGATGAGCATAGCAATGTGCTCACACCTGACAAATGGAGGAATTTCGCCCAACCCATCCCGCTAATGCTGCTGACCTTTCAAGATCTATCAGACAAGGATATCGACTTCTGGCACCGTGCCACACCTTACTTTCAGCGCTGCGAATTTTCGGCCGGCACGGTGCTGTACTCGCGGGGTGACGACCCGAACGGGTTTTATCTCGTGGAGAAGGGCTCACTCCGCGCAGACTACGACCTCGAACAGGGACACTACTACGAGTCTATCCAGGCCGGTACAACGTGTGGCGAGCTACCTTTCTTCAGCGAGACAGACCGGACGGGCACCGTCGCAGCGGAGACGGACGCGGTCGCGTGGTTGCTGACGAGGGAGAAGTGGAAGGAGTTGGAGAGAAAGCAGCCCGAGGTAGCGAGCGAATTGCTGCGGATCTGCCTGAAGTTGACGAGTGAGCGGATGAATGCTATCACCTCGTAAGTGCTTTCCACTTCCTTCTTGCCCCCCTCCCCCCCCTTTTTTTTTTAATCCTCTCCATTGCATCCTCCCCCGTTCGACGCTGTTGAATTGGCGGCGGCGATGACGACGTATTGCAATCGCAGCAGGGCGACCACCCGCTGGCGTGAGACTCCCTGGCGTGACACGTTGCCGCTATTGTCAATACATCGACAAAGCGAATATGGGGTTCTGGGTGGGAACGGGAGATGAGCGATCGCTGTCGTCAGCGGCGTTCACCGGTCGTTCGTTTCTCCCCGCGGGCCGCCCCTCTCCCTCCATTTCTGCTAAATGGCGGGAAAATGTGAAAGGGGCGGGCGAAATAGTAATCATTTTGGCTGTGGCTAACACGGGCTGATTTCGACAGATACGTCCTCGTCACGGCAAGCTGAGCCAGCCGTTTAACTTAGCTCGCCGTCATATCGATCACACCCGCACACGCATATCATATCACAAGCATCTCATGCATCTCATGCAGATCATTACACACATACATGCGCGCGCACACAGGCACGTGCGTTGCATCAAATCTTTGTCTTCCGGATATGAAAGCGGGTTCTTATTACCGAGCTCCATATAGTATTCCTGCTCTTATGGCATTGGGAAATGATGGGGTAGCCTTCGTCTCATTTGTCAGCCATACACTTGGTAATGGAGTCTGTGTTCGGCGAAAGGCAATAATCGTTCAGATTTTCCATGGTTGCTTTAAAAAAAACACGGTGGTGACGATGAAGGTTCTGCTCGGACATTTGAGGCATTTTGATGTGGGGGAGCACCGCGGGAGATGAGTTGCGCGTTGGGCTTGGACGCTTTCCCGCTCTCTTTTTCTTCTTCGGCGGCCGTAGGGCTAACTTGGGTGGGGAATGAACGGGGAGCTTGTTGTGTGAAGAGACCGGGCTAGCGAACGGAATAAGGGAAAGAGAAGAAAGGAGGATCGGAGCGGGAGGTCTCGGAGTGAACAGTGTTCGCACTCTCTTCCTTCGGCGAGATGGGGGCACGGCCCATCCGTCATTTTGGCGCCCAATCTCGAAGCCGGGATGGTGGGTTTTGGGAAGCGGGCAAGAGAGAGGCTCTGTATCATGTGTGCGTAATGCGGCATGTGGTGAGAGACGTGTTTTTGTATAGTACGTGCTGCGTGAGAGTGCATGTAGACGTGTGCTTTTGTATATTGTAGTTATGCTTTATGTATGTACTTTGTACGTGTTCATGAACGCTTTGAAGCATCGGCGGTCTGAGCTTGTATTGGATTGGGCCCAGTCTTGGCTCTGATCGAAGGAAGGGAAGGAAGGAAGGATGGAAAGGTAAAAACGACCGAGATTTGCGGTTCCCGAAAACGTTGAAATCCCTTTCTGCATTGCGGAGTTGGCAATGATACTGTGCATCTCTTGACGGCAATGATGTGAAGATTGCATGTCAACGCATTGAACGGCTGTGCCCTTTGCTTGGACTCTGCTAGAGCGCGAGGGAAAGGGAAAGTGGCATGAATGCTCGGGCTGAGAATTCGAATTCTGTTATCAAATCTTCGGACGAGATGATCATGAAGAGCATTGACAAGTAGCACCAATAAATCGTCGGGTTGATTGACCCGGAACGGGCGTTGCCGGTTCTTGGCCACGGGCCAACGGTTCGATTTCTTCCTCCTGGCTCAAGGGAACTCTCGGAGGGCGTGAGATGATGTTCAGCGCGAGAGGGAGAGGGGATGGTGTGGAGAAGAAGGGGGCAGAAAAAGGGAAAGCTTCTAGAAGGCTTAGGGCGTGACGATCAGGGTAAGCGTCTGGTCGTCGGTGCACGATGGAGGACGATCGGTGGCGAGGTTGACTTTTTGGCGTGGATTCTGTTCGGCCCTGACGATGTTAGCTCGCTGGTGTTGCGGCCCTCAACAACCAAATCAATCTCGGGCGCCGATGAGATGCATGGATTTGTCTTATCCCATGAAAGCTTAACGTCCGTAGGATGGCTTGGCTCTTTGCTGCATTGCTTGCCGCGTGATGTTTTTTTTTTTTTCCTTCTCGAAAATTTCCGATTGCCGTTGATGCGCGCGCAGCGGGTAGGGCGGCACGGGTTCGTATCGATTCTTCTTCGCGTTCGTCTCGCTTCTTTGCCACTCTCATGATCGACCTGGAATGTTCGTTGGAAACTTCTTTCGCTTCGTGGGCACGGGAGGTTTGTGCTGAGGTGCCGAGGGAACGCATGGTGGTTGATGACGATGAAGCGAGAGAGCAACCACCACGTCGATCCTCTTCTCGTTTCTGCCCCTCTCGGCGGCCGTTGCCCAGACCGACGAAGCTAGACCGCGTACGATAGGGCAGGTTTGTTGTGGAAATGTGCCGGCAGGCAGTGCTCAACATGTCCGGTGGAGAGTGGAGCGCGTGCGTGGTTGCTGGAGATGTTGAAATGAGAGCCGTCCCGTCGAGGACCCACCCCGGGCTCGCACACAGACGCCCAGTAGGGAGGATCTCATTTCTAACAGTGCTTGCGGCTCGCGCGCGTGGGCGCTGGCAGGCCAGCTCGACAGCAGATGGAGCGGAGAGAGCTAGGTGTTCCCGCCGGGCGAGGCGGTGAGCACGACAGCCCTGCGCTGGAAACCGGGGACCGTGGTCGCTCTGGTCAGGGGTTACGGTTGGACGGCGGCGGGCCCGTAGCGGCTGCTAGCTAGTTAGCATGGCTACATGGCGCCGTTGGCCCGATCCGGTTACCCACGATGCAGCGTTTTTTCTGTTTGCCTCGACTAAGCGCGTTTGAAAGAGATTATCTAATGCAGGATCTCGGTGGGCCTGGCTGGGGTAGCCGGGCATGTCACTGGGCGTTTCAGGCGCTTGGTGATGGAGGTTGTTTTGTGGTTCTGGTAGATTATTGGGCCTCCTCCTCTCGTGATCCGAAGTCCAGGCCGTTCACCGCTTCCGGCGTGCCTGCGATGTCACGGCGGCATCCACGGTACTGGAGTCTGGAGTCTGCGTCCTCTGCCGAGCAAAGCTTCCTGCTCGGAACGCGTCCCGAAGGCGGCCGTCATTGGGATCAGCCCGCGCAGCCGGTGGGCGGCAGCAGAGCGGCAGCGCAGGCGCAGGCGGCGGCGCAGGCGCGGGATCAGAAAAAAATGAGGGTGGCCGGCGTGCGTCCCGGCGAGGAGGCTCTTTTGTTCATCTGGGTGGCTTGCGTGGTACAGAGCGCTTGCCGGCGCTCTGGCTGCGGGCTGCGCTGCCCGCCGTGATGGACGGCCAGCGTTCGGCGGAGCCAGCCAGCCAACGAAAGGGGGCCAGCTAGCCCGGCCGCCGCTCCTTCTGACTCGCCTGTACGTGAATCACATGGCGATCCCCGCGGCGGCGGCAGAATTTCCCATGAGCTGGCCCTCCCGCGCACGTGACGGCGGCGGATCGCGACACCTGCCTGCTCCATCGGCTGTGCATCGGCATGCGATCTCGCTGCTGCGGCGGCCATTGGCGCGAGCAGCGCGGCCTCGAGATGAACGGCGGGGACGAAGCGCTGCGAACCCTGGCGGTCCACCCTGCGTCGCTGGCCATGTGCAGAGGACCGTGTGCCGGCGCTACCCAAGGATCTGCGCAGCCCATTTGCTGAGAAGAGGCTAAGGCCTGTAATCTCTTCCGCGCTCCACCAGCGTCCCGTGCGCAGCCTTGGCGGGTGCTGGTGCTCTGGGCTTGTGCTTTGTTGATACTCCGCAGGCCAGCCTGCGCGCAGCGGTGCCGGGCGATGCGCGCCGAGAGCAGCTCCAGCAGGCGGGCGCGCCATGGCCTGATGTCCGCGGTGGAGAGGCCCCGCGGCGGGACCCCTGCTGCAGCCGTCCCAGACGGGCTACGAGCGACACGCGCGACTGATAACGTCAAAACTTTCAGGGAGGCCGCGATCGCGACGGCTTGCGGAATTGCTGGCGGTGTTTGGATCCGGGGTGTCATGCGACCAGACGGCGCCCGCTGTCGCACTCGCGCCGGCCAGGGCGACGCAGCAGCTCCAAGCCCAAGCTCAGGCGCCGTGCATAAATGTTATGACGATTGGCCCGCGTGAATCACGTTTATTGCTGATTGTCAGAGAAGCCTAGCGCAAATTGCCAAACGTCGCTTCGGCGCTCTCTCCCTAGTACTCGCTGCCCCTGCGCCCAGCCATCAAAACCACCGCGCCCGCTCGCTCGTCCTACTTCATCCGCCTTCGCGCTGCTTCTGCCACTCTCCAACTCGCCTCACCTCTCGGTCGTCGAGCTTGGCCTGTTGCATTGCTGCTTGCTTTTCAGAGATACCCTTGATACCCTTGTCCTTTTCTATCCACTCCACTTCCGTCGACGCGCCAGCCCGTCGACTTTTGCACCACCCGCAAGCCTAATACCCGCAACCACAACACCACCGCCCACAATGTCTGACGCGAAGCCCGTTGACACCCCCGCCGCTGAGCCGGTCGCCGCTGAGGCCCCCGCCAGCGAGACCGTCGCTGAGACTGCCCCCGCAGAGGAGCCAAAGACTGAGGACGCCACCGACGCGCCCGCCGCCGAGCCCGCTGCTGAGGGCGCGGAGCCCGCTGCCGAGGAGACCACCGCGCTCCCCAAGGAGGAGAAGACCGCCGACGGCGAGGTCAAGATCACCGCTGAGCCCGTCTACTCTGGCGCTCTCGGCTACAAGGCCCCTGGTCTGATCAAGTACGCCTCCCCACGCCTTTGTCCGCCGCAATTCCGCTAACGCTCGCACCGCAGGGGTCTCACTTTCTCCAAGAAGTACTTCTGGTTCGGCGAGGAGGCCGCCGTCTCCAAGGACAGCCTGCACGGCTACCTCCGCGGCGAGAAGGGCGAGCACGCTCACGCCGCCGTCGCCTGGGCCAGCAAGACCGGCAAGGGCCTGCTTTTCTTCGCCAAGCACGCCGACCAGAAGTCTGCCCCTGAGGGCGTCCTGAAGCTGGTGCGTCCCCATCGCCCCATCGCCGAGGAAACCGCATGCTGACGACTCCCCGCAGGCTGAGGCTACCGAGGTCGCCAAGGAGGGCAACAAGGTCTTCTCCTTCAAGCTCCACGGCCACAAGCACTCCTTCGAGGCCACCAACGCCGCCGAGCGCGACGGCTGGGTTGTCGCCGTCGAGACCACCGTCGAGGAGGCCAAGGCCGCCGCTGAGGGCGTCACCTCCAGCGACGAGTACAAGGAGACGATCGAGAAGCTCGGTAAGTTTCATCGCATGCAAGCCAACGTGGTTGATGGTTCGTGCGTCAATGCACGCTGCGCTTCGCTTGCTTCCGCATCGTTTTGGGTGGATCCAGCTAACGTCTCGCTTAGGCAAGCCCGCCGCTCCCGCTGCCGCCGCTAAGGCTGAGGAGACCGCCCCCAAGAAGAGCACCGAGGTTAAGCCTGAGGGCGAGGAGCGCCGCGGCTCTTCCTCCTCCAGCTCCGGTGACGATGCCGATGGCAAGAAGAAGAAGAACAAGAAGTCCAAGTCCCGCTCCCAGTCCCGCAAGAGGGCCTCCGTTTTCGGCGGTCTCCTCGGCAAGAAGGAGCACGAGAAGAAGGACGTGAAGAAGGAGGAGGCCAAGGAGGAGGAGGCGAAGAAGGAGGGCGAGGAGGCTGAGGAGCCCAAGGCCGAGGCCGAGGCCGCCGCCGAGGCCCCTGCTGGTGAGTCGACGAAACCAATCTGCCCTGACATATCCAATGCTAACAATCCTTTAGCTGAGGCTGCTGCCGACGCTGCTGCTCCCGCTGAGGAGGCCAAGCCCGCTGAGGGCGAGGCCAAGCCTGAGGAGGCCAAGGTCGAGGAGGCCAAGCCCACGCCCAAGGCCAACAAGCGCACCTCCATCTTCGGCGGCTTCTTCGAGAAGGTCCGCAGCCCCACCGTCGAGAAGAAGGAGGCCGAGACCGCCCCCGTCGTTCCCCCCAAGGACGGCGAGGCTCCCGCCGCCACCGAGGAGGCCGCTAAGCCTGCTGAGGGTGAGGAGGCCAAGCCCGCTGAGGAGGCCCCCAAGACTGCTGACGGCGAGGCCCCCGCTGCCACCGCTACCACTCCCGCCAAGGAGAAGGGTGGCTTCTTCAGCAAGTTCGGCAAGGCCAAGTCTCCCGCCACCACCCCGGCCACTGAGGCTCCCAAGGAGGAGGCCAAGCCCGTCGAGGGCGAGGCTGCTCCCGCCGTTGAGGGCGAGGCTGCTGGCACCCCGGCCACGGCCGCCGCCGCCGCCGCCGCTCCCGAGCCCGGCAAGGAGAAGCGCCGCACCTCTTTCTTCGGCAACTTCGGTGCCAAGAACAACACCGAGGGCGAGGCTGAGGGCGAGAAGAAGCGTGGTCTCGGCGGCCTGTTCCGCAACCCCAGCAAGGCTGCCAAGGAAAAGAAGGAGAAGAAGGAGACGGCTGCTCCCGCCAAGGTCGAGGAGGAGGCTGAGAACAAGCCCGAGGAGACCCCCGCCACCGAGGAGGCCAAGAAGGAGGGCGAGGAGGAGCAGAAGGACGAGGAGAACAAGCCCGCCATTGGCGATGTCGTCCCTGAGGCCGTTACCGTTGGCCAGTCCTCTACTCCCGCTGTCCAGGCTACCGCGTAAGCGCAAGGTGTGGTGGGATTCTTCCTCCCTCGACGACTGCCACGACGCAATGACGGAAAAGTTGGGCACCGCAAGCCGCTGTCACTTGGTTGAAGTACCTCAACGCGAGCTACCACCACTCTTCTAACCGACAAATACCAAAACTTTCGCAGTACACTCAAAACCCAAAGTACTCTCTCCCACTCACCGTCGTCTCTCATTTGGGGTATGCTCATTTTGCATTTGCGGCTGTTGGCGGTCTCTCGTTCCTACCTCGTCTAGATTGATACCACCATTGCGCATTTGTGTTCAGTGCTCTGTTTTTTCGTTTGGTTCTTTTGTTTTTTGTCTCGTTGCTCTGGGTTTGAGGCAACTGCGTATACCCCCTTGATACCCTGCGTACTAGCCTTATCAGGATATGTACAAGCGGCCACTAGGGCACCGAAACTCTCGTAATATCTAATAGAAAAAAATCGTCTTTGGTACAATTTAACGTTCCTTAGTGCAGTGTGATGCCCAAAGCGTGGCGGGGGAGTGAGTTGTCACGGCCTCGTTCGTATGCACAGACAAGGCAGATTCAGCGGCGACAGGATTAGCAAGGAGCCCCTCCGATGGGTGGATGCACACGCGATGGCGGCCGCATCTCGACGAGTCGCGGGGCCAGCGACAGGACAGCATGGCCCGGGAGGATGGCGGCTCAGCAGCCGGCGTAGGGCGCACTGCCGCGGCCTAGAATCCAGCAATCGATCCCGCAGGGTTGCGCGGCTCGCGGGCAGAAGACCAGCTCATCCCGCTCTCCACCCTCAGCTCGCACGCAGCGTTCCGGGTCCAATCCCTGACCCCGTTGCATCATCCGCATGCACTGCAGCCTTGTTCTGTCCACCAGGCCCCATTGCCGCGAATGAATTGAATCTGCTTGTCGCTTCTGCTGGACTTTTCTACGCCGCACGCCGCCTGGCTTTTTATACTGACCACGCTCGTTGAAGACCTTCTGTTTGGACAACACCACGTCGTTCACGGCGCCGCGATCGGACTTCCGCAACCGCTGCGCCGCGCCGCGCCCGCTGATGCGCCCGTTCGACCTGCAACCTTTCGACAGAGCTCTTGCGCTCCAATCTTATTTGATGGATTAGAGGCGCCGGGAAGGCAAAGTCATGGTACGTCGTTCACTCCGGTGCGCTGTTTTTCTTTTCCGCCAACGAATGGCTTCATTCTGCGACATTCCGTGCTTTTCGTCGCGCTTTCAGGCACGCGCGGCCTTGAACGCCCTTGAACCGCATCCATGCGCCGCGGACGACCACCTTCCAATTCCTTCCAAGACTCGTCTCCCCTCTCACAGCCGATGCGCATGATCCAATCTCAGGCCATGCACGCCCATCCCACCTTCGTCTTTTCCCCCGTGGAGGTCGCATTGCGCGCAGATGCGCCGTCACTTGTTGTTCAGTAGCACATGGGACTAACATCGCCACCTGTGCACGACAGGGTTGCTGTCTCTCATCCCAGCGCCGCGGCGGCTCCGCTCGTGGCTCGTCGTCCCCAGGCGATGGCAACAACAATGCGTCAATCCTCTCCAACAATCGTGCTGCTGCACCTCACGCTGCAGACGACTCGTCACGCGCGAATATCAACAACCCAGCCCCGCTCCTGCCGCAGCCGCACTCGACCCAGTCGTTCCTGTCAGCGTCGATATCGGACGACAATTCGCCGCGCCCGTCGCACTCACACAACGACGTGGATGTCGGGGGAGGAAGCAGCGGGTGGAGGGTAGGGCGGAGGGGCAGCAGAAGCGCCGGCGCCGGCGCATCACAGCCTGCGACGAGGAAAGATAGTCGCCCCAATAAACCGCTGGTCGCGATCGACCGCGGACGTAGGTGCAAGGGCCCCGTGCTGGATGGCGGGCTGTCGGCTTCGCCGTCGCCGCACGTTGGGAGCCATCGGAAAGGGAGCGTCAGCGGCGGTCCCGCTGCGGGTGGGCCGGCGCTCACGAGGACGCGTCTCGAGAAAGAGCGGAACGCGTTCTGGGACACGAGAGTCACGGGCCACGCCGAGATTTGGGGCGCCGTGAGGTTGGCGACGGATCTGGTGAAGGGTGGAGATGTGGCGAGCGCTCAAGGGGTGTTGGATGCGGCGGGTGCGACGTGTCCGACGGGGGAGATCTGGAGGGGGGTTTTCGATGAATGGGGCACCGAGTATAGAGTCCCGGAGTGGGCGGTTGTGGAGCCTGTGGGAGTGGTGGAGGTAGGTGAAGAGGAAGAAGAGGGTGACGGCACTGAAGACGGAGAGCAAAGCCTTGCAGAAGAGAAGGGGAAGGGTCGCATGGGAGAGGTTGTTAAAGTCAGAGCACGGCTTAGCGACCGAGGGACGGACGTGGTGGTTGAGGTGGGAATGGAGGAGAGGGTGAGTGCGGTGATCGCGAGGATCGCGGAGGCGGCCAAGGTGAGTGTCCTCCTTCATTCTTCCAGGAGGGCGATGCTGACGAACTCACAGTTAGCGGCCACCAGCCGTGTCAGAATCGCCTACCTGGGCAAAATTCTTCGCGAGCACGATAGTCTTGCTGCACAGGGCTACAGCGAGGGCCACGTCCTCAACGCTCTTGTCTTCTGAGTTTTCAAGCAGGTGCACACACGAGCATGCTCTCTCCGAGATTTCTTCCTTTTCAGCGTCGGATACCACTTTGTTTTGTTTGCGCGATTGCATGGTAGCGGAGTCCAGGGCAAAGTGCGCGAGAGATTTTCGCTTAGTTTGTAATTTTGGCTGTATACCCTTGGAGCTGGGAGGGTGTTTTGATAAAGCTATTTCATGGAGTCCAAATTGAAGCGCATTCCCCTGCCTTTTGAGATGGCTGCTCAACTGGGAGCAGGGTGCTTGCCGGCGCAATTTCGTTTTATGCTTCGGATCACGCGTGATACGGAGCACAGGGTTGCACAGGCAGATGACGTCGCGGGGACGTTTGCTGTCACACAACCTATAGCTTGGGCGGAGAGACAGTTCTGCCGACGCGCCTGTGCTGCGAGGCAGGTACTTCCTGAGCTCTAGCGGCCACAACACACCACCACCTGCGAAGCTTCCCTCCTCCAATCGCCCCGCGCCTCGCAACTGCCTGGTGCCCGCCGCATCAATCGCACCATCGGCCTCAAGCCTCGCAGACAACAACTGGGATACAGTGAGCCCGACCGACCACAATGTTCGCCCGCACAGCTCTCGCTCGTCTGAGAGCTAGGGTACCAAGCGCCGCCGCACGCGACGTCGCGCAGCTCTCGCGCAAGCTCCGCACCGTCGTCGCGACCTCGGTCTCCAACACCACCGTTAACAATGCCTCCGCCGCGGCTCCTTTGACCTTCGCTCAATTCCAGCGCATCCGCGGCTACGCGACCGCGACCAAGACTCGCGCCTCGACGGCGGCGAAGAAGGCGCCCGCCAAGAAGACGACTGCCACCAAGAAGACCGCTGCGGCTAAGAAGACGACCGCGACAAAGAAGAAGACCGCCGCCAAACCCAAGAAGAAGGCTGTCGCCAAGCCCAAGAAGAAGAAGGAATTGACGGAGTTCCAGATTGAGAGGCTCGAGAAGCGCAAGCTGCGCGACGCGGAGCAGAAGAAAAAGGATCATCTCAAGGAATTGAAGGCGACGGCACTTCAGGAGCCCAAGCAGAAGGCCGCGTCGCCCTTTCAGATCCTGTTGGTTGAGACCATCCAGAAAGAGCTTACGGGGACGAAGGGCGCGGGCCGCATTGGAGAAATTGCAAAGGCCGTGTCCCAGAAGTACAAGAACCTCAGTCCGTCGGAACTTGAGGTACGTTGGATTGATATGTTGCTTGAAACGCTTAGGTGGGATTTTTGACTGATGCATTCACAGCGCCTCAACCGCGCTGCCAATGAGGCCGCAGAGGAAAACAAGAAGGCCTACAAGAAGTGGGTTGAGAGCTACACTCCGATGCAGATCCGGGAAGCGAACAACGCGCGTCGCCAGCTGAAGGCGAAGCTGGTCAGTTACAGCAAGGGCCAGATTCAGGATGACCGTGCCGTCGCGCCGCCGGCTTCCGCGTACATCCTCTTCTTCAAGGAGCGCTACGCGACCGGCGAGTTTCAGAACATGAGTACCATTGAAGCAGCCAAGCTGGTTGGCGCGGAGTGGAAGGCTCTTAGCGCTTCTGGCAAAGAGGTACGTTCACCCGCTTCCCAGACAGCCATGGAGGGTTATGGAAAGACGCCCTTTTCCCATTTTCCCTTCAACTTTTCTGAGCAAGCATGCTAACCGTTGGGGATCCCGATGGCCGTTACAGAAATACGAGAACATGGCTGCCGAAGAGAGGCAACGCTACGCCCGCAAGTACAAGAGCGTCTATGGTGTCGAGCCTGGCTTCCAGAAGAAGGCCACTGCTACCGCTTAGGAGATTGCTGTGAGCTCCTCACTGGAGTAACAGCCTATCTCACTTCCAGCAGTACAGTATTTCTAGCATGAACGGATACTATATCATCCTCTCGCCCAACGCGTGAGATAAGAACTGATTCTGCCGCGGCTTGACGCTCGCACACTGTTCGTCGCTGTTGTCCGATAGGATGTCCAGTCGTCTCGATATGCACGCGCCTTTTTTTTTCCTGGCTTTCCCGTCCTGTTTTTCTGTTTTTGTGTCTGTGTCTGTGTCTGTGTCTGTGTCTGCCTATCCCTATGTACGTGTTTTCCCTTGTTATCTTATGAGATTCCCTTCTGATGGGTGCGCAGCCCACATTTAAATCGGTTCCTCATCTGCGCCTGGAGGAGACGCGAAAGTCGGGCTGGTCCAGGGCTTCCCTCTGACGTGCTATCTGGTGGAGTGCGATGCGCTCTTCGTGCGGTGTTGCTCCTCGTTGATTCTCCTTCTCTTTGCCTTTTTCTTCTCAGAAATAGAAAGAATGGCAAATCGGGACCATCCCCGAATCGCAGATATACGTGGGATGTTTTATTCGATGTTGACTGCGGTTCTGGTTTCGATTTGACGGGATTTGCATGCTATTCGCTGATTTGCAACGGGAATAGTGCTCGATGAGTGCGATGCCTTTGCCACTGATTTGAAGGATAGAGCTAGGTTTTGATGCACTGAAAAGAGGGGGTGTTAGGCAGGTACGTATGATCTACATTTTTTCTCGGTGACTCACGACACGTTTGTAGAGTTTACGTCGAATTACTCTGTTGCTTCTGTGCAGACTGCGGCAGGTAGCAGGTCGCCGGCGTTCGGGTTGGGTTCAACGGGTGATCTTGTACGCGCGTTTGGGGAGGGGTTGGCGGACGGGCGTTATTTTACTTCATTCATTTTGATACGCTCGCTATTTGCAGCTTCCTCTGCCTTCGCCTGCACGTACTTCTGGCTCAACATTTTCATCTCTCCTTTGTGGGATCATTGGCAGCGTAAGTATCCTTATAGAGAGAGCATTGCCGCAGAAGGTCTGCGCGAAGAATAGCAGGCTCCAGAATAAGAGGTTACCAACTATGCCTCAGCAAATTTCTTTACGAGGAGTAACGTGTAGGTAGTAAAAGCTATTGTCCTAACGTAAATGTACAGTCATTAATCTCACATTTACGTCCGGTTCGTCACACCAGCTACCAATGGCATAAGGAAAACAAGTTTCCGTTAGCCTTCGGCCGCAATATCCATCTATACTTGGTGTTGAGAGGAAATCAATGAATCGCGGCAAAAATAATGAATAACAGTGAAGTTTTCCAAAACCCAAATGCAAGAGGAACTAGGACTCCCGGAAGACTCGTTTGCCCTTTCATATTTGCTTTATTTATCACGAACTACCTAGTTTAGTGTGTCTATTGAACTACATAGGTCTGTCCTGTAGCTAATGCCCATCTCTTGCAAAGTCTCACAGAATGTACCTAAAGCCAACCGGCCTCGCCTCGCCCTCGCCTGCATGGGCCGCCACGTCCTCGGCGTCCCGCAGCTCCCTCTGCTCCATCTTCCGGTTGTCTCTGGCCAGGATCAGCCTGATGATGAAGGCCAGGACGGTGACGAAGAGGGCGGTGCCGGCGGTGGCGCCGCCGCCGGGGATGTAGCGCGGGCCGGACGAGGAAGGGTACATGTAAGGGCCGTAAATGTTGGCGCTATTGCCGACCATGTTGGCGAAGGAGATGCAGGCGCTGCGTTTGACGAGCGGGCGGGGGAACGAGTTGGCGACCCAAGTGATGATGATTTGGTAGCCGGCTACGGCGCCCATCTGTTGTGCGGTTGAGATCAGCATCAAGGGGGAGGAAAGCAGAAGATGGAGGTGCAATGGCTTACCGGCATCAAGAAGATGGCAAAGAAGCGAGCGGGGATATTCAGCGTTGCGATACAGATAATATTACCAACGCACGAGATCATACTCAGGCACATAATATGAATGCTGCGGTCACCCGTCTTGCCTGAAGTCCAGGTCACGAGTAGGCCAACAAGGAAAGTGGCAATCCACACGGGGGCAGTGATGAGCAGCGTCTCAATGGTGCCGTAGCCGAGCGTTTCGATGACGGTGGGGAAGAAGTACTGGAACGTTTGTGTGAGCAGCGACGCGTGCTGTAATAGCGTGAAGATGTACAGCTTCGGATCACGCATCGCCAGTTTGACGCCCTCCAGAACGGAAGATGCCTCTGCGTCATCGGCCTCACCCGTGTCGTCCAGCAGTCGCCACTGAGCGTAGCTTCGCTCTTCAGGCGTGAGCCAGCGCGTGTTGGCCGGATAGTCGGGCAGGACAACAGCAGCGACGACGGCGACGCCAACGGTGATGACGCCTGTGGCTTATGAGCATGGGTCTTGTCAACGTGGCTTCATGGCACTGACCTTCAATGATGAACAGCCATCTCCACCCAGATATCCCGTGTACATTGTGGAGATTTCCGAGACAACCGGCGCCCAAGAGTCCTCCGAAAGCGTTTGCTAGGGCACTGCCGGCGTAGAACCTCGAGATGCGGTGGGCCAATTCGGCACGTGTGTACCACGAACTCATCAAAAAGACAGCACCGGCAAAGAAAGGGGCTTCGGCGAATCCGAGCATGAAACGTGCGGCGACCAGGCCACTAAAATTGTGCACCGCGGCCTGGGCGGCCGAAATGGCGCCCCAGATCCCCATGCAAATTCCCAGGTACATGGACGGGCGGATGCGGGTGAGAAGAAGGTTGGACGGGATTTGCATGAGGAGGTAGCCCTGGGCGGGATATAAGCCATTGTTTTACAAGCGCGGCGAAGTACTTACGACGAAGAGAATGCTGGTAGCAAGATTGTAATTGGTGCCCGTCATGTTCAAGTCCTCCTCAAGCGTGCCGAGCCGGGCCTGTGCGAGGTTGCTGTCGAATGTCAACACGAGGGTAGTTGAAGCGTGACGGTGTCGCTGACCTCCGGTCCAGAAAGTTGAGCAGGTACATCAAGATAAGCAGCGGCAACAGGTGCCAATCGACCTTCCGCATGAGCTTCTTGTGCATATAGTGATGCCACTCCTCGTCCTTGGCCTCGAACTCTCTGTAGAGGGCGGCCTGTTCCTCGTCAACGCCCTTTTGCGGCGTGGGGAGCACTTCATTGCCCTTGTCTGGTTCTGGATACTCGATGAAGTCGGCTGTCGGCTTGGAGTCCTCGTCGTGGTGCAATGCCATGTTTGCCTGATGTTTCTCTCGGGCGTAGGAGGGATGAAGGAGGCAAACGCGCGCGGGCTGAAGCCGGTAGGCGGGAAGATTTTATGGGAAGCCATGTCGGAAGCCATTCTCCACCGCTTCAGTGGCCGAGCGGAAACTAATCCGCTAAGAGGCGTTATCCCCACAGATAATGTTCATATGCAGCACGCGGTCGTACGAGATACGCGCGGTTAGGACAAACGGGTAAACCGTTCGGCTCTGGGAGCTGTGGGTCTGGGCAGTGGCCAACGTGACGTTGGTGCTGGAGCGCGGGGAAGAGGTGAGATCCAAGCTCGAAGCGGGAAGCTTGGTTGTGGGGCTGGCAGCCTGTGACGCGGGGAAAGGAAGCGGAGGAACGCCCACGTCGATCACCCCGGCTTTTGACCTTCGCGGGCTTTTGCCCCGAACTCGCGAGCCGCGGCTTTCTTTCCGTCGGGCAATCATCTCGCTGTGTAACCTCTCGTCGGCAATTGTTGTTGTTGCCGACGAATCTGGCTGGCGGTTGCTGCTTCCTCTTCAGGCAGCCTGCGTCCTCGGCAGTTCCCATGCGGTAGTCTCATGCACGGATCAGGCTGACGTGCCGCCGCCAGCAGAACACACCTTGGTACTTGGGAATGTCAAGCAAATGACTCATGGTGGCTTGTACCTTAACTCGACATCAGCCCTCAGCAGCCCACACTGCCTCCCGCAAGATAGCTGATTCAACCTAGTTATTCAACTGAACCGGTGCAGGGCATTTCGTCGTGCTGATCCCTTCGTAGATTTGTTTACCTTGAAGTGTGTCATGGGAAGAGAATTGGGTTTGAAGCTATTTGATTGTTAAGCAGGTAGAAAGTCGAGAAGCAAGTGGGGTTCCTTCACCTCTCGGAGGTACAGAGGGGTAATTGTTTTTCGCTCATGCCGTGGGCGGTTGAAGCTATCGTCCGGACAAGACTGTCGAGTTGAACATACACGTCCGGCTGATGGCTTCAACTACCCAATTAGTTCAGAGTCAGATTCATATATCCACTTCAAACCCTCCGGACCCACGTCCTCCTTCCCCTCCTCGTGACCCCCTCCATCCCCTCCGAGTCCACCACGCTGGATCCGGCTTCAACCGCCGTCTTCTCTGCCCTTGCCGCCTCCATGCCCTTACCCAGCTCTTCGAGCGTCTTGCTAGGCAGCCGGAGGCCGTTCCGCCCATCCCTCTTCTTCTGCACCTCGGGAATCCAGGCCCACGAGAACAGCGTCCCAGTCAGCATGACGCAGCCAAAGACGACGAAGACATAACCAAGATTCTCCTCGGTCACATCATCGGCTTTGACCCCTTCGAAGGTAGCCTGACGCAGGATCCACTGCACGAGGACGGAGCCGAGCTTGCCGCAGGCGGCCGATATACCGTGGCAGACGCAACGGTAGCGAGTGGGGAAGATTTCGGCCGGGATGATGAACGTGAGGGTGTTGGCGCCGAGGTTGAACAGGAAGTAGATGAGGCCGACGAGGACGATGGAGACGGCGTGGAAGCCTGTGTCGTTGGTGGCGAAGATGACGCCGCCGGTGACGAGGAAGAGGGCGCCGAGCACCACAAATGAGAAGGTCATGGCATGCCGCCGCGGCAGGTAGTCGCCCGCCATGACGAAGACGGTGGAGCCGAGGATCGAGCCAATGCTAACGGTGATCATGTTGCGCTTTGCGCCCTCGACGAGGGTGGCGTAGATGTTGTTGCCGTCATTGCGCGCGTACAGGTGGCTTGGTGCCAGCACGTTCCATGTCGGGACCGATCCGCCCAGTGCGGCAACACGGGCGTCGCGCTCAGAGCCTTTGAGCCAGAGTTTGGCCAGCGTACGCGGGTTTCCCATACCGAGACCGTAGAAGGCAAAGTCGACAAGCCACCACGTGGTTGAGGTGCCGACGAGGTACCAGATGTTTCCCTGGACGATGAAGTAATCGTAGAGATCGGAGCGCGAGAACTGGACGGGGAGGGGCGGCTCGCCCATGTCCATCATGTAATTGCTGCCCCTCGTGTGCCTGAGCGGAGCGTGAGAGTCGGGTTCTGGGATGCCGCCGCCGTACACCTGGTCGGTATTCTTGAATGCGCTGTCACCGTCATTGCGAACTTCCAGTTCGTAGAGGCCGGGGTCCTTGATCAAGAAGCGGAAGACAATGGCGAGAAGGGCTGGGATGGCGCCGACGCCCGTGACCCATCGCCATATTCTGTCAGCCTGCTGGGCGCAATCGGCAATGCTTGGGTCCGAGCACTTGTCGAGCTGATGGTTGCGATTGTAGCCCATGACGACACCAATGCCGACAAGGTTTGCAAGGAGCTGACCCAGGGGCTGCATCAGGAACACGGCGCCCATCATACGCGCGCGCGCATGGGTGGGAGACCATCTGTACGGAGGTGATGTCAGCAGGCTGTCGTGGATGCGGAACGGGCATGGATTTACTCGGCAGTGATGACAGCACTAAGAGGGTATTCGGCTCCAATGCCTATCCCCATCATGAAGCGCCAGGCGAGGAGCCAGGCAAGGATGTCCATGGAGCCCTCGCCCCTGGAGGAGGAGGCGACGCCTAAAGTGGAGAAGATGACAATAACCAGCTCGACGCCGTACAGCCGGGTCCGCCCGAACTTGTCGGCAAAGACGCCGAAGACAATCTGGCCAACAATGGAGCCGACGAGAGTGGTCATGTTGATCAGGAACTCCTTCTGCGTGTCATCTTCGCCAGGCCAGTAGACAAAGTACAGGGCGTTGATGATGACATTGAAGGTAAACAGATTGTAGGAGTCTGTGACGAAACCCGAGGCGGCAACGGCCCACACGAGCCAATTGAAGGAGTTGCCGTCAATCGTGCGCCTGATGATGTGCAGCTGCTGGGTCCTGGTCTAGTGGGCGATCAGCAGCGGCTCTGCGGGAGGGCGTTAGCCGGGAACCTCACAAAGGCAGACGCATCGGGGATGTGGTGGATCGAGTTCATTTTGACGGCTGGTCACATAGTCCAGGCGCGGCTCGGCGAGCTGGCAGTGGCTGTGGGGGTGCCGGCGCGGAGGAGAGCTGGGGGATGAAAGATGCAGCAGGATCAGACAAGTGCCGGCCATTGGCTGTGCCGCTTTGGCCCCGTAAGTGCAGACATAAGCGGGAGGAGCGCCGTCCCCGCCACACGCAGCTCCACTGCCGGTTGCCTTTCTCGCCCTCGCGGGCATCGCGGCCCGCTCCTCACGCGACGCGATGCGAGGCAGCTCGCCCTTATTTTTTCCAAGACGTCGCTCGCTTCAGTTCGAAGTCACCCGCCTCCTTCGCAGCTGCAATGTCCTCCCCCGCCGCCCTGGACTCGGCCATCGCGAAGTCGTCGCAGCTTTCCAAGATCATCTGGGCCAGCTCCTCCACCACCCACGCTGCCGTCAAGCAGCTCGTCAGCCACTCGGCCCGCCTGAGCAGAGCCCTCGTCCGCCTTCGCTCCCTGCCCGCCGCCCACCATGCCCTCCAGCATGCCGTCGACGCCTGCGACCGCAACCTGGACGAGTGCGCCGCCTTCATCGGCCAATGCATATCGTTCCGTCGCGACGCCCCGGGCGACCGCAACGCCTTTCCTGCCGCCCGCGCCCTGGTGCTGGGCGCCGAGCTCCTGACGCGCACCGAGCAGCTTGAAGAGCTGCTCCTGGTCCACGGGTGGGTGTTCGTCCGCCGGAGCTGCTGAATTCGTGCGCTAAACCCGAAGCAAGAATTGACGCTGCGTCGTCTGCCCGCCCCGCTTCCGCGCCGCGCGAAGAGATGCGCACTGTTGCCGGAGACGAAGCCAGCTCCGTGCCCGCATTTTCCGTCATAGACGACTGCCACCAGGTCCGCGGCCGCTACCAACTCAAGCGGAAATTCGACGTCTCGCGCAACCGTGCCCCAGCCCACTACTCGCCCGAGGTCGGCGCCCAGGCAACTCCGTCCATCCAGCCCTCCTCGCTCGGATCAACATGTAGCCCGTCCATCTTCACGGCCTCTCCCAGTCTGCAGCAAAGCTCCATGACCAGCTACACTTCTTCAAGAAGAGCGCCACGAGACACCTCGCCCGTCCGCAAAAAACTCCCTTCCTTGTCTCTTGGCCCCGCTTCTCTGCCTGCCCACGTCGCTGTGTTGTGAGTTTATTCTGCCATCCATGCCCACCCCTCTGACCGTGAATAGACGTCTGTACACCAAAGAAAGTTCGAATCTGCCCCGAGACATCCAATTGCTCGGCTGGCGGAAGAGCACCCACCCGGATGGCAGCGTGATAACATGGTCCATACAGGAATCAGAGGACGAGTTTGTGCATTACCGTAAGCCTGCCTGTTGACCTGCACGAGCCATGAGCCCTGATTCTTGACACAGTGCCCCACAACGCCTTTCCTCTCACTCTTCACAAGGATCACAACGAAGGATCAATCGTCCAGTTCAGCACTCTCCACAAAGTTGCTCTGAGATCCGAAAGCTCGGAGCGTTTCTTCTCATCCACCCGTGTCGTTTATGAATTTGTCCAAGACGAGCCTTTTATCTGTTTTCAAGAGGACATTCGCCACAAGCATCTCGTTGATGTCTTCAATTTCCATCTGATCTTGAGCAACCGGAGCGGCTCAAGTACCTATGGTGAGGCCATCCATGGCCACGTCAAATTTTGGCGGGATCGCGACCCGCCCTTCCACCACTCAATATCCTTCTTTGGCAACCATGCGGGGAAGGACTTGGAGTTCCCCATCCTCCGGTTCAACGCCCAGACCGCACCAAGGAGACTAGAGAAGAGAGTGAAGCTCTCCTTTGCCCTGCCGGCGAAGGGGAGCCAGAACAAAAGCTCATTCAGGGGCTTGTTCAGACGCTCCCAGAGCAGCGAGGCATCAACGCCTGTGATAGACTACCTTTCCACTGTCTCACGACCGCCACCTCAGCTGGCAGCGCTCATGAGTGACCTGAAATATCTCGACCTGCGTTTCGATTCGGTCGAAGGTAAGCGGTCCCCACCCTTCAGTGTGTCCCACAGCCCTTCGCTTACAGCACCATGCACAGATTTCGATCACTTCACAAAATCCTTCCAAGAAATCCGCGCTGCTGACGAAGCTCGCTCGGCCTTTCCTTTGGCCGATATGTCTGCCGAGTTGGAACACGCTTCCGTGCCTGGTGAGCTACCTGCTGATCGCGAAAAAGCAGAGTTGGAAGCATTGTTGCTCAATTCTCCAACCATCCCGGCAAGGGCCGAGTCTGAGGCAATCTCGCCACCCATATCGCCAATAATACAGCCACGGCTGGAAACAATGGCAGGTCGGCTGCGCATATGAAGGGATACAACCATTTCATTTGCTGCGTCAACGAATTATCTCTGGCGGGTGAGGTTCTGGATGGTCACGGCTAGAGAGTGCTTTGCTAGTCTGTCACTTCACATGCACGAAAGTGAACAAGCCGCCTTTCCGCATCCGTCGCTCGCTTATCTCCGCTTTCGTGTTCTCCCCGGCGGGGACGAGTCGAGACCGTTGGCTCGGCATATCTTACTACTACCTTTGGACCAATGACCTGCTGTCCCTTTCCCGAACGTTGCGGGAGCTGCGAGATAGATGATTGGTGCTCCCCGCAAAAGGCTTGTTGCCGCGAAGCCTCCAGGGAGGTATTGCAGCCGACGGCTAGCGTGAATTTATTTTTCGCCCGTACCATGGGTAAGAAGCTATCATCCGGATGTAAATGTGAAATTAATAATTATACATGCACGTCCGGACGATAGCTTCAACTACCCATACATGTTCTTTTTCTTTTCTTTTTTTTTGTAAAAAAAAAAGGAGTGATGCATACTTACGCTATGTTCTAGGGCCCTGCTATTCTTCGCGCTAGCCATGGGCTGCAGTACGTACCCCTCTGTACACGACAACACGAGACGCTAACTGACTGATTGGCGCACTCCAGATTTGGACTAACGGTTTCAGGATGTTATGCTCTCAGGATTTCAGCACATGCCAGAGATACTCGCACATGCCAGCTGAACTCGCCAGAGTTCCATGGATATTCGTAATTTCTAACTTCGACTCAGCTGCGTAAGCCGGGCTGGAGGCATTGCTCCGAGTATATCCCTGCTTTCGGATTCCAGCTCTCCTTCACGCCGTGTGTGTCAATGAGTGCTTTTTAGCGCTTACAGGTGGTCATATATATATATAAGCTCGAACATAACCCCATACCGAATTCCACATACAATTTTGCCTTCGTCTTCCAGACATGTCTTCAGAAGCCCAGCAAAGTCCCAGAAAGCGTCTCGTCATCTGCTGCGATGGAACTTGGCAAGTGGCAGATAGGGGCAGGGATAACACAACAGCACTCTCCAACGTTGCGAAACTCAGTCGCATGATCCACCCCGAGTCAGAGGGGCCCAAGCCAATCCCACAGGTTGTCTACTACCAGTCTGGCGTCGGCACCACGACTCACAGCGCCCTGGACTACTTCACATCGGGTGGTGTGGGCGTGGGCCTCGAGGACAATGTCCTGACAGCGTATCATTACCTCTCGACCAATTATAGCCCTGCAGATGGCGGGCATGCCGCGGACGAGATATTTCTGTTTGGCTTTTCGCGGGGTGCTTTTACGGCGCGGGCTTTGGCGGGGCTTGTCACGGAGCTCGGACTGATGAAACCAGAATACCTGAATGAGCTGCAGCGCGCCTATGCTCTGTACCGGAAGGTGGGCAACATGGCGGGCCAGCGCGACGTCGGAAACATCAGGTTCATGGACAAGGTCAATGCTCTGGCGAGCTTGCTGCAGGCCGAGGACTATCAGCTCCTGTCGGAATTGCACCGCGACGCAAACGACGAACCGAGGAAGGATAGCAAGATGTATTCGAAGGTGAAGATCAAGGCAGTGGGAGTGTGGGATACGGTGAGTGGTTGTGTAGGAACCAAAACAAGAGATGCTGATGTTAGGCGCAGGTAGGTGCACTGGGGATCCCGGACAGCTGGTTGTCTGAACGGTTGCCGTGGATCAACGGTCAGTTCAAGTTCCACGACGCGGCGCTCAATTCCAGTAAGTGTCCCTCGCGCTCTCGGGTTCGGATCGAGCTAATGAAGGCCAGGAATCGAGAATGCCTTCCAAGCGCTCGCGCTCGACGAGCACCGCGGCGCATTCAAACCGACGCTCTGGTACCTGGACGACAAGTTCATTGAGGACAAGAAATATCCCAACCTCAAGCAATGCTGGTTTCCTGGCTTCCACGAATCCATCGGCGGCGGGGATACGCTGCTCAACCACTGGCTCACCAAGATGTTGCCCGAGTCGGAAATGCACGACATCACGCTCGCCTGGATGTGCGACCAAATCGACGGCCTCGTGCACTTCGACGGCGAGGCGTGCAGGAAGATCCTTCTCGGGGATGATGCCGACCGGGTCAACTGGGCCACAGCCTACGAGGTCGACGTGGTGAACCTGTCGCTGCAGATCTTCCGGCTCAACATCCTCGGCGGCAGCCGCATCCGCACGCCTGGAATGTACCACGTCAACAACGCGCAGTGGGCGGCGCGCACCAACGAGACGATGCACCCCAGCGTACACTACCGCATCGAGGCCACGCGGCGCCAGTGGGTTCCCTACGACCCGCCCGCGCTCGGTGGGAACCTCGGCTTCAACGTGCCGCTCCTGCCGCAGGTCGGGACGCCGCGGTGGCGGTGGGAGGCGAGCGCGACGGGCAACGGCGCCGTGTGGGTGCGGCCCGCCGTGCCGGCCTTGTGGCCGCTGCACCCCAGGGAGGAGCCGAGGCGCGAGCTCAGCGAGTGGGTCATCCGCGAGGTCCACGGCAAGACGAACTTCGAGGCCGCGCTGCTGCCGCCGCGCCTGAAGCAGCGCCTGCGCAGGCGCAACGACCGGCTGATCAACGAGGCCGCCGCGCACAGCCAGCAGGATGACGTGAGGATGCAGTACTGGACCAGGACGACGTGGGGGCCTGCTGCGGATAAGGTGGGCGGCAAGATGGGGGCGAGGTGGCTGGCCGAGTCGCTGATGGCGGGCGCGAGAGGCGTGGGCGAGAGGGAGAAGGAGAGGCTGGGCGAGGTGGTGGTGCATGCGGGGGTGAGGGAGGCCGTCAGGCATGGGCACGACGAGATTGGCGGGTTGGTGCCGGCGGTGAAGGAAGGGAAGGGCGGGAAGAAGGGTGGGAAGCTTGGTGGGGTTGACGGTGGTGGTGGTGTGGAAGAGGAGAATGCTGTAATGAACGGCGGGGAGGTGAAGGCTCTTTGATAGGTTTACCAACGCTAGCTTTCGGATGCATCCACAGTCCGTCATCCCTGCAGTTCCCGCCGTTCTCGTCCCTCCAACTCGGCCACAGGACGCTGCGAGCCATCCTTCTTGAACACACGATCCGCACGACCATGGCCTTGGGCCCTTTTGCAGGTGCGCCACTTGAACAGAACTATAGCCAAGGTCAGCAACGTCGCAACCAACAGTCCCCCCAATACGCCCCCAACAACGGCCGTAGCGGAGCTGTCCGTCCCCTTGACCTCGCTGCCGGGGGTCTGCGTAGGCAAAAGAAGCGTGCCGATACTCGAGGCGCTGATGATGGCACTCGAGTTATCGCAGCAGTTTGGGGTGTCGGTGGACTCGCGGCAGCACCATGACCCCGGCGAGCACTGCAGGACGTTTGCTGATGTCCAGTTCGAGCCGCGGACTGCAGTCGTGTCAATGAAAAGAAAGCGAGAAGATGAAGGACGGCCTACTCCCGTCACAGAGCTTGGGGCATGCGTCGTCGGCGGCGGATGGATCAGTGCACCCGTTGGCCCAGAGGAATCCGGTCCATCCCGAACTGGTCGACATGCACAAGCCACTGTCGAGGCAGATGTCGGCGTCATCGTCACGGTTGGTCAGGCAGCAGGCGCTAGCCGTGGATGCGGACGAGTTGCATGGGCCGTAGCTGGAGGAAAGAGCGTTGCCGAGGAGATCGTAGCAGGCGGTGCTCTCGAGGCCGTGGATTGGTAGCGCAAAGAGGAAGAGCAGCATCCTGCTGACGGTGAGGGTGTCAAGTTCTCGGCTTTGGCCGGAGCATCACATTGGAAAGACTGGCGTCATCGTATTTTAAAGTGTTGGTGGGGGCCGACCATCAGGAAAAGGAGTGTTAGCTTGATAGCGGCTCGAATAGGCTTAGGGTGTCCGACCACGAGCCCGAAGTCGAGGCTAGGTATTAGGCTTAGTGCAGACTGGATAAAGTACAAATAATAGACATGCTCTCTCTCGGAGGAGAAACTTGCTTGAAGCTGTTTAGAAGTGAAGACTGTATTGATTCCTCCTGGACGGTATTGAAGCTGGAGGCCAAAGTGAGTTTGCTTTTTCGCTCATGTCATGGGTAGCAGCCGATGGCTAGCGCGAAGAATAGCAGGGCTTTAGAACATAGCGTAACTATGCCCCGGCTCTTCCTTGAAAAAAAAAAAAAAACACATGTGGGTAGATGAAGCTATCGTCCGGACGAGAATAACGAATTAATAATTATACATTTGCGTCGGGACGATAGCTTCAACTACCCATCATATGTGCCCTTTTCTCTTTTTTTTTTTTTTGACGAATAACGACATATATGGGTAGATGAAGCTATCGTCCGGACGAGAATGTCGAATTAATAATTATACATATACGTCCGGACGATAGCTTCAA